CTTAGTATTGAAGGAGGTTAGTGATAAATCAAAACTAGACGAAGATTTTTTGCCAGTGAATAGAAACCCTTTAAGCCCAAAATTTTACACAAGGTTATTCCTGGAAATTAAAAAAATTTCAAAAAGAGCCAGGATACATTGATTGGGACTCACGCAATATTAAAGGTCACATTTTCACCAGTCATAGCGTATCGTCTTCAATGGTATTTTTATATTTTCTTCAAACTTCTCCCTGTCATCTTTCAACGGGTAATTTAGAAATAAAAGTGTCTCCCACTTTTAATTGCAGGCTCAATACTCTTAGATTGGACGAACATCAGTTTGAAACACGAGGAGATCGACATTTTAACTGCGCTGGTACTATCGCTAAGGTTGACCATACTATGCAGAACTTCTCAACACACGGATCACCTAATTCAGTTTCGATGCTTCTGTGCAATGGTTAATGTTTTGCGGGAGAAATACCAATGCAACGAATTGACAAACCGGAGCCAAGTGATGACACAATACTAATTTTTATCATTGAAAATTTCGGATGCAGTCAAGATAATCTTTTTTTTTTTTGGAGAGGGTATACTTCTTACCTTCAAATAAACATTCGTGCCTTGACATTAAGTGTAAATATATTAAAATACTCTAAAAAGATGTTATTGTTGTTCTGTGTTAGGGAAGGGGACAGTACATAATAAGAAAAGGAGCAATCTTCTTGCATCTTACAGGCCCTTATACACAAGCAGGGGACTGGAAGGCAAAATTTCCCACCTTAATCACTCTGTTTACGAACATGACAATTTCGACATTGCTGATTGTAACAGTGTGCGCTTGCAAAAAATGAACCTAGTATGTGCTTGGCTTATCCCGAAGTCTCTGCTGTAGCTCAGTTTTGTAGCATTGGAAGGGAATTTATAAACGTCCGGGTTCTATGGAGGGTGGGGGCTCAGATTCTTCTTTGTCCCATGATAGCACTGCTCAAGTTCATGATATTGAAGCTTAATCGAGAAGTCCTAGGTCAGGTTCCTTCTATCTGTCATCTTGTAAATTTCGGGCTCTGACAAACATTGACGCCACGGTAAACTGACTCCTCCCTAATGATTCCTTACCGATCCCCTCACTGACCCTCTCTTAGATTCACTGGCGCTGATAATGATAGAAAACTTCTATTAGAGGTTTTACCAAGTAATAAATTGGTTGACCCTTGTTGAAGTTGAATGTGACCTGGGCACTATTAATTTACCGATAAACATTCGGTTTCTTGTATTTTTATGTCATAAGGTTTTCCATAGGTGTCACAGGAAAAAAAATTATCTTTGTTTGTGGGAACGGACGACAAAGTTGATACTGTTGCATTTACCACTCATTTATCGGGAAAGAGCTGTAATATTTGAAACGAAACGCGTCGAAACGATCGTCTTCCACCGTATTAGAAATTTAAACATGAACCTTTACGAGTATAGTACTTAATTTCTTCGTAAGGGAAAGATTTCCTCGTCAACCCATAATATACTAAAACAAGGCCTCTGCCATGTTAGTGACCAGTCAGCATTCTTCGCCTCGGGTGGTGGAGGGAGGGGTGGGGGGAGGATTTGGTGGGATCGCATGGTTTTCAAGGGGGAACGGGAGGGAGATCAGTAGTCGCCAACAGATAGTCCAACACCCCCAGCCGAAAAGAAAAACAGAACTAAAAAAAAAAAGGTGAAAGAGTCAAAGGAAAAAAAACCATAATAAGCACTTTTAAAGTTACGGATAGCTTTTCTTTCTTTTCTGAAAATTCGCCAGCACCCACCCTGGATGGAAAGGACGCTGTGACAGTAACGTATGTTGCCGAAGAACAGAACTAAATAGACCGGCCACGGCTGAACCCAGGCCTTTCTTCCTGAGCGGCAGACTGTTTATTACTGGTAATAAAATGTCCACTCTCAGCGGGTGATTATTGAGCTGAATCATTCGCTCGGCCAACAACGGATTTGCAATCGCGTGCACATGGACAGATCCTAGATAGTAAGATAAAAAACATCACTCCATACCAGAAGAACATTAACAAATGGTCAAAAAGAAATTCATCTTCGCGTCACACTCCCTCCTGTAATTCATTCTCACCTTACCCCCCCATCCCCCTCACTGAAACAGAAATGGACAGGCAACGGATGGTGGCGTTATAATTACGAATTTCCAAAAAATTTTCATCTAACAGGATATTAACCTTGGTGATGGAACTGAATTTGAGAACTTTCAACAATTAATTCTGCATAAGGATTGTCGACCACCTATCAGCAAAGAGATCCGTATTAGAAAACATGTGCTTCTGATTGCCGGCTCTTATTTTCCTTTTGGAATTTTGTTAAAATATGTACAACAGAGGATGAACTGTGTTTTGTAAGACTGAAACTTCTGAAGTTTTCTGGCTTGAATATTGGGCTATAAAAACGTGTTATCTTGCACCTTTACCAGTCTAACACCTAGTATTTGATGTAATATAAAAATAATGCACCACTTCAACAGATCAACTCTTCACTATTAATAATAATTTTGAAATGTCAGGAATACAATTTCTTTTATTCCCCAAAAGATTTAGTTAAGCCCTGTTTCAACAGCACTTGGGAGGTATTGAGGTGTCAAGGGAAATAAAAAACAACGCTTATGTAAAAATTTAGGGGAGAAAAAGAATGTTACCAGAATTAAGTAAAATTGATGAATTGTTTAGATTTTGAGTGGCAGCTTGTGGTGTGTAGGGTTCATTTGTACATAAGTATACATGGTTACCTTTTATTTATGAAAATAAAAGATTTTTGTTATTGCATATTTTGTTCTAAGTCTTCTATAATTAGAAACTATTGCCTGGAAAACATGCGGCAAGGTGAAGTGAGGACGTTATTTACATGCACCAAGCTATCATCAATTTCCACCAGAATGCCTATAATGGGATGGCCAGTTCAGAAGGTCTGAGGAGGTTGGACTCCTCTTGGGGTCTCAGAATGTTTCCCTTGCTCCACACTCACAAAGAAAACATCTCACATCTCTCTCTAAGACCTGTCTTGCTGGTTTGGTATGAGAGAGGAAAACCCTCTGTTTCTTGTCAAAATTTTCAGCATGAATAGAGTGGCTTCTTTACAGTGAAACTGAGAACTCTAGAAATATTTATGGGATGTTATGTGTTCCAAGGAGAAGGCCTATTAGCCACAAGAGCAGAAATTGTTTTAAAGCTGTGGTTTTGTGGCTAACTACTTATTATAACTTGTAATGAGCTTGGACAGTACACAACCGACCTGTCAGAATCAATTCAAAGTGCTCATGGTTTTCTAAGTCTCGCAGTATTTACATGTAATTTGAATCTTTAGCAATGATAGACATTTCGATCAGTTTTTGGCTCTCTGACACTATCAAGACTTGACTCAATGAATTTCAATAGCATTTTCTCGTTGCTTTATGGGCAATCCTTTTGGCTCTTCTGAAATATTTAGGTAATATTTTTGCCATTAAGTGAGATGCACAATATGGAGTAAATTTCAGTCTTCCTTACTGGTCATCTAATCTGGATTAGATCAAATTTGAAGATTAGCTCTTGTACTAGCCCAGGTTTACGAATACATTATCAGATTTTTCCTAATAATCCACACAAAATTTATCCCTTGAACAATTATGGCCAGGCATTGTAACTGAGTGAATTATTCTTCATAATTCACTAGGTATAGGTTGAAATATCTATGGTTTTCAAACATGTACTATAGCCTTCATTAACATTAAGGAATCAAGATAGATCTTTTTAGATCTTTTTCTATCAACTCAGTAGATAGAACAAAGTCATTTTGTAATATGTGACCTTCCATGGGAAAACGGACACTAACGCTTTCGGTCTCGAAAAACGGTTGTAAACGGATAGTAAACGGCTAACTCGAGCGTTTAAACGGATGCCATAACCGCTTAAACGGATGGCAAAAAATTTAAACGGTTGACCAAAGTCCAAAAACGGATAGCTTAGGCCTTCAAACGGTTGACCAAAAATAAAAACGGATAGCACGAAACGTTAAACGGTTGACCAAAGTTCAAAAACGGATAGCTCACACTGTTAAACGGTTGACCAAAGATAAAAACGGTCAGCCCAAAACGTTAAACAGTTGACCAAAGTCCAAAAACGGATAGCTTAAACCGAGAAACGGTTGACCAAAATCGACAAACGATGAGCTAAAAATTAATGTTTAACGGCTGTGGTTGAGCCGGCGAGATCTTCTGCGGAAAAACTTTCAGAGTGACAACGGATAATTATCCTTTAAAGCGAAAACATTGAGCATGATAATTTGAAAAATAATAACTAGCATATACTTACGCATTTTATTTCTGGGTTAATTTAACTGCCGCTTTCGTGTGACATTCATGAAATAAGCGCAATTTACTGAGAATAGTTTCGCGGCCGAATATCCTGAACGGCTACCGCGAAAAACTCATAATCTTCTCCTTTGTTTATTCTTATCATTATTGAAAATGAACTTTATTTTTTCCTGTTCGAAAGTTTCGCGAAATAAATTTGCATATGCAATGCCGCCACCTTATCTGAAGCCGAGATGTTTCAAGGTCAAATAACGCAATGAAGTTCCATTGCAAATAAAAGGTCGAATCGGTGTCACGCACCAAGCGGGGCCGTTAAAATGATTGTCAATAAAACCAAGAAAGATGAATCAAGAGGATATAAACAGAAAGAGAGTAGCCGATTTAGCAGTCCATCGACTGGGGGTCTGCGAAATATACCAACCCAGCTCACTGCGGCTGAAACACACCCCGATAGATGCTAGACAACATTAGGTCAGTTCAACTTTATTTACATTACGAGGAACGAGCAAGCTTATGTACATGTTTGCTAAGGTGACACTTCGAGTTAATTTTACTTTTGAAAGGGCTTCCACACTTTTTCTTTCTCCGTGGCAGATTCAATTGGAAAACGGCTAAACACTAGCACCTTCAACGCCTGAAGTTTTGTAACATCTAGTTGCTGTTTATTGTGGGTGCCGTCAGTGTTGCTGTTGCTCAGCTCTTCCGAAGAAGAAGAAAGGCAAAAGTTTCAGAGCGCACCGGTGCCTCTCTTTTTCCTTTTCCAAGACGTCTCGCACCCCTTTCGATTTGCTGGGCGTCACCAACGATCGTATGACGTCTTCACCGACTATGTCGTCCTCGAGGGTTGATGGCTGGAGTGCCGGTGTTTGCGGGGTTGTTGGTGCTGGCGGAGTTGAAGGCACTGGTTCGAACACTTCCATCGGATCATCGCTGAGGAATGCCAAAGCCTCGTGGTCGATGGTTTGCAAGTTACCGGTCTGAGGAAATGGACCACAATTTACTCCTGGATCACTGAACTAGAAAGTAGGGATATTCACTCGTTAGTTTCGGACCAACGACACCAAACAGGGTCTATTTCCGGTTCCGGTTCAAAGATGCTCAGTATCCTAGTGCAGTTTTCCTAACAAGTCCATTTTACGAAAAGCTTACGCAAGTTATATGAAGAAAAAGCAACTACTTACCACTTTCTCTAACGAATCCAGACGTTGCTCAATCTTGTTTAGTCGAAGGGACACGTTATCCTCCATTGCAGACAGTGTGTCCTGTAATGTCTCCATCATCTGTAGAAATGCAATTTGCGTTAGTTCCATAGGTACTTATAAGATACTAACACTTAAGCCTACTTACTCGCCACCAGTTAAAAATAATTCTAAAATTTTGGTGTGATGAGGGAAATTGGAAGAACCTATCAAAATAACACTTACATGCTATTTGCAATCATAACCTCAGTTATATTGACATCTTGAAGTAGAAAATGAGACAATGGTATTCTTGCAATGTTTCTTCATCCATTTTTGAAAATTCAGATTAACATTGATCAATGTTCTTACCTTGCAGACGCTTTCCTGTACTTTGTTATGCACAGCTTCCACAACAGAGACATTGGCAAGCTGAATGTTGTCGAGTTGTCCCTTCAGGGTTTTACATTCAGCCTCCTTGGCGGCTAACTGCTGTTTTACGGCCTCCAAATCTTTCTCTGTGGTCGCTGTGCATTTCGCTTTCTTGTTGGCTCGATTAGTGGCCCATTCAACTTCTCTCTTTTTCTGCTCAGCCAGAAACGCGCTATATGGATTCCCACAAGTCACTGAACCTTCCAAGGAATAAAAACATCTTCATAAACACAACGAAATACCAAATGTAAGACCCCGAAAAAGAAAACATCGTAGGCGTTTTATGACGACTCAGATTGATACAATTGACTCAGACTACAATCAAACTCGGAAGGAGTAATTTCAACTATCATGAATGCCTCACAAAAGTAACCGGTATAATGTTAAATTTCAATTCACTACAAATTTCTGCATGCACTTGTTACGTTCTGAATCTTCTGTTGAGAATGTAACCGTCTCGCACTCAAGTTTTATTACGTACCACCTTAAGTTTACGTAACAGTTCAAAGTACGTGTAATGTAGTCTGCGAACTGAACGTTGATGAAACGACTATAACTCCTTACACAGCTCAAATCAATTCTATGCGTGAAATATAATTCGATTTGATTCAACCCAAGTTCTCTATTACTTAATGGACAATTATATGATGTCGTTAACAAGTGGAATTTTTTTTTTCCGAAATCAACACGACCAACCTTATGAATACTTGAATTGATTTGAGTTTTCCGTGGCTGCTGGCTTTCTTCCTGTTTTTCGACTGGTAGTTTGGACTGATTGGAAATTGGATCGGGTTCAGTTGCGGAAATGAACTTGGATGACCAGTCAATGTCTTTTTGATTGAGAATCTCTTCGTTATCTGTAACCAAGGACACAATGAGGGTAAGTTCGCGCAGTAATAAATGCAGATGTGTGAAGAGCCCATGAAAAAAATGACTGAACAGAATCTTTGTTTGTCTAGCAAAGAATTATCACAAGGAAAGGTTGTAAGACTTACCACCCACAGCTATAATCTCTGCTTGTCTTCTTGCCCTCCCAGTTGACTGTCACCGTGCTCCCTTCTTTGTATTCGAAGCTTTTACCCAAAATCAACCTTGAAGGGGCGATACCAGTAGTCCTTTCTTGTGGAAAACACAGTAACACTTTTGACGGCCGTTTACTAGTTTCTTTGCATAGTTGCACTATGCAAAGATGCAGCACCAGTAGTTCTTTTTTTTTTTAATTTACCCCCTTTCATCATTTATTTAAAAAGGTTAATTTGTTCTCCTAGTCTATTTAATGATCCCATATTGTCTGAACATGGTTCCTATTCAATCAACCTCAAAATCAAATACATTCATTCCTGTCATAGACTGAAGTAAATGCGATACTTTGCATAAAACAATTGAAGACCCCTCACTGTGTTGATAACTGATCTCTTACTCATCAATATTTCAGTACAGAAAATATCCTACATTTGACTCAAAGAAAAGAGCTTATCAAACTGAATTCCCAGTTTTTTAGGAATTCCTAGGAATTCTCAACAATTCCCAACTATGCAAATGAGCTCTGATTTGAAAAGCTTGGAATTACTGGGAATTTTTGGGAAAGGAAGACTCCAGTTTAATGAGGACTTGGAATTCTTTGGAATTCCTAGGAATTCTCAGCTATACAAACTACCCACAATTTGAGAAAGGTGGAATTATTGGGAATTTCCGGGAATTTAAAATTTGAGACAGTTTAAATGACCTGAAGTTCACATAAATTCCAAGAAATTCTCAATACCTTGAATGTGAAGGTTTAAAGATAAGGACTAATTTTAGAACCTTAAAACTTTGGCTCAGTAAAAGGTATGCTATACAAAATTTACCAAGAGATATTAATACCTGTATATGTTTCTAACTTAAAGATCACAAAATTTATTATTCAAACTAAATTTTAGTAAATCTTTACATTAATATGGATTTTCTCATGAAGCAGTAGTAAATTATGTTAAATGCAAGTTACCAATGTACAAAACCTGTCAGAGACCTTTTTTTCAGATTATTTTTAGTAGAAACTTCATGCCTTAGACAAAAAAATTCAACACCTATTTAATCTTTCTTTTTTCACGATTATTGTTGCTGTTTTTTTCTTTTTTTTTTGCTCTTTTTATTCTTACAAAACATTTTTTGTAAGAGTTCCAATACTCAAGGATTATTCGCACACTCCACAAACATTTGGCATGCAGACAAGGCAGAGGTGGTCACTGTTCCCTTCAAGAAATAACACCTTTTCCTTGATTTCTTCAATCGGTTTTACTTGAAACTCAAGTCTGAAAATATTTTAAAATAAGACTTGTTACTAGACTGAAGTACAAACCAAGTTTCTTTTCATAATTTAATTTCTTAAATGTCCAGGTCACTGGACCTCCTAAAAAATATTACTTCCTTTCATTTTTGGTGCAAAATACTAGTCCTTCTTCATATACAAATGAAAATTGCAAGTCACACTTCAATAATCACAGCTCTAAGGTTACCTTTTGTTCTTCACTGAGTCAGCTATCAACAAAATTGTTTTATATTTTTCAGGTATGGTGTAAAATTTAGTTTGTAATTTAGAATGATAAACCTTAGTTTTCCTTACCCATTCCTGTTTCATCCTTAATATGTGATGACCAGCCTCACTAAAGAAGAATAGATTCTGGAGATCTGGCTGTACTTCTCTAAAGACTGCCAATGTGATCCCAGACTGCCTATCCCACTCAAAACACTCAACCTCTCCAACCTTGCCACATGCAAACAAGACAACATAGTCATTCTGCTCTACCATTCTGGTGTACTCCTTAAAGTAAAACACTTGTCCATTCTTGAGAATTTGTTGCACTTAAATTTTGCTGCCTCCAATAACTTCCATATCAATCTTCTCCATTAACTCTTGTGGTAGCCATACAGTTTCTTAGTCTCTCCAGCAATGAAGCAATTCTATGCCTTCTTTAGATTTTTAATTAACTCGAAAACATGAATGGAAAAAAGAAGATTAATATCTTTAATTACAGTGTGTTTTTCAAGCAAAAAAGAAGTTGTCAGTACTGTAAAGAAGCTACTGATGATGATGATAACAATTGCTATCAATATTAAGTTAAAACTATCATAAAAGAGCAGACAAGTACTTTTAAGAGCAAAATATCACGTACTCTCTTTTGGTGTTCAACATTCTTTTGATAAAGTCCTTAACACAACCATTTCCCAACATATCTACCTTGCATCTTAAGCGACTCTGAGCATGAAGCATCCATACAACCAAAATTGCACATCAATAATTCATTTCTCCAAATGGAGTGGGAGAAGTAAGTTATAAGTTTACTTGATTTAAATTTATGACAGTGGAACCCTAATAACACAGTCAACAAGGGCTCATGAAAATTTAGCTGTATTAACAGGGTAGGAGCAATATCTTGACTGGTCCTGAGAGATACTTTTACATTTCTAAACAACTGTAAATTATTTAACAAATATCTGGAATGCAACAACTTTAATATATGCATACAATAGTAACCAAGGGTACTTCATTGAACATAACTGAATTCTACAATTAAAAAAACAACAGACTTAGCCATACATATTCTTCCCAAAAACAATGGTCAGGACTTAACATCATGTTACTTTAAGTTAAATATTGTTTTTCAAATACTGTATTTGTTTTGTTTGGAAAACAAAGTTGACCATAATAACAAGGTTACCAAATTAATGAGGTGACCATGCAGTGGGCTGGTGTAAAGGTGTTAGGTGTATATTAACTGTCTGTTAAAAGTACCTGTCTACAGACATTTCGTGTGCCATGTGTAAAGTCCATGATGGTTCCATTCAAGTCCTCAAACCCAAAGGTGGACCATGCCCACAGGGGACACCCATCCTTCAACATAGTCACTAGATGGGCACCAGTATTGCATACATTGAGACCACAATTGCCATTCCCTTTAAATGTGAGGGAAACACATTGTTTAGGGCTATGCCCTTTTTTTGACCAGTCAATGGATGAATTTACCCCAAGAAGATACTTAACAATAGCTTAACTTTTTCTATTTACACATATGGACAGAGGCATAACACTGTCAACCCATCAAGATAAACATAATCTCAAAGATTCTTCTGAGCCACAAACCAATTTCTCTTTGTTGGGTAGCAATGCTACAAAAGTAATTGATTTTTTTGTTATTTCTTTTAAAAACATTTTACATGTAAACCTTCATTAAGCGTGTACATAAATTTCATTGAATCCTAGAATTTCAGCAGGGATTTTTGAATTTTTAGTATTTATTTTATATTAGTAGCCTCAAAATTTGACCTAGAATTCTCAGCAATTCTTAATCATTCCTAGAAATTCCTGGGATTTTTTTACATTTACAGCTTTTCAGGGAAAGTCATTGGTGCTTTGAGTTGGAATTCCAATGAATTCCTAGTAATTCCAAGTCCTGTTGGCTATAAATTTGGAATTTCTGGGAATTTTTGGGAATTTCTGAGAATTTCTAGGTTTTTAGAACCAGAGTTGTTATAGTTGGGACTTCCTAGGAGTTCCCAGCCCGAATTTACTGTGACCATTCAAACCTCTTATTCCTTGGAATTGAATTCCTAGGAAAACATTCCTAGGAAATAATTCCTAGGAATTCCAAAGTCCATCACCTGAATTTTGAGGTTTCCTTCTTCTGACTATGTTTTCCTCCTCTTCTTTTTCAGAATAATCAGCTTTCGAAGTACCCTTTCCTCTTCTTGACAGTGTTTTCTCCATTTCAAACGTTACAACAGCGTTTCGAACTGCTCTGTGAAATGTCTCCAAATAAACGACGACATGATACAGCGCGCAGTCCATTTTATGACTGTATTGCAAAGCACCCACGGATTTGTTTCCCATCGAATGAAGAGCCTTTGATAGGTATGGATGTCCACCTCTTATTGAAGCATTCAGGTATTCCCTTTTCTCCTGAAGACATTCGAGAGAGTCAAAACATTCCACGGTGAGGTGATCTAATTTCTCACAAATGTCCTCCATTTTGAAAAAAATTATCGATCGGAGGGAGATTGAGTACGAGGGGATGTCTTGTTCATTTAACATTTAGTGAACTTTATGTTGCATTTCAGTGCATTGCCGTTTGTCAGTAAATGTAAACGAAGATCTCTCTTCATTTATCGAATGCCTTTTTGTCGGCTTTCGCAATCGTGATGTGAAAACCCATTTGCGTTGGATGAATGAATGGGGGAACACTTTCCCACTTAATTCAATTGATCTATATGTAGCTGAGAAAGAAAACTATAAGAATTCTGCGAAGGCACGACGAGATTATTTTTCGAACATAAATGAATCTTTTTTGATCCAAGAAGGGAAGGAGCTTTCTCTAGTTATTACAAAGACTCACAATTTTCGCTGGCACTGTTCTTTGCCGTCTTTCAACGCCAGTCGATGTTGTGGAAAACGGCTGAGTTCCTCTTTGCTTGAAAATATCTTACTTTTGCTCTATATTTGCGTGTTGGCTACCATTCGAAGACAAAAAATTTCAAAGATTTCACAGTCATGAAGTTTGGACACAAAATTGTGATATTTATAAGACTGAATATCAGATTCCAGTGCGTGAGCTATCGAAGGTTTCCTCGATCTATGTGACGAAAAACTCGCAAGAGATGGTTTCCATGGATTTTCGCTCAAAACAAAATCATTTGCTTCAGCTATCGGTGCGTTCAGTATCGAGGGTCGGAGCTTTGGAAATTTGGATTGTTCACAGTCTTATTTGAGAAAAAACACTTAACACAAACCAAAAATATCAAATACTATAGAAACTAAACTGCAAAAACAAAACAAAACAAACTCTATTTGAGTTTTTTTCGAGCGGGACAAAACCGCGAGTGAGACGCGATGACTTCTTGGCTTCGCCCCGAAAAGAAAGAAGATCAAAAACCTCCGCAACTGAAATCAAGAATACCAGTCAGAATGACTCGCCTATGCAGTGATAATGTCAGAAGTTCCTCGTCAAGGGACAAAGCAGATAAAACAGCGCGTCTGCAAAAAGATATAGAAAGCAAAGTTCAAAGCAAGCAATCATCGCGGATTCCGATTGCGGTGAATGGGAGGAAGACCAAAGTTGATTCTAAAGATAATGTACCCATGAATTTCAAAACTACTCGAAGAGGAAAGCCTTTCGGAGGAGATTCAGGTATGTTTATTTCCCAGCAAGTAGCCAGCATTAGTTTTTTCACTTTTTTTAGAACGGTTTCAGGCGAACGGCTGGAATCATCATATTGTCTGTGTTATAACATACGCTGTAGGTAAAAAAAAGCAGCAACTGAGATAAATTGGCGGAAACCACGTTGTACAGGGCTGAAAATATGTTATTTGAATGTTCTTCGATTTATAAAAGTCGATGAGTAAGACTTGTTTTTAACTTTAAATTCCTATTTAATGTAGAAAAAGATTACTACTATATTGTTTCTCGTTTGTCATCACATTTCTATTCATTTATTAGTTTATTAGCTATTTGTTCAGTTTTCATTTTTTTTTTTTTATTTTTTTAATCTATTTATTTACATATTTTAACCATATGTCAACTGAATAAAGGTTTTCCTCAAGTTGTTGAGATTTTGATCTAGAATTAAAAAGGCTTCTTTTGGCTGCTAAATTCATCAGTCATCTTGTTTATTTTAAGCCACTTAGTCCATGCTCGTTTGCACAAACTAGAGGTAAATTTCTGCAGTTACAGCTTCATGACATTTGCTAAAGAAATGAAACGTTTGGACCTATCTTTTCTTAGGGAGAGCTAATTGGTAATCTTGATTTGATCACAGGTATTAAACTGCGAGAAACTCACAGTAAACAAGACAAGAAGACCGCAAGTACCATTCCTTCAACCACAGCTAAAGAAAGTAGTTATAGGCGCGCTCAGAAAACGACGCCAATTGTCAGGCGACGTGTACCACGACAGCTTACACCAACAGAGACAGGGTCGAAACAGGTAAATCTGGGAGGAAAATGTTATTTCAGTAAATACCAAACGTGAAGTATTTCACAGTGACATCTGTCTCTTTTGGAGGGTCTGGAACTTACTAATATGATTAACCTTTGTTTTACATCTTCGCGAATTAAGAATGTTAGGTTTATAAGGAATATCCAGAAATATAACAGCTGCAACAAAAACAACGCATTTTTTGCTTAAATAATCAGGTTTGCGAGGATGAGAAAGAATCACGAGAAGAAAGCTCAGCAAGAGAGATATCATCTGCAGCCAAGGCGGAAGAGGTCGCGCCTGAGGTCACCACAGGTAAACAAAGCAGTTACAGGCGCTCTCAAAAAACGACCCCAATTGTCAGGCGACGTGTACCACGACAGCTTCCACCAGTAGAGACAGAGACCAAACAGGTAAATCTAGGAGAAAAATGTTATTTCAGGAAATACCAGATGTGAAGTATTTCACAGTGACAACTGTCTCTTCAGAGGATCTGGAACTTAAAATCGTGATAAGCCATTGTTTCACATCTTCGTGAACTGAATTAGGAATGTTAGGTTTATGAGGAATATCCAGAAATATAACTGCTGCAACATAAACAACGCATTTTGTGCTTAAATAATCAGGTTTGCAAGGATGAGAAAGAATCACGAGAAAAAAGCTCATCAAGAGAGAAATCATCTGCAGCCAAGGCGGAAGAGGTCACGCCAGATTTTGAATGTAATGATGCACTTGTGCATGAGGAAAAGCTTCGTTTGGGGGCTAAATCAGATTTTAGTGGTAACGAGATTGGCGACGACTTTATATGTTACTCAAAATCTTGCGACGAGAAAGCAATGCCCAATGTGCCCCAACGGCTGATAGAGGAGTACAAGTTAGTATTCATATCTGCTCTTTTTTCTTCTTTTACAGTCCGCGAACTTTTGTCTCTGAATTTCATTTCTGAGGCCAGTAGGGTAAAGAATTCACATCATACAACATGTATCTGTGCACACTTTCTGGTAATCAAAACTTACTCCATTCGCTGAAGCATCATGGTTGTTATATCTAATACATTTCAAAGTATATTTGTGTACTGGCCGCACTGCAATATACTTGCGAGGTCAATTTATCACAATTGATTCAATAGAGAACACAGTCTCAGAACTTCCGGAAATTGAAGCAAAAGAATATTTACTACCTAGGTAGATAAAGTGAATTGAGGATTGTCTGGTTTTATAATTCAAGGTTTCAGTAAACATGGAAGTGACTAGCTTCACGGCAGCAGAGTTTTCAAAGCCTAAAGGTTTTGCTAAGTTTTAAATTTCTTAAAGAGGTGATTTTCGAAGTTACCGAATTTGTGATGAGGCGTATAATATAGACTTACAAGCAATTTGTCTGCAGAGACTTAAGTATAGTTGACCATTATGAATTAATTTCGTGCAGGGAGAGAGAAGAAAAACAGGAAAACATAAAACTCATTAAAGGTGACACTACTGTTACAAGCTCGGCACAAAATATCAGACTGGAGACAGAGGCTGATACAAAGAACAAGATGGAAGAAAATGTTTTCAGCGAAGAAAAGTTGGATTGTAGCTCTTTCACTAAGTCCAGCGGATACGAACAGAAAATGGCTGAGCTGAACGAAAAATCCAGACGGCTCAAGGCACAGTTTGCGGAGGAAAACAAACAGGCTGTGGAATCCATGAACAAGACAATGGAGGAGATCAAACAGAGCCAGGCAAAGGTAGATTGCATCGAAAATGAGATTGAGGAGATGCGACGGAGACGGGATGAAATAAAAGAAGACTTGAAACGCCTTGATGAGATCGGCCAAAGACGAGATCTCGAGGATAAAAAATGGAGAGAAAAAATGGACAAGAAAAACAAGAAACTCGCAAATACACTGGAGAAGATAAGAGCCAAACGACGCAAATATCAAGAAGAGACGGGTGCTGAAAATGACTCAACAGAGGGGCATGATCAACAGGATAAGAATTCAAGTGAGAGTCCGGAAAGTGAGAAAAGCAAAAATGTCACCATAGGAAACGAAACCGTAAGAAACGAAGACGTTGGTAACGAAGTGTTACGTGAGCCTCACCAGATCATAGAGTACAAAAGTGTAAAAGAGCTGGAAAAAAAGCGGAAAGAACTAAAGCAGTTGAAGAGACTGGAAAAGAATGCGATTAAAAGAGAGAAGTTAGAACAAAGACAGCGTAAGAAGATCGAAAAACACAAACTTGAGAAACTCTCAGCTAAGAGTTTAAAGGTTTCGGAAGAAACTGCAGGAGTTGCTGAGTGTATAAACCAGGCCATGGAGACTACGAATACAACGGCGAAAGAGAAAAATGATGAGACCCCAAAAGTAAATAGAATTAAACCATACGTCGACACCTCTTCAGATATTGCAGAGTCCAGGCAAGTCCAAGCACTCTACTATTCTGGATTAATTACGAATGGTACAAAGAACAAGATGGAAGAAAATGTTTTCAGCGAAAAAAAGTTGGACTGTAGCTCTTTCACTGAGTCCAGCGGATACGAATGGAAAATGGCTGAGCTGGACGAAAAATCCAGACGGCTCAAGGCACAGTTTGCGGAGGAAAACAGACAGGCTGTCGAATCTACGAACAAGACAATGCAAGAGATCAAGCAGAGCCAGGCAAGGGAAGATTGCATCACAAATGAGATTGAGGAGATACAAAGGAGACAGGATGAAATAAAAGAAAACTTGAAACACCTTGATGAGAAATTAGGAGAGACGTTGGCTGAGGTTGATAGGCTTATATTGGGAGATACAAACTTTATGGTCGACGAAACAGCGGACAGCCAACAAAGTAACCCAAAATATAGCAAGGAGGAGGTGCCTCGACAGGATAACTTTGACTGTTTCCCTGATGAAGTTGAGGGAGACATGCACACAGAGGAAAGCAGGTCTCAAGTTTCACAGAGTGCTGAGAACGAGGACAACGAGAAAAATGTCCATGAATGCGACGCCTTACCGAGATATGAGCAATCGGTAGCAGCAGTCGTCAACATAACTGAATATTTAATCCGACAAGAGTTGTCCAAGGCTTTGGAAACAATTATCCCTGTCAGTAAAAAAGAGTATACATCGCGATCGGAAGAAAAGATCTCGGAGGAAGAACCAAAGCTCCACAAAGAAATTGTGGAAATGAAATTTGGGAGACTTACAAGGGAAAATACCGAGCTTGAGATGCAGATTTGCATCATAAACGAGGAACTTGAAACGTACCGAAAGAGGATAGAAACTTTACAGGCTGATCTGAATGAGAGCAAAGTTGAGGTAAAGCGACTGCAGTCTAAGGAAGAGTACAAAGAAAGAGAGCTGGCAAATTTAAAAAGTGAGTTCCAGAGAAAGGAGCAAAAATGGGAAGATGCAAATCAACTCTTGGAAAAGGTTATGGTGGAAAGAGAAGAGTTATGGCATGATGTTGATTACTTGGAGGAAAGCTTGAAAGACAGTCAAGAAAGCAATGAAACTCTGACATTTGAGGTCGATGAGCTGACGATAATGATACAGGAGATGAAGAGAGAGTACAGAGTGGAGCACAGTCGCTGGGGATGTGGACACCTACGTGAGGAAGTAGAGTTACTAAATGGATCTCTGGAGTTGAATGAACAGCGAACAGTTTTATTAGAGAGCCAATAAACGCGTTTGAGGCAGAAAGAAAACAGTTATGGGGTCATGTTGATTTCTTGGAGGGAAGCTTAAGAAACAGTCAAGAAAGCAATGAAAATCTGACGTTTGAGGTTGATGAGCTAAAGATAATGATGCAGGAATTGAAAAGGGAGAATACGGAGCTCAGTCGCCATGGATGCAGACATCTACGCGAAGAAGTAGAATTACTAAATGGATCCCTGGAATTGAAAGAACAGAGAGTAACTCTGTTGGAGAGCCAAGTGGACGCGTTTAAAGAAGAAAGCTGTAGCCTTCAAAATGCTGCACAGAACATGAAAAGAGAAATAGAGATTCTTAAGAACGAAAATGCCACGAAGACGACGCAGTTGCATAAGCTAGAATGCGAAACATCAAAGACTATTAGTGATCTTAAAGATGACATCGCAAAGTTGCAACAAGAAAAGTCTGCATTGTCATCGGAACTATCAAAGGAATCAGAAAAAGATCACCATTTGTATGAGTTAAGATGTGAAAAATCGAGTGTAACAAAAACACTTGAAGATCATATCACAAGGTTGAGGAGAGAGAACTGCACTTTGACTGCAAGACTATCAAAGGCTTACGAAAAGGATGACCAGTTGACTGAACTAAGAGAAAAAGTCCAACTTTTACAGAATCAGTTGAAAAATGTAACTGAGGCGGCAACGGCGTCTGTGAACAGCAAAGAGAAAGAAATGGAGGAAGATTACCGCATCATAAAGAAGCAAGATGAAACGATCAAAAATTTAATCGAAGAGATCACGCAGGAAAGATGTGACAAGGACCGCCTCGAACAGCAGTCTAGAAGAATAAGAGAACTTGAGACTCAATTACAAAAAGTGGAAGACATGAAAAGAAACACAAATCACTCAGTGGATGCCTTGGTGCTTGAGGTGAAACAGGAGAGCTCAGAAAAAGAGCGTCTGAAAAGAAAGGCCATGCAAGCACAAAAGGTTGCTTCTTGTAGAGAGAAAGAGCTTGAAAAGAGAATTGAACTTCTTGAGGATCAGTTACGTGCAGAATATGAGCTGACAAACACCACTCTTATGTCTCTAAATAACAAGGAAAGTTCGTTACAGGAAGCTACTGCCACTATCGATATGCTCACAAAAGAACTGGAACGGGAAAAGTCGGAAAAAAAAACTCTGAGAAAGGCTGTCGAAGTGTCTGAGTGTAACTCTCATAACGACAAAAGATTGACTGAGGACATTGAAACACTTCTGGAGGGATTACAAGAGATGAGTGACCTACGAGAGAAGACTCTTATATCTCTTAGACAGAAAGTATGGTCATTGCAGGAGGCTCATGATGAGATCAGTGAGCTAACTCAACAAATAGCACACAAAAAGTCGCACAAAAAGTTTTTCAAGAGGAAGGCTAAGGCTAAAACGGGTGAAGCTTATCGACTGAATCTCATTCAAAAAGGAACAAAAAGATAAACACAGGAGAGGGGTTCGTTAATAACAGGCGTGGGAAAACGGCTGAAGAATCTGGTACAAAGACCAAGAGGAGTGTCCGAATCGAGCCTGGTAATGAAAAAGAAGGAAGCCCATGCACAAATTGAGGGAAGATTTGAATGAAAGAGGAGAAGTCATTCAAGACTTAAGGAGTAATTTCAAAGACAGTGCTAGGGAATTGTCGTCCATGCGACGTCAGCTGGAAGATATTCAATGCCAAAATGCCGAGCTCATAAAATGTCTTCGACACAAGGAGGAGGATCTTCAAAAGACGCAAAGATACTTAAAAGAAAACGAAGCCAGCCTTGATGTCACAAATGAAACCCTGCGTTTGAAATGCTCGCTTCTCAGAGCCATGGAGGCCAAATTATGTCTGACGAAGAAAGAGATTGAAGAACTGACAAAAGTGAACAAAGAGAAAGGCTTAGAGATAACTCGCATTGAGACAACCCTTACAGAAGTGAGAAAAAAGTTGGTTATTGCTGCATCCTTCATCGAGAAGAAAAATGAACAATGTGCTAACCTTAGGACTTGTGCTATGAAGAAGACCCGAGATGCGGATAAGATGCAAGACGAATTGAAGCGTTTCTCAACTCAACTTGAAAATAGCAGGAACGAGAACGCAAACCTACACAGAGCATTATTAGCTGCTACAGAGCGTCTTACAAGGGAGAAGCATAGGCAGTTCAGAAGGACTGAGTTACTGAAAGATGGGCACGAAAGGAAGTCCTCTGAGTCATCATGTGAGGTGAGATATTTCCCTCCCTAAGCGCGAGACGCAGGAGCGATGACAGCGATCTTGAAGCAGGAGACGATGTACACGAAGTCTACACCCTAAAATCCCATTGTCAGCTTTCACTTTCTGTTCTTTTTGGAATTAATTGATGTGCTATAATTTTGACATGCATATTTTCAAGCGTGTAATTCATTTATTTCGTATCTTCTACAGGAAAGCACTTCTAACACCCTGAAAGCCAGGAGACAAATGGATGCGTACAAAATAACATTTTTGGAAGACGAGTGTAATGTGTCAGGCAGTAATCAGGGAGACACTAAAAATAAATGGTCAGTAATATATATTTTTTGTTACTAGGATATGTAACAATCATACCATTTGTGCATTTTGGATATGAGATGGTAGCTAGCCAACGAAATGCGTAGCGTCGAGTGGAGTATCACCAGTCTCGTATCGAATAAGCGTCTGATGAGATAATTGTTAATTATTCAATTACATTAAATCTCGAACGTTTGGATATTTGGAGCTTTTTTTTTTCAGCTCCGTGCAATGTATTTCCATGTAAAGTGACTAGGAATATGAGCTGATAACCGGAGTTGAATAAACCAATCAGAAGATTAGAAATGCAACATTCGGGGTTGAAAATTTAATGACATGATATAGCTTTTAAGTAAAGCTGCAACCCTCGTCACAACTGTTGCAGAATGAATCTTTTTGGCCGCATTTGAAAGGCTAAGTATTTGAAAGGGGTTAGTGATAAATCAAAACTAGACGAAGATTTTTGCCAGCTAATGGAAACCCTTTTAGCCTAATATTTTTAAACAAGGTTATTCCTGGAATTAAAAAAATTTCAAAAAGAGCCAAGATCCATTCATTGGGACTTACGCAATATTTAAAGGTCACATTTTCACCAGTCATAGCGTATCGTCTTCAATGATATCTTTATATTTTCTTCAAACTTCTCCCTGTCATCTTTCAACGGGTAATTTAGAAATAAAAGTGTCTCTCACTTTTAATTGCAGGTTCAATACTTTTAGATTGGACGAACATCACTTTGAGACACGGAGAGATCGACATTTTAACTGCGCTGGTACTATCGCTAAGGTTGACCATACTATGCAGAACTTCTCAACACACGGATCACCTAATTCAGTTTCGATGCTTCTGTGCAATGGTTAATGTTTTGCGGGAGAAATACCAATGCAACGAATTGACAAACCGAAGCCAAGTGTGATGATATAAGATTAATTTTTATCATTGAAAATATTGGATGCAATCGAGATAATCTTTTTTTTTCTTTTGGAGAGAGCGAACGGTATACTTATTAACTTCAAATAAGCATTCATGCCTTGACATTAAGTGTAATTATATTAAAATACTCTAAAAGGATGTTCATTTTTGTTCTGTGTTAGGGAAGGGGACAGTACATAATAAGAAAAGGAGCAACCTTCTTATTGTAACTCACAGACCCTTATACACAAGCAGGGGATTGGAAGGCAAAGTTTCCCCACCTTAATCACTCTGTTTACGAACATGACATGATTGTAACAGTGTGCACTTGCAAAACACGAACCTAGCATGTGCTTGGCTTATCCTGAAGTCTGTGCTGTAGCTCAGTTTTGTAGCATTGAAGCGGAATTTAAAAACGTCCGGTTCTATGGAGGGTGGGGGCTCAGATTCTTCTTTGTCCCATGATCTTACAAAACGAACAGCACTGCTCGAGTTCATGATGTTGAAGCTAAATCGAGAAGTCCTGGGTCAAGTTCCTTCCATCTGCCATCTTGTCAATTTCGGGGCTATGACAAACAGTGACGCATTTGTTCATTGGCGCTGATAATGATAGAAAACTTAACCATGATACTTTGATTTCATTAGAAGTTTTACCAAGTAATAAATTGGTTGACCCTTGTTGAAGTTGAGTGTGACCTAGGCACTGCTAATTAATATTTACCGATAAACATCCGGTTTCTTGTATTTTTATGTCATAAGGTTTTCCATGGGTGTCACAGGAAAAAAAGTTTCTTTTTGTTCGTGGGAACGGATGACAAAGTTGATAATGTTGCATTTACCAAAATGGAAAGAGCTGTAATATTTGAAACGAAACGCGTTGAAACGATCATCTTTCATTATCTTGGAAATTTAAAGATGAACCTTTACGAGTGTAGTTCTTCGTTTCTTTGTAAGGGATAGATTTCCTTGTAAACCCATAATATACTAAAACAAGGCCTCTGCCATGTTAGTCTTCGCCTCATGTGGTGGAGGGAGGGGTGGGAGGAGGATTTGGTGGGATCGCACAGTTTTCAGGGGGAAAGGAAGGGAGATCAGTAGTCGCCAACAGATCGTCCAACACCCCCAGCCGAAAAAAAAAAAACAGAACAAAACAAAAAGTTCAAATAGTCAAAGGAAAAAACAAAACCCTTATAATCAGTTTTAAAGTTACGGATAGCTACTTTCAAAGTATAAGAAGTGCATTCGTCAGTTTTTTTTTCTGAAAATTGGCCAGCACCCACCCTGGATGGAAAGGACGCTGTGAGATTAACGTATGTTGCCAAAGAACAGAACTCAATGGACTGGTTACAGCTGAACCTAGACCTTTCTTCCTGAACGACAGACTGTTTACTAGCGGTATGAAATGTCCACTCTCATCGGGTGATTATTGAGCTAAACTATTTGCTAAGCCAACAACGGATTTGCAATCGCGTGCGCAGGGGCAGATCCTGGATAGTGAGATGAAATCTTAACATCACTCCATACCAGGACAACATTAGCAAATAGTCAAAAAGAAAGTCATTTTCAAAAAAATACGGAAAAACCTTTAATGAAAAAAAGGAGGGAAGACGAAAGTTATTTCTCGGGAAAGGTGGCTGTAGAGAAAATTGCTTAGTCATATGGCTCGAAGCTTTTACTGCGTCAGTGTTAAAGAAGAGTTTATAAGTATTGCTTTTTGATACGTAACTTACGTAATTTTGTCTCAAAAGGGCAGGCTCGATGAATGGATTTTTTTTCTTAAACAAAGCGAAGAGTTGAGAGGGCCATCGTGTCACACTCCTACCTATAATTCATTCTCACCTTAACCTCCAACCCCCTCCACACCCCCCCCCCCCTTTACTGAAACAGAAATGGACAGGCAACGGCTGGTGGCGTTATAATGACGAATTTCTAAAACATATTTTTCATCTAACAAGACATTAACCTTGGTGATGGTACTGAATTTGAGAACTTCAACAATTCATTCAGCACTTATTCTTCATAATTAAAGAGCTCACGAAACAGAATAATTCACTAGGTATAGGTTGAAACATATATGGTTTTCAAACATGTACTATAGCCTTCATCAACATTAAGGAATCAAGATAGATCTTTTTGGGGACATGTAAAATTTTAACAGCATATAGTGGTTTTCATTCATTTCCTATGCTAGTGACCAGGAGAACTTATTAAATAGCCAAGTAGAAGATCATTTCTTTGATTTTCAAGAACTTTACGTTTGATTACCGGATGATAATGGCAGGAAAGAATAAAATTTCAGTCACTCCTGAGAGGTTAGCAACTTAACCATCATTTTATTAAAACATTGGAGGTCAATTTTTCCCAAATTCATCACCCCATTTGAAGTCTGCAAACAAACAATTATTAGTGAAGAACTGCATTATTATAATTACCAGTGCTTCTATGATCTTTGTGTAAATTCCACTAAATATCAAAGATCTTCAGCATGGAAGGAAGTTATCTTGATTCAGTAGATGAAGTTAATTGAAACCTGATATTTCTTCTGACAAAAGGCTAACACTTGAAACGTCAGCTTTAGGAACTCTTAACAACAGCTATTTTACATGATCAACTCAGTTGATAGAACAAAATCATTTTGTAATACCCCCAGTGATGCAGCACCACAGTTCTTTTTTTTGAAATTCACCCCTTTTATTCATTTATTTAGAAAGGTTAATTTGTTCTCCTAGTCCAGTTAATGATCCCATATTTTCTGAACATGGTTCCTATTAAATCAACCTCAAAATCAAATAAATTCATTCCTGTCTTAGACTGAAGTAACTGCAATACTTTTGCATAAAACAATTGAAGACCCCTCACTGTGTTGGTAACTGATCTCTTACTCATCAATATTTCAGTACAGAAAATATCCTACATTTGACTCAAAGAAAAGAGCTAATATCCCTTGCAAACTGAATTCCCAGTTTTCTAGGAATTCCTAGGAATTCTACAAAATTCCCAACTATGCAAATAAGCTCTGATTTGAAAAGCTTGGAATTACTGGGAATTTTTGGGAAAGGAAGACTCCAGTTTAAAGAGGACTTGGAATTCTTTGGAATTCCTAATGAATCCTCAGCTACACAAACTACCCACAATTTAAGAAAGGTGAAATTCTTGGGAAATTCTGGGAATTTAAAATTTGAGACAGTTTAAATGCCCTGAAGTTGACATAAATTCCAAGAAATTTTCAATACCTTGAATGTGAAGGTTTTAAGAGAAGGAATAAACTTAGAGGCTTAAAACTTTGGCTCAGTAAAAGGTATGCTATACAAAATTTACCAAGAGATATAGATACATGTATATGTTTATAACCTAAAGATCACAAAATTTATTATTCAAACTAAGTTTTACTAATGAAGCAGCAGTAAATTATGTTAAATGCAAGTTGCCAATGTACAAAACCTTGGTACATTCAAGCTCATGCAGTTGCCTCATTTTTTGTAAGAGTTCCAATACTTAAGGATTATCCACACACTCCACAAACATTTGGCATGCAGACAAGACAGAGGTGGTCACTGTTCCCTTCAAAAAATAACACTTTTTCCTTAATTTCTTCAATTCATTTTACTTGAAACTCAAGTCTGAAAATATTTTAAACTAGTGAGAAGTACAAACCCAGTTTCTTTTCATAATTTAATTTCTTAAATGTCCAGGTCACTGGACCTCCTAAAAAATATTACTTCTTTTCATTTTTGGTGCAAAATACAAGTCCTTCTTCATATACAAATGAAAATTGCAAGTCACACTTCAATAATACAGTAACAGCTCTAAAGTTACCTATTGTTCTTCTCTGAGTCAGCTATCAACAAAATTGTTTTATATTTTTTAGGTATGGTATAAAATTTAGTTTATAATTTAAAATGAAACTGACTGAAAAAAGTCAGTTCTGATGATGAATTCAACTGCTTTCATCACAATTTCTAATGCTCAAATTTATTTGTACCATTCTTGTTTCATCCTTAATATGTGATGACCAGCCTCACTAAAGAAGAACAGATTCTGGAGACCTGGCTGTACTTCTCTAAAGATTGCCAATGTGATCCCAGACTGCCTATCCCACACAAAACACTTGACTTCTCCAACCTTGCCACATGCAAACAAGACAACATAGCCATTCCACTCCACCATTCTGGTGTACTCCTTAGAGTAAAACACTTGTCCATTCTTGAGAATTTGTTGCACTTAAACTTTGCTGCCTCCAATAACTTCCATATCAATCTTCTCCATTAACTCTTGTGGTAGCCATACAGTTTCTTAGCCCCTCCAGCAATGAAGCAATTCTCTGCCTTCTATAGATTTTTAATTAACTCTAAAACATGACTGGAAAAAAGTAGATTAATATCTTTAATAACAGTGTGTTTTTTAAGCAAAAAAGAAGTTGTCAGTAGTGTAAAGAAGCTACTGATAATGATGATAACAATGGCTATCAATATTAAGTTAAAACTATCATAAAAGATCAGACAAGTACCTTTAAGAGCAAAATATCATGTACTCTCTTTTAGTGTTCAGCATTCTTTTGATAAAGTTCTTAACACAACCATTTTCAAACATATCTACCTCGCATCTTAAGCGACTCTGAGCATGAACCCTCCATGCAACCTAGTAACAAATTCAAAATTGCACATTAATAATTCATTTCTCCAAATGGAATGGGAGAAGTAAGTTATAAATTTACTTGATTTAGATTTATGACAGTGGAACCCTGATAACAAAGTTAGAAAGGGCTCATGAAAATTTAGCTGTATTAACAGGGTAGGAGCAATATCTTGACTGGTCCTGACAGATACTTTTACATTTCTAAACAACTGTAAATTATTTAACAAATACCTGGAATGCAACAAATTTAACATAACTGAATTTTACAATTAAAACAACAACAGACTGGGCCATACATATTCTTCCCCAAAACAATGGTCACAACTTAAAACATCATGTTACTTTAAGTTAAATATTGTTTTTCAAGTACTATATTTGTTTTGTTTGGAAAACAAAATTTACCATAATAACAAGGTTACCAAATTAATGAGGTGACCATGAGGTGGGGTGGTGTAAAGGTGTTAGGTGTAAATTAACGGTCTGTTAAAAGTACCTGTCTACAGACATTTCCTGTACCATGTGTCAAGTCCATGATGGTTCCATTCATGTCCTCAAACCCAAAGGTGGACCATGCCCACAGTGGACCCCATCCTTCAACATAGTCAGCTAGATGGGCACCAGGATTGTGAACAGTGAGACCACAATTGCCATTTCCTTTAAATGCGAGGGAAACACACTGTTTAGGGCTATGCCCTTTTTTTGACCAGTCAATGGGTGAATTTACCCCAAGAAGATACTTTACAATAGCTTAGCTTTTTCTATTAACACATATGGACAGAGGCATAACTGTCAACCCATCAAGATAAACATCATCTTAAAAATTCTTCCGAGCCACAAACCAATTTCTCTTTGTTGGGAAGCAATGCTACAAAAGTAATTGATTTTTTGTTATTTCTTTTAAAAACATTTTACATGTAAACCTTAATTAAGCTTGTACATAAATTTCATTGAATCCTAGAATTTCAGCAGGGATTTTTGAATTTTTAGTATTTATTTTATATTAATAGCCTCAAGAATTTGACTTAAAACTCCCAGTAATTCCAAAACATTCCTAGAAATTCCTAGGAAATTGTTTACATTTACAGCTTTTCAGGGAAAGTCATTGGTGCTTTGAGTTGGAATTCCTAGGAACTTTAAGTCCTGTTGGTTATAAACTTAGAATTTCTGGGAATTTCTCGGTTTTTAGAACCAGAGTTGTTATAGTTGGGACTTCCTAGGAATTCCCAGTCCGAATTTATCGTGAAAATTCACACCTCTTATACCTAGGAAATTCGAGGAATTCCAAATCCATTCCGCAAGGGATATCGGCCAAGATATCGAACCCATCTTTTTTGTGGGATAACAATCAGTCTTCAATTTCTTGTAATTTATTCCTCTCTTCTAACAATTCTCTCTTTCTAATTTTAAAACCCTTCAACTTCTTTATAATCTCTTTCACCTTCATATCAAGCCTTAAAATGAAACAAATGAAACGTGAAAGCCTAGTTCAATGGCGCTCTGAAAATTCTTTTGACCAGTTTTTAAACAAGTCAAGGAACCAAGATTTCAAACCATTTAAGGGGATCTTCAACACAACCATTAATATTTGCATCTTCTACAAGCAAGTTTTCCTCTTTAGAGATATATAACTTATATATCTCTAAAGAGGAAAATTTGCGTCGCAATTCCTCGATACGCGACGTTGCTTCATACATTGCTTGAAGCACCTGAATTTTGAGGTTTCCTTCTTCTGACTATGTTTTCCTCCTCTTCTTTTTCAGAATAATCAGCTTTCGAAGTACCCTTTCCTCTTCTTGGCAGTGTTTTCTCCATTTCGAACGTTACAACAGCGTTTTTGAACTGCTCTGTAGAAATGTCTCCAAATAAACGACTACATGATACAGCGCGCAGTCCATTTTATGACTGTATTGCAAAGCACCCACGGATTTGTTTCCCATGGAATGACGAGCCTTTGATAGGTTTAGATGTCCATCTCTTATTGAAGCATTCAGGTATTCCTTTTTCTCCTGAAGACATTAGAGAGACTCCAAAAATTCAACGATGAGGTGATCTAGTTCCTCACACATGTCCTCCATTTTGAAAAAAGGAAACGTGGGAGATTGAGTACGAGGGAATGTCTTGTACACTTGTCAACATTAGGTTGCATTCCAGTGCATTGCCGTTTGTCAGTAAATGTAAAGGAAGATCTCCCTTCATTGATCGAATGCCTTTTTGACGACTTTCGCAATCGTGATGTAACAGACTCTGAACTGTTGAAGTATGTCAGTCCGAAAGTTAGTGTTCATGATTTTACTGATCATTTCACTACCCGTTAACAGCCGCCGTCAAGACAATTTAGATTGAGACAAACTAAGGCCGGCAGAGATGGAAGATAGAAATCTGCGAAGGTCGATCAGTCTGAAATTTTACAATATCCTTTTGGATACAGGCCTCCTCGCAAAGTTATATGGACTTTTGATGCAACTTTACGCCTTTTTCTGATGATCAAACGGAAATAGTGGATTCTTTCGCGAAAAAAAGCGTGCTACTAAGCGGCGTGTTCACATCGATGGACTCAGCTCACAGATGTACATTAGTCCCGTATAGTACACTGCCATTCCTAGCGTGGAGTCTATTTGCTTTAAATTTGATCTGATCAGGAAGAAAGAAGCCCATGTTTATTCATTGGAAGCGTCAAATCCATTTGGGTTGGATGAATGAATGGGGGAGCACTTTCCCACTCACTTCAATTGATCTATATGTAGCTGAGAAAGAAAACTGTAAGAATTCTGCAAAGGTACGATGAGATTATTTTTCGAACATAAATGAATATTTTTTGATCCAAGAAGGGATGGAGTTTTCTTTAGTTATTACAAAGATTAACAATTTTCGCTGGCGCTGTTCTTTGCCGTCTTTCAACGCCAGTCGATGTTGTGGAAAACGGCTGAGTTCCTCTTTGCTTGAAAATATCTTACTTTTGCTCTATATTTGCGTGTTGGCTACCATTCGAAGACAAAAAATTTCAAAGATTTCACAGTCATGAAGTTTGGACACAAACTTGTGATATTTATAAGACTGAATATCAGATTCCAGTGCGTGAGCTATCGAAGGTTTCCTCGATGTATGTGACGAAAAACTCGTAAGAGATGGTTTCCATGGATTTTCGCTCAAAACAAAATCATTTGCTTCAGCTATCGGTGCGGTCAGTATCGAGGGTCGGAGCTTTGGAAATTTGGATTGTTCACAGTCTTATTTGAGAAAAAAAACACTTAACACAAACCAAAAAATCAAATACTATAAAAACTAAACTGCAACAACAAAACAAAAGAAAACCGCGGGTGAGACGCGATGGCTTCGTGGCTTCGCCCCGAAAAAAAAGACGACCAAAAACATCTTCCTTCTCCGCAACTGAAATCAAGAATACCAGTCAGAATGAATCGCTTATGCAGCGACGATGTCAGAAGTTCCTCGTCAAAGGACAAAGCAGATAAAACAGCGCGTCTGCAAAAAGATTTAGGGAGCAAAGTTCAAAGCAAGTGGTCATCACGGATTCCGATTGCGGTGAATGGGAAGAAGACCAAAGTTGATTCTAAAGATAATCTACCCATGAATTTCAAAACTATTCAAGGAGGAAAGCCTCTTGAAAAAAATTCAGGTATGTTTATTTCTCAGCAGTTAGCCAGCATCAGTTTTTTGACTGAAGTAATATATCGAAAATTGAAGACATTCTATAAAACCGTTTCAGGCGAACGGCTGGAATCACCATATTGCCTGTATCATAACATACGCCGTAGGTAAAAGAAGCAGCAACTGAGATAAATTGACGGAAACCAAGTTGTACAGGGTTGAAAAGACACTAATTGAATGTTCCTCGATTTAAAAAAGTCGATGAGTAAGACTTGTTTTTAACTTTAAATTCCTATTTAATGTAGAAAAAGATTACTTCCATTAATTGATTCTCGTTTGTCATCACATTTCTATTCATTTATTTGTTTATTAACTCTTTGTTCAGTTTTCCATTTCATTTATTTATCTATTTTATTTATTAAAATATTTGAACTTCACCTGAGTAAAGATTTTCCTCAAGTTTCTAAGATTTTGATCCAGAATTAAACAAGCCTCTTTCGGTGGCTAATTTCATCAGCCATCTTGTTTATTTCAAGCCACTTAGTCGATGCTTGTTTGCTCAAACTGGAGGCAAATTTCTGCAGTTACAGCTTCATGACATTTGCTAAAGAAATGAAAAGCTTGCACCTAATTTTTCTTGGGGGTAGCTAATTGGTAATCTCGATTTGATCACAGGTATTAAACTGCGAAAAACTCAAGGTACACAAGAAAGTGCCATTCCTTCAACCACAGCTAAACAAAGCAGTTACAGGCGCGCTCCGAAAACCACGCCAATTGTCAGGCGACGTGTACCACGAGAGTTTACACCAACAGAGACAGAGTCGAAACAGGTAAATCTGGGAGGAAAATGTCATTTCAGCAAATACCAGAGGCGAAGTATTTCACAGCGACAACTGTCTCTTTTGGAGGGTCTGGAACTTAATATCGTGATTAGCCTTTGTTTCACATCTTCACGAATTAGGAATGTTAGGTTTATGAAGGATATCCACAAATATAAAAGCTGCAACAAAAACAACACATTTTGCGCTTTTATAATCAGGTATGCAAGGATGAGAAAGAATCAGGAGAAGAAAGCTCAGCGAGAGAGAAATCATCAGCAGCAAGGGCGGAAGAGGTCACTCCAAATGTCACCACGGCTAAACAGAGCAGCTATAGGCGCGCTCAGAAAACGACGCCAATTGTCAGGAGACGTGTACCGCGACAGCTTACACCAACAGAGACAGAGTCGAAACAGGTAAATCTGGGAGGAAAATGTCATTTCAGCAAATACAAGAGGTGAAGTATTCACAGTGACAACTGGCTCTCTCGGAGGGTCTGGAACTTAATATCGTGACTAGCCTTTGTTTCACATCTTCGCGAATTAGGAATGTTAGGTTTATAAGAGACATCCACAAATATAACAGCTGCAACAAAAACAACGCATTTTGTGCTTAAATAATCAGGTTTGCAAGGGTGCGAAAGAATCACGAGAAGAAAGCTCAGGGAGAGAGAAATCATCTGCAGAATGGGCGGAAGAGGTCACGCCAGAGGTCACCAAAGCTAAACAGAGCAGTTATAGGCGCGCTCAGAAAACCACGCCAATTGTCAGGCGACGTGTACCACGGCAGCTTACACCAACAGAGACAGAGACAGAGTCGAAACAGGTAAATCTAGGAGGAAAATGTCACTTCAGCAAATACCAGAGGTGAAGTATTTCACGGTGACAACTGTCTCTTTTGGAGGATCTGGAACTTAATATCGTGACTAGCCTTCGTTTCACATCTTCGCGAATTAGGAATGTTAGGTTTATGAGAGACATCCACAAATATAAAAGCTGCAACTAAAACAACGCATTTTTTGCTTAAATAATCAGGTTTGCAAGGATGCGAAAGAATCACGAGAAGAAAGCTCAGCAAGAGAGAAATCATCTGCAGCAAGGGCGGAAGAGGTCACACCAGAGGTCACCACAGCTAAACAAAGTAGTTATAGGCGCTCTCAGAAAACGACGCCAATTGTCAGGCGACGTGTACCACGGCAGCTTACACCAACAGAGACAGAGTCGAAACAGGTAAATCTGGGATGAAAATTTTATTACAGCAAATGCCAGAGGTGAAGCATTTCACAGTGACAACTGTGTCTTTTCGAGAGTCTGGAACTTAATATCGTGATAAGCCATTGTTTCCCATCTACGTGAATTAGGAATGTTAGGTTTATGAGGGATATCCAGAAATATAACAACTGCAACAACAACAACGCATTTTGTGCTTTAATAATCAGGTTTGCAAGGATGAGAAAGAATCACGAGAAAAAAGCTCAGCACAAAATATCAGACTGGAAACAGAGTTTGGTACAAAGAACAAGATGGAAGAAAATTTTTTGAGCGAGGAAGAGTTGGACTGTAGCTCTTTCACTGAGTGCAGCGCATACCAACGGAAAATGGCTGAGCTGAACGAAAAATCCAGACGGCTCAAGGCACAGTTTGCAGAGGAAAACAGACAGGCTGTCGAATCTATGAACAAGACAATGGAGAAGATCAAACAGAGCCAGGCAAGGGAAGATTGCATCACAAATGAGATTGAGGAGATGCGACGGAGACGGGATGAAATAAAAGAAGACTTGAAACGACTTGATGAGATCGGCCAAAGACGAGAGCTCGAGGATAAAAAATGGAGAGAAAAAATGGACAAGAAAAAGAAGAGAGTCGCAAATAGATTGGAGAAGATGAGAGCCGAACGACGTAAATATCAAGAAGGGACAGCTGATGAAAATGACTCAACAGAAGGGTATGATCAACCGGATAAGAATCCCAGTGAAACTCCAGAGAGTGAGAAAAGCAAAAATGTCCCTATAGGAAACGAAACCGTTATAAACGAAGACGTTGGTAACGAAGTGTTACGTGAGCCTCACCAGATCATAGAGTACAAAAGTGTAAAACAGCTGGAAAATAAGCGGAAAGAACTAAAGCAGTTGAAGAGACTGGAAAAGAATGCGATTAAAAGAGAGAAGTTAGAACAAAGACAGCGCAAGAAGATCGAAAAACACAAACTTGAGAAACTCTCAGCTAAGAGTTTAAAGGTTTCGGAAGAAACTGCAGGAGTTGCTGAGTGTATAAACCAGGCCATGGAGACTACGAATACAACGGCGAAAGAGAAAAATGATGAGACCCCGAAAGTAAATAGAATTAAACCATACGTCGACACCTCTTCAGATATTGCAGAGTCCAGGCAAGTCCAAGCACTCTACTATTCTGGATTAATTACGAATGGTACAAAGAACAAGATGGAAGAAAATGTTTTCAGCGAGGAAAAGTTGGACTGTAGCTCTTTCACTGAGTCCAGCGGATACGAACGGAAAATGGCTGAGCTGGACGAAAAATCCAGACGGCTCAAGGCACAGTTTGCGGAGGAAAACAGACAGGCTATCGAATCTACGAACAAGACAATGCAAGAGATCAAGCAGAGCCAGACAAGGGAAGATTGCATCACAAATGAGATTGAGGAGATACAAAGGAGACAGGATGAAATAAAAGAAAACTTGAAACACCTTGATGAGAAATTAGGAGAGACGTTGGCTGAGGTTGATAGGCTTATATTGGGAGATACAAACTTTATGGTCGACGAAACAGCGGACAGCCAACAAACTAACCCAAAATATAGCAAGGAGGAGGTGCCTCGACAGGATAACTTTGACTGTTTCCCTGATGAAGTTGAGGGAGACATGCACACAGAGGAAAGCAGGTCTCAAGTTTCACAGAGTGCTGAGAACGAGGACAACGAGAAAAATGTCCATGAATGCGACGCCTTACCGAGATATGAGCAATCGGTAGCAGCAGTCGTCAACATAACTGAATATTTAATCCAACAAGAGTTGTCCAAGGCTTTGGAAACAATTATCCCTATCAGTAAAAAAGAGTATACATCGCGATCGGAAGAAAAGATCTCGGAGGAAGAACCAAAGCTCCACAAAGAAATTGTGGAAATGGAATTTGGGAGACTTACAAGGGAAAATACCGAGCTTGAGATGCAGATTTGCATCATAAACGAGGAACTTGAAACGTACCGAAAGAGGATAGAAACTTTACAGGCTGATCTGAATGAGAGCAAAGTTGAGGTAAAGCGACTGCAGTCTAAGGAAGAATACAAAGAAAGAGAGCTGGCAAATTTAAAAAGTGAGTTCCAGAGAAAGGAGCAAAAATGGGAAGATGCAAATCAACTCTTGGAAAAGGTTATGGTGGAAAGAGAAGAGTTATGGGATGATGTTGATTACTTGGAGGAAAGCTTGAAAGACAGTCAAGAAAGCAATGAAACTCTGACATTTGAGGTCGATGAGCTGACGATAATGATACAGGAGATGAAGAGAGAGTACAGAGTGGAGCACAGTCGCTGGGGATGTGGACACCTACGTGAGGAAGTAGAGTTACTAAATGGATCTCTGGAGTTGAATGAACAGCGAACAGTTTTATTAGAGGGCCAAGTGGACGCGTTTGAGGCAGAAAGAAAACAGTTATGGGGTCATGTTGATTTCTTGGAGGGAAGCTTAAGAAACAGTCAAGAAAGCAATGAAGATCTGACGTTTGAGGTTGATGAGCTAAAGATAATGATGCAGGAATTGAAAAGGGAGAATACGCAGCTTAGTCGCCATGGATGCAGACATCTACGCGAAGAAGTAGAATTACTTAATGGATCCCTGGAATTGAAAGAACAGAGAGTAACTCTGTTGGAGAGCCAAGTGGACGAGTTTAAAGAAAAGAGCTGTAGCTTTCAAAATGCTGCACAGAGCATGAAAAGAGAAGTAGAGATTCTTAGGAACGAAAATGCCACGAAGACAACGCAGTTGCATGAGCTAAAATGCCAAACATCAAAGACTATTAGTGATCTTAAAGATGACATTGCAAAATTACAACAAGAAAAGTCTGCATTGTCATCGGTACTTTCAGAGGAATCAGAAAGAGATCACCATTTGTATGAGTTAAGATGTGAAAAATCGAGTATGAAAGGAACACTTGAAGATCATATAACAAGGTTGAGGAGAGAGAACTGCACTTTGACTGCACGACTATCAAAGGCTTACGAAAAGGATGACCAGTTGACTGAACTAGGAGAAAAAGTCCAACTTTTAGAGAATCAGTTGAAAAATGTAACTGAGGCGACAACGGCGTCTATGAACAGCAAAGAGAAGGAAATGGAGGAAGATTACCGCATCATAAAGAAGCAAGATGAAACGATCAAAAATTTAATCGAAGAGATCACGCAGGAAAGATGTGACAAGGACCGCCTCGAACAGCAGTCTAAAAGAATAAGAGAACTTGAGACTCAATTACAAAACATGGAAGACATGAAAAGAAACACAAATCACTCAGTGGATACCTTGGTGCTTGAGGTGAAACAGGAAAGGTCAGAAAAAGAGCGTCTGAAGAAAAGGGCCATGCAAGCAAAAAAGGTTGGTTCTTGTAGAGAGAAAGAGCTTGAAGAGAGAATTGAACTTCTTGAGAATCAGTTACGCGCAGAAGATGAACTTACAAACGCCACTCTTATGTCTCTAAAAAACAAGGAAAGTTCGTTACAGGAAGCTACTGCCACTATCGATATGCTCACAGAGGAACTGGAACGGGAGAAGTCGGAAAAAGAAACTCTGAGAAAGGCTGTCGAAGTGTCTGAGTGTAACTCTCATAACGACAAAAGATTGACTGAGAACATTGAAACACTTGAGAAGCGATTACTAGAGATGAGTGATCTACGAGAAAAGACTCTTATATCTCTTAAAGAGAAAGAATGGTCATTGCAGGAGGCTCATGTTGAGATCAATGAGTTAACTCAACAAATGGCAAACAAAAAGTCGCACAAAAAGTTTTTCAAGAGGAAGGCTAAGGCTAAAACGGGTAAAGCTCATCGATTGAATCTCATTCAAAAAGGAACAAAAAGATATACACAGGAGAGGGGTTCGTTTATAGCAGGCGTGGGAAAACGGCTGAAGAACCTGGTACAAAGACGAAGAGGAGTGTCCGCATCGAGCCTGGTAATGAAAAAGAAGGAAGCCCACGCAGAGCGTATGTTAGTCAAATTGAGGGAAGATTTGAATGAAAGAGGAGAAGTCATTCAAGACTTAAGGAGTAATTTCAAAGACAGTGCTAAGGAATTGTCGTCCATGCGACGTCAGCTTGAAGATATTCAATGCCAAAATGCCGAGCTCATACAGTGTCTTCGACACAAGGAGGAGGATCTTCAAAAGACGCAAAGATACTTAAAAGAAAACGAAGCCAGCCTTGATGTCACAAATGAAACCCTGCGTTTGAAATGCTCGCTTCTCAGAGCCATGGAGGCCAAATTATGTCTGACGAAGAAAGAGATTGAAGGACTGACACAAGTGAACAAAGAGAAAGGCTTAGAGATAACTCGCATTGAGACAATCCTTACAGAAGTGAGAAAAAAGTTGGTTATTGCTGCATCCTTCATCGAGAAGCAAAATGAACAATGTGCTAACCTTAGGACTTGTGCTATGAAGAAGACCCGAGATGCGGATAAGATACAAGGCGAATTGAAACGCTTCTCAACTCAACTTGAAAATAGCAGGAACGAGAACGCAAACCTACACAGAGCATTGTTAGCTGCCACAGAGCGTCTTACAAGGGAGAAGCAAAGGCAGTTCAGCGGGACTGAGTTACTGAAAGATGGGCACGAAAGGAAGTCCTCTGAGTCATCATGTGAGGTGAGATATTTCCCTCCCTAAGCGCGAGACGCAAGAGCGATGAGAGCGATCTTGAAGCAGGAGACGATGTACACGAAGACTACACCCTAAAATCCCATTGTCAGCTTTCACTTTCTGCTCTTTTTGGAATTAATTGATGTGCTGTAATTTTGACTTGCATATTTTCTAGCGAGTAATTCATTTTTTTCGTATCTTCTACAGGAAAGCTCTTCTAACACCCTGAAAGCCAGGAGACAAATGGATGCGTACAAAATAACATTTTTGGAAGACGAGAGTAATGTGGCAGGCAGTAGTCAGGGAGACACTGAAAATAAATGGTCAGTAATATATATTTTTTGTTACTAAGATATGTAACAATCATACCATTAGTGCATTTTGGATATGAGATGGTAAATAGCCAAAGAAATGCGTAGCGCCGAGCGGAGTATCACCAGTCTCTATCCAACAAGCGTCTGATGAGATAATTATTAATTATTCAACTACCTTAAATCCCAAACGTTTGGATATTTGGAGCTTTTTTCAGCTCCGTGCAATGTATTTCCATGTGAAGTGACTACGAATATGGGCCGATAATCGGAGTTGAATAAATCAAAATAAATAAAGCTGCAACCGTCGCCACAACTGTTGCAGAATGAATCTTTTTCGCCGCGTTTAAAAGGCTTAGTATTGAAAGAGGTTAGTGATAAATCAAAACTAGACGAAGATTTTTTTGCCAGTGAATAGAAACCCTTTAAGCCCAAAATTTTACACAAGGTTATTCCTGGGAATAAAAAAGTTTCAAAAAGAGCCAGGATACATTGATTGGGACTTACGCAATATTAAAGGTCACATTTTCACCAGTCATAGCGTATCGTCTTCAATGGTATTTTTATATTTTCTTCAAACTTCTCCCTGTCATCTTTCAACGGGTAATTTAGAAATTACTTTTTAATTGCAGGTTCAGTACTTTTAGATTGGACCAACATCAGTTTGAAACACGGGGAGATCGACATTTTAACTGCGCTGGTACTATCGCCAAGGTTGACCATACTATGCAGAACCTCTCAACACACGGATCACCTAATTCAGTTTCGATACTGCTGTGCAATGGTTAATGTTTTACGGGAGAAGTACCAATGCAACGAATTGGCAAACCGGAGCCAAGTGATGACATAAGACTAATTTTTATCATTGAAAATTTCGGATGCAGTCGAGATAATCTTTTTTTTTTTGGAGAGGGTATACTTCTTACCTTCAAATAAGCATTCGTGCCTTGACATTAAGTGTAAATATATTAAAGTACTCTCAAAATATGTTTATTTTTGTTCTGTGTTAGGGAAGGGGACAGTGCATAATAAGAAAAGGAGCAATCTTCTTCTTGCAACTTACAGGCCCTTATACACATGCAGGGGACTGGAAGGCAAAATTTCCCACCTTAATCACTCTGTTTACGAACATGACAATTTCGACATTGCTGATTGTAACAGTGTGCGCTTGCAAAACACGAACCTAGTATGTGCTTGGCTTATCCCGAAGTCTCTGCTGTAGCTCAGTTTTGTAGCATTGGAGCAGAATTTATAAACGTCTGGGTTCTACGGAGGGTGGGGGCTCAGATTTTTATTTGTCCCATGATCTTACAAACAAAAAAGCACCGCTCAAGTTCATGATATTGAAGCTAAATCGAGAAGTCCTGGGTCAGGTTCCTTCTATCTGTCATCTTGTAAATTTCGGGCTCTGACAAACAGTGAAACCACGGTAAACTGACTCCTCCCTAATGATTCCTTACCGATCCCCTCACTGACCCTCTCTTAGATTCACTGGCGCTGATAATGATAGAAAACTTAACCATGATTCTTTGATTTTATTAGAAGTTTTACCAAGTAATAAATTGGTTGACCCTTGTTGAAGTTGAATGTGACCTGGGCACTATTAATTTACCGATAAACATTCGGTTTCTTGTATTTCTACGTCATAAGGTTTTCCATAGGTGTCACAGGAAAAAATATTCTCTTTGTTCGTGGGAACGGACGACAAAGTTGATACTGTTGCATTTACCACTCATTTTGTTAAAATAGGTACAACAGAGAATGAATTGTATTTTGTAAGATTAAAACTTTTGAGGTCTGTCAAGGCTAATATTGGGCCATAAAAACGTGTTATCTTGCACCAAACACCTAGTATTTGATATGATATAAAAAAATGCCCCATTTCAACAGATCAACTCTTCCCTATTAATAATAATTTTAAAATATCAGAAATACAGTTTCTTTTGACCCCCAAAAGATTTGGGTATGCCCTGTTTCAACAGTACTAGGGAGGTACTGAGGTGTCAAGAGAAATAAAAAATAATGTTTATGTAAAAATTTAGGGGAGCAAAAAGAATGTTACTGGAATGAAGGAAAATTAGTGAATTGGTGAATTGTTTAGATTTTGAGTGGCAGCTTGTGGTGTGAAAGGTTCATTTGTACATAAGTGTATATGGTTACCTTTTATTCATGAAAATGACATTTTTTGTTATTGCATATTTTGTCCTAAGTCTTCTATAGGTAGAAACTATTGCCTGGAAAACATGAAGCAAGGTGAAGTGAGGAAGGTATTTACATGCATCAAGCTATCATCAATTTGCATCAGAATGCCTATGATGGGATGGCCAGTTCAGAAGGTCTGCGGTTTGATTCCTCTTGGGGCTCAGAATTTTTCCCTTGTCCCACACTCACAAAGGAAACATCTCTCTCTAAGACCTGTCTTGTTTGATTGGTATGAGAGAGGAAAACCCTCTGTTTTTTGTCAAAATTTTCAACATGAATGGAGTGGCCTCTTTACAGTGAAACTGAGAAAACTGTGAACTCTAGAAATATTTATGGAATGTCATGTGTTCCCAAGGAGAATGCCAATTAGGCATAAGATAACTGAACTGCAAACAGCAATTGTAATAAAGCTGTGGTTTTGTGGCTAACTGCTTATTCTAACTTGTAATGAACTTTGACAGTACACAACTGACCTGTCAGAATCAATTCAAAGTGTTCATGGTTTTCCAAGTCTTACAGTATTTACATGTGGTTTGAACCTTTAGCAATGGTAGACATTTGGATTAATTTTTGGCTCTCTCAGCATGAAGACTTGACTCAATGGATTTTAATCGCATTTTCTCATTGCTTTACGGGCAACCTCTTTGGCTCTTCTGAAATATTTTGGTAATATTTCTGCCATTAAGGGAGATGCACAATATTGAGAAAATTTCAGTCTTCCTTACTGGCCAACTAATCTGAATTAGAGCAACTTTGAAGATTAGCTCTTTTACTAGCCCAGGTTTACTTATTTATTACTAGATTTTTCCTAATAATCCACACAAAATTTGTTCCTTGAACAATTATGGCCAGGCATTGTAACTGAATGAATTATTCTTCATAATTCACCAGGTAGCTTGAAATATCTATGGTTTTCAAACATGTACTTTAGCCTTCATCAACATTAAGGAATCAAGATAGATTTCTTTAGAGATAGGTAAAATTTTAACAGTATATAGTGTTTTCCATTCATTTCCTACGGTAATGACCAAGAGAACTTGTTAAACTGCCAAGTTGAAGATCATTTCCTCTTTTTTTAAGAACTTCATGTTTGATTACTGGGTGATAATGTGAGGAAAGAATAAAATTTTAATTACTCATAAGAGGTTATCAAGTTAACCATAATTTTTACTAAAACAAGGAGCTCAACTTTTCCCAAGTTCACTACCCCATTTGAAGTCTGCCAATGAACACATATTTGTGAAGAACTGCATGCACTCAAAGATCTTCAGCATGGTAGGAAATTATCTTGATTCAGTAGATGAAGTTAATTCAAACCTGATATTTGTTCTGACAAAGGGCTAACACTTGAAACATCAGCTTTAGGAACTCTTAACAGCGGCTATTTTACATGATCAACTCAGTTGATAGAACAAAATCATTTTGTAATTAACCCCCACTGATGCAGCAACACAGTTTTTTTTTAATTTACCTCCTTTATTCATTTATTTAAAAAGGCTAACTTGTTCTCCTAGTCCATTTAATGATCCCATATTGTCTCAACATGGTTCCTTAATTTAATCAACCTCAGAATCAAAAAAGTTCATTCCTGTCTTAGACTGAAGAAACTGTGATACTTTTGCATAAAACATTTAAAGACCCTCAACCTGATCTTTTACTCATCAATATTTCAATACAGAAAATATCCTACATTTGACACAAAGAAAAGAGCTAATACCCCTTGCGAACTGAATTCCCAGTTTTCTGGGAATTCCTAGGAATTCTCAAAAAATTCAACTATGCAAATACTATTAAGCGCTGATTTGAAAAGCTTGGAATTACTGGGAATTTCTGGGAAGGAAGACGCCAGTTTAATGAGGACTTGGAACTCTTTGGAATTCCTAGGAATTCTCAGCTATACATTATATTAACTACCCACAATTTAAGATGGGTGGAATTCTTGGGAATTTCTGGGAATTTAAAATTTGAGGCAGTTTAAATGCCCTGAAGTTCAAGTAAATTCCAAGAAAATCTCAATACCTTGAATGTGAAGGTTTTAAGACAACGAGTAATTTTAGAGGCTTAAAACTTTGGCTCGGCAAATTAGGTATGCTATACAAAATTTACCAAGAGATATAGATACATGTATATGTTTATAACTTAAAGATCACAAAATTTATTATTCAAACTAAGTTTTAGTAAATCTTTACATTAATATGGATTTTCTCAAGAAGCAGCAGTAACTTATGTTAAATGCAAATTGCCAAAGTGCAAAACCTTGGAACAGTTGAGCTCATGCAGTTGCCTCAAACACTGTCAGAGACCTTTTGTTTGGATTAGTTTTAGTAGAAACTTCATGCCTCAGACAAACAAATTTGACACCTATTTAATCTTTCTTTTTTCGCAGTTTTTGTTGCTGGTTTTTTTTTTCTTACAAAACATTTTTTGTAAGACTTCCAATACTCAAGGATTATCTGCACACTCCACAAATATTTAGCATGCAGACAAGACAGGGGTGGTCACTGTTCCCTTCAAGAAATAACACCTTTTCATTGATTTCTTCAATTTGTTTACTTGAAACTCTGATCTGAAAATATTTTAAAATAAGACTTGTTACTAGTGAGGAGTACAATTATTACTTCTTTTTATTTTTGGTGCAAAATACAAGTCCTTCTTTATATACAAATGAAAATTGCATGTCACACTTCAACAATAACAGCTCTAAGGTTACCTATTGTTCTTCTCTGAGTCAGCTATCAACAAAATTGTTTTATATTTTTTAGGTATGGCATAAAATTTAATTTGTAATTTAAAATGAAAACCTTAGTTTGAAAAAGTCAGTTCTGATGGCGAATTCAACTGCTTTCATTACAATTTCTAATGCTCAAATTTATTTGTACCATTCTTGTTTCATCCTTAATGTGTGATGACCAGCGTCACTAAAGAAGAATAGATTCTGGAGATCTGGCTGTACTTCTCTAAAGACTGCCAATGTGATCCCAGACTGCCTATCCCACACAAAACACTCGACCTTGTCACATGTACAAGACAATATAACCATTTCACTCTACCATTCTGGTGTACTCCTAAGAGTAAAACACTTGTCCATTCTTGACAATTTGTTGCATTTAAACTTTGTTGGCTCCATTAACTTCCATATAACCCTACCAGTTTCTTAGCCCCTCTAGCAATAAAGCAATTCTCTGCCTTCTTTAGATTTTTAATTAACTCTAAAACACGAATGGAAAAAAGGAGATTAATATCTTTAATAACAGTGTGTTTTTCAAGCAAAAAAGAAGTTGTCAGTACTGTAAAGAAGCTACTGATGATGATGATAACAATTGCTATCAATATTACTTAAACTATCGTAAAATATCAGACAAGTACACTTAAGAGCAAAATATCACATACTCTCTTTTGGTGTTCAGCATTCTTTTGATAAAGTCCTTAACACAACCATTTTCCAACATATCCACTTCGCATCTTAAGCGACCCTGAGCATGAAACATCCATATAACCGAGTAACAAATTCAAAATTGCACATTAATAATTCATTTCTCCAAATGGAGTGGGAGAAGTAAGTTTTAAATTTACTTGATTTAAATTTATGATGGTGGAACCCTAATATCACAGTCAGCAAGGGCTCATGAAAATTCAGCTGTACTAACAGGGTAGGGGAAACATCTTGACTGGTCCCGACAAATACTTTTACATTTCTAAACAACTGTAAATTATTTAACAAATATCTGGAAAGCAACAACTTTAATATATGCATGCCATGTGTCAAGTCCATAATGGCTCCATTCATGTCTTCACACCCAAAGGTGGACCATGCCCACAGTGGACATAGTCAGCTAGATGGGCACCAGTATTGTGAACACTGAGACCACAACTGCCATTCCCTTTAAATGTGGGAGAAACACACCATTTAGGGCTATGCCCTTTTTTTGACCAGTCAATGGGTGAATTTACCCCAAGAAGATACTTTACAATAGCTTAACTTTTTCTATTAACACATATGGACAGAGGCATAACACTGTCAACCCATCAAGATAAACATAATCTTAAAAATTCTCTTGAGCCACAAACCAATTTCTCTTTGTTGGGTAGCAATGCTACAAAAGTAATTGATTTTTTGTTATTTCTTTTAAAAACATTTTATGTGTAAACCTTAATTAAGCTTGTAAATAAATTTCATTGAATCCTAGAATTTTAGCAGGGAGTTTGAATTTTTAGTATTTATTTTATATTAGTAGCCTCAAAATTTGACTTAAAATTCCCAGTAATTCTTAAACATTCCTAGAAATTCCTGAAAATTCCTAGGAATTCCTACGAATTTTTTACATTTACAGCTTTTCAGGGAAAGTCATTGGTGCTTTGATAGCCAAGTCCTGTTGGCTATTAACTTGGAATTTTTGGGATTTTTTGGGAATTTCTGGGAATTTCTAGGTTTTTAGAACCAGAGTTGTTATAGTTGGGACTTCTTAGGAATTCCTAGGAATTCTCAGTCCGAATTTACAGTGAACATTCACAACTCTTATTCCTTGGAATTGAATTCCTATGAAAAAATTCCTTGGCAAAAATTCCTAGGAATTCCAAAATCCATTCCGCGAGGGATATTGGCCAAGATATCGAACCCATGTTTTTTGTGAGATAACAATCAGTCTTAGATTTCTTGCAATTTCTTCCTTTCTACTAACAACTCTCTCTTTCTAATTTAAAAACCCTTCAACTTCTTTATAATCTCTTTCACCTTCATTTCAAGCCTTGAAATGAAACAAATGAAACAACGTTGAAGCTTAGTTCAATGGCGCTCTAAAAATTCTTTTGACCAGTTTTTAAACAAGTCAAGGAACCAAGATTTCAAACCATTAAGGGGATCTTCAACACAACCATTAATATTTGTATCCTCTACGAGCAAGTTTTCCTCTTTAGAGATATGTAACTTATATATTTCTAAAGAGAAAAACTTGCGTCGCAATTCCTCGATACGCGACGTTGCTTCATACATTACTCGAAGCACCTGAATTTTGAGGTTTCCTTCTTCTGACTATGTTTTCCTCCTCTTCTTTTTCAGAATAATCAGCTTTCGAAGTACCCTTTCCTCTTCTTGGCAGTGTTTTCTCCATTTCGAACGTTACAACAGCGTTTTCGAACTGCTCTGTAGAAATGTCTCCAAATAAACGACTACATGATACAGCACGCAGTCCATTTTATGACTGTATTGCAAAGCACCCAAGGATTTGTTTCCCATGGAATGACAAGCCTTTGATAGGTGTAGATGTCCACCTCTTATTGAAGCATTCAGGTATTCCCTTTTCTCCTGAAGACATTCGAGAGACTCCAAAAATTCAACGATGAGGTGATCTTGTTCCTCACACAAGTCCTCAATTTTGAAAAAAGAAACGTGGGAGATTGAGTACGAGCGAATGTCTTGTGCTCTTAGTCAACTTTAGGTTGCACTTCAGTGCATTGCTGTTTGTCAGTAAATGTAAAGGAAGATCTCTCTTCATTTATCGCATGCCTTTTGGACGGCTTTCGCAATCGTGATCTGACAGACTCTGAACTGTTGAAGTAAGTCAGTCGAAAAGTTAGTGTTAATGATTTTACTGATCATTTCACTACCCGCTAACAGCCGCCGTCTACCTTTAAAGACAATTTAGATTGAGACAAACTAAGGCCGGCAGAGATGGAAGATAGAAATCTGCGAAGGTCGATCAGTTTGAAATTTTTACAGTATTCTTCTAGATACAGCCCTCCTCGCAAAGTTATATGGACTTTTGATGCAACTTTACGCCTTTTCCTGATGATCAAAGGGAAATAGTGGATTCTTTCGCGAAAAAAGCGTGCTACTAAGCGGCGTGTTCATATCGATGGACTCAGCTCACAGATGTACATTAGTCCCGTATAGTACACTGCCTTTCCTGGCGTGGAGTCTATTTGCTTTAAATTTGACCTGATCAGGAAGAAAGAAGCCCATGTTTATTCATTGGAAGCGTCAAACCCATTTTCGTTGGATGAATGAATGGGGGAACACTTTCCCACTCACTTCAATTGATCTGTAAGTAGCTGAGAAAGAAAACTATAAGAATTCTGCAAAGGTACGATGAGATTATTTTTCGAACATAAATGAATCTTTTTTGATCCAAGAAGGGATGGAGCTTTCTCTAGTTATTACAAAGATTCACAATTTTCGCTGGCGCTGTTCTTTGGCGTCTTTGAACGCCAGTCGATGTTGTGGAAAACGGCTGAGTTTCTCTTTACTTGAAAATATCTTATTTTTGATCTATATTTGCGTGTTGGCTATTATTCAAAGACAAACAATTTCAAAGTTTTCACTGTCATGAAGTTTGGACACAAAATTGTGATATTTATAAGACTGAATATCGGATTCCGGTGCGTGAGCTATCGAAGGTTTCCTCGATCTATGTGACGAAAAACTCGTAAGAGATGGTTTCCATGGATTTTCGCTCAAAACAAAATCATTTGCTTAAGCTATCGGTGCGGTCAGTATCGAGGGTCGGAGCTTTTGAAATTTGGATTGTTCACAGTCTTATTTGAGAAAAAAACACTTAACACAAACCAAAAAAATCAAAAACTATAGAAACTAAACTGCAAAAACAAAACAAAACAAACTCTATTTGAGTTTTCTTCGAGCGGGAGAAAACCGCGGGTGAGACGCGATGGCTTCTTGGTTTCGCCCCGAAAAAAAAGACGACCAAAAACATCTTCCTCCTCCGCAACTGAAATCAAGAATACCAGTCAGAATGACTCGCCTATGCAGTGGGAATGTCAGAAGTTCATCTTCAAGGGACAAAGCAGATAAAAAAGTGCGTCTGCAAAAAGATTTAGAGAGCAAAGTTCAAAGTAAGCGGTTATCGCGGATTCCGATTGCGGTGAATGGGAGGAAGACCAAAGTTGAATCAAAAGATAATCTACCCATCAATTTCAAAACTATTCAAGGAGGAAAACCTCTTGAAAGAGATTCAGGTATGTTTGTTTCTCAGCAGTTAGCCAGTATCAATTTTTTCACCGAAGTAATATATCGAAAAGAGATAGAACGGTTTCAGGCGAACGGCTAGAATTACCATATTGTCTGTATCATAACATACGCTGTAGGTAAAAGAAGCAGCAACTGAGATAAATTGACGGAAACCACGTTGTACAGCCATCAGCCATCTTGTTTATTTCAAGCCACTTAGTCGATGCTCGTTTGCTCAAACTGGAGGCAATTTTCTGTAGAGACAGCCTCATAACATTTGCTAAAGAAATGAAAAGCTTGCACCTAATTTTTCTTAGGGGGAGCTAATTGGTAATCTTGATTTGATCACAGGTATTAAATTGCGAGAAACTCAAGGCAAACAAGACAAGAAAACGGCAAGTGCCATTCCTTTAACAACAGATAAACAAAGCAGTTATAGGCGCGCTCAGAAAACCACACCAATTGTCAGGCGACGTGTACCCCGACAGCTTACACCAACAGAGACAAAGTCGGAACAGGTAAATCTGGGAAGAAAATGTCATTTCAGTAAATACCTGAGGTGAAGTATTTCACAGTGACAACTGTCTCTTTTAGAGGGTCTAGAACTTAATTAATATCGTGATTAGCCTATGTTTCACATCTACGTGAATTAGGAATGTTAGGTTTATGAGGGATATCCACAAATATAACAGCTGCTACGAAAACAACGCATTTTGTGCTTAAATAATCAGGTATGCAAGGATGAGAAAGAATCACGAGAAGAAAGCTCAGCTAGAGAGAAATCATCTGCAGCCAGGGCGGAAGAGGTCACGCCAAATGTCACCACAGCTAAGCGAAGCAGTTACAAGCGCGCTCAGAAAACGACGCCAATTGTTAGGCGACGTGTACCAAGACAGCTTACACCAACAGAGACAGAGTCGGAACAGGTAAATCTGGGAAGAAAATGTCATTTCCGCAAATACCTGAGGTGAAGTATTTCACAGTGACAACTGTCTCTTTTGGAGGGTCTGGAACTTAATTAATATCGTGATTAGCCTTTGTTTCACATCTTCGCGAATTAGGAATGTTAGGTTTATGAAGGATATCCAGAAATATAACAGCTGCAACAACAACAACGGATTTTGTGCTTAAATAATCAGGTATGCAAGTATGAGAAAGAATCACGAGAAGAAAGCTCAGCCAGAGAGAAATCATCTGCAGCCAAGGCAAAAGAGGTCACGTCAGAGCTTACCAAAGCTAAACAAAGCAGTTATAGGTGCGCTCAGAAACCCACGCCCGTTGTCAGGCGACGTGTACCACGACAGTTTACACCAACAGAGACAGAGTCGAAACAGGTAAATCTGGGAGGAAAATGTCATTTCAGCAAATGTCACAGGTGAAGTATTTCACGGTGACAACTGTCTCTTTTGTAGGGCCTGGAACTTAATATCGTGATAAGCCATTGTTTTACATCTTTGCGAATCAGGAATGTTAGGTTTATGAGGAGGAATATCCATAAATATAACAACTGCAGCAAAAACAACGCATTTTGTACTTAAATAATCAGGTATGCAAGGATGAGAAAGAATCACGAGAAAAATGCTCAGCAAGAAAGAAATCATCTGCAGCCAAGACGGAAGAGGTCACGCCAGATTTTGAATGTAATGTTGCGCCTGTGCATGAGGAAAAGCTTCGTATGGGAGCCAAATCAGATTCCAGTGGTAGCGAGATTGGCGACGACTTTGAATGTTACTCAAAATCTTGCGACGAGAAAGCAATGCCCGATGTCCCCCAATGGCTAACAGAGAAGTACAAGTTAGTATTCATATCTGCTCTTTTTATTTTCTTTTACAGTCCGTGAACTTTTGTCTCTGAATTTCATTTCTGAGGCCAGTAGGGTAAAGAATTCACATGATACAACATGTAGCTGTGCACGCTTTCTGGTAATCAAAACTTACTCCATTCAGTGAGACATCATGATTATTATATCTAATGCGTCTCAACGTATATTTGTGTGCTGGCCGCACTGCAATATACTTGTGAGGTCAATTTGTCACAATTGATTCAATATAGAAAACAGTCTCAGAACTTCCGGAGATTGAAGCAAAAGAATATGCGAATTGGGGATTGTCTGGTTTTATAATTCAAGGTTTCAGCAAACATGGAAGTGGCTAGCTTTACGGTAGCAGAGTTTTCAAAGCTTAAAGGTTTTGCTAAGTTTTAAATTCCTTAAAAGGTGATTTTTGATGAGCCGTATAACATAAACTTACGAGCAATTTATCTAAGACCTCAGTGTAGTTGACCATTATGAATTAATTTTGTGCAGGGAGACAGAAGAAAAACAGGAAAACATAAAAATCATTAAAGGTGACACCACTGTTACAAGCTCGGCACAAAATATCAGACTGGAAAAAAAGTTTGGTTCAAAGAACAAGATGGAAGAAAACGTTTTGAGCGAGGAAGAGTTGGACTGTGACTCTTTCACTGAGTCCAGCAGATACGAACGGAAAATGGCTGAGCTGAACGAAAAATCCAGACAGCTCAAGGCACAGTTTGCGGAGGAAAACAGACAGGCTGTCGAATCTATGAACAAGACAATGCAGGAGATCAAACAGAGCCAGGCAAGGGAAGATTGCATCACAAATGAGATTGAGGAGATACGACGGAGACGGGATGAAATAAAAGAAGACTTGAAACGCCTTGATGAGATCGGCCAAAGACGAGAGCTCGAGGATAAAAAATGGAGAGAAAAAATGGACAAGAAGAAGAAAAGAGTCGCAAATAGACTGCAGAAGATAAGAGCCGAACGACGTAAATATCAAGAAGGGACGGCTGATGAAAATGACTCAACAGAGGGGTATGATCAACCGGATGAGAATTCCAGTGAAAGTCCAGAGAGTGAGAAAAGCAAAGATTTCACCATAGGAAACGAAACCGTTATAAACAAAGACGCTGGTAACAAAGTGTTACGTGAGCCTTATCAGATCATAGAGTACAAAAGTGTAAAAGAGCTGGAAAAGAAGCGGAAAGAAGTAAAGCAGTTGAAGAGACTGGAGAAGAAGGCGATTAAAAGAGAGAAGTTAGAACAAAGAGAGCGTAAGAAGATCGAAAAAAAGAAGCGAAAAGTTGCTCGCAAACTTGAGAAACTCTCAGCTAAGAGTTCAAAGGTTTCGGAAGAAACTACAGTAGTTGCTAAGTGTACAAATGAGGCCATAGAGGCTACGAATACAACGGCGAAAGAGAAAAATGATGAAACCCCGAGAGCAAATGGAATTAAACCATACGTCGACACCTCTTCAGATATCGCAGAGTCTAAGCAAGTTCAAGCAACTCACTCTTCTGGATTAATTACGGATGGAGCGGAGGTTGAGAAATTTGGAGAGACGTTGGCTGAAGTTGATAGGCTTATATTGGGAGATACAGTCTCTGTGGTCGACGAAACAGCGGACAGCCAACAAAGTAACCCAAAATATAGCAAGGAAGAGGTGCCTCGACAGGATAACTTTGACTGTTTCCCTTATGAAGTTGAGGGAGACATGCACGCAGAGGAAAGCAGGTCTCAAGTTTCACAGAGTGCTGAGGATGAGGACAACGAGAAAAATGTCCATGAATGCGACGCCTTATCGAGATATGAGCAATCGATAGCAGCAGTCGTCAACATAACTGAATATTTAATCCAACAAGAGTTGTCCAAGGCTTTGGAAACAATTATCCCTATCAGTAAAAAAGAGTATACATCGCGATCGGAAGAAAAGATCTCAGAGGAAGAACCAAAGCTCCACAAACAAAATGTGGAAATGGAATTTGGGAAACTTAAAAGGGAAAATACCGAGCTCGAAATGAAGATTTGCATCATAAACGAGGAACTTGAAACGTACCGAAAGAGGATAGAAACTTTACAGGCTGACCTGGATGGGAGCAAAGCTGAGGTAAAGCGACTGCAGTCTAAGGAAGAGTACAAAGAAAGAGAGCTGGCAAATTTACAAAGTTATTTCCAGAGAAAGGAGCAAAAATGGGAAGATGCAAATGAACTCTTGAAAAAGGTTATGGTGGAAAGAGAAGAGTTATGGGATGATGTTGATTACTTGGAGGAAAGCTTGAAAGACAGTCAAGAAAGCAATGAAACTCTGACATTTGAGGTCGATGAGCTGACGATAATGATACAGGAGATGAAGAGAGAGTACAGGGTGGATCACAGTCGCTGGGGATGTGGACACCTACGTGAGGAAGTAGAGTTACTAAATGGATCTCTGGAGTTGAATGAACAGAGAACAGTTTTATTAAAGAGCCAAGTGGACGCATTTGAAGCAGAAAGAAAACAGTTAAGGGGCGATGTTGATTTCTTGGAGGACAGCTTAAAAAAACGCAATGAACGCAATGAAGATCTGACGTTTGAGGTTGATGAGCTGAAGATGAAGATGCAGGAAATGAAAAGGGAGAATACGCAGCTTAGTCGCCATGGATGCGGACATTTACGCGAAGAAGTAGAATTACTAAACGGATCCCTGGCATTGAAGGAGCAGCGAGTAACTCAGTTGGAGAGCCAAGTGGACGCGTTTAAAGAAGAAAGCTGTAGCTTTCAAAATATTGCGCAGAGCATGGAAAGAGAAATAGAGATTCTTAAGAAGGAAAATGTGACAAAGACGACGCAGTTGCATAAGCTAAAATGCGAAACATCAAAGACTATTAGTGATCTTAAAGATGACATTGTAAAGTTACAACAAGAAAAGTCTGCATTGTCATCGGAACTATCAAAGGAATCAGAAAAAGGTTACCAGTTGTCTGAGTTAAGATGTGAAAAATCGAAAATTACAGGAGCACTTGAAGATCACATAACAAGGTTGAGGAGAGAGAATCGCACTTTGACTGCAAGACTATCAAAGGCATACGAAAAGGATGACCAGTTGACTGAACTAAGAGAAAAAGTCCAACTTTTAGAGAATCAGTTAAAAAATGTAACTGAGGCGGCAACGGTGTCTGTGAACAGCAAAGAGAAGGAAATGGAGGAAGATTGGCGCATCATAAAGAAGCAAGATGAAACGATAAAAAGTTTAATCGAAGAGATAAGGCAGGAAAGATGTGACAAGTACCGCCTCGAACTACAGTCTGAAAGAATAAGAGAACTTGAAACTCAATTACAAAGAATGGAAGACATGAAAAGAAACACAATTCACTCAGTGGATGCCTTAGTGCTTGAGGTGAAACAGGAAAGGTCAGAAAAAGACCTTCTGAGAAAAAGAGCCATGGAAGCAGAAGAGGTTGGTTCTTATAGAGAGAAAGAGCTTGAAAAGAGAATTGAACTTCTTGAGAATCATTTACATGAAAAAGATGAGATGACAAACGTCACTCTTGCATCTCTAAAAAACAACGAAAGTTCACTACAGGAAGCTAAAGCCACTATCGATATGCTCACAGAACAACTGGAACGAGAAAAGTCGGAAAAAGAGGCTCTGAAAAGGGCTGTCGAGGTGCTTGAGTGGAACTCTCAAAACGAAAAAAGATTGACCGAGGACATCGAAAGACTTGAGAAGCAATTGAAAGAGATGAATGACCTACGGGAGGAGACTGTTATATCTCTTAAAGAGAAAGAATGGTCATTGCAGGAGGCTCATGACGAGATCAATGAGTTAACTCAACAAATAGCACACAAAAAGTCGAACAAAAAGTTTTTCAAGAGGAAGGCTAAGGCTAGAAAGGGTAAAGCTAATGGACTGAATCTCATTAAAAAAGGAACAAAACGATATGCACAGGAGAGGGGTTCGTTTATAGCAGGCGTGGGAAAACGGCTGAAGAACTTGGTACAAAGACCGAGAGGAGTGTCCGCATCGAGCTTGGTAATGAAAAAGAAGGAAGGCTATGCAGAACGAGTGTTAGACAAATTAAGGGATGATTTGAATGAAAAAGGAGAAGTCATTCAAGACTTAAGGAGTAATTTCAAAGACACTGCTGAGGAATTGTCGTCCATGCGACGTCAGGTTGAAGATATTCAATGCCAAAATGCCGAGCTCATACAGTGTCTTGGAAACAAGGAAGAGGATCTTCAAAAGACGCAAAGATACTTAAAAGAAAACGAAGCCAGCCTTGATGACGCAAATGAAACCCTGCGTTTGAAATGCACGCTTCTCAAAACAATGGAGGCCAAATTATGTCTGACGAAGAAAGAGATTGAAGAATTGACACAAGTCAACAAAGAGAAAGGCTTAGAGATAACTCGCATTGAGACAACCCTTACAGAAGTGAAAAAAGAGTTAGATATTGCCGCATCCATTATCGAGAAGCAAAATGAACGATGTGCTAACCTTGAAGACGAATTGAAACGCTTCTCAACTCAACTTGAAAATAGCAGAGACGAGAACGCAAACCTACACAGAGCACTGTTAGCTGCTACAGCGCGTCTTACAAGGGAGAAGCATAGGCAGTTCAGCGGGACTGAGTTACCGAAAGATGGGCACGAAAGGAAGTCCTCTGAGTCATCATGTGAGGTGAGATATTTCCCTCCTTAAGCGCGAGACGCAAGAGCGATGAGAGCGATCTTGAAGCAGGAGACGATGTACACGAAGAGTACACCATAAGATCCAATTGTCAGCTTTCACTTTCTTTTTGGAATTAATTAATGTGCCGTAATTTTGACATGCATATTTTCAAGCGTTTAATTCATTTTGTTTTCGTATCATCCGTAGGAAAGTACCTCTAGCATCCTGAAAGCCAGGAGACACATAGATGCTTACAAAATAACATTTTTGGAAGACGAGAGTAATGTGACAGGCAGTAGTCAGGGAGACACTGAAAATAAATGGTCAGTAATGTACATTTTTTTTGTTACTAGGATATGTAACAATCATACCATTAATGCATTTTGGATATGAGATGGTAAATAGCCAACGAAATTCGTAGCGCCGAGTTGAGTATCACTAGTCTCATATCCAACAAGTGTCTGATGAGATTATTGTTAATTATTCAATTACATTAAATCCCGAACGTTTGGATATTTGAAGCTTTATTCAGCTCTGCGCAATGCATTTCCATGTAAAGTGACTCGGAATATGAGCTGATAACCGGAGTTGAACGAACCAATCAAAACGTTAGAAATGCTATATTCGGGGTTGAAAATTTAATGATATGATATGGCTTTAGTTAAAGCTGCAACCCTCGTCACAACTGTTGTAGAATGTATAATTTTTGCCGCATAAAAGAGGCTGAGTAGTGATAGGAGGGTTGGTGGTGAATTAAATCTAGACGAAGGTTTTTTGCTAGTGAAAACAAACCCTTTTGGCCCAAAATTTTTATACTAGGTTATTCTATGGAAATTATAAAATTTGAAAGATAGATCTAGGATCCACTGATTACCGGCCGCGTAGTTACCTCTCATAGCGCATAATCTTCTGTGGTATTTCTATACTTTCTCGAACTTCCCTCTGTCATCGGATAATTTAGAAATGAATACTACCTACTACCTTTAATTGCAGGTTGTATACTTCTAGATTGGACGAACATCAGTTTGAAACACGGGGAGATCAACATTTTAACGGCGCCAGTACTATCGCTGAGGTTGACCATACTATGCAGAACTTCTCAACACACGGAGCACCTAATTCAGTTTCGACACTTCTGTGTAATGGTTAATGTTTTGCAGGAGAAGTTCCGATGCAACAAATTGGCAAACTGAGCCAAGTGCGATGACATAAGACATATTTTTATCATTGAAAATTTTGGATGCAGTTGAGTTAATCTTGAATTTTATTTTAGAGAGGGTATCCTTCTTACCTTCAAGAAAGCATTCGTGCCCTGACGTTATATTAAGTGTAAATACATTAAAATACTCTAAAAAGATGTTCATTTTTGTTCTGTGTTAGGGAAGGGGACAGTACATAATAAGAAAAGGAGCAACCTTCTTATTACAGCTCACAGGCCCTTAGAAACAAGCCACCCTAATCATTCTGTTTATGAACATGACAATTTCGGCATTGCTGATTGTAACAGTGTGCGCTTGCAAAAAATGAACCTAGCATCTGCTTGGCTTATCCCGAAGTCTCTGCTGTAGCTCAGTTTTGTAGTATTGTAGAGGGATATATAAACATCCGGGTCCTACGGAGGGTGGGGGGCTTAGAATTTTATTTGTCCCATGATCTTACAAAACGAACAGCACCGCTCAAGTTAATGATGTTGAAGCCCAAAAATATTCATGTTCCTTGTTCTATTAACTTGGATTTATTGCCTTTTGATTAATCGAGAGAGAATCAGATAGCTTAAGAGTGGAAATCATGTTCAAGTTTTTAAGTCTGCCTTGGTTGAGAAGTGTTTTGCCACTGTCTATTTTTTACGCTACTTTCCATTTTGGTCAAGCAACCATTACAGATTTCTAACCCTATCGCTAAATCGAGGAGTATTGGGTCAAGTTCCTTCAATCTACCATCTTGCAAATTTCGGGGATATGACAAAACAGCGACGCCCCGGTGAACTGACTCCCCCAAGTAATTCCTTACTGATCCCTTCACTGACCCTCTCTTAGATTCGCTGGTAGTGATAACGAAATGAAAACTTGATACCTTTATTCTATTAGAATTTTTACCAAGTAATAAAATGGTTGACCCTTGTTGAAATTGAGTGTGACCTGGGCACTACTAATTTACCGGAAAACATCCGGTTTGTTGTATTTCTGTGTCATAAGGTTTTCCATAGGTGTCTGTCAAAAATGTACACGCATGTTTCACAAGAAAAAAATCTCTTTGTTCGTGGGAGCGGATGACAAATTTGATACTGTCGCATTTGCCACTCATTTATCATGAAAGAGCTGTAATATATGAAACGAAACGTGTTGAAACGATCATCTTCCACTATCTTTACGAGCGTAGGTTTTCGTTTCTTCGTAAGGGAAAGATTTCCGTGTCAACCCATAATATTCTAAAACAGAGCCTACGCCATTTAAGTGACCAGTCAGCATTCATTACCTTTGGGGATGGGGGGTGGGTGGGTGGAGAGGATTTGGTGGGATCGCGGGGGGGAACGGAAGAGAGACCAGTAGTTGCCAACAGATAGTCAACTCCCCAACCGAAAAGAAAAACAGAACAAAACAAAAAAAACTTAAAAGAGTCAAAGGAAAAAAATAACCCTAATAACTAGTTTTAAAGTTACGGATAGTTACACTGAAATTTTTGTCATTTTGTCATTTTTGAAATTTTTTGTCTATTCGTCAGTTTTTTTTCTGAAAATTCGCCAGCACCCACCCTGGATGGAAAGGACGCTGCGAGTGTAAAGTATGTTGCCGAAGAATAGAATTCAATGGACCGGCCACAGCTGAACCCAGAACTTTCTGCCCTGAACGGCAGACTGTTCATTACTGGTATGAAATATCCACTCTCAGCGGGTGATTATTGAGCTGAATTATTTGCTCGACCAACGACGGTTTTGTACGTGCACAAGGGCAGATCCTGGATAGTAAGATGAAATCGCAACATCACTTCATACCAGGAGAACATTAACAAATAGTAAAAAAAACTCATCTTAAAAAATAAAGAAGAAAAACCTTTAATTAAAAAGGAGGGAGGACGAAGATTATTTCTCGGGAAAGGTGGTTGTAGAGAAAATTGCGGAGACATGTACGTCGAAGCTTTTACTGAGTCGGTGTTATGGAAGAATTGATGAGTATTTATTTTTTATACATAACTCACCTAATTTATACTTAAAAGGCAAGAGTTGACGGCTGTCGCGTCACACCCACACCTATCTAATTACCTAAAGTGTACCCCCCCTCCTTTACCTTCACTGAAACAGAAATAGACAAGCAACAGATGGTGGCGTGCTTCGGCTCCCAGTTCTTGAGAATTATCAGTTTAGCAATTATATTTACGAATTTCCAAAAGTTTTTATCTAAAAAGACATTAATTTGAGAACTTTAAACAATTCAGCTTCAGAATTGTCGACCACCTATCAGCAAAGAGATCTATATTAGAAAACATGCTATTTTTAGGACGAAAAAAAATTTGCATTTTAATTGAATGTGAGTTGCCTCCTTCATAATAAAAAGTCAAATTTCTGCACATCGATACAACGAAAGACATGAAACGTTTTTAAACCTCCTCGTTGGAGTCAATTGGAATCAGCCTACAGAATTCAGATTCAAGGTAACACCCAGCATGGCCTAAGTTTTTACTCAGATCTCGAGTACAAGAGCTGGAAATAATGTAGAAACAAAATCTGACCGTGAGTGACATGCATTCAGTACGCTTCTAGCAATTTGTCATTTCGGGTAGTTCGAGGTCCTGAGAGAGTTTCCAAAACATGTTATACTGCGGCAAGGAAGCTCGTTAACTTTTCCGTCGTAAGCTTAAAGGAAGAAAACGATAGAAACACGGGTGAAGCAAAACAGAACATAGAAAACAATTGCGTTCTTTTAATCTAAATTAAAACAAAAATAAACAAATAAATAAGAAAGACTTTTAAAAGAATCAAACATGCGAGAAAAACAAGACATCAAAAGAACACTTTTTTTTGTTCCTTTTTACTTTTTTTGAGCATTTCTTTGGAAATTTTAACTTAGTTTCAGAAGATTATTTGGATTTCGACGTATTTCACGCGCATGAAACGCAGAGAACATCTGTAGGATTGTTTTTCTTGTTTTTACTCATGCTCCTTTATTTATTAGTTTCCTTTGAAGGTAACTTTGTATTTTACTCCCAAAAGAGACAGTTTTGGTTATGTTAGAAAAAGGACTGAATCGAAATTGATATATTCGATCGTTCGTGAAGAAAGATTACATCTCGTAACTTTACGGCCATATGGCCAAAACGTTTGTAGCTCGAGTAATTAGTTCGAGCATAAACAGTTTTAAATTCATTTCCAAATATTTCAAGGATTTTAATATCTCGTAGCTTCACCGCCATATGGCCAAAACGTTTGTAGCTAGTGTAATTAGTTCGAACAGAAAAGGTTTTAAATTCATTTTTTACGATGTTGGAACAAAGAATTAACCTTCGTCCCCTAGGTTGTGGAAAAAACTTATGGCTAGAAAGCATTATTGTCTCTTAACACTGTTGAGAAAACTTATGGCTAGAAAGCATTATTATCTCTTAACAGATTAATGCATTATAAGTGGCTCTTTAATGATCCTGCCTCAAGTTTTCTGTCACTCAGAAGAAGACAGAAAACAGATGGTCTTTGATTCAAACGTTTCCTTTTGCGCTTTTTTGTCAACCCCACACGCGTTACAGATGAATGAAATCCCTTTCCTTGAGCCTTTGAGTCTCGAAGTTTACACCGACTTGAATCAGTTTGTCTGAAGGGGGTATTCTCTAACTGATTCAAATTTTCCTTCTGTGTCCGACATCACACTTATGGTAAGCATGAATACCAAATAAGCCCAAAAGCTTAAAAGTCTGTCATAAAAGTTTGTATGATAATCTGTATCTGGCTTTCTTATTTTTAGTCATGCACCTTTATTTATTAGTATCACCCGACATCAAGATTATGGCCTCTGTGATGAATTTTAACGTGCAAGCCGTCGTTCTTTTTTGTTTGCTCAAATTTTTATCTACAATCAGCACAGGTATTGCATTTTTGTTGTAACTAATTAATTTTTCAAAAAAATACTCTTTATTCAAAATAAATTCCTTTTATTCCGAGAATTTACCTTAGAACTCTTCTAGTTGATATTCTTTTTTCAAGAGCGTGTTTCAAACATCAAATTAGATCATTTTCACATTAAGTCTATCTCAACGCCGGCCCTATTTGGACATGTTGGTGTAATTAGTAATTCCTAGAGGATATCAACTCTTTCCATATGCAAATAGTTTTTTTTCCGATGAATTAACACAGCTGCTCATCATGTGATTGAAAACATCCAACACACGTGCGCATGATTTGGGAGAACGAAGAATAAAGTTTCAGTTATAAAGTTAAAGTTACCCTTAAAATTTCCCGCTTGATGTTTTTTTTTTATGCCTAATCAGCCTCTACAAATATTTACAAGACCACTTCTTTCGGATCAAAGTTAGTATCTGAGAAATTGTGCACCCACTCCTCCCCTAAACCAACATTGGCATTATCAGTTGACTGTCGTTAGCTAGGTAAGGGGAGGGGAGGGTGTGCTGTTACTCAGATACTGACGTTGGTTTCTGTTTTCCACGGCCCATGAGTCTTTCACAAGTGTGTTCGACCTAACTCTCATTCTGTATTCCTTATAGACACTAAAAGTCTTGTGAATAAGCATCTCATACCAACATATGAAATAACATTCTTTATAATTGTATCACTCAATTTTTTTAGTAAGCCGAGGCAACTGTTTCCCCGGATGGCACGAAATCGATCGGTCCTGCTTTAAGATCGATTCATTTTATAGAAACGCCTCCAAAGATAAAGATCAGGGATACGACGTCTTAAATTCAGCACGTGTTAAGTGCCTTGAGACGGGTTCGGACCTCGCTATACCTCGCAGTCCCTCCCTTCTTGAAAAATTGAGGGAGATTATTGGGACCCATCCAAAACCACATCTGCTTGGAGCTCACGACAGTTTTCGCTTGGACTTGAAATGGTCCAGTGGTGCCCGAGTAAATCCTGCCATTTGGGGGCGTGCAAAATCCAACATTACTTTTGGGAACTGTGTTACGGCTAGTTTTTCCCCTGACTTGTGTGGGTGGCGGCTGAAGACTACGAAATGCGATTCGCTGAGAGGATTTATCTGTGAAACTTTAACAGGTACCGAATTTTCTCGTATAAGCCGCAGACTTTTCTGGTTTTGATTTTTCGAATCAGCTCCTTTATAAGGAAGGGGTTTTAATTTTAGGCCATCCTCTTTGCAACTTTTTATGTATCACATATCCATTATCTTTTGAAATCTTATAGCTAAGAACTCTTGCGCAGCGGGTTTTTCCCACATCGATGGCCACTGTTACAAGATTTACCACAGAGCTCGTTCCAATTGGACGGACGCCTCAAGGAACTGCTTAAGAGGCGGTTATCGCTTAGCTACGGTTAATACCAGTGCACAACATCACAGATTATCCAATCTACTGGGAAATCTTACTCTGGACCTTGAAAAACGAGAGTTTTACTTGGATCGAGTTTCGACAGATCTGGATTCTTGGACGTGGATGGATGGATCGCGTATTGATCCTAATCTGTGGAAATCAGGTTATCCAAAACTGAATCAGGCGAAAACATGCGTGCATCTTGATGGAGATGAAGCTGCAATTAGTAATCTACCATGCGACGGGTATGATCCTGTTGGTGTTATATGTCAAAACCAAGATGGTAAGTCGATTTTAGTAATATTTTAAAACGACTTAAACGTAAGTCATTAAATTCTTGCTGTTTCCAATGTAAGAATTAGTGAGTACCAGCAAACTATGACCGAGTAAAGCGATAGTTATTTGATTGATTGATCGGTGATGGCGATGGACGAATGGGGGTATGGGTAAAAGGTATTGAATACTTATACGTCATAACCTACCCTATGTTACGGACGTGATGAACGGAACTTTTGACAAACGATGTTAAATAGCTACTTTTAGAGACCACGACTCGTTTTAGTGGCAAACTTCTCTGTTTTAAGAACTAAATTAGTCTTCATTTATTTCATATCTCTGACTTAAATACTTGTCACTTCATGTTTTTGTTACCTATTTTTCCGAAGTCAATTTTAGTCTTCCTTATTTTTTCCTCAAATTACTTACAAAGTCTCCTTATTTGAGTCAAAAGAAAATTTGCAGCTCTTATGACGTTGGTATGCAATGGTGTGTATTGATATAAAGTAACTGATCCCCCCCATAAAGCTCTGTAATATTCTTATGCCACCCTTCCCCCACCCCCACCCCCCTCATTGGTGGTTAATCGGCAGTAAATGTTCCATAGTACCCTCCTTATACTCTGTTGGCGACGACCAACACCCTCTATTCCCCCCTGAAAACCATGAGATCCCCCCCCCCAAAAAAAAAAATTATCTGATAAATAATCATTGGTCCACCACTGTTAACGAACCTTCTTTCAACTCACAAGTCAATGTAGGCTTCAGAACTGCAGCCAACGCGTCGAGAGGGACACACCAACAAGGCCGTGCTCTCTCCACTATCAATAACCTCGCATCTTGCTTCTCTTCCAATGAGGTACTTATGAACTCTTATTATCATAATTATACCATTCGACCCTCAGCATTAAAAATTGGAAGACACCATTTCAGTTCGTTAAGTTATGACGCTTCCGATTTTGAGTAATTAGGTCTGCTATCATATAAACAACACCTACACCTACGCTGTTTGCTGGATAGCGGAAAGCCGATGACCAAATTTCAGATCTATAAACTACAACCAAATGGATTAGAAAGCTATTTTCCTCTAGACTTTCGCCGATATTTCTTCAATTGTTCAACTGACGATTTCGTGGCAAGATGTGGAGAAATTGGGTGCACCAGTCATTTTTCTGTGATCTATCACCTAATGATCCTTGACACAGCAATATTGATATTTCCGCTAAGATTTATCTCAATTAAAAATGAACTTTATTTCAATTGTAGGAATTTAATCCATGGATAAAAATTTCCCTACTTGGGAATCTGCATATTTACAAAGTAAAGGTCAACGAGAGTCATTTTCATACGAGTAGCGAACTGTACCAGGTTCAAGTTTTGACACATAATTGGACAGTGTGTTGTCACAGAAATGAAAAACGTGCGGGATTAGTGTTTGATTGTGTTCCCCCTGTGAAGGGCGTGGCCGTCCAAGTGCGCAAAAAGGGGAGCTCTAAACTTACTGCTCGCGAATTACACATTTCTGGACTAGGTAAGCCTAAAAACAATCTCATATGAATCGCGAGAAGCCTTTGAAACAGATGCTCAGTCGTCCCCTATAGATTAAAATAGATAATTATATACCAAACCTATAAATAGTGCTTTTTGCGTGCTTTTGCGCGCGCTGATCGGCTAGTTCAGAAGAGATTAGCGAATACCATATTCACCCACGAGTAGTTGAAGGGACAAAATCGCTCGTCAAGATTTTAATTTCCGACCACTGTTTGCAATGTTAGTTTTCTGTATGGTATATACTAAAACAAGTACTCATCTCCATTTCGGAGAGTAACTGTTAGTTAAAAATTGATAAAGTAATTATTCAGTGTGAACGGTTTTCGTTTCGCTTCACAGACTCCAAATCTGATGGAAATGGAGTAATGAGAGAGTTGTGGAATATCAGCAATCTGGATAACTACGACTTAAACGAAATAGACGAAGAGACTGTGAGCGGATGGCATGTCATTAAAAGTCTTAACGCACCGTCCGATCTTGGTTTTGGCTACGGACAGAAATTAACCACATATTTGCAGGTAACCATTAGTTGAGCAAAAGCAAAAGGAGAGGCACACGAATGGGCCATTCACCACTAGGAAGCACTTAATCGCTCAATCATTTGTTTACAGTCTGTTACTGAGTCACCAGTCAGTCAGTCATCAGTCATTCAGTCAGACAGACATTCGGTGAGTGAGTCGGTGAGTCATTTAGTAAGTGAAATAGTGATTCAATCATTCAGTCAGTCGGGGAAAAAGTCAGTCCCTGAGTCATTTGATGAATTGGTCAAGCTGTCAGTGATTCAGTCAGCGATAGTTGTTGAGTCAGTCGTGAGTAGTTTGTCGGACAGTGAGTCGGTCAGCGAATCGGTCAGTTTATCTGTCCGTGTGTCAGTCAGTGTATCAATCACTAAATTATTCAATAGTTCAGTTAGTCAGTAGGTCAGTCATCTGGTAATTCACGTAATAATTCAGTCGTTTAGTGGTTTAATGGCTGGTAAGTCAGCCTCTCTATCAAAAAGGTATTCAATGAATATGTCACTTACCACGAAATTTATTTACACTCGTCCGTGTCTAGACATCACTTTTACGTGAGGTTTATTATTTCAATTTCTTAACAGATAAATCGAAGTGGAAACTTTACTTTTTATATGACTTGCGCTGAAAGATGTGAGCTATGGCTTGTAACAGTGAACGACTTAGACCCGAGCGCAGATTTAGACAAAAATATTCTGGTGCAGTTAAACGAGTCAACTCAAGGCTGGCACAGGTGAAACAGACAACTTCCTAAAAATTACGTAACACCTAGGGTCCATAGTTTCAACACCTTACTTTGTGATCAGAAGTGATGAAAACAAACCAATTCGAGACTGCAAAATTTGAAGGAGTTTCGGCCCTTACTTTTTCTGCCTGATTTCATAGAAATGACCAAACATAACAAAAATTGATAAATAAATAAAAACATCGCCACACCCTTTACCGAGAAATTTCCTTTCTGTTAACTTCCCCAGGCCGAATTCGATAAATCTGTTGAGATCATTTCTGAATACGGCTGCTTGACATCAAAAATAGTTTGCAGTTTGGCTACTGCCTAGTTTGAACATAAAAGGCTCTCGGATTAAGCATCGTACAAGTAAAAGTAATGTTATCACAGCAGACTATCACAAAAACAAGTGGAGCTAAAGATAATTCAGAGTAAAGACATTAAAATCGAGGAGCAGAAAAACACAAGTAACCAAGCTGTCACTGGTTTGAGAATTTTAATGGCTGATCAGAAAGTAATTCAACTTTCTTGAATAATCACTGAGTGAACAAAGGTTAAGAAAGGCGAAAAAAACATTTAAATCCTGGATTACTTTAAAGAATCAATTGAATATTAATTTTAGAGGAAGGGGGACTGATTTAAGTTTTTATTTTTCATTACTTCCTAATAGCCGGCCAATCGATCAAAGTTCTGGTGTCAGGTCTCTCTCTGAGTGCTATTTTTACAGAATGGAAGTTTTCATGACCAACAATTTTTCCAGTCATGATCATTTGGCTGTCGGAGTGAAGTTTCCCAACGGAACAGAACAAAAACCGATGTCTGGCAACAACTTGTACTGGTTAAAACCAGGTATAAACCTTAAATTTACGTTTTTAACTCTTTTTCGAAATTCGTAACTCTTGAATTTATGATTTCAGTCTACTTCAGCAAATCATCTCGACAGTCATGAGTACTCTTAGCCTAACAAGTCTCTAATCAATTTTTCTTTGAACTTTCTCAGGAGAAACTACTTTAGAAATACAGCTAAGCGATCCAAGTGAGGACGCCACTATAGAAGTTGGTTCTAGCCTCAGCGTCGCTGGTTAGTTAGTTGTTGTTATTGCAAGCTTAATCGTTATAATTTCCGTTACCATTATCGTTATTGTAATTGTAATAATCTTCATCATTATCGTTGTCGCTACGTCCCCGTCCCCGTCAACGTTTTCTTACTCGTCACCGTCACCGTCACGATCATTACTACCGTGACCGTTATCGTTACCGTTACCGTTATCTTAATCGGCACTGTCACAGTCACCGTAACTGCTATCGTTATCGTTACTGTTTTCGCTGATGTTATTGTTAGTGTCGTCGTCATCCCGATCTTCGTCGTTGCCGCTGCTTCTCTCATGAACAGTGACATAAAGCAGTCACAACGGTAACGTCAAGGACATCTTCGATCGAAAAAGTGAATTAACATTTTATGCGGACTTTCACGAAAGACTCCGTGACATTCTTCTCTCTAACGGGGCTAGACCTCCAATTCATTATGGCACACGAAAGCATGGTGAGTTCCAAATAAAAGCTGGATTAATTTTCTGTTTGGGTTACCGTTTCCAGGTAACGGAGACCTAATTGTTACTTTCACTCAACTGTTTTATAAAGAGCGGCTAGGAAATATACAAAGTTTTCTCAAAATACACGTGTAAAAAGCTGTTGTTCTCTTTTTCGGAATTTTTTAGTTTTTTCTTTTCTTGTTACGGTGGCCGTGATGGTTTGCTTTAAGTCTGCAAGTTTATTTTTAACCATACATTCTCAGGGTGTTCGTCAAATAATAGCCTTATTCTTGTGAGTTAGAAACCTTTATCAAGCTAATCAATGCATTCTAATAACTTGTATTTCCATTGTTTTTATACCTAAGGTTCTTACAAATACTATTGCCGAGGAGTTTTCTGTCCGAGTTGTAAGCTGGATCTCGGTTTGCATTTGCTTAATAAAACCTTTCCCTTAAATTCTTCATTGTCGATGACGTGCAAAGAAATATCATTCCAAGTTGAGACGGAAGTGGCTGTTAATCCCGGAGTCTACGTTGTTCTAGTAAGCAATAGTATCACTCTCAAATAATGAACTTTGAAATTAGTAACTGTGGAATTTGATTAATGGAGAGAGAAGGGGGGGAGAAAGGGAGAAAGAGAGAGGGGGGGGTAGAGGGAAAGAAAACGGATATGTCACCGCACTGGTGGCAGCTTGATGCTCTATGCATTAGTTGAATTTAACTCTTATTTGTTAATCCGGATTGACAGGCCAACTACTCTCTGGTAGAGCACGGCGGAAAACTGTCACCCATGCTCAAACCTCTGGCAAATGTTACTGTTCAAGGTATGAGATGATTTATATTGTCAATCGCATGAAAAAGTCCTCCTCACCGTCTTCGCTTCAGGGTTAGCTATCCGCAATTAAACGCACTTATGTACCAAGTTATTTTAAAAGAGGAAATGAAAAAACATGAAAAGTGAAGTGGGAAAGGGAAAGATAAATGAAGTAGAAAATGGCGCAAAATTAAACTGAATGCTTGCTTCTAATAAATCTACCAGATAAGTACGTTTTTTTGTACGAGAACTTCGGCTTTTACAGAGAATGGTGAGTACATTCCCGTGTTAGTGTGAGGCGTGTCGGTTGAAAGGAGCCCTTGATCCGATTTGAATAGTTTTGCGTAGCCTATGATACAGAGGACCACTTCATCACTCTAACTAATTAAGTTATGGATAATATTAGGTAACCATACGTATGTTACTGTACTGACTGATTTTTCATCTCTTGTTCGTTATCTTTGTCATATTTCCCCCTGTCTTATAGCTGCCGTGTTGCAAAACTGCACCTCACCCACTAACTTTTGCAAGTGGAACACAAGTGCAATTACAGGGAACAAATGGAACGGGGGAGGTATTTCATCATCAGATTTCAATTCCTTTCAGTCAAAATGATTGAAATCGAGTAGAGAGTTGTAAAGAAGGCAAAATTTGTTATTGAATAAACGCCGACGCTTTTTTGAAAAGATGATTATTAGAAATGAGGGAAAAAAATAAAAAAAATACTGGTGAAGCTATTTCATTTTCTCTTAAGTTATTTGCAGATAACTTTGAGAAAGGACAGTTGTGGGCAGATGCGTCTGCAAAGCTCTATTAGAGGTTGAATCAAAGCAAAGTTTTGTATGATGAAACTTAACTTTAAAGAAAACTTTACCAAGGAATAATTTTTAACAATTGTTTTTTTTTTAACAGTGTTCAGTATCGGTGGAAAAGAAATTTGGCTGCAAAGCACTTTATTACCATGGAAAGAAGCGTATTCCAAAGTACCAACATGTCTCCAATTCAAATACAATACTTCATCAAGCAACAGCTCCTTTTTTTATTTAAAAGTATCTGTGGTACAACCAAACGGGAAGAAATTTCCAAAGTGGTCGATAAAAGATGAGCAAGGAAACAAGTCGACATTCGCTCAAGTTTCTTGGAAATCAGAGCAAAACATCACGGTAAAAAGAATTCATTTTTCGCTGAATATCATAAGCTCTTCAATACTTGAGAATTGATTCATTTAACAAATTCAGTTTAGGGCGTTAAAATCTTTTCATTCCCCAATACGTGGATAACGCAGAAGTCTTTATGATCTGTTTGAATACATATTCATGAAACCTGATAAAGAGAATTTGTTGAACAATCACTAGGTTTGTTTAAGGAACATTCGCTTTATTTTCATGACCTCAATGTCTGATTAAACAGCGATACCGTGAGAAGAAATTAGATAATAGTCTCTCTTAGAGGTTATGGACTTGAGGGCTCAGTATGTTCGATCACCTGTAAAAGATTTACTTATGATAAGTCCGACCACACTCTGAGAAATGCAGATGAAAAGATCGGCCGTGCCTGACAAATTGAATGTAAAGAAAGATGTTACTTCATTTTGTTTCAATCTCATCCCAAAAAGCAGAATCCCCCACGCGAAATCGAACCTCAGACCGTCAGGATCTGCGCTCCAGCGCTATACCACCAAGTCACAGATAACTCTATTTAAAAACGAAGCCATCACTCGGTTTGTGTCGAACAAGCGTCCTCCATATTGCTATGATCAGCTTGGTCGAAAGCATCGTGTGAGTAAATAATTGTAAGGCTACTTTACAACTTAGATCTTGCGGTTCATTTCAAACATTTTTTTTTAATTCATAGATTCGATTTGAAGGCAAGACAGGTACAAGGGGACGGATGACGATATATGATGTAATAATAAAAACATTGGAGTGCGAGCCACAACCTATGAATGCAGCATTAGGTGGGTAATGTACAGAGAACAGGACAATCATTGATTCAATTAAAATCCTGAATATTTGCAGGCATTAATCGCAGGTTACCTGTTAGCTTTTTTCTACACTTTTATGTTTCGGTGAATGGGGTACAGAGGGGGATGAAAAAACGAGTGAAGCTAGGTGGAAAATTAATTTCACTTTAAATACATTCTGCTGTGAAAGGTACGTTAGTTGTAGGCTGTAGTTGATAGATAAAGAAATGATGAATTGTCTCATAAAAAGAATCCGTTACAACAGATAATGAAGATCGGTCTGCTTCAAGGACAGCGGGCTGAAACGCACCATTAGCAGCTAACCAATATAAACAACATGCTTCTTGAAGCGACGCGCTCTCGCTAATAGAACTCATTGCTAGCGGTGTTGCAGTTGAAATGTTGCAGCGGAGTATACATCATATTTTATTAGGACCAAGTGAAGTTTTGTCCCTTTGGCATCACTATTCATGCAATCTGTAAAAACAAAAACAACTTTTAACATCTTTTAGTTCGTTTGCCTCCAAGATAACATTCCACCTCGCTATACTTGTTTTAGGAGGGACGCACTGTAACAATAAATTACGACAAGTCAAGTTTTGTAATGAACGTTTTGACGCTGAAAAACTCTGTGATGGAACCAAAGACTGTTCAGATGGTAGTGATGAGTTAAAGCATTGCAGTAAGTGCACATAATTTTGAAATGAAGTAGCAAAAATTACAAAGGTGTGTATCTTGATTAACCCCCTGTGTTTGTGGATGACGTTTAAGACTTGAGTCAAAATTCCCAAATCATCCTTTTTGGTATCCTTTGGTCTCTTTTCCGTGCCCCTGCATCACCAAGTTATTCATGTGACTTCAACTGTACGCTGGTCAGCTGTCGTGTCCCATTTCTACCCTAAAACCTGCTACTGTCTTTGCACTTCTTTTTGATTTTAACTCACATTGGTTTGTTCCCCTTCTTCTTCATCCGTAACCATTGATGCTCCTTTTTGGATTCCATTTTCCTAGTCGCTTCAAACATTTGTCACGGAGCCAAAGCAAGTTTCAAACTTCCCAACTTTCCCAAGAAATAGCGGTTTTTCGACATGTTTTCCGTAGCCAAAGAATCTATCAATTACGGAGAATCTTCCTGATGAAAATATTTGTCATCACATCGCGTAGAATGCCTGGACATCATTAATTATTCATCAGCACTGAAGCGGGAGATTTGAATGCACTCGCGCCTTGAAAAGCCCATAATTAGAGAAGAAAGGGCCGAAACTAGCTCAGCAGCGTTCATAAAATTCGGTTTTTCAATTTCCAGAGGCAAAAATTGAGAAACCCAAGAGCGGGTTTTTGAAGAGGGAGGGTTAATCCTTAATTTAAGCTTAAAAAGGGGAAGTTTGAGAACGTATAAGGGCTATTCCTGAGCCTTTGAAAATGACAAAAAAACGGACATTTTTAGTATGAAAGACGATTTCAAAAGCGATTTTTCAAAAACTCAAACCGGCTTCTAAAAACCCAAGAGCGGGAAATAGAAGATGGATCTTTCCTGAAACAGAATCCGTTTTAACTTGGGAAATTGGTGAACGGCAACCACTATTCCTCGCAGTTTTAAAATTTGTAGTAATATAATATAATAGCAGTATTTATTTCCCAGACTGAACTTGTAATAATGTCTTTGGGCAATTATAAAAACTTAGAAATTAAACAGGCTCGTAAATCTCTTCGGGACGATAGCAGTTTCCCAACTAACAATGTACTAATACGTACTCTTGATTACACAGATTCAAGCGAGAACAAAAAATTCCAGTGTGTGGACGGAAGTTTCATTCCGTGGTCAGAAACTTGTCAGGACTCCAATGGTTGTCAGGATAAAACTCACAAGCCATCAATTTGCGGTGAGTAAGATTTCGAGTATCTTCGCCCTCTTCCCATACTGTCATATTTGCATCATATTTGCATCACAATATAGTTTTTTGGGGGTTCTAAATGTTCCCTGCTGTCCAGAATATTTGCCCTCTGAGAACCTTTTTATCTGTATGTTAAGTTATCAAATCTTTTCGCTTTTCCATGGTAAAAGGCAATTAACTTTTTGTTAAAAGTGGAGCTCGATTTTATCAAACGTTCTGTAGCATACCAAATTTTCAAAACGGTTTCCACGCTTCGGATATTTGTTTGTGACTTGCTTTTAATTTAGCCACCGAATGTCCGAATGGCTAGGGTAATGGACTTGCGAGTCCTAGGTCATGCATGCAACAGCAAACTGGTTTACTTAGACAATCAACACTAGTAACTTGTACCGACGCTGAAGAATCGTTATTCTTAAACAATCCTCCACAGAGTCTTCCGGGTGCCCACTCAACAACTTGAGCTGCGGGAATCAGACTTCTAAGCCACAACAAGGTAATGAATCAAATTTTGTCCCCTCGTTTTTCATTACTACGATTTACACGGTCAGTTACCACTCGTATGCAGCTATCCTTTATTTCATACAGCAGTGCAATCGACTACACTAACAACTGCCAAATTTCCACCAATAACCCTGAAATCGTGACTGATAAGATCTTTCAAAACAATAGAGATAGAAACAAGGATTTGCGTTCGACCCGATTGCTACTGACTCTTAAGTATAAAGGGCTCTCACTATTTCTATCAAAGATTATGGATTCCCATACAGTCTGCAACACTGTAATACTCACGTGAAATATTACAGCAGCGTAACGACTTGATGTTTATGACAGGGTTAAGTTAAGGGTTGAAAGGTTAAATGACATCTTCAGGTTTATCATTGCCACCTATTTTTTTCCTATTTTACCGAGCTAGAAGTATGTGACCTTCTTCCTGTTCAAAGTTGTTTCTCACGTAACAAAGAACCTACTCAGAATACTATGACGCAGATCCTTTAAGGACACGTAAGACCACTTTATGAATGTTACATTACCGCTCCCAATTGACCCCCTACCACCATACTAATTAAGTTGTAATTCCCTTCCAGCAGTAGAAAAGCAGTCTTATGAAACACGGAATCATTCGGAAAGTGAGTAAAATGTCCTTAAATGGTAATTTGAACATGAAAGCAGAAGCGGCAAATTTGTCAACCACAGATATTAAGGATCAAGACAGAAGCGACCGCGTAACGTAAAACAATCCAATCACAAAGTATGAATTTCCGTACGGTGATTTCAGATTTGAAGGCTTACAGGAATACAAATTGTTCATACTTCTGGGAAGAAAAAGTGAAGGTGGCGGTCCCCTGATTCCCCCGTCCTTCCCTTCCCCCTCCCCCAACCCCCACAGGTTAGTCCAGGGGACTCATGATTCAAGGGTCAGTAGTATATGTCTCCCGCACACAGGACTTAGGCTGTGATGCTCTTTTCTTAGGATTCAGCATTTTCAGTATGTTTTCCTCACAAATATAGTTTTTTTTAAAATTTTTTTTTTTCAGAAAACCCGGGGTGCTATTTTGAGAGAACGAAATGTGGTTGGAAAGGAGATGAAGAATGGCGACTAAGCTGGAACTCCTCAAAAAAGATTTGTAGTCATGATAGATTTCGAGCCAAAAATCCTGGTAAGATATGTGAAAATTCACAATAATTTTCACTGACATTGATTAAAAATATGACGATAAGATGGTTTAGCATCAATTTTATGTTACGCATTTTACGGTTTTCGATTAATTGGCCAAAACCCAAAGTCATCACAACGACCAGTAATTAAGGATAAAGTTGTTTGGCACAAGGCAACAATGAGGACTCAAAACTCTAAAACGCATGGAAACGAGGGTGACTACCTTCATATTTTCGAGACAAATGCAATCTAGGACACCTTTAGCTTCACTCACAGACCATCCATGTTATGCATCTGCGATTTGGCATATAATAAGGCTTTCGTCTTCTCTAGTTAAACTCGCTCGTGATGCCAAATGCGAGCAAAATTATTCAAATTTTGCATTACAGATTTCAGCTAACGTGAAATTTGTGACCTGAATGCAACTTTTATGGGTTGTTCGTGACCTACTCAATCTCCTAGCATCTGTGAACAAGATAGGTTCAAAATACTTAATGCGCCTAATTCTGCCATATGTAAAACTCTGTGGCATGAACATTGCATAGATTCTTTAAGATGAGTAGGCTTGCTGTCTTAAGGTAGAAGTAAGGACTTTTAAAAGTTTTCTAATGCTTTTAAGATTGCACTAAAAACAAAGCACATATTTCGACGCGCTGTTTAAGGTTTGGGCGCTTGCCGAAGAAGACCATTTTATTAGAAAACTTTCTACTCATTCAGGTTTGTGTAAGAGCTTTTCTTATTTTTTAGCTTAAGTTCGGGAAGCAGTAGAAAAAAGGGATTAAGTCTAAGCTGAATCTTGATACATTTTGTTTCCTAACAGGAAACTTCGTTTGTTTCATTGGAGGTAAAAAGGATTTTCCAGCAACAATTTCTACTAACGTTATTGGGCCCTCAAACAACTGGAAGTGTATGCGCTTTTGGTATTACATTTGCAACAGGAGAAAGACCTCTTCTTTATCTTATAAAATAGAGGTCTTGGTTGTGCATTTGAACCCAAATAAAACTGAGACGCCGGAAGAACTTCTCTCGGTCTCGGATAACACAAGTGACCACTGGATTTTTGTACAGCTTCCTCTCACATTGGATAAATACAGAGATGTTAGGGCCAAGGTCAGTATCATTTCTGTGAAATGATCATGTGATTACCATTTGCAGTCACTCTTTTGTTGCTGTCATTGACCCTGTCGCAATCACTGTCAATGTCACTGTTATTGTCACTATTTCTGGACTGTCATTGTCAACTGTCAATCTTATTTTAACTGTCGCTGTTATTATCACTGTCATTGCCATCCTCTCTGTCACTGTTACGGTCATCGTCTTTTTCTCTGCACCTGTCTCTGTCGCTGTCACTGGCTGCAGAAAGGCACACACCGTAAGAGTGAAGTGTCTTGTCCATGGACACAGTACAACAATAATGACTCGGCCAAAGCTTAAAGACCTTCCAATCCAAAATCCAGCGTACTGAGTGGTAGGCCCTTGCGTTTGCCAAAGGTAGAGGGTAAGGAGAAGACTTAAAAAGTGCCTGAAATCAAAGATTTGCTATCAGCAACAGCTATCACTCAAAGAGAGTTCCAAAAGAATGATGCAACCTTCGCATTCATATTTGGACGGTTTGTGGTAAACTACGTCGTTTCAAGTAATACTAAACCAGTAGGTGTCTGTCTAATGAACTTTGCTGAACGTATGCACTGTGAATCAGATAAAAATTCAAGGTGTTTTTTTTTTTACTTAAGATTTCCTTCAGGGGAACAGTAAGCTCCAGCGGAAAAGTGATGTTTGCAATTGATGATGTCTCATTTTCGCCGGAAAAATGCGAGAAAATACCATTCACCGACAAACAGAGTAGGAACTGTTTTTTTGAAAAGTTTTTCACTGATTTGTCTTCTTTTCAGTATTTGTTTTAACTTCATTAACCCTTTAACTCCCATGATCTCATTAGTAATTCTCCTTACTGTCTGCCATATAGTTCTTGTGATTTTAGTTTGGAGAATTTGGTATTGGATCAACTAATAATTCCCCAATTAATGTTTTTCTTCATTCTCGTCACTTGTCTGCTTGATATCGTATTGATATTGTAAGGAGAGATTCTGTCTTGGTCACTCATGGAAGTTTAAGGGTTAATCTATCTTTTTATTCATCAAAAGGCTGTAAAAATTGTGTAAAACTCGAGAACTGGACCAGTACCCCTGGTGACGCTAAGTGGAGACTTGTCTCTTCCTCTGAAGTGAAAACACGTGTTGAAAATTTACAAGATAATGTGACTGGAAGTTCACAAAGTGGTAATTGTTTCTCATGATGCTAAGGCTAGTTATAATTCTCCCCTATTTACGAACCCTTTAATGGTTACATCTACGTAGATCTCCCAAAGAGATGTTCCCAAATAAAGATCGCCACTCACATGCCTCTCTCGCCATCTTTGACTTGTTACCGTTAAAAAAAATCATCGCATACAAAGGGAGTCGGAATGATCAACGCATAAAACGATGGTTATCGACATATTGTCAAATTCCATGTACAACTGTTTAGAAACTGGAATGCAGAGGTGTTCGAAAAGTATGACTTCAACGTTTTAGTGTCTTCTAATATTTTCCCTCCCTCCCCTCCCCTCCCCCCTCTATATTAGCCCACCGAAGACTCCTCTACGACATTGGTTTAAGTTTAAGCGTATACCCGAAAATGTTTTGTGCAGCTAACTGGTAATAGTCAGTCTACTCAAGAGTTTATTTCTTATAATTTTTTCACTTAATTACTATGAACGTAAACATGTACTACTTGCTACATTTAAGCCAAGACCGAAGTGATGAATGAATAAAAGTCATCCTTTTACCAAGAAAAACGCCGCCATAACTAGGTAGAACCTTGCGAATACTGGGGTAGTTTTACTTTACTTCACATTGTGGATAGCAATTAAAGGTTTTCTCTCGTTTCTTTTTCCTCCTCTGTTAAAGTGCTGCTTTTTGATACAATATGCAAAAGCATGCATGTTAGGAAATGGCTCCAGAAGGATTTAACCAAGGGTACACTGTGTGTGTGGATTAGAACCAAATTCCCGGGCCTGCAGCTCGAGTATAGGCAAAACACTGACGAGTGTCGAGGGAAGACTTTACTTCAACTAGTCTTTCAGTCTGCTCTGCTGAAAATTAGATTACATGAGAAAGAATGGTTAGTATAACAGATTGTTGTTTGTTTTAACTCATCATCCCCAAGTCAGCGCTTCAGTTTTCAAAATCCAAGAATAAATACTGGTTGTGATATATGTATGTACCAAGAGAATATAAACAGTTTCTATTCTCTTGGGTACACCGATTGAGTAAAGGAGTCGCAAAATGTCAGACGTGAGCTCAGCAATGTTCTTTGTATCCTCTTCAGGAAAAGGTACACTTCTTTGTTTAGTTTCTGTAACCGCCTCTGCATGCCCACCCGCGCAAACAGACGATTCACCCTGATCCTTCACGCGCGTCGATCATCAGCTATTACTTGAGACATACGGTGGAGTTTCCAACCGCCTTCAGCCTGAGAGCACCTCTGAGAAGGTGGCAATAACGAGGCATTTCGGTGCTCAAGAGCATTGATTATAAGGGGTGACTTGATTATCTCTTCCGACCTCGGGAAATCCTATCCCCAGAACTAGCTGAAGCTATCACTCCCCTTGCTTATTTTAAACTGGCTACTTTATGATTCCATTAGCAAGTTTACTTTAAATCACAGTACTTTGCTTTATTTTGTTTCCGAACGTCAGAAGTCAGACGTTACACTGATTTTTTTAATGAAACATGTTATCTCACTTTTTAGGAATACATCAACCTCCGTAATTGACGACAAATGGCACCATGTTTGCGCCAGCTGGGGCGAAGTACAAATGAGCGGAGTTTTACAAATCTACATTGACGGACAAATTAAACTGAAGGAGCCTCGTGTTGACGTGGAAAATCCAGTGACAGGTACCCAACATATTATTTAGCTCCTATGAGATAAAAAGAAAAGGTTTTGCTGAAATCCGTTAGTTTTTAGCAGCTGTGATCAAACGTTGATTTTCAAAAGCGTATTTTTGGCGAGTGACCCACCACACGCCGGATAGTGAAAGAGGAATTACGGTGACGTGAATTCTCGTGATTACGAAACATATCAACAGAAGCGTCGTGTCACAGCAGATTTCTGAGGCAACGACACACCTGTATAACAAGGATTGAAATGTGCCAATCACAGCAGCTAAAAATCAGCCAACTGTTGTGTTGTTTCATGCTTCATAAGAAGACGCACATCACCTTCCCCTGTCGATTGATGGACTTGCAAGAAGTCGAAACAATACAATTTACATACGAAGTGATTATATCGTGAAACCGGTATAATGTTTAACCTAGTGCAAAGAGGATTTTGGGAGCACACTAGAAAAGCTTGTAAATCACTTGCTTCTGACTTGTGATTTCGACTGAAAATTTTGAGTATTCTCTCAATAACCCAGGTGGGTTATTATGCTGGTAAATCGATGGAACGTTTTCTGTGATTTTACTACTGCAATAAACGATAGGTTTTGACCAATCAGGGCGTGCGTAGTACGTCAGTTATTCATAAAACCAAATAATCGTGATAGGACCAAGTGGAGTCTAATTCGGTCTGTAATCATACCTTTGATTAACAAATTCGGACGACCGCGAAGCGGGAGTCCGATTTGTTGATCATGAGTATGATTACAGACAGAGCTGGACCCCACTCGGTCCTGTTACCAATTAATCATAACTGTTACAATTTTCGAAAACAACAAATACATTCAGGACAAATACGTTCAGTAGAAACAATGTCTATGTAAAAAATTCCTCAACTTTGGAAATTCCACAACTTTTTTAGGATAAGTGGTTGTTGCTATGGTTATTGTGATCAATTCTGTGATTGGTGACTGAAAGGACCAAATATGGTTGGCTGCTTAACTGTCCGATTACAGATGTCCGATTACAGCCAACTGTCCAATTACACTTCCAATTGCAACTCTACAGAATGATCTGTTAAAAGTTAAGCAGCTACTGCACCAATCACGTTTGAGGAAATTGTAATGGTTGTGATTTATGAATTAATCGTTTGCGGTAATATTCCCTGAATTACAACCTTTCGTACTTCAAAGGGAGAGGGGACTTGTATCTAAGATTTAAGGAGGAGACAACCTCGAGTGGAATCTACGGTTATATTAGTGGACTTAACGTGTGGAATCACGTGCTCGAATCACAAGAAATATGGCGCATGTCTCTTGGCTGTGCAAATGAAACAGGAAACGCAGAAGCCTGGACGAGATTCCAATCTTACTTGAGCTATAATTCAACTCAGTGCTCAGTGATTCGGATAAAGAAGGCTTTATCATGCCAAGATCGTGAAGGTTCGTTTCAGTCTCAATTTATTTTTGCGAAGACTATGTCAAAAATATGCCAGTAAATCTGATTATCATAACATCTGCATGAACGAAAGCCCGCAATCAGGTAAAAGACAATGATGTTCAAAACCAAAATTCGACTTTTTTGTTTTTTAACTCAGTCTCCCGATTATGCCGATAAAAAGCATTATCTCAAGAAGTAGAAAATGCAGGTGACCAAGTTGCGAATGGTTTTGGTGCATTTTGCAATTGAAAGACGAAGGCGTTTGTTGTATTTGGGGTTGTATTTGCTTGACCTCACTTGACTCTTTAAAAATTCACTTTGCTCTCCCAAACATTTAGATGAGCAAATTGCAAAAAAATTACAGGGACTTAGCCACTAGTTTTCCTCAGGATTCGAAAGTCTATTTGGCTCTTTTACATATTAACCATTTTCTCTGTTTTTTCTGATTGCCTGTAATTTCTTTTCATTAGCAATAGTTTTGCTTTTACGACACTCATTTTAAATCATGTCACCATGTTTCATCTCATGAAACCTTTTGGTGATAAGATAAACAATGAATTTCGCGGCAAACTCTTTGAATTCTCTCATTACAGGCGATAGAATGATTCTTGATGCAAGTAGAGGTCGAGCAGTGCTTAAGAGCCCGTGGTTTATCCGGTCAGATGGTGGGCATGGAAAGTGTATAAAGTTTCGCTTTATGTTCTTTGGTCACGGAAATCATTCACTACATTTGATTCAAAGCGTTAATGAAGACTTGGAGCCAACACCTATTTGGGCAATAAATGGCACTGAAGAAGACTACAAACAAAAATTATGGCAATATGGACAGGTGTCAATAACAGGAACAGTGCGTCATCGGGTAAGGAATGAGGTGCCTTAGAGGGGTTTTTTTATAATCATTTAGTCAGACTGTGTTGCGATTTATCTGGAAGGATAGAAGTCCCATGTGTTACAACGCAAAACAATTACTTTCTCAATATGAAAAGAAGATATTTGACTTTTGACACTAGCTTAGGACGAATAAAAAAATCTGAGGCTAGATGTGGATTTAACCCCAGCTTATTCAAACTTTTCCTTCAGATGCTACGCCAGAGGATTCAGTGGTGAGCCCGGCCATGCAATAGGAACACGGCGGTTAAACTTCAGGCTTGCGCAAAAGGTTCACTTTTAGACGGCCGTGCGCCAATTTCTCGCGCAAAATTTCAGAGGAAATAAGAATAAAAGAAACACTGTCGCCTTAAAATGCGCGGAAAACATCGAAACGTTCACTGAATTATTTAAAAGGAAAATAAAGTATGCAAAAGGAATACCCGAGGCTTTTAGAACACAAAGCTTGTTCAGTTACGTGTGATTTATCACTCTGAGCTTAATACAATACATCGCACGCTTTTAAAACGCCGTCACTTACTAGCTTGTGTTGTTGTTGTTTTCTTTTTAACACTTGTAAGAAAACGATTACCGCTCGAATATGCTTATGTAGGCGATGTAGGTACATGCGTTTATTGGCTACAAAATAATGTTATCTTAGCACTCAAAAATTTGCTCCCCACAAAACTACACAATGCACTTTTGTTGTTTCAGTTGATTTTTAGAGGTCAAATAAACTCAAAGGACGATGGCTACATAGCAATTGGTGGTCTATATATTGTACCTGGTTACTGTGAGATTCAGCCACCAAACGCATACCAAGGTGAGCACGAGGTTAAGTGATATAGAAGGAGTTATGAATCATGAAGACCACTCACAAGTGAGAAAGGATAAAGTGATGTGGAGGATGAGTTGACTACAAAAATAACATGAATTTGTGTGAGCAAAGAAACTTGGAAAAAATTACACAAATCGGAATTGAAGAGAATTTCACCCATAATTTTGAAAAAAAATCCCTAAAGCCTGACATTTTTCTGTATTTCTTACTGGTTTCTTTATTCCTTAGGTAAACTACGTTAGTTCTTTAGAATGTGCTTAGAGCGCGAGCCTTTCAAAATTACCCGTAAGGGTTTACAGTGATCTAAATTCGGTTCTGATTGGACGTAATTTCTGTATTCACCAGGATGAGTTGAACCTTGGTTGGTTGTGATTAATTGTTATCGAATGATATGGTAATCTCATTCTCAGACTTTCACGGCTAAGCGGTTGTAAATACAGTTAAACGGTGGGATCTGGGTACGAGATAAATCACATTTTTACATTTTATAGATATCCCATCATATAATGAACGAATAGCAACTAATGCACCTTTAAAGGTAGCAAAAGTAGAATTTCGAGGCTAAGTAAAATGCAACGCGATCGCTGAACCTGGGCATCTATCGTTGCTAATATTATGAGACAACTGTCGTCAGATTTTATGACGTTCTAGAGACATCGCAGCTTCAGGACTAACGTTAGTAAACAATTAAGGAACTTTAATGGGGAAGAGAGAAGTTTTAAAGGTACACTGGCCACTTGGTCGTGTATGAGAAGGCAATTTTCAATTTAAATTTAGCGCAATATAATATTTGAAATTCCGAGAAGCATAGCCTTAACTCTAAGATGACAGGGGTTCGAATATTCAAAGGTTCGGAGTCAAGGGAGTATTTTGTGATACTGAAGGAATGATGGCAGCAATATGTAAGCTTATTGGGAGTTGATACCCTGCCTGCACGAGTGACCATCAAAATCCGCATAATGATCTCATCAAATCAATTTATATATATAATTATACAAAGTTGTGTTCTTTTTAAGGTTTTCGAAAAGAAATCTTGAAAAATCAAACGACTGGCTGGATTTTGTCTCCCCAATACCCTGGATATTACACGAACGACGCTTCTTATACATGGACCCTAATAGCTCCTCCTGGTCACGTGATCAAGTTAGAGTTTGTCTTTTTTGACCTGGAGAATAGCAGTGAGTGCTCACGGGATTTCGTGGAAGTAAACGAATCTCACGTTACATACGGACGCTTTTGTGGTCAAACCATTCCAGCTGTAATTGAGTCCAAAGGAAGAATAATGTTCTTACTCTTCAAGTCAAATGGAGAAGTGATAGGAGGAGGCTTCAAGGCTAACTATACGGCAATAAAAGGTAATTGATGGATACTGATGTGATACGTCAGGGGGATGGAATAGATGCTATTAAGGAGCAGTGCCCACATTTCTGGCCAGCCATGCGTGTCAGTCCCATTTAGATTGATAAAACCGAGGTCGATCGGAACCTCCCTTTAAACAGTTATGAAAGGAGAGGTGGCATTACACGTAGAATGCAAAAATGATCCCAGACAGATCTGATGTTGAACGTTTGATGGTAGACACTGCGTTGCACTCATTGGGGCAGCTCGGTTATCATACTCTAACAAACACCTCCGGGAAAATGAGTTGGGTTATTCTGTTTAAATACCACAAGTTCATGAAATTAGAAAACTTATTTATCTTATTTCAAGACTGACTCAATTTTATTCTTTGCAGTTCCAAATGTTTGCCTTGAAAATGGTAAGCTGTCAGTCCAGCAAATGCAGACTATCAGTTTTTTAATGAATTGAATCAAAGAAGAGATCCATGTACACCACCTTTTTCTCCGCTTCAAGCAGAAATTTCGTGTTTAACTGTCTTCTCTCCATTTTTTTGATCTAGGCTGTCCAAAGAATTGTAATTGCTGTAAGACAACTTATAATCTTAACCTTGTTGTTCAGTGCAGTGGCAAACTGTCGGAATTTCCGGGGATCCCAAACGACACCACTATTATGTAAGTTCTGTTCTTTTTGTACCCAGCTCCTCCCCCCTTGGATGTCGCAGTCAGTATGTAAGCATAAGGGCCACGTCTTGAGTCAAAAACAATGACGTGGAGACTACCTTCATCTCTGAAAGACGCCGCAAGAACCAATGGGAACAAAGGAAAATATCACGTGGAGCTAATGAGAACTCACAATAAAAACTAGACTAGACAGTAGCTTGAAGCGCGGGAAAACGCGAATGACGTGACGCGATTGGTCTTAGTGGCACACGTTTCTATCCAGACCGTGCGGAGCGTATTGAGGTAAACTCGGCCGGAGTACTCTCGAGACCCATTTGAAGTCGGTTCTGATCAGTTTGGGTGCGAGAGGACAAATCATGAACTAGGCTAAGAGAGAATCCTCACTCCATAACACTTAGTGTAGCTCACAATAACAATAGCGGATCTAGGGGAGGGGCCCGGGGGGCCCTAGGCCCCTTCCCCTTTATTTTGGGTAAAAAAAGAAGAATCGCAAAAGGAAGAAGAGCCGGCAGGGCAAACGACAAAAAACCACCGCCGCCGCCCCCCCCCCCTTTTGCTCAAGGTCTGGATCTGCCGCTGAATAAATTTCAGTGCTTTTTATCTTAATGCATTAAGTACCGGTCCAGACAATTTAAAGTATTACCTGTTAAGCACACATAATGTTTTGTCTAAGATGCTTAAAAAGAATGTAAAATTCTTAATTTGCAGATTGGATTTGGACCCATCTAAAATTTGTAACAAATACGATTATGGGCTTTGAAACCCCTTCCCTCCGCCTAAAACGTTAGTTATTTACCTGGATTCTAGCGTACCGACTTTTTTAATTATATCAAAATATGATAAACTTAAACTGGTAACAATGCTTTTCATTTTTGCAGGTTATTGAGCCATAACAATATAAGTGAACTGTACATTAGCGCCCGGGATCTTCATTGTCCACCAGCTGCCAAACAGCGGCTAGTTTACATGTAGGTGTTTCGTGCAATAACATGCTCACCCGTTGAATTTGCATCATAATTAGTCCGTTTTGTTGGACGGAAGATTTTCCGTATTTTGGGATGACTGTAAAATACAATTGTATACAATGAGATGGGTATTTTGTGTGGTGTCAGTTTCGTTATCACCCATGCAGATGGTCTGAGAAAATTACGTTTATAGGTCGGGGAATAAGCATTGAACTAATATGAACGGTACAATTAACAGTTAGATCACAAGCTTTAGATTTCTATCACGCATAGTAATCGAAAGTGAATGATGTTATTGTTTTAGGAGAAATCTACAAGTCGTTTAAGACTTAACAACAAGACGGACCCATGTTTTTATTTCATTTTATTTAACCGCACATTGCAAGACTGGTCGCTCTACCTTCATATATCACGGAACAGATGGCGAGAACCAAAGCCGATCAGATTGCAGCATGAGTAGATTTATAGTTAATCGAGAGAGATGGCATGCGTAGCCCATGCCAGGAGTGTTAACAACCCGCCAAGAATTGAGGAAGACCAACTTCTACAGTTAAAAAGCATACGACGTCGACTTGCTTCAAAGGATAATTTACTACCTAGTTAAGTTCATCAACAACCTCTTACGCTTTTTTGTTTAATTTCTTTGCAGTGATCTCAGCTACAACAAGATAGTTTACGTTGAGGACAGGGTGTTCCAAGACATGTCTTCCTTGTTAGAATTGTGAGTCTTTTATTTCAGATAATAATTTGCCTACACCCGGAAAACGAGGCATAGCTTCGAGAAACGGTTCCCCAGACTTCGACTTCGGTCGATTTTTCACTTGAAATCCATAAGATTCAGCTTAGGTGAGTAATGCGTACTTAGCCACCCAGATTTTATTTTTAGGGTCTATGTCACTTGATACGAGTATCGTTTTCTCAGCAGTTACAATCCGCAACTTAGCGCAGCCATTTTTTTTTCTCTTATCTTAACTAGAAGACTAAACGGAAATTTCATCAAAGATATTTGTGCTGATACGTTATCTGGACTCAGTGCCTTGAAAACGCTGTAAGTAAATGGTGGTGTGATTGTACAAGAAATACAAGCCTTCTATGTCATTGCTGTCCTCAAAGAAGGACTCCGAGAAACTTCCTGTACATGAATTTTCCATCTTCTAGATAGATTCTCCAGAATGCAAATGAGAAACAGCCATTGGCTTTGAATAGTTTCATAGAATAATTTTCATTAGACGTTTCTTCTTTTATAACCTCTTCAATTGGTCAAAAATTTGCTCTAACTCATCAACCATCCTGATGCAAAACTTAGACAAATCATGCCTTCCCATTACGGTGAATCACGGAGATCAGCTATCCGTATTGACTTTGCCTTCAATAGGCCCCATGTTTGATTTACCTTTGCTCTGATTTGCCTTTATAATTAACACTAGTTTTTCTTCGAGAAGTGCTCTGATGAAGGAGATCTACTCGTTGCATCCGTCTCTGCGGTTTGCAAAAACGTAACGGCTGGTGTGACCAAACTCTTTTCCTTCTTTTCAGAGATTTGGGCGACAATCTGCTTTCCAAGTTGGATGACAACCCATTTGGACATCTAACCAACCTTCTTATACTGTAAGCTGCTTTTTCTTCTCTTTCATTTCAAGAGTAGAAGCATAAACAGTGAGCGCGAGAAAGGGCATGGAACTCGAGAGCAGCATATGCAGTTTCTTGTCAGAACTTGAGAACAGTTTCAGAATTAATTAATTTATCAAGCATTAATCAATTTATTAATGATTCGATAGACATTAATCATTGATTAATTTACTACTGTGAACGCTTTAAAGAAAATGCGAGAAGGTTTGCCTAAAGAAATATATACCTCAGTTAATTTTTCTCTTGTTCAACCGTCTCGCCCGTGATTTACTGTGTTAACAGTAGCTTACTTTGATATGAGAAATGACTTCTTTAATTCAACAGGAGCCTTCGTTCCAATAGAATAGAGACTATTGATGAAAATTTATTCAGGAATACCAGCAAACTGACCCACCTGTAAGCTGGGTGTATGTTTGTGTTTTAATTGATCACCTGTTTAGATTTTTTTTTTTTCATCTTCGTGGAAACTTGAAAGATTATCGGATTAATATCTTCATTAGACCACTCTACCAGCAGAGATGTTTATTTTTGCTCAGTTTTTTAATGCATTAATTTTTTGTTATCAACATTTTTGTTGTTCCTCGCCAATCCACGATATACACATTTTTCTAAAAGTTTATTGGCTTATTGTAAACTAAGTAGTTTCTCATATTGTGGAAAGGTACCTTCAAAAGAACATCACTCAAATCAAGAATAGTCTATTTCAAGCTTTATCGAGTTTGAAAGTGCTGTAAGATGACTTGGTTTTCTTCATCAGTTAGCTGCAGCTTTTAAGTATTCGGCAGCAAGACTGAGCCTTAACAATTACGATACATGTGCATTCTAACCACGTCAGGAAATTTTTTTATTTGGAATTCTTCTTGTCGATATGTCAACTCTCATGGCTGTCTTTGAGCGATGATACTACTTTTGCAAAAAAAAAAGTACTTTTGACCAATTTCAGAAAGCTGTCTAACGAGTATTTTTTTTTAATAAATTATGAATAAACACATATCAAAATTGAAATACTTTCTAAACCCCTTAGATATCACACAATTTAGGAATACAAGCGATTTCTTACGTGCTGGAGGGGTTAGCATGTCAACTCTTGAAATTTTCGATGTCGCAAGACGTCAAAAAAAGGGCCTTTTGCAGCTTTGATTATTGAGAGCTCTCAGAAAAAATTTTTGACGTATTTCCAGGAAACCAATGAGGTTTTATTTACTTACTACCAAAGATAGTTTAATGGGTAAAGTTTGAGGCAAAACTTTCGATGCGAAAAACCCTGGACCGCTCTTACAGAAATCACCACTTAACTGAAACATATTTTCATTAAAAAATAACCCATTTAAGAAGGAATTTTTATTTCTAAAGCTCCGACGCAATCCTTTAAATAGGTATTTGAATGACAACAAGTTAAAAACGTTGACCTCTCTCGCATTTGATGGACTTCGCAAACTTGAAATTCTGTAAGTTTTTTTTTCAAAACTTTAGGTCTTCTTGCACCCCGCACACTTTGATGTAACGCATAGTTCGTTTGCAGTAAAGGTTCTCTGGCCACTGCATAGATTCTATAATCGATAAAGCCAGAATCAGTGTAGCTTAGTAGAGGAACAACTAAGCAATTACTAAGAAATACTAAATACAATTGCTCTGAGAAAACTATTAATAAGCTTCCACGATTCTCACTTTTATATCATCAGGCATCTGCAAAACAATCCGCTGGACGAAAGGATCCCTCAAGATGTATTCGAAAAAGTAAAGAATTTGAAAATCCTGTGAGTGGCCTTTTAAAATAGCTCCATCTTACTGAACCGGTAGCCCTGAGCAAGCGCCTCAGTAGAATTTAGGTCTGTATGAGGAAATATACTCACAAGTTGTTACTTTTTTCATTCAGGAGGTTTTATCAATCTTCGAATAACATACATTAAATCTCGTACCCAGATTCTCACCGTTTGACTGTAACTGTGGAAGATCTAGGTATAGGACTAGCCTGTTACCCCCAAAAAACCACCTTAGTCTAATACACTTTTCTCGATTATTTTAATCGTTCAGGCGTTTATTTTTAAGTTTTGAATGGTCAAATATGTCTTTTTTTTCCATGAATGCTTATACCTCCTATTCCTCCCCCTTCCCTCCCCCCTCACCGTGTAAGGGGCTTAATGGTCTTTAAACCCAACATCTATGCTGCACCTTTGATTAAACTCTGTTTTTGAACACGGCCATTGTCCCTTGCAGAGGTAAAAGTTTTTTCATTTTTCATTTTTCATTCATCTATCTGTTTATACTTGTCTTTAGGAAAATCGACAAATTCATCCTGTGTTGCTATGCCAAGAAAGCCATCAAAAACTTGGACTGCCAAAGCAGTGACCAAAATGAATTCTCCAGCTGTGATGACATGATGAAATACCCATTAATCCGTGCGTGCCTCTGGGTGCTTGGCATCCTGGCCACTTTCGGTAACTTGATTGTCCTTATTTGGCGCGCATTGGTGCCCGACAACAATCGTGTGCAGTCGCTACTCCTTTCCAATTTAGCAATGGCCGATTTTCTCATGGGTGTTTACTTACTGACTCTTGCCGCACTGGACTCCAAGTGGAAATGGGAGTACTTCATGCACGATGTCTCATGGCGCACTAGTCGTTCTTGCCGGATCGTGGGAGCGATTTCTATGCTTTCCAGTGAAGTTTCCGTGGCGATGCTAACTATAACAACCGCGGACAGGCTAATATGCGTGGTTTTTGCTCTCAAATTTGAGAGAATGACACTTAAATCCGCCTATATGGTTTGTCTGTGCGTCTGGGTAGTAGGTGTGGTCTTGTCCATAATACCCATATTGGACATAGAGTACTTCCTCGGCAATTCAAACGGGATGAGCTTTTTCTCGCAGTCAGCAGTTTGCTTGCCTTTGCAGCTTTCCAGCGAGAAACCCTCGGGTTGGGAATATCTCATGGCGATCTTCATAATCTTCAACTTTTGTTCGTTTTTCTTCATTCTCGTCGCATATATGGCCATCTACTGGACCATAGTGAAACTGGTAGGCGGATCAGCATCTGCACACATGCAACAAGAGTCTGCACGAGCCAATCGTCTTTTCATCATTGTGTTGACAGATTTTTTATGCTGGATGCCGGTTATCATTATGGGTATCATGTCTTTGACAAACGCTTCCTACTCTTCTAATCTCACAGGCATGGTTTATGTCTGGGTGGCCGTTTTCGTTCTTCCTCTCAACTCATCAGTGAATCCAATCTTGTACACTCTCGCCACTTCGAAAGTGAAAGAAAAACTTGGGTCTGTCTTCTCAAAGTTTTCCATTCGTAACAAGCAAGGTAATGTGTCGAAGTAAAGATACAGTGTTTCCTCGAATAATCGCCCGAGTGCTTAATATTTAAAACTTCAGCTAAAAGGAAGGGCGCTTATTAAACCTAGGGCGCTTAATAGAGGAAGGCGCTAATTAAGTTAGCGCAGCAGTAAGAAGAAAATTAAATGAACAGGCCACGCACATAAAGGAACTCCGCAAGAGCATGGAGATTGAAATAATTGGAAGTGACTTCCTCAATGGAAATGAAACTTTTCTCCTGTACTGAATGAAAGTGGTCAGTTGAAGCTTAAAAAATATAAATGAAGTGGCAATAGAAACAGGTTTTCCTTGTTTTCCTACTATTTAAGAAAGTGAGGGAGAAGAGGGGAGGGGGGGCACTTATTCGAGAAAGGTGCTTGTTTGACATACTAGCCAAAGGGGAGGGCGCTTATTGGAGCGTGAGTGCTTATTCGACGAAATACGGTAGAAAAAAAACTTTCATATCAGGGTCACAAAGGCAATTTATTTTTCCTATTTTCCTTCTTTCTTGTCTCTGCCTTCTCTCCTAATCTCGTACCCAGATCCTACGGTGGAACTGGAATGTACGCACGGCCGTGTAAATTCTGGGTACGAGACTATTTCCCTCCTTCCCTTGCACCGTTTTTGCAAGAGGGAAGATTTGCAGAAGAGGCCCATCATGCAGTGCTAGCTTTGAAACACTATCTTGTAAAAATTTGATTGCCGCGTTTTGTCTTTTTCCTTTTCCAGGACGTGCCCATCCAAGTCTTGAAATGGCCAGCATGCCCTCCGACCGCAATTATGCAAACACGATTGACTGGAGTATTAGTTCAGATCTTACCTCCCCTCCCATGACTATAGTTGAAGTACCGTTGATTCTCCAGGAGGAGTCAAGTGACAAAATTGTACGAAGCTGAGTTTACGAGTTAAATTCTCGACGAGTTTCTCAAAACTACATCTGTTGGAAATACTTTAGAGCTTTCTTCACGAAATTAAATAAGCTCTGAATCAAGGCATTTGATACATACCCTGATCAAACATATTTGTTTAAGAAAGCCATGCAAACGAAATAGCTTTTTTCGGGTTAATTACATCAGAAGGAACGGAATACGTACAGCGTTCAAGGATAGTTTCGAAGTATGAGGAAAGGGCAAGGGCGTGGCTGAAGGGATTTAAGGGTATTCATTTAAAGCTTCATTCTCAGTCAGAATATATTCATGGAAGTGCGAATAAAAAAAACATTTTGTGCCGACTCTGATAAGAGTTCCACTAAAATTGTGTATCGGGAGAACACGAGCTCACGTCCTATTGAATGTGTATATGTTATTATTTTGATCGTTAAGAAAGTTCTCCTTAGTCAACTTGTTAAGGCTGTTTCTTCAATCATCATACAGGGTTATGTAGTTTGTCGCGAAGAGGATCCGCAAACCGACGAACCTACTTTGTTCCTCGTCAAATGGTTTTCACAAGACAAAGTACAAGAGTGGGAAAGAGAGGTGTCCATCCACATAAAGATGTCACAGACGGGGAATCATCCCTGTGTTTTACCTTACCTCTGGCACTTAAAAGGTGAGATGATCTAAATACCTGGCGTTGAAGGTGTCCTAGCATGCCACTGCTCAAAATACATGTTTTACAAGTACTCTCGGTTGTCATGACACGGCCACCGTCGTGTCACGCTTGTGTAACGCTTGCCGTACAACCATCTTAAACGATCGTCGATGTCGTGTTCAAGCTGAGATCAATGGAAAATCCCGATAACGTGAGTTAGTGAGTATTTGAAAACTTACATGTCTGAGTGTGACCCCATCCAGCTAAACATGGGATAAATCCTTTTCTTTTAGCCACCAGACAACAAATTATACATAATTCACTCTATTTTTAGCTGAGGGTTGTCGACTGACCAGGAGTCACGGTGATCTACCATCATTGCCACCGCAAACCTGGTGAGTTACTTTTTATTTTATTAATCGAGTGACAAAATACAGAGAAAGAGTATTTAAATATTTTGCCTTATCGGCACACTGTACTCGATCTTTCATGTTCCTCCACCCTCATTAGCAATATTTCATCATTTCTAACAATCATGATAATTAATATTATGATCACTAGGAGTAAGGAAAGGGGTATGAGATATTTGCAATAGAGCGCTTTTCGATCAAGGGTTCGATACAAAACTCGAAGTATTCATACCGTGGATATTCGGAACAAAGAGGAAAGTCAGAGAGAGTCGAAGAGAAGTCAGAGTAACTCGACATAGGCGACCTAAAGCGCGGGAAAACGTGAATGGCCGTGTAAGTCATGTTTGAACCGGATTGGTTGGGAATCAGAGATGGGGTAAGAGTCCTTGGCCAATCACTACAAAGCCAAGTGAACGCAATGGCGGACCACTCACGACTCTTAATCGAAAATTTATTTACAATGGATGATTAAACTTCTATACACGAGAAGAAAAGCTGTGATGAAGAGGACTCGTTTTTGCAGAAAGGAACAGACTAGTTGTTATTTTTTTTGTAAGTGCATGCGCTTATTCTGAAGGTCTTCCTTACAGAGCGTCGGGTCTGTCATATATTGGTGACGCAGACCAACCTTATGAGAGGTGAACTCTCTGTATTAGTAGCCCCCCTACTAATTTAAAAAAAAGGAACAAAAACAAACTACGGCCTCCAAGTGAGTTCTGAAATGATTTCGTTTGTTGTTTTTTCTTTTCTTTTCTTTTTTTTTTCGTAATTAGGCTCATCTGCTTCCAGTTTGTATCAAACACAACACTGAACGCGTTCATGAAGGACGAATCCGCCGCCATACTCGAGGCCAAACTTCTTTGTAGACTAGCCACTGATGTGCTCCAAGCTTTACGGTTCATACACCAGTGTGGTATTTGCCACAACAACATCAACATTGATAGCATTTTAATACAAAAAGACACGGAGAGGGTAAGAAATAGAATTGTCTATCCTTGTTCAAAGTATGCTTCTTCTGTGCATCTTTGTCGTAGGAGACGGATAAGGTACCATGAGACGCCATGTGCTTGCTTTAACACTTTTGCTCTTAATGGAGAACAGTATTTGGGGTATTTCTGTTGAAGAAAGGAGCATGTCAACTATAGGATATTGTTTGCCGAGTTTAGCACCAAATTATCAAGTATAAAATTGGGGAATTGTGAGAACAGTAGACACAGTAGGATATTTACATCAAGGTTAGCTCAGAGGCTGAGTCAAGCCTTAGTCTCCTTACAAGGACAAAAATATTTAGTCTCAACACAATTTAAACTTATTATCCATCAAGCAGATAATAATTACTAAGATAGGAATAACTGCCCTTCACATTCCCTCTCTGATCAAATACAATGTTGTAGCTTAATGTAACACCAAATTCCATCAACCAATTTACAAAGGACATGATGTACATCCCATAGCAGGGGTAATAAAATACAAGATTCTAGAAGTTTACGGTGTAATAAATATATGCTTGGAGGTACCCCCTCGAAGGGAACACCTATCCAAGGCTGGAAGTGAAACACAAGAAAAGGTTTTTCTGAGGCAGGCGAAAGAGTTAGGGGCACGCAAATAGTTGGTGGGTTATTCAAGGAAGAAGCACGAAAAAGTGTGCTTTGTTTTATGCAAAACACTTGATACGTCTTTTATTTGATAGTCACAAGATTTTTAGGCTGCTATGCTTTACTTCTTACAACAGTTTCCCAGCTTCCGCGCGGTTCTATGTGGTTTTGGTTGCGCTTCTCATCACAATCCAGTAACCTTGCCTGATGACATGGTTCAGTTTGCTCAGCTGTTACGCGTGATGACTGACAGAAGTGCTGAGCTTCAGGACACAGTTGAAGAGGTACAGTATAAACAATAACCAACCATTACTGATGTTCACTATCAAACACCCTTATGCGAAATTTAATACCGTATACAGCTGTTTCATGAAAGGTTGTCGGTAGAAAGACGAAAGGACGAGCAGCAAAAATCTAGAATGGTAATCTGGGTGTCCAGTAATCAACGAATTTTAATCATTTAAATAAATAAATGAATTTATAAAATAATTCAAATAGTACGCGCGCTCTGATTGGCCATAAAACCATTTTACATGAGCGTATGTAAACACGGTTTTCGTTCCTCTTTCATTAGTTATTGTATAAAAGAAATGTAAAATGGTTACCGTGTTTACATAGCCTGCTATGCTAGCTAGCTTTTTGTTCCTCTTTCATTAGTTATTTTATAAAAGAAATGTAAAATGGTTTCCGTGTTTACATAGCCTGCTATGCTGCTAGCCGGCTATGTGTTTACATAGCCTTATCTCGTGTTCTCCCAACCTCCCGCGTGTTTACATCAGGCTATGTAAACACGGAAACCATTTTACATTTCTTCATTATTAAACCCACGATGCCTCGTCCTTACATTAACGTTTTCTCAGACTTCCCTGAAATCCTGAGGTCAAAGAAAAATGGCCTGGAAACTACCCACAACACCTTTCGGAGTCGACAACCTTTAGAGAAACAAGTTATAAACCCTGAACATTGTCGTGATGTACATCGTGAACAAAAGTTTGCACTGTGAAAGGGAACGTTGTTTTCCTCGTGAACAGCGTGTACCTAAAGCTAGATTCTTAGTCGTTCAGAAAATACTGAAAAAATTATCAAACATTCACTCAAAACGAGACCATTTGATCGCCTCTCTTCCAATACTCTTTTCTACAGCAGGAGGAAGTGCCCCACCTTTTAAATTAAGTAACGATCTGTGCGACAATTGGACGAATCGCTCAAACGTTTCTCTGATATTCCTTTCCAGATCGAGGAAATAGTGAAAATCTGGAGTAACAGTGAACACTCCAAAAACAAGATACTCACGAAGCTGGAGGCTCTATGCAAGTAAAGGCAAAGATTTAAAGAAGAGGATCAAGTTCTGCCAATCTACTAATTTACATCACCTTCGATGTCTGGCCTTTGATAACGTGATGCCTTTCAATTCCAACATGGCGACGAAAGTTTCACTGGCCTTTTAAAAAAAAACTGTTCGTACAGTGGCATTAAAATGCTACCTCTATGCGAGACTTCTTTAACAGCTTGTCTCCTGCCTTAGAAATTAGCCTTCCTAGCCTCCTAAACACATGTAATCACAATGCAAATTTGCCGTTTGTCAGCGACCATGAAATATTTCCACCCCTACTATTCGACGGTGAAGCGAAGTCAATTGATAACTTGCCATAGTGTACATTGCAATGTGTCGGTTACCTCACCCCAATACTTTAAACACCCTCGTTTTCTGACTTTATATTTTCATGAGCCGTTATAATCAATTTGTGCTGAGGATAGAGACTACAATGATGAATTTGAAAAAATGTGTTCATAAGAAAAACAATTCTGGCTGAACAACTTCTCTTTAATTTTCTGTAATATTTTTAAGTCATTTTGTTTCATGAAATTAACATTCTTACCAAGCATGTCTTAACTGTCCACAAAAACGGGGAGCAAAGTTGTTAACAAGCATCTAACTTGAACACGTTAACACTGACGAGCGCCAACTCTATAACATTGTTTGCATTTCAACAACAATTGAGCGAACTCCTTTAAGTTAAAACAAAGTACAATAACTTTCAGCTCTTGCATATACGTTGGTGCTTCTTAGAATTTCTCGTAGTGATCGTTTCAAGTTGTCTGATAATTACGTCTTGATATCGGCCTTGGGCTCAGCACCACCCGCAGAGGATACTTCCATGCTCGATTCTCCGCCACTCTCCCCCTCCCCCTCTTTTTTCTCTTTCTTGGCTCCTTCCTCCCCCTGGCCACTGTCTTCGCGCCTTCTCTTAAAGCTTCTTCCGCGATTGCGTCGGAACTTTGATTGGGGCGGGAGTCGATCGATCGCGAGAACTTTGTGAAGTTGTCGGAAAGCTGTTAGTCGAAGGGCGTGCTAAAAAGGAAATAAATCATAATTTAAATGTCTACAAAATTTAAACTTTACTCTGTGACCAAAAAAAGCAAAAGTAAATAGGCCCATCAGGCTCATTAAATCAGTTTTTCCCTCCAGCAAGTGTCAGGTAAAATCTGCTCATCATTTGGGCCTTGTAACCGAGAGTTAACGAGAAAACAAAAACTGATTCACACCACTGAAAAAGTATAAAACAGCAACAAAGACAAAACCATTAAAAAGGTGTGCCTCACCTGTGCTGAAGCCGTCAGATCTTCTCTTTCTTGCATTGAAACAGTACCAAGAGCATCAATAGTTTCCTTCTCACAAGGATCACTCAATCCTGGTCCACCTGTGGCACCAAAGACAGAGAGTTTTCTACTTTGCTCACCAGATAATGCTAGAGCCAGCTTTTAAACAACCGAAAATTATAACTGCACCTTCTAGGAGAAGTCCACTAGAAATACATTCTAACACGCGGCGGAAAGCTTCTCCAGGTCCCAGCGCCTGCTGACTACTGCTAAGCGCCTTCTCCACCAACAGCTCCATCGCCTATCATAATCCATTTAACACAAGTAAGCAAAGTGTGAATAAATTTAAATCGCACAGATGCCTACCTTGAATTTACAGTATTTTTTTTTAATCAATTTGCGATATTTAGACAGACTGGCCTAGATCAGCTTAAAGCTGCTTGAAACAACAAGGCCAGCCTACAACACCGGGAGCTGTTCCCAACTCTTTGCGAGAATTGTATGGGTTCTTTAATGTTCCCCTGATAACCGGTACAAAGAAGAGACAGGAGACGGAGTCTACGGTTTATCATTCTCACCCGAGAAGACTAGAGTGACTAATAGGCTTCAAGGTCGTGCACCGACAAAATACCAAATTCTCCCCACCTATAAAAAAAAGAAGCGAAATACTGCAAGAGGGGAGAGCTATGAGACAGATCTACAGGGTAAACTAGCTAGGTATTAACCAAAACAGATATATGACATAGTCCCAGAGTGTAGTCTACAGTTTTTCCTTTCTTAACAATTGTATAGGCCAGTGCCTGGTTGTTTGAAACTGAACTAATGCAAAGAAAAACAGAACAATTTTCCTCGCTGAAAATACTAGTTAGAAGGCCGCTATATGAACGTTTCCCAAACAAGTACTGTGTGCCAGCAGTTTCATTCCTTTCGACCGCTAGAGAGCCTAAGACACCTTGCTTTAACCGTACAGCCCCTGGACTGAGAACATAAGAAGTGGTCCCTTAAAATGTACGGTGCACATACCCAGTTGTTGAGAGGAGAAAAAGCCGGTATTCTTCGGCACAAATCACGCATGACGCGTATAATGATGACACAAGACTGCAAACCGTTTGCTTTGGCCTGGAAAATGAAAACAAAGGAAGAATCAGAAAAGGAAACAATTTGTAATCACCGCTCAACTATGAATTTATGTTACCAAAATAAACCATGCATACATATGTACATAAAGTAGAACTGAGTATTGGTACATCATATTAATGTAAACCCATGAAACATTTCCCGTAAAACTAAACTTCGTCAAAAGATGTATTAAATACTTCAAGGCCATTGCTCTATACTTATAACTGCACATATGAGATGTTCTCAAATACACACATTAACCCTTCACACCCTAAACTCAGTATGCATATTCTCCATAATGTACTTTCTCAGTAGCTGACAGGGAGAATTTGTTTAACAATCAAGCGCCTCTTTATTTGGTGATCTTTTCCTTTATTCTCATAACCTTAGGTGTGATTCAGGGGAATTATTGTAGGGAGAAATTATATGCTAGTCATTCTTAGGTGTCAAAGGGTTAATCAGTCTACACCAATGGAAATTTATAAACAACTTAAAATGTACATGTAAACTGCAAACCAGCACTCCACTCACCAATGAAATGCTCATTTACAAACAAGTTATTATTACATAAGAACCCACAAATACACCATGAAAACCAGAGGAGACACCTGGTGACTTCTGGTTTCCCAAAGAGGAAGTGTCACATATTTGCTCACAATACACATACCTGTTGACGACTTCAAATCAGAACTTCTCATCCAAATATATTTTAAATACAACCAGTAATTAACATGCATTTAACACTGCAGTTGGAAGTAAATTTGAAAACCACAACATGCACCTTACTATTATCCAGAGTAGACCCAAAGCATAAATGGCAGACACAATTAGTACTCTTTTGTATTCATGTAGATACGCCCTCCTAGCCTTGTTTAAGGAAGAATAAAACCTTACCTCAAAGACAAGGCTCATTGGGCTAATTCACTCGAGTACAAAAGAACACCAGTTCAGCCCACCATTTATGCATACCATCTATGCTTGGGTTCTTTTAAAGTACGTCTCCATACAAAATTTGTAAACAAGCCAAAATCTGGGATGTCCATGTATTTAATATACATGTACTGTACCTTAAAAACTGAATCAATTATTTGGAATTCTCATATTTATCAGATGTACCTCCAACAGCAGGACTACTACACTACATTGTAAGAGAGAATGTGACAATTCCTCTTAAAACAGCAAATGAGCCGAACCTGAAACCATTTAGCATGTCGTAGCGATGCCAATGCAGCTAAGCATTTTGGCCTGTCCAGCACTTGAGGATCATCTTCAGCTACGGGTGAGAATCGGGTGGATAAGCAGGAGGTGGAAAGATGTCCCAGCATATTCAAGGACAACACAACAATGCCACCAATACATCACAATCACATAAAACAATCAAGTAACAGTTGGGCTTAAAAAGGAAAATACTGGTGAATTCTGAATGAAAAGTGACCTTCATGCAACATAGTGTTAGTGCTTCACAAATTTGTAATCAATGTGAAACAGAAGCTTTTCCTCTCTTGTTTTTAAAGATCAAATGAGCCACAAAAGTGTGAATGAATCCTGGAACATGGTATTGAAAATATGCAAAGGACCATCCTGAATGCCAGACAAACAAACACACACAAAGAGCCAAGAATCTTTCCATCTCCTCCTTCCACTCTGTAGCATGGATGGAAGACATCTACATGTAGGTGTACAAGAATTACACACAGAATTCTGCAGATTTGCAACAACATCAGAATGATTATCAAGCACATGGCTGATAGGCTTTTTGCACGGGCATTGCTTCACAGTTAACAACATAATTATTTAGTATCCTTAGGCAAAATGGGATGCTTTTGGACTTAAGAGGAACACTCAATCAGTGATTGACTTTTCCACAAAACATTTCTAGTGCCCCCCTAAATAAAAAACAACTATACACCTTAGTTTTGAATTTTACCAAACATCAGTGATAAAAATGTTTCAAATAACTTTTTGGCCCTCAAATGGAAAGGTTGTATTTATGTTTGATAATGACTTTGAAATATATAAAATTACCTCAATTGAAAGCTGAACTTACAGATGACATCCAAAGGTTCCCAGTCAATGGTTGCAACTAATTAAATGCACTTGATTTGCATTTGTAGGCAATTTGATTCATGTTCCTCAAAAGCAACACCAGTTAGCAAGACACAAACATTTGTGTTTTTTAAGTATAAACCACTGGGCCCTTTATAAGATCTGTAATAGGCAACCACTGCTCACAAGTATACATTCAAAATATGTTTCTTCCTGTGTAAAACTTTTTAACTAAATATGTAAATCAGAATCAGAATTTCCAAATTGGTTAAGGTTAATTTTGTTGCATCTAAAAAGTGACTTAACAAGGGCCCTGTGGTAGTGTAGAAGGTCATTTTAACAGGTACCGTGTTCTGCCTCCTCCCCCTCGCGCATGACAGGTGATGTCAGAGTGATGGTAACCACCACCTTTGGGTCAGTTGCAGTAGAAATTTTCATGGCAGCTTCCTCAGGCACTACCTTGAGATCATACTTCTCTTCTGTCACTTTCTGCCACAAAAATAAGATTGCAACAGATTATTTTTCACCCTTGAAACAAAAGCTGTTCAGGATTCTAATGGTATGCCACTGAAAACCTATACTTACTGCAAGATGTGCTGGCAGGAGGTCTGCTACTCTGTTCAGAAGCATCTTTGTTGGTTTATCTACTCGAAAAAAGGAAAACAATCTCCAATTAGCAAACTGATCATGGTATGTCATAAAAGGATTTCAAAGCAACTATTCAAGGTCAAGATACAATATACATGAAAGACAGTTATTTAAGAGAAGGATTCAAAAGAATTTCCTTACCGTGACAAAGCACAACCAAATCAACATCAAGGCGTTCATGAAGTAATAAGCCTTTTGCAAGCACGCCAACTCTCATAACACCTTTAAGAGCTCCTAAAAATATCAAAAAATAGCTTGATGAAAATTAAGTATGGGATAAAATGTTTGATAACAATTGTTAGAAAACCTCAGAGCTTGTTTGTAGCTCATCCTACAGTACAGTACCAAAAGCTTTTACCTTGGGTTAACACATTCATGTAGAGCAGTAAAAGAAAACTTTAAGCTCTTACCCGATAAAATATTTCCCATTATTTAGGGACTTGTCATGAATTAGCAGGGGAGGGGGTGGAAAAAGGGGGGGAAAACTTTTGAGCCTCAGAAAAGGGAGGGTCATGAAAAATGGGCAGTTAAAAGGGGAGGGTCATGCAAATATATGCCCGTGATTTAAGGTTCCCAAGAATCTGATTCTTTATTTGGCACAAAACAAACAAACAATCTCCCTCTGGAAGAGGTGGATGATCATGATGAATTTGAGGTAGATGAAGGGGATGAATTACCCACTTGTTCTAGTGATGAAGACTTTGAATTTGGATGTTCGGATCAATCGAAATGTAAAAATGTAGCATGACGAAGAACAGATTAGAAAATATTTTGAGTTTTCATAATACTGACATTACCTAGTGTATTGCAAGAACTAGATTTTATCATTTATACAAGAGGGGATCATGATATTTTAGGCCAAGCTCAAGGGGGGAGGGTTAGCAAATTTCACTCCCATTGCAGGGATGGGTCACCTAATTTCCGAACCCAAATTTAAAATTCCCACCCCCCCTCCCCCCCTGCTAATTTCTGACAAGTCCCTTAGGACAAAAAAACCACAATTCATCTGATGAAGATCAACTTACGGGGTGGGGAGGAGGGTTTGCTGGAATCTTTCTTCTCCTCATCTTCTTTTTTCTCGTCACTGCTCTCATCCGACTCTTTCACCTCCATCTTCACTTCCTCTTTTATTTCTTCCCCTTCTTTCTTAGGCTGTGTTGAAAGATCTTGTTCAGCAATCAGATCTGACACAAGTTTTAAAGCCTTCTCTGAGGAAGACACAATCTTCTGGACTGCCTGTAGCTCTTGCTCATTGGGATAAATTGCAGAATGTTTTGCCATCACTAGGCGGTCATCAGGAGTATCGTACCTTGGACGTGGGATGGGCTGTTAATGGTGACAAAACAAATTAGTTATCAACTACACTGTACATGTGGTGAAAGCGATACAGTACAAAAAGGCATGAAATCTAATAGATACAAGCTTGAAAGAGTTGCACAAGGATATTCCTATAAAAATCTCTAAAATGAAAAGCTCTGAAAGTGACTGCCCCCATTCCCAGAGGAAATTCAATTTTTTGTTTCAAACCTATCAATATTACACAGAGATCTAACAAGAAGACTATCAATTAACCCTTTCATTCTGGAGATTCAGAAATCAATGCTCCTTTCTGTCTGCCATAAATTTATGATAATTTCAACATTGAGGATTTGCTGATCAATCAAATGTAATAGAATAAACCAGAGCTTCCTGCTTGTTCAGTATAAAACAAAAATGCTTACCGGCCCCATGTCACCAACTCCTTCCATGAGAGGGCGTGGTCCCATTGGCCCTGGAGGACCTCTTGGGGGACCCATACGACTTGGACCCCATTCAAAGAATTCTGCTTCAAAACGGCGACGACTTTCTTCTTCCCAGAATCTTTCCTCTTCTACTCTTCTGTAATACTCCTCTTCCTCCCAACGGCGCAATTCTTCTTCATGTCTACCCCTGTGTGCCAGAAATGAATAAACAAACCAAGTTTGGTCAGAGCAAGGAACACTGCTTTATCCTAAATTTATCCAACACTAAATAAAAAATAAAAAAATCAGGAAAACTGTTTGTACTTTTTCCATTGCCAGTATTGTTCTTGTTCCCACTGTCGACGAAACTTGTCTTCTTGCACTTTGCTGAGACGGCCACGGCCACCAGGTTTAACATCAACCACCAAATCAGGCTGAACTTTTTTCTGAAAAAAAAAAATAAAAATAAATAAATAAACAGTGTTTATAAAAAGTTCAGAATACTGTAAAATTGGTATAAAAAAGACAAATTTTCTACAAAGCACAAATCCACCTGTTTCACCAACCTTATAAGATAGCCTATGTCGGCGTCCTGCAAGATGTGCTTCTTTGGCGTTTGGATCATTGAACTTGCACTCACACAATTTGCAGTGGAAGCTGATAACTTTCCCCTCATCATTTTTCACTTCCTCTAGATATTCTCCTCCTAAAATTGTATTGCACATGCACAAAAAGGTTAGCATGGTACAGTACAAGATTAAATAATGGATTAAATAATGGTTAATTAGCAGCAAACATACCAACAATCTTGCTCTTATCAACCCCTGTAAAATTTGCCAAGTCAAATTTCTCTGCAAGACAACAAAAGTTATCATTACAACAAAGTCAAATATTAGGTAATTTGGTATTCTCAACTGAGTTGATAATGTAAATTGGCCACTGTTAAGAGTTTCAAAGCCTTCGTCAGAGCAATTGATTCCCTCTGACAAAGGACTAACACTTGAAACGTCAGCTTTAAAAATTTTAACGATGGCCAATTCAAGTAATCAACTCAGTTGATTGTACCAAATTATCTTTTTATACTCTACCACCTACACAGCACCACAGTTTCTTTAGAAACTTACCTCCTTTATTCAAAGTCAAAAATATTTACACATATTAAAGTGAGTACAAATTACACCTTAGGTTTCCATTGTTTAAAGGTGACAGCCTATTATTCATTTAGAAATACAAAGATCCAGATTTGAGTCTTTAACCACAGTTTTACACATCTATACAACAATCATTTGAAAAAATTAAACTTAACCAATCAGAAATCTAAAAATTCTTGGAAATCAATGTCAATGCATAGATTATGGAATTCTAAAAAACAACTCTTGGGTTATGACTGTTAATTACATGTACCTGTACTGATACTGAAATTGAATGTTTAATAAATTGACCAGGAAGAAAACAGTAGTACCAACCCTCTTCCATTTCAGCATCTTGTCCCACTGGTGTACCAGCAGTAGAGGTACCAGCAGAAACACCAGAATTTGTGGACCCAGCCTCACTCTTGACAAGTCCTGTGGAAGTTAGCTTTGTGCCACCAACAAAAGTGATCTTAGGAGCAGCCATCTTCTTTGGAGGCTGTTTTCGCATAGCTCCTTTGTTCCCATTGCCAGCTTTCTTGTCACTATTTTCTTTGGTCTCCTTGGGTTCTGGAGGTTTCAGTGGTGCAGGTTCAGGAATTGGTTTACCAAGCTTCTGATGTAGTTTCACAACCTGTAAAAGCACAAAATCAGAGTCTAGATACATTACCCAGGTGGTTACCCTTTCTTTACATTTGATTATACAATAAATCGCAATGCAATCCTATCAGTTTCTGTTAACCCTTTAAAGCTTGGGAGTGAGCATCATCTAATTCCTTCTTACAGTATCACTGCTGAATCATTCTTTAAGATTGTGTGAGTAAAGGACATGACTGTCAAGGTTAAACAAATTCTCCTTGTCAGTACTAAAGGAAATGTATACAGAAGAGTATAGAGAATATGGATACTGATGTTAGGATGTAAAGGGTTAACTTGATCACAAAATAAGAGAAATGTTGAATACATGTACATTAAATCCATGGATCATTCCAATAAATCATGCCTAAATTGTAGCAGTCCAAAAAGATATCACATTCAAAACTCAAATAATGAAACTAGCTATCTAAATTGCACGCGAGTGATTAAACTCATTCATATAGCAATGAGTGTGTGGCAGAGATGTGAAACAGATAAAAATCTCTTCAACACAGCCTGCTAGATATCCCAAATTTGTATTCCATTGTGCAATAATAAACAACTTTTACCTTCTGATGTTTTGAACCTTTAAGATGGGCGGCAAATGCATCAGTCCCTGTACAAGTGACATCACAAAGCTCACAACGATATGCATTAGATGGAAGAGATTCCTTTTCTTTTTGCTTGGCAGCTTGTTCCTTCTTCTTATGTTTCTGACCCTCTAAATGTTCTCTGTATGTCTGAAAGAAGTAATTTCAATCAATATTAAACAAACAGAATATCTAATCACTGCAGGCATTTCAAGTTTATAGACATATCTAATGCAAGTGCAGTACAACTACAGTCGTCGCCGAGACTTGCAAACTCAGGTGACACAAAAATAGCATTTGACACGCTTAATGCTTCACACGTGGCCACAACCAGCAAAGGTACATAAAGAACCGTGTTAAAAACTTTTGCTCATAACAAGTCTTGAGAACGAAAAAATAAATATAAGACTCAAAAGCGGTCGGAAAGTTGGTTTAGTGCGTATTCATAAGTTAAATAATACATGTTTTAAAGGTACATGTAAGTTATATAAAAAAAAATTTCATGTGCGATGTTGAAATATTTATTGATACTAACCTGTGGTCCAGCACAACTAATCTTGCAAACATCGCAGTAATGAAGTTGAGGTTGTTTCGGCGGTGGCTTAGGCTTCATCATCTGCTGTTTCTGTTGACCGGCTCCGATCTTGTTTTTCCACCCTTGCCGTTGTGGTGTCTGTTGATGATGTTGTTGTTGAACGAAGGCCGCGGCAGCGTTATAGACAGCTGCCTCGTAAGCTTGAGGTTGGTAATTTGCGGCATTCCCAGTCGAGGAACCACCATAACTTGAAGTGTTGTACGAACTTGTTTGGCCGTAAGCGGTTGTCTGTGTACGAGCGTTAGAATACGGATAAGCCACAGTGGACGATTGAGAAGAGTAAGCTTGGGTTGGATGAGTTTTCGCAATAACCGGCGTAGCGCTCACTGATGTCGGATAAACATTTGTTCCAGACGTTGGGTAAGCTGCTTTGGCTGCCCCAGTAGTGTTCTGAGCGTAATAAGCATTTTGTCCGCCCTGTACGTTCGTGGACGGCTGTTGCGAATAATAAGACGCCTTGGTTTCGTAGGCCTCGCGATCGTAGTATTGAGCTGAACCGTGATGTGCTTGGTAAGCGCCGTGAGCTGCCTGATAAGAGGCATTTGCCGGTGGCGGTGGTGGCGGAGCGTCCTGTTGTCTTGCCGTATAGCCATAAGCACCTCCTTGCGCGGAAGATCCTTGTTGAGCATAAGCAGTTGTGCCAGCTGAGTAAGGCGCTTGTACGACTTGTCTAGGTGCTTGATTTTGTGGGGGAACATAGTGCCCTCCAGCGGGAGCAGAAGCTTGAACTCCGTAACCAGTAGTTCCTTGGGGTGTTCCATAACTGGTTTGAATCGATGGATTCTGAGCTTGAGTAAAACCCTGCGTGTGTTGTCCTCCCGAAGAATAGCCGTAGTAATTGCTGGCGGCCATGTTGGATGACTCAAGGAGAAAGAGGCACGTGTTCAAGACGTCAAACGGGCAAAGCGCAAAAAGGAGAGGCCTGGATAGCAATTATCTTGAAAACGAGGCTAATAAGTGCAGCGGCTCTTACGAAATTAAGTTTCTCGAAAGGCGGCGCTTTCTTGAAGGCGGCGCGTATCGTAAAATTGGACGCGACAAAGATAAGTTCTCTTTTGATTTAACGGCAGTTTCCCTATCCGCACATGAAATTTCATGGTAACTGACAGAGCCGTCTTTAAATTGAAGCCATTCGTCTCTTCCGAAATGATAAAGTACAGGATGAGTACCTTGTGAGAGCTGCCCGCAGTACCTTAGTCATAGTGAAGCTACTCTTCCTTGAGACTTTTCACTCGAGTTTTATTAGAGTTCGTGTTTACAACACCACTTGATGAATGCCATGAAAACTGGACTTAAGCCATGTTTTTTCTGGAACGCTGAAGATTATTTACTTTGCTGTTTTGTATAATTGGCTTCTTCGAACCCAATACACTTTTGCTGAAATGTTGCTAATCTTGACAACCCTTACGTCGAAGAAGTTCTGGAGAAATATCCAAATACCATATAATAAATGGTAGATTTCCACCTCATTTCTCATAATTTGAAAATTGACCCAGCCGCCATCTTTAGTAATTAGTATATACTAAAATGGTCGATAAGGTTGAAGGCACGCTTTGATTGGCTACTCAAACTCCGTTTATCCTTTCGCTATTCATCTCCGAGAAATTCACGGGATTTATGCCCAGAAATATTGCAATCGTTGCAGGAATAAATGATTGAGATAAAATAACATTTTTATGCTAAATTATCTCGCTATTTAGTGTATACGAAAACTATTATTTACCTCAGTGTCGGTATCTAACAGTGAATATTTACCTCTCTGCTTCGCGGCTCGGTAAATACCCACCACTAACCACCTCAACTTCGGCGAGTAGTTGTTAAATAAACAAGTTGACACAAATGCAATGGCGAATCTGTTATCGAAGTAATGTTAAAATCATTGCTTATCTACATTTATCAGAAGAGGGCTACTGCTTTGAATTCGTTCAACCTACTCGAGTAAAGTAACAGCCTCTCACTCGACCACTTTGCTGTCACAAGCCGTCTGGCCATTGCACTTCTTTAGTCCAATCAACCACTCGCCATCAGTAAGTGCAGGTTGTCTGCGTAGGCGTGGCTTTGATCCTCGCCGAAAATCTCAGAGGATTAAGATAAGTCTAGCATACTTCACAGATAACGATTTCTCAAATAAGTCTACTTCAAGGGCAAAAGTCAATTCTTGACCCTAAAAATCAAAAACAAGATTGAAATTATGTTTATTGAGCGACATACAAAGCGAGTAGTTTAGAAATTTGGTTTAGTGGCTCGATTCTTTATATGCAGTCTTGTGCAACTTAAAAAGCACAGAAAAGCATCCGAATTTCTGAAAATTTGAGGCTAAATGCAAGGTTTGAACTACCAGTAACCATATGCAATTTTGGGCGTCTTATTTGATAAGAGTGGCTGAGTAGAAATCACATTACTGATAACAAGCGCCCTGTTTTTATTCTCAGTGAGTGAATTCTTTGGTAGTCACGTTTCATACTTAAGCTCTTATCAGCAGCTGTTATCTTGCTTTATCCCACTACGTAAACATACAAACTATAATTGAATTAAGTATACTGTAAACTGTATATTTCTTTTAATTTCTGATGTTCACGTGAATCATGACGTATCGACAGTATCGTTGTAAGAACCGCTATCCTGTTGGTCAGCGCCTCTAATCCAACACTTTTGAGTCAAGAGTCATTACAGCTGTGTCAGCGGTTGTTGACCAACCAACACGGAGCAGAACTGACTCTGCGTTTCTGATCCTGTTTATTCGTTGCGCTTAGCAAAAGGACCGCAACTCTTAGAACAAGGTTGTGAAGTTTTGAAAGGAAATACTCTTTCAGCTCCTCCGAGAACCGTGATAAAGGATCTCTCGCTCCGTTTAAATGGCATTCCCGAAAATTAGCGAATTTCACCGTTTAGAGTCAAAAAATTAAAACACAGGTGCCGATGTGAACTAATTTCACGTATGTTTCTGTTGAAACAGAATTTCATCTCAACATATTATTTTCGTCTAAAAGCGAGATTTGCAAAGATGAATATTTTTCCATTAGGCAGAACAACCACTCGCGCTAATAGGCCATTTCCGAAATACTTTTGTCCTCTTTTTAAAAACAAGGCCTACATGTAGTGCTCAACCAATTGTATGTAAATGATTTAATTTGCATGTGAATGAAAAACTTGCAATCGTAAAGAAGGATGATCACCAGGACTCGCTTTGAAGAAGAGGCCAAAGGTAATTCAGAAATGTCCAATTCAAGTGATAAAATTGATAAGAAGATTCTCATTTACGTCAGGACTTAATTTATTCGTCTAGTAAGCACGGAGAAAAGTGAACATAAAGCAGTCAAATTAAATTCAGTTGAAAAGAGCGTTCATCAAGAAAGTAGCTAACCGACTCGCCTTTACGCTATCTTGGTACTTTAGGTGTGTTTTTATTCTTCATTTTCAAACTCTCCAATTGTTTATTACGAATCAGAGGGCCTTGGATTTCCTTTACAAGTATCTAACCAAACTTAAGTTCTCTTTCACTTTGAATGCACATGATGCCACGAACCAAACAATTTCCTTTTGTATTGACGACTAGAATCGCTCAATTTCTTTTTCACAAAACGTTTTTTCTTGCTTTCCGACGCACTTTCGTCTGTTTGACTGTCCGTATCACTGCAACTGGACTGACGTAGATCGTTCAGATGCAGGAGAAGCGCAGAAGGATTCATCTTACACCTGCGCGCTCGCATTTCACGGATTAAATCGTAAAAACAGACATCCACGCCATCATATTCTGCAGCTGAAGCTTCGCCGAATAACCACCCGTATCTTTTGGCCAATGTCTGTCCTTCCCGCTTCGCGACTGTGCGATGTTCTTTCAGGTCAGTTTTGTTCCCGATGAGTACTATCGAAGCTGGGCCCTGAATAGTACAGTCACGTGATTCTTCAATCATTTCTTTGTACCGCGGGATTGTGATGTAACTCTTCCTGTCTGTCATGGAGTAGACAATGATGAAACCATCTCCCACGTGGAGAAAATTCTCCACAAGCTTCGATGGCGTGTTCTAGAAAAGCCAAAATGGAGGATACATTGACAACTTAAGTGCACGAATGATATAAAAAGTAAAACAATGCTAACTGTAAATTGAAAAACGAGAATTGAAGGAAGTAGTTATAGTCTTTGGCAAACACGAACTGAGAAAGGTCGTTCATTTTCATAAAATTAACGGGATGAATACGGGGAAGGGAACCCTCAATTTGAGTAAATTTGGCAAGGCTTTTTCTTATGCCATCATTCAGTGTACAGTTTGTTAAAAGAATAAAAGAAAAAGCTTTGGAACAGGTTGGGCAGAATTGATTACTTACCCTGTAAGCTGTGTCTAACACATCAATGGTGACTTCCTCACCATCCACTGTTATTTTACGCTGATAACAATCCTCTGAAAAAAAAAAGAAAGTTAATTACCACGACAAACTAAATAATTTACCTTCCATAAAATCACGCATCTCAAAATTCACACACCATAACATCGTGTGAACCCCGTGGCTGCACTGTTTTTTTTTCCCTCTACGAGTTCACCAAAGAGCGACTAGCATCTAATTCTCCAATCATACCGCCCCTGAATCAAACATTAAGGTCATGACATGAAATGATCACCAACTAAAGAAGCTCTTGATCTTTCAACAAATTCTCCTTGTCATCACTTTAGGAAATGTCTAGAGAACTTTATGGAGAATATGCATACTGATGTAAGGGTGTTAAGGGCCAAGGGTGTGACACCCTCCCTCAGAAAGGTTAAACAAACCACGGAGGCAACGGCAACAAGAAAGAAAAATATTATTTTATCTTTTAATCGACGTTTCCTCGGCGTTGCCGTCCTGACTGCTTAAAGTCCCAGTGAAAGAAAGAGCGACAAGAACGTCAGAGAAGGGGGGGTTAGGTGCGGGTTACCTTTTGTTTTATACCAAGTTCATCGAGTTCTTCCAAGAAAACCATTTTTCGAGGAAGGCATATCCTAGTTCACGTCACAAGCTTCCATCAGAACACAGCAGCGGGGCAGGTCTTTATTTCTCACGTGGGGGTGGAGGACGAATGATTTTGGTTGTGTCACGATAAAGTTTTAAAACTTATTCCCCCATAGGACTCTGCGGTATTCTAATGATCTCCCCTCCCCTAATTGGCAGTTAATTGGCAGTTAATTGGCAGTTAATTGGCAGTCAATATTAGTTTTCTCTCTATACTCTGTTGTTGACAACTTATCTCTCGTTCCCTATGAACCTCCCCCAAAACTCCTGCCTTATAGTTTAACAAAAACTGCAGTGAACTTTCGTTACTCGTTCCTCTTACCAATTGTAGGATCATATTCCCCAATAAATCGATGACACAGGAAACGTACCAACAGTGCTGCAAGAACAGAAAAAAAAGCTTTGTCATTGATGTCCTCAGATAGTCTAGGAGTGTTCTCTGAGTAGTTCTTATGTGTACTTCAGCAAACCATGTTTAAACGAGAAAATTCGAAATTTCCTCCAGATTATAACACGCCTGGCGGCAGGTTGATTAATAACATAATATGGAAAGAATTTATTCCCAACAGCCGTCATAGTGCTATTAGTAATACAGTAATGTGACTTCCTTGGCTGGCTAACCAAAACGCTTTTCGAAATAACGGCGACCCCAAGGAAACCCATGCTTGTTCGGCCACTTCAAATACTGACTACTCCGCCTTCCGATTAATAGGAAGGTTTCATAATGCCTTGCAGAGTTTTAACTGTAAATTGAAGGATATAATCATCATTGTCGTGTTGATTATGAAACAAGATATTTATGACGTCGGTTGAAAGATTTTTAAAATGCCTTCGTCGTCCCTGACCTTCCGGAAAGTTCATCAGTTTTGTTTGATCATTAAGTGCAACTGGCAAGAATAAATACTAAAGCCGGGCAGAACAGGTTTACGAAAGCCCGTACGCGGAAAACCAAGACGAAAGTAAATTAAAAAAATATCGGTTCAACTATTTAAGGCGCTCTCCAAGGAGGAATACAAAATGCAACCATACGGAGCCAATCTGCGATTTTCCTCACGTTTAAAAAGAAAAAATAAATCTATAAAAAGAAAAGTTCCATTTCGAAATTCCCAACAACGAACTCCGCCTATAGGTGTGTCTCATTTATCCTGTGTCATAGTGTCTGTAGGTTTTCTTATGTCCGCATTCAATCTAAACCACACAAGTATACTTCTCATAGTATCGATTTAAATTGTTTGCGGATAGGAACTAAAGACAGGAACAACAATTCTGAACAAGCGGCCATTCAAGAGGCCGAAACTTTGCAACAATTAATTCTAAACGACACTGGTAACGTCTGTACGATTCGAACAGTCCACGAACGCACTTGCCAATCAGTGCTCATGAAAGAAGGAGAAAAATTACCACAGTAGCGACGAGAGACTAGTAATTATTCCAAAACCGCTGAAATTGTGAGACAGAAAAGAAAAATAGTATACTTCAGAGAATCAGACTCAACTCTGTTATGAACTTGTAAGCATGACTGATTCAAATTTCATCTGATTTTCCGCGATATCTGTTCGTGATCTTGCCAACAACTGTTGGTCCTTGTCGATCGATTGATGATGGGAAGAAGCTGTATCAGCGTCGAGCCAAATGTGTCACCAAAAGGTTGGCACATCAAGATTTGTTGAAGGAAGACAAAAAGCTTTCAAAGAGTGTTCCACACTTATCTGAGGTCAACAATCGCATATTCAAAGAAGGGCGAGCACTGTTGCGCGATTAATCACCGAAAACTGTCCAAGTTAACGAGAATGGTTTGGCTTTGAACATCGAAAACGTGACTAGCCACTCTTTCGATATGACGTTTAATAAGGGAGAACCAAACACTTGATTCACCAGGCTAGCAAACACTAGTTGCTGAACAGCAGCTCGACTATTGCAACCAAGATCTCTCTTACCAAAACAGAACAGAACAGAAAAACTAATTCTTCGTGAACCTTCTAAAAATTAACTAAAACAAGACTTTCTCACTGACCTGTTTTGCCGACTCCTTCGTTCCCAAGAACAGCAATTTTATAAACTCTCTCGGTCATGGTGTGCAACAGTGCTTTGTAGTGAAATATTACGAGACGCAGAGCTTGAAAGCGGTGTACTTCGTTCAGCTCAGGAGTTCCGCTCGACAGGCAAATAGTGTAATTCAATAAACAATAACCTCTTCTCGTGACTTTTTCTAATGAAGCTTTCTTCGTGCAACTGCTGTTGAAAGAGGTGACGCGGGTTAGCACTTTCTATACTTTTCCCTTGCTGCACGTATCACGTCAAATATATAGGACACACCACAGTAATCACAAGAAGGCAAACGAACTTTTAACATCAAAAGTGGTTTACGGAGAGAGATAAACAAGATAAATAAGATAGCGAAATTCCCTGAACAATGAAGATGACGGATTTATCGAGTTACATGTCAGTTTATCAAGTACTTTAAAGCTATACGATCATCTGTTACTGGTTAGAATTATTTTGGGATTTGCAGTTTCCGAATCCGGATTCCCACCCCTTTCCTACATGACTTTCTGAAAAATACCAACATCTCTACGGATGGGAAAAAAAAAGAAACGTTGTAATCCAATCTACAGACCACTATAATAATATGAAACAAAAGTTTGGGGTCGTAGTGACGGGATGGAAATTGCAAGAATGCAATTAATTCGCGGAAGGTATTAGGGGTACTGTCGAAAGAAGACATGCACATTTTAATTATCCGCCAGTTCGACCGACATTGGCCGCTTGGTCAGACTCAAAGCGGTTCCCTCTATTCCTTTTTGGATTGAGAGATAACACCGAGGTGCTCTAATAGAGTAAAGAGCCAAACTTGTACAGTGTTCTCCACAAGCACCGGCGGCCGGCATGTTTTGCTAGCTTCTCTTTCCTCAAGCTTTAAAGCGCTTGCCATTTTTATAAGACATGAAAATTAAGTATATCTGTCTTCGTCTAACATAAATTAAACCCTTTCCTAAGGACAGTTTTTCTAAGGACTTCTTTTGAAAAAGCTCTGAAAAACACTGGTATACCTATGACACATATTTGGCTTGTAACAAAATCTGCCAGAGCTGACATTTTAGCAAACGGTTGTTCTCAAAAAGTGGTTCTTTCAAATGAGCTTCCCAGCTGACCTCCGCACACATTAGGACGTTAAATATTTCAATAACTGTTGAGGGATGATGAAGTTATTGGAAATAAAGGCGATTACAAAAAGGGACGAAATTAAAGTGATTAAGTTCCATAACAACTTGGATCCAAGCGCGTTTCGAGGGCAAATTACCTGAGAAAATTAAGTTTACCAGCTGATTTAAGCACATATTGACATTTAAAATAGTCAATTAACTGTTGACAGATTACGAAGTGATTGGAAATAAAGACAGTTACAAAAATGGAACAAAAATGAAAGTTATCAAGTTCCAAAACAACTTGGATCCAAACACGTATCAGGGGCATTACCAGAGAATATTAAGTTTACCAGCTGATTTCAGTACAGATTGGCATCTACAGTAGTCAACTTACAATGGATACATAATTAAGTCATTGGAGATATAGGCAATTAAAAGAAAATAACAAAAATTAAAGTTACAAACTCTATTACTATTTGAATCCAAGCACGTTTTCGACGGCATACCACCCAAGAGAAATTGAGTTTACCAGCTGATTTCAGCACAGATTGGCACGAACAATAGCCAATTAACTGTTGGTAGATTATAAAGTAATTGGAAATATTGGCAACTGCAATAACAAAAATGAAAGTAATTAAGTTCCATAGCAACTTAGATTCAAGCATGTTTTCGTGCATGGAAATCACCAGATAGCAATCGAGTTTAAAAGTTGATTTCAACACATATTAACAAATTAAATAGTCAATTGACAGCACGTTGATAGATGATGAGTCATTGGAGATAGAGGCAATTTTTATGAAGTAATAAGTTACAATACTTCTTGGATCCAGGCACGTTTTCGTGGGCAAGTCACCAGAAGGAAATTGAGTTTAAACATCTAATTTCACCACAGATTGGCATACAAAATTATCAATTAACTGCTGTTAGGTGATGAGGTCATTGAAAATAGAGGCAACTACAAAAAATAACTAAACTTAAATTAATCAATTATTTCCATTACTACTTGTATCGGCGCACGACTTAGGAGGCTAATCAGTTGGAAAAAAATTAGTTCCTCAGCTGATTTGAGCACATATTGGCATTCACAATATTCATCTAACACTTGATGGATAGTGAATTCATTGCATATCTTGGCGATTGAAAAAAAAAAAAAAAAAAAAAGAAAAGAAATTAAGTTCCATTTCTAATTGGGTCCAAGCACGTTTAGAGGGTAATTCACAGAAATAAAATTTACACCCCTCGTGATAGATCAACTTTGAGGCAAATTAGAATGCCGTTCGATTGATCGTCTCTATAACACATCCAAAATAATCACTTAGTCGAATTCAAATGAAGGTATTTATGAGCCACTCTGAGTAAAGCAAAGGCAAAGACGCGCAGGAACAAAAAGCGTGACATGATTGGTTTTATTTTCACATCTTATTGGTGGATTCTCAGCCAGCCCAGGAAAAGTCTGGGAAGAAAACTCCCATCAAAGATGGATCTCGAGGATCTAATAGTTTCAACACCAAAACGTAAATCGATCGTCACGGTCTTAATAGAGAGGGTTCATGTCCGGTGAACAATCTAAATTCCGGAAATTGTACCAGCCAGGGATTATACACGATTCTAAAGTAAGCAGTGTTTGCTATCTCAGTCAAAAGCAAAATATGTTAAACAAGCCATACTAACGTTTTCTATCGTCTTACAAGTTCATAGCACGATAAAACTCTGAACCATACATTCGCGAGAGAGGTGGACAGATTATTGTTTTATACAAACGCAGCCATGGAGTTGAATTTGGGGGCAACTGAGAACGAAACTATTCAGCATTCCTGTGGAACCCTTTGATTTTTATTATAAGAGGATCCGTTCCAGTTTTTCCAATTGCAAGAGCGAAGGAATGAAGGAAAGAAAGAAGTAAGTAACGAAGGAACGAAGGAACGTCATGAAGGAATGGAGGAACGAAGGAACGTCATGAAGGAACGGAGGAACGAAGGAACGTCATGAAGGAACGGGGGAACGAAGGAACGTCATGAAGGAACGGAGAAACGAAGGAACGTCATGAAGGAACGGAGGAACGAAGTAACGTCATGAAGGAACGGAGGAACGAAGGAACGTCATGAAGGAATGGAGGAACGAAGGAACGTCACAAGGAGGAGGGAACGAAAGAACAAAGAAGAAACAGAGGAACCAGAAGAGAACATGTGCAAGTAACAAGTTAACTTGCTAACTATAGTGATCAACTAATAATAAGAACTTACCCTTAAATCATCAAAAAAGTTTTCCGTGATTACACAAATCTCTTTAGTTTGAGGATTGTAAAATTGATTCTTTCTGAGGGTTTTTGCCCTTCTTTGTTTCTGTATTTTCTTCAAGGATGCCGTTATCAGTGAGCTTCAGGATGTCATAGATGTCCAACGCTTCTCCTGTGAGGGAAATAAAATAATTCTAATAATAAATAATTTAACATCGAGAAAATCAAGAGTCCACACACTTTCTGGATTATGCTTCCTTTGTAGCTTTTCCTCAGTTATCATTTTCGCTTCTTTTAAAACTTTCATTTTTTAAAGGAACAGTGTCAAGGTGACGCATGCGCTGTGGTATGTCGAATATTTTGAAAAAGTTGGCAAACTTTTTCAAAATTTCGTCTTTAGGTCGAGTTGCCGAGTTCTATCATTCTCTATCTTTGCCATCCGTGGATAATTCTTTTCAAAACCACAATATTTTCTTAAATCAGAACATATAGCGTGTTTTTGTCCTCCCAGATCTTAAATAATTTGCTGAGCGAGAATACGTTTAGAGCTTTGTTCATGAGTGTTATCCTCGGCTATTACCGTCACTGCCCTAGAGGCGGCGAAGGCGAGTATGGATATCGGAAATTCAAATATCCAACAAGCCTCCGTTAAAAGCGAAAAAAAAAATTGTAAAGACTACTTCATTGATATCAACGTACTCCAAAACAGCTGTATAAGATAAAATTATCGCTGCGTGCCTTTTTTAAAAGAAAAAAAATTAAAAATCTCGTAAAGAGCACTTCCTAAATATTAACCTACTCCAAAACAGCTGTGTAAGATAAAATTAACGCTGCGTGCCTTTGTTAAAAGCGAAAAAAAAACCTTGTAAAGAGTGCTTCCTAGATATTAACCTGCTCCAAAACAGTTGTGTAAGATAAAATTGTCGCTGCGTACCTTTGTTAAGAGCAAAAATAAAAACCTTGTGAAGAGCGCCTCCTAGATATAAACCTGCTCCAAAACAGCTGTGTAAGATAAGTGAAATTTAACTGTATAGAATCTCTTCAACGTCAGCGTCCATAACTCAAAATTAGACGTAAATAGAGGTTCGTTAATTCAAAATATAGCGAGAAGAAACTTGGTCGTTCAATAAATTGGGTTATTTAATCCCCTGGTTTTGATGCTTTCAAAGCCGTATCATTAAATGAATTTCGAATCCAAGATGGCAATCGATTCACAAAATTCTCAGAATTGATGTGTTTCACTGCGCATGCCAGGCCGTGACGTTCTCCCTTTAACTGTTCTATACCCGCGGTTTCCCTTCCTCTAAAGACTATGTGATTGGCTGATTAGTAAACACGTGGCCCTGCTTAAATCAAAATATACGCCGAACGATACATTTATTGAACGCGATCAATCTTCAGGTTTTGCACATGATCAGAACGCGGCTGAGGCCGATGGTGTGATAGTTTTTTAAGTTCCCTTCTCTGAGCTAATCGAAAATATCAGACAATTTGACGCCAACCCCCCGTTAGCCCATGAAAACACAATGGAGAGACCTAAGGCTGAAGAAAAGCGCTTCTCTAGTACATCGAAAGAAGCAATCGAAAAACTTTTAAAGGACGACTCCAAAAGTACGGTTCTTCAAAAGTACATCTGCTCTGCAGTGTTTAAAGAATTAAAATGTGCTGTTAAAAGTGATCATTTTGCTTGTTTACTGTGTTCGTCCTCTAGATGTAGAACAAAGCACTTAAAACACTTCATAAATCGCTTAGTTTTGAATATTTTTTAACTTAGCGGCCTGTTTGTGGCTACTCGCATAAGCTGCGCGTAAATTGACTGACAGGACGAAAAAATTATTGATAGGTTCATCTGGATGCGGATTGGTTAGCTCATCTTACGCAAAGCCGTTAAAAAGAACTGCTGTCTTTTTAGAAGTGCTTCAGTTCCCACTGTGGAAAACTGTTGAACTACGCCCCAAGATCTCTTTCTACTCAAAAACAACCTGAAACTGAATTTCGACCATGAAGAATCTCGCCAAAAGCATTGCTGTATTTTGTGCATTCTTCTGTGCGGGTAAGTTAATCAGTTCAAGGTTTCGTGTAATAGACTCTTCTTTAGATGCACCCAGTTGTAACATACGAAACATCGGGGTTGAATTCCGGGTGATAAACTTATCATGTTGGTGACAACAATTTCAGTATCATCTTCATTCGCGGCCCCACCATTAACTAAATCCTACCAATTCACGATATCCTCGCTCTACAGTTGTCTATCTTTTACGTAGCTAATGAGGCATAACTTTCAGGCTTTTTTCTTTTGAAATAAATCGAATATCATCAAAAATCTTGCAACTGGAAAATTATGTGGTAGATTTATTTGTCCGTTTTTTTTTCTTTTTTCGTGATTTGCGAGAAAACAATTTTACGGTTTGAGATGACTTAGGAGGCCATGAAATTACTGGTGGGAGCTTGTGTTTATGATTTTTCTATTGTTTTCAAATTCTCCCAATTTTCGAGCTGCTTAAATGGAAGGTACACAATTCATCATTTGTAAATGAATTATTTGCAAATGCGACGAACACGTATTTGCACGCGAAGCTTTTCATTTGGCTAGTAATTCCTTTTAATGAATCTGCTTCTCTTTTTCTGAGAGACCTTATTTTTTTGGATCGAGGACGATCAAAAATTAAAAACCGTCAAGATTTTACGGCTTAATCCTTCAGCTCAGGGCTTGGAAACTAGGCAGACTTGACGTGATAACTGCAATGTCCGCTGCAGATATTGGGTTATCATGTCAAGTTATGTCAACTTCACAAGCTAGCGTATATTGATTGAGTGCTCGCGAACAGTCAGATTTTTTCTTGGTAAGTCTAATGTATAGTGATCATTTTTAACTGCAGCTCATTCACTGCAGTGCTACGTGTGTCCTTCAACCGATGAATCTTACAGCGTTGAACAATGCGAAAAAGACCAAAAGAAAATGAACTGCAGCAATATTCCTGGTGTGGTCTCGGACTTTTGTTTAAAAACTTCTGTAGAAGACGAAGATGGCAGGAAGTCTGAACGGAAAGCATGCGTGTCCAAAGCCGAATGCGAGCAGACCAAGGCTAAGTGTGACAACGCAGGCAAGACGGAAGAATCCAAAGTCAAGAAATGTTCAGTATCCTGCTGTTCCAGTGATCTGTGCAACAACGCCTTCTCGGCTTCTATCAACATGATGTTTATTGTTACAGCAGCGCTGTGTAGTTTCAAGTTATTCTAAGCACAAACAATGCTAAACTGCTCGCTATCGTAGGCACGTCACGCTGTTAATGAAGTTTATCGCCAGTGCTGCTAGAGACAGACCTCCAGTTATTACTGACTAGTAATAAATTGAGTCATTTCTGGATTAGCAATAACGATTGTTGATGAAGTTCAATTCTTATTATGGTATGCATCCATAAAGGATTATTGATCCATGCTATTTTTTGTAATCTGCTGAATAAATCAGATGATAAACAAGCTGTAGTCCCTCGGCGTACACCTCGGACTTTTCCTTTTTGATGAAAACGTTCGAAACGCGGCTAAGGCTTCCTTAAATGAATCCTTTGATTCTATAATCGCATGTAAGTGTAATTTTACCACTTCCACCTTTCGAGAACTAAAAAATACCTGAACTGCAATGTTAAGTAGCTGATTTACACGGAAAGTCAGGAGTGATACGAATCTGAAATTTTCCCAAAATATCAGCCTAATATCTTAAGACATGTTTACACGGAGGTGGGGACCCCAAGTAAGTGAGGTTACCCGCCTGTTCATATAATCTCTTATTTCATCTTGATCACGTTTACATGATAGGTGAGGTGACCCGCCTAGGCGAGACTCATGTTTCGCGCCAAAAGAGATCATTATGTTGCTATTGCGAGAAGGAATAAGTACGTTGGTAAAAAACCTCACAACAAACGATAGCATTTGTAGCTGACATTGAATTTTTCGACGCATTACTTCGACCAAGAGTGCTAATGCAAGTCGACCACATCAAATCCAAACCAGATCCTTTCTACTATATTGTGCGTGACTGATGCGAGGCCTGGATAAACACTGATAATATATCCATATCATGTTTAGTTTAAGTGTGACCTGAAGCACGTCAGCGCATGACTCACAGCAGGAAGGACTGGGTGCCAGTGACATCAATTCTCCTTCGGGGGTCCCCGTGGGGTGCACCTCTAACGTAATAGTAATCCATTTGTGTATGTTTTCAGATCATTGTGCTCACCCTAAAGGTCGTTTTAATTTTCTAACGAACGCAACTGTTCTGCTAAGTGAAGAAAGAAAAGAAAACGGAAGAAAATAGGGCTTGGAAGAAATAGCTTCTCATACAGAGGGACTGTGGTATGGAATTCACTGGACAGAACGACAAGGAACTTAGAAAAGCAAGATGCTTTGAAAGCAGCACTGAACCGTAACAAAACTTGCCTCGGCAAAATCACTTTTAACAAAGGGACCTCAACAATTCTTAATAAGGACATTAACTTTTTGTATTATTAAATGTAAATATTAACACCCCTTAAAATTTTGAATCGATCTATAATTAGTTGGTTATTTACCTTTATTGTAAATAGGTTTCTTCATGTTATTGTAAATAGTATTGTTAATGCTCTGTAAGTTTTAAAATAGTAGATTTTAGTATTTCCTAGGTAGGTCCACATCAGCTGTAAAAGTTGCCACTACGGACCTGCGTCACTAAATAAACTATGTATGTATGTATGTGATCAATTCAATCCCATATTTATTTCCCTTTTAGTACATAGTTAATCAGATAGCACAATAATCACTATGAAAATTCATATTCTAAGCAAATAAATTTAACAAAAGAAACTAGAAGTCTTGCTGAGTTTGTATTAGTATTTTCATTATAAAATGAAACAAAAGTGTATCAGCACTTTTCTTCGGCAGCAGACATGGCATTTAGATAATTCCAAATATTTGCTGACAAATGTTCTCTTCGCACGTCTTGTTCGCAATTGAGAACGCTTGAAAGTAGTTAGAGGGACGTTTAACGATAGATTATAACGAACAGAGCAACATCGGTTTAAAAATTGTGTTAACTTATCCGGAAGTTGACTTTTTCCTCATCGTACTTTGGTTAAAATTTGTCTATATATTCATAAATACAAATTTAAAGAATCAAATTTTGCAAGGCATTGTTTAATTGGCGTACACGTCGCTCTTTCAGCCGGACTATTTAGTTCCCTTTCGCTCTTCACTAGCAGACGACCCATACTCAGCCGGTTAACTGCCTCCAATCGTTGCGGTGAAAATTTCTATATTGCGCAAAACTTTTCATAGTGGAACTTTGTACAACCGGAACCAGGAGTCTGTATCAGAAAACTGCGCGAAGGGAACTGGGACAAAAACATTTCATGGTTTTTGGAGAAAAATATTTTCTTTGATTTCCTAATAAAGGGTCTTTAAGAGACTAGACAAGTAATAAAACCTTATTTCAGTACATTGCCTGAAAAAGGCTTTTTTAGTAAGTATTTAAGAAATTTTAGAATATTCTTCACAAACCTGGCGGTATTCCTTGCCCCTTATGAAGTCCAAGCGGGTTGGATGGAGTTTTGCAGTCAAGGGAAACTTCCTTTCGCAGCACAGTGTCAATATCAACAGCACTGAAGAACGCCACAGACTGTAAAAGACGCATAGACACGTACACGTTATCAAGGTTTATTGCATGAAAATCTCACTAAAAAAGGACAATAAAACTAAAACCAGCCCAGGAAAGGAAATACGTCATCTAGCGAAGCATTAACGTCAACTTCAAGGACTGGAGGGAGGGGTGAGGGCTTTGATAGCAATTGTAACTTTCGTTCCCGCACGTGCGAGAAATATAATTTTAAGTTCGAGATCATTCTCGACATTCCACACAAAGACGTCATAAGATTTCAAAACCCCTAAAGCCCTTGCGAGAGAAGCTGAGACGCAAGTTTGATGCAAGAAACAGCAGTGATGCCAGTAATACCAGAAATACTACAATTCGCCCCAACACCTCCTAACATAAAGTTTCGTAGCTCAGTAGGCACCAGCGCTCAAGTAGTGTCTGAGGGGCTCGTGGTCAATTTTTATCGAGGCTTAAATTTGTTTCAGACCTCTTTTCCTGTAGTGACTTTAAACGCAGTTGTTCCGTGAAAAGGACTTATGCCAAAGTTGATCCCGTTTTTCATGCCCACAAATCAACGCAATAGCCCTATCTGGTAAAACAGATATCGATGAAATACTGGTATTTATTTCCAGTTTCCAAGATATGATACCTTAACTTCGCAAAATGAGGATATCATTATTGTCTTTCACAGGAGCAGATACATTTAAATGTTGTGCCGTGAAGATTAGTTCCCCGATGTCATCTATTATACTACGTTTTTTTTTCCAATTTACTTATAGTATCGTTTGCTAAAACAATAAACACAAACAAACCAAAAAAAAAAAAAAAAAAAACAGGCAAAAGAACACTAGTAAGCTTCCTTAAGATACAATCTTTGTGTATGGGATACCTGTGGTAAGTCGTTCATTCCCAGTTTATGAGCGAACATCGCTCTGGTCAGAAGATTCGTGATTTGTAGTGCCAGGGCTGCGCGGTACTTGTCTTTGCTTGACACCAGATAACGAACCTGTTGAGATTTGACCACGATATTATCACGTAACAAAAACAGATACAGAATCAGGATTGAAAACTAATTTTCAACTGACTGCCAATAGAACGAGGGAAACGATAAGTGTCTTTCTGTTTTGAACACAACTTCTCTTTTGTACCGAAAATAAAAGGACGGGCCGTGACAGGCGTTGAAGTTCAAAACAAATATCTACTCAGTCTCAACTATATCCCAGTGAGTAACGTTGAAGTAAAATCCTGAAAGCCTGAGCAAATTAGGACTTGATGTCCAAACTACCATTAAAATTGCGATTTCAGTCTTTAAATTATAATTTAAAATATAATGAGTCGGAAGGGAGTAATTTAACTTGGAAGGGGAAACAGCAACCTCCAAATCTTAACAAAAATTGTCTTTTTCAAGATTGTGGTTAACATGTGCGGTTTTGAAACGCACGTTAAAACACGCTGAATCGTAAGTCGAAAAGATGCCAAAATAATTCGCCTACCTCGTCATGTATGCTGATACAAAATCTCCCATCAATATTGTACTTTGTGAAGAGCCACTTCATGCAAACTAGCATAAGGTGTAGATAGTCTACGGCTGAACTTTGAACAACCCAGTTAACACGACTGGTCATGAACTAATAAAGGCAAGCAGAGAAACAACTGTATAAAATGACATAGAGATCTCTTCAAAATAGTTGTATAAAATGACATATCTGCAAGAGATCCTCTTCGTAAAATGTTTGTTTGACTATAAAGATGTTAAACTGGACTGCCTGATATCTTTCAATTTGTCCTTTTCAAGAACCAATCTTTGGTCTGTCACCTATGTTTCCGTCGCATAGCTTGCATTCTAAACTACAATGTTGTGGAAAAAAGTGAAGTTGAACGCCCATAGCCTTGTGTCGTTAAATTGTAAACTTTATAATCGTCACCCTCATCGAAGCGCTGCATCTATTTGTTGAGGAAAAAAGTTTCTCGGTGCGTCGGCGCTGATCCCTGCGTTAAGTGAATAAGGGTGTCTTTCCATGTTACAATACTCTACCTCTGTGCCAACAGCAGAAGGCTCCAGTGATTTGCTGATCCTGCAGTCCAGCACAGGAGTCCTGGGCTCCACCGATTGCGCAATGCTTTCCAGCATATTAAACATCTCGGACTCGCTACAAACAACGAAACAACGTGAGCTATAAACGAGCAGTACTATGATGAGTTGGTAATTGGGCTCATGATCGCACTTCAAGTCATGAGAACGTTCTGCACTAATGCTAATCACTCCTAACAGATACTGGACACACCAGAATCCCTATCAAATAACTTAATGGCCGCTGTATGAAGCAAACATTTTGCTGCTTAAAGGACACGAAACCAACCTTTGAACTCGAACTGAAAGGCTGACCCTGCATAGGCTTATCTCGGTTTCTGCAACTAAAAATTTTGCTACTCTTGTCTCATTTTCCTACGCGCATGAACCCAATGCCAGGCTACCGCGTATCCTCTATACAACAGGATACAAATATCACCAAGTGTGTTGGATATAATTACATGATCAATTTACCCTAATTAAGCTTGGTTTTGGTCCTAATCTACTCAGTTATAAAGCGCCAAGTCATAAAATCAGAGGGTTTCCATAACTTTTACTATAAGCAGCTGCCGATGGTGTTGTTAGCGGCTCTGCCCAACTGGAAAAAAGCCTTAGGACGAAACCCACACACCAGACGGCTGTAAGAAGTCAGAGGTAGAACGCCAGTATTCGGCTTTTAGTGAAACCCTCGATAGAATACTAGAACTTCTGAAAGGACAACGGCAATCCAGCTTTCTGTCAAAAGTAAGTGTTTCCCTTCTTGTCTTCCCCTTGGAACACAAGCAAGAAAAGCTGAAGAATCGACAACGACGGTTCTTGAAAAAATGTCTTCATAAAAGATCGTCATAGAAGCATTCATACACTTGATTCTTAATGATAATAGCATACCTTCCTCCACACCATCTTCGGCCATCGTCAATGCTATTTCCAGTTGTACTAAAAGTGAAACAAACCCTACTTCAATCGACGTCCACAATACACAACAGTTAACTCTCTACACCCTAACATCAGTATGCATATTCTCCATACTGTTCTCTATACGCTTCCTTTGGCACTGACAAGGAGACTCCGTTAAACAATCAAGGGCTTCTTTAGTTGGTGATCATTTCCTTTATTCTCATGACCTTAATGTGCGATTCAGGGGTGATATTGTAAGGAGAGATTAGATGCCAGTCATTCTTAGGGGTTAGCGGTTAAAAGCTAATTCAAGGCATGTTAAATATCTCACCGTCGCCTTCGTGCAGTTTTCCTGAGCAGCTGATAATAAACTTTGGCCACAACACAACCATTTTCATCAACGTCCTCGCCGAAGCCAAATCTTTGCGCCATATCTTTCCCGAAATCCGTGAGAAGAAACCTACAGAATACAAAGAAGTCACAGTCGAATTACAAAAATCAGTCTGAAAATAGTGATAACTGAACCAAAGTCTTTATCATTGAACGGCATTTGCAGACAGAAAGGCAATACACTTTGATTACCAAGATAAAAGTCGTTACTCTTCTTTAACATCAGCCACGAAAGAGTTAAATAGCAGAGAATTTTGTTTTAAATAACCTTCATCCTCTAAGTCATTCCCTATTTTAATCTCTAAAAGACGATGCTCTTGTAGATGCTTTTACTCGCAAGAAATCAAACCCAAGTTGGGTAAATGTCAGTATCTGAGCAACTGCATACCAACCCCTCCCCTAACCCAAAATTAACTCTAACTTGTTATCAGAGTACTGTTTTTGGGTTAGGGGAGGGGTAGGTGCGCAGATGTTAGGATACTGACATTGATCCCCCAAGTTTGAATTTTTCCACCGGATCAGCGATAAATGCTATCTTAACCACCGACCCTTGTGAATACTGAACGAAAATTCAGTCTTAGGCCATCATCTGACCAAGCAGTCATGATACCCTAATCCTAAAAACTATATTGTGCTTTCTTACTTAGCTACTCCCTTAGTGTTAGAAAACAGTGTCTCAGCTTTTTGCTTGGCTTCACTCTCCGTCAGACGATGGTTGAACTGTAGAAGCAGCTTCTCTGCGTATTTCTGTCCTGCTCCATAAATACGACCATAGTTAAAGACCTAGATCAAAAGAAGAAAGTAGATCAATCAAATTCAAATCACCAGACAATCCTTCTTCTGCAAAAAGTGGGTTGGTTGTTGAAACAACACAATCCATGAATTCAAACCATGTGTACGGAAAGGCCATATGAATAAAGAGAGCAAGTTTCTAAATAATCTGTGGTGCTGTATCATTAGGGGCTATTACAAGATGAATTACTTTTATCGACTGAGTTGATAATGAAAATTTTCAACCGTAAAGATTTTGTAAAGTTGACGTTTCCAACGTTAGCTCTTCGTCGAGCGATTGTTCAACGCGAACGCGCGAAGCAAAGGGAGTATAATCAATCAATTTTAAAGCTATTCACCAAATTCATATGTTTTTTAAAAATAATTCTTAATCAGATAACTAAGCATCTGCTGGAAAAGTAAGGAAAGTCGCCGACGAAATAAATGCTAATATCTAAATCCCTTCCAGACCGGCTACTTAACTAACCGATCGTTTACATCGCCACTTAAGAGGATAAAATGTCACACTGCGGCAACACTCGCCTCTCACCGATGTGACGCGGGTTCGATTCCCAAACCTAGTGGTGTTAGACTGGAATAAGATTTGTTGCTTGTTCTAGTCTATGCTGGGAGGATTCTCAGTTTACCCCCCATCGCAGTTACCATCCTTTTAAATTGCCATATGACCTCGAGACAGGGGGCGAAGACCCACTGCGTAGATGTACCATTGATAAATTCTGTGAATCGTCGAATGGATCGATGGATGGACGGATTAATTAATTTACACCCCAACATCAGTATGTATATTCTCCAAACTGTTCTCCATAGTAGAGCTCCTTTAGTTGGTGATAATTTATTCAGTCCTCTCACTTTAATTTGTGATGTCGGGATGATATAGTGAGGAAAAATTAGATGCTAGTCACTATTTGAGGTCATGTTAAACATGACTGCATTCTTACCTTAGCGTGGTCCCGACTTATCCCAATAGTCTCTGCGGTCTTACTATGGAGGTCAGTACCTTCTGATTTCTTACCCTGAAGGGTCATCCACCCAAACGCCGTGCTGCCTGCGCGATAAGCATAGTAAAAAGACAAAGTTGTATTAGCCGGACACAAACAGAACTCCCGCAAATGTCTGCTGGATACAAGTTAAGTTTATGTGCAACAATATTTATTTGCTTCATTCCCAACTCTCTCTCTCTCTTAACCCTTCCACTTTCTGATCACATAAGTAATTCTCCTTTATGTCAGCCATATAATTCTTATGATGTTTACTCGGAGAATTTGGTGTTGGATCAACAAATAATCCCCTAGTTGATATTTTTCATTATCCACATCACTTTTCTGCTTGTTATTGTATTGATATTGTAAGGAGAAAGTCTGTGTTGGTCACTCATGGAAATTAGAGGGCCCACTCTTAATTCATTTAGGGCCCACACTTTATTCATTTAGGGCCCACACTTTATTCATTTCAGAGTCGTACACTGTGCACTGATGCAATTGAAGCCATAAAAATCGAACATACATTTTTAACATCAATGCAATTCGTTTGTGGCAGCCATTTTAAATCATTTATATAGTAGGCTGTGACGAGGCCAGGTTTTTTTCTTAAGTTTACAAACATCCCAGCCGTCCCAGACCCCCAAAAACCTCGGTTCCATAGTTAACACACATCTCGTGTTAGAAATGGCTGCCACAGATTAAAACTGCTTTCTTAGAAAGATGTCATTTAATGCCCAAGTGTTCCTTTTTTAAGTAACGATACTCTGATGTAACGTAGACTAAAACATGAGTAACATGCGTACGGCTACCCACTTTTCCGAGTCTCTGGAGGAACAGGCATCTGAAACCAGGTTACTTTGTTGCCTGTAACTGCAAAAACTAACCATGTATCCCGGCAAAATGCGCATCCCCTAAAATGGCAGCAATCCAGAGCTCCTGACTGTCTACATCAGCCCCTACTAAACAGTAGCCTGGAGGAGCCCGTACCATAGCCTTCAGTTCAGAACCAACACGATCCTCCTAGAAGAGACAAAGCCGCAAATAATATTCAAGATACTTGCAGCTCCACTACCAAAGCTTGTAAAAAAACAATTAAATTTAAATTTACAATTTATATAGCGCTTATTGCAAGCCTCTAAGTGCTTTGTAATATGAAGGAGAGTGAAACAAATCTTTCAAATAAACGTAAAGTGCTTGAAAATCTTAACTGACAGGAGGCAGACGAGTTGGCTACACAGCGCAGCCGTGGAGTTGAACTTGGGAAAACCGAGAACAAATCCAGTGAGTAGCTGGATGGAGGACTTAACCCGGGACCTCCAGATTACAAATCCAGCACTTTTACCACTCAGCCACACCGCCTCCCTAATACACAAAACTACAACCAAATCGCAGCTGACTTGCAAGTGCTTTGCCCCATTTTCAACAGTTCGCCTAGTTTTGTTTGATTCTTCATTGATTGGCCCCTTGTAATCTTTCGACATATGCTTTTGATCCGTTGGCCTTTTGCTTATTTTGGTGTTTGTTTAATCGAAAAGCGCTCTTATACAAATGCAGCAACACTATTTTTACCCTAGGATTCGTGGCCGTCATCCAAGTTGGTTCCACGGCTCTCCTTGTCACTGTCCCAGCTGTGATGACTCGAGGCAAGATGGCACCGTACATCTCATCAGCACTGTACTTTTCAGATCTGCAATCCGTAGAAACAAATTCACGACATTTTATACCGGACTTAAAAGATGGAGAAAATTGTCAATATATTGACTTTTTACCCTGTAATTTCCGGGGGTAAGTCCGTTCTATCAAACCAAACAGCCAACTGTGATCTACGGAGCGAAAAAAAAAGAAGCGAGAAAATCTTGTCATCAGTAATAAAGACAGCGTGATTTTTGCTTTCGCTTCCGCTCGCCTGAAAAATTCCAAACATGCAAGGAAAGAAAAGAAAAAAAATAACGCCTGTTCTAAAGGCTTTCATTTACGCCTAAAATTTTCCATTAAACCTCGCATTACTGCTCAAAATCTATCCTCTTTTCAATTATTTGTCAACCTCTAAATAACTATCCGCACCTGACTCTTTTTTGTGCATTTCTCCAAGAGGAAATCATCTTGTTAATGACGAGCGTCTTGTGAGCACTGTGATCTCCTGAGGAAGACACCAGTGTACCATCCTCCATCTTGCTAATATAGTCTTTGGCTAGCGGGTTACCACAGCGATAATTCTCACCATTCTGAAGGAAAAAAAAACTCGCAGAAGTGATTAACATGTAACTTCTCCTTAAAACATCCAAATCTCATTCAGCAGATAGGTAACGAGAATACTCAAACAGTAACAGGTTTCTCGGTTTTTCTACAAATTCTCGTAATTTATTCACAAGCACATTTGAAGCAGCTGGTCGGGAGGATTAACATCAGATATGGGGAGATATAGGGAAAACACTTCATCCTACAGGTCTGTTACTGATCAGAAACTGGGAACGTTCCTGAAGTTATTGGTCACAACAGTAGGTACATGAGACTCAAATCAACTGAGAAACTTAGCCACGAAAACGTATATAAATGTTCCGATGACAAGACGACAAGACCAGCACTGACCCAGAAGACTTCAAAAAAAATGTTCACGTCATGCCTGGGGGGGGAAGGAGAGGGGAGAGGGGGACGAGTATAGGGAGTACAAGAAGAGAGAAGAAGAAGAGGCTCTTAATATGCCTGTTCTGCAAGCTTAAGTATGAGAGGCCAGTGACAACCAGTACCTTGTGTGGTATACGGAAAAACCATACTCCTGGGAGATTGACATCATTGTAAGGTCCCACGCCATGATAGAAATCAGGTCTGCTATCTGCTCCTGCTGATGCTGTTGTGCTCCTAGCTCGAGGTACCTTTTTTGCTGGGGCTGTCTCTAAACCACCGTCTATGATCTCATCGAGGTCCCCTGTATTAGAAGCTGATTTCTTGGTTGTCAAAGTTTTTGGTGCTCTCATTTCTTCCAGTTCTGATCTATCCCAGAGCTGATCTTCACTGATACTGTACACATTCAGTTCATCATCATCAAACTTTGAATCTGACTCATTGGCTTCTTTGGGAGTTGCATTCATGCTGTGTTTCTGCCAGAGATTGTCAAATGCCCTAAAAGGTACATTAAAGAAGGTTATTACAATAGAATCTGAAATGAAACAGTTTTATTACCTTCTGATAGGAAATACTGGATATAAAAATTTTGTCTGTGAGTAAAACCTAAAATGCTTTGTTTGATGTTGCTGCCTGAAAAAGCTACTTTTTCACTAATTTTTACCTTGTCTCCAAGAAATAACCCGTAAAAGTATATTCTTCAAGAGGCGTACTTTATTTTATGTCACACATACTGAGATTTGCTCTGTAAAGTATTATCGTTCATACATGTCCAATACACCCAAACCGTTGCGATTCGTCTACGGTCGTTGAGGAATCGTCACACCGGCGTAAGCAATATGTGAAATTACCATGGTATGCCGGAAGTCGAATCGCGCGTTAACATACCGGAGGTCGAGGGGCGTGCACGTGAGCAATGAGTGAAAATGAGTGGCATGGTACGAGAACAGGACAACATGAACCTTCCACGTTCTTAAAGCATGAAACGACCGGAAGTCTATCGTCAGAATATTATAAACTATAACTGAGTCTCTTGCAAATTGACTTCCAGTATGCGTTTCCTTGTCATAACAGATGGTTTTTCAGATCTCCGGTATCACAACACCACTTAACCGCGAATCGACTTCCGGTTTGACAATTCGCAGCGGTTTGGGTGTATTGGACAACCCTCTCACTGGGCATTAATTTCCTATTTCCCTATTTACTACACCCACCTAGTTGGGAATACTAATTCTGGTTTCTGTGTATCCACTGAGTCCTCCTCGTTGCTTGGCAATGTCATAGGGCTGGAGGTCAGATTGTCAGTCCTTCCAGGTACAAGATATCCCCAGCCATGTTTGCGATTGTAGAGCAGAGGAAAGCCATCCCATGTCATACGCAAGAGGGTGGGTGCTACTTGACATTGTGGGCTGATGGACACAGGCCCCTCCCTCCACTCACCTTTGTCTGATGGTCCCATGCAAAGAGATCTGTACCAACTGGAGACAGAGTGCCACAACATTACTAATTTGCAACCAAGCCTTTTTGCTAAGAGTTACTCTCTGCTGTGACATTTTCCCTCTGTCTGCAAATATGCCGAGAGTATGTATGCAATTGACTGGAAATTAGTTCTTCTTTAATTCTCCACAAGTCTGCATGGCTAATATAATAAAAATAGCATATATGTGTTTGGTATAAGTTTGAGCAGGTTTTTCCCAACATCAAGGCCTCCTGCCCATCAAGAATGAGAGTTGCATTACTCAAAGTGTGTAGATTATAGTCTTAAAAAAAAAACAAAGTTTTCAAACATAATCATTGTCATTTTTAGCATTTTTAGCATTAGCATTAATTTTGTTATCATCATCATCATCATCATTATTGTCATCATTACCGCTTGAAAAAAGAAAAAGGCAAAACCTTCAGTCAAAGACTTAAGTGAATGGAGTTCAAAGCAGAGTTCTGATCACTAGATTACAGAAAGTCCTTCCTTTTCAGCAAAGTCCAAGGGGTAAGTAAAAAAAATAAGGGGAATAAAATGACTTTTTTTATCTGCCATGACAAAATTTTGCCAAAAAAGAATTACTACTCCCACAGAATCAAGTTTCATGAGGTTTATAAGGTCAGAGATAGTACTCCTAAACCAAGTGTTAAAAGCCCCACTCACTTAGGATAACCTGGTAACTTCTGTCGTCTTTTCCACATAACATCTGCTGCTGGTGGGATTCTTGCCAAGATGTCAGACGAGTTTTTCAAACCCTCTACCACCTCGATATTATTGTCATCAATCATCTCATCTTCAAGAACCTCTGAAGTGGCATCTTTGCTAGTTGAACCAAAAGGGTTGATGGCAAATCTTCACTTATACCCTTGTCACAACTTTCAGTTTTCTTTGTCTTCTTTGGAGGTTTGGGTTTTTTTGTTCTTATGTCTTGGACAGACCAATCCAGCTCCCACAGCCAGGGGTCCTGTTCATACCTTAAAAACACAAATGAGTTATCATTTAATGTGCTTATTCTCCACACCCTGTTCTCCGTTTACACAGCCCTTACAAGAATAATTTATTTAACCCTGTTGCTCCAAAGATCTTGTTTGCAGTTATCCTTACTGGTAGTCATACAATTCTTATGATGTTAGTGCAAAACATTTGGCATTGGATTAAACAACAATCCCCTCATTGAGACTTTTCTTAATTCTTCTCACTTGTCTGCTTGATATTGTATTGATATTGTAAGGAGAAACTGAGTGCTAAAGCTCACACAGGCCACAAGCTTGGTTCTTAGTCATCCATCTGTTGAAGCTTTGATGGCTGAGTCAGTTTCAACATTTTTTTAAGCCTTTCCAGAAAACCTTCAGATAAGTTTTGAAAAGTTTTTGAGGGTAGAAAAAATTAAAATTTCAACATAATTTTTTAAAAAAATAAATAAAGGTTAAGAATCTTGCAAACCTTTTGCCATGAAGGTAGTTACATGTTTCATCAGCTAGTTTCATCAAAGAACACTTCATTTCCTTCTCCAGATCTTCATAAGTGTCATCAGCATCTCGGATGTAGTTTTCCCAAGAACGATCAACAGGAAGATAAGCTGATCCCATCTCTAGCATCCCAGCAAAAGATACTGGGTGTGGGAATCTATCCAAGAACTTTGGCCACAGAGCAGCAAATACCTCTTGAGTTGCTGTAGTATCCTGTGCACAGTATGTTACTAGATCCTGTCAAGAAATTGAATTGAAAAGTGATTGCATGTTGGGTGAAGAGATTTGGATTAGCATTTGAGGTATGCAGTATTCATATTCCAAGCTTGTCATCTATAGAATGATCTAGAAATCTGGTGCACAGTTGGAAACAGCTTTAGAAATGCAAAAGTGTTCACAACAAACACCAAAGGGATTTAAGGTACAAGCTGTAGTTTAATAAACATTAATCGTGTGACAAGCACTGCTTGCAGATTTTCAAACTCCAAGACCTGTTTTTATTAGGGAGATGGCAAAACTTTTCAAATTTCTTTCAAAACCTGTCCAGATTTCTTTGATTTCAAATGGCGTGCCAATTTTTTAATTAATATAGTGCTCAACAATTTATGGCAAGTTTCATGACAAAGCAATGGCTGCCTCATCCACTCCATCAACAATGTCCAAAAAACCCTTTAATCTACTTGCCCTCTATCTACAATCATCACTGTACAGAAAAAAAACATCCCAGGTTTGAAATACTTTTTGTTGCATTACACTAAGAGATCAGAAACACCTGATTAAGGAACCAGAAACTTGTGATTATGATCTTTGTTTTGTTAGAGAAAAGGGTCATCATATAAGTTCCACTAGTTGGTTGTCCGACAGATTGCAGAGGTTCATTTCTCTAGATTATGAAAAAGTTGATTTACAAGGAAACATATGTTGGTATGTTTTCAACATTTTTATAACAATATTTGTAAATTAAATCCCATCCTGCCTTTTGGGATGTTCAAAAACACTTCAAACAGGATTTTTTAAAACAAAGTCCCATACTGCAGAATTTACAGCTGTACATGCATACAGCATTTCAATAATGTCACTGTTAATAAATAGATAAATAACAATGTTCTGTAACAGTAGGGTATTGCATGCATCTTGGACCTTCCTTTCCTAAACCCTTGTCATACCTGAAAGTTTGCCCTCACATCATCTAGTGTCCCATCAATAAAGATTTTCACCAATGACTTGTCTAATTCATCACCACCACAATACAGGTTATGAAGGTCTATAAGTTTGTTTCCTGAGCCAATCAGCATCCAAGGCACTTTTCCAATGCGTCCTGCCTTAGCTGATTCCCAAAGGCTGCGTTGGAGACTTGTCAAGCCAGAGATACACATGTGTAAACTTAAGGTGTCCAAGAAGTATGTTTTAGGTCCCTTAAGTGTTACAGTTAAGAATATCAGTTATGAATAACATGAGATATCATTCAATACTTACATATCTACAAAGGGTATTAGAGTAGTAACATAATGCATTAACTCCAAAAGATATCATCCCCTAATATGCCTTACCATTAAAGAAGTATTGCATTTAGAAGTGATGTTGTGTTCTTGGGCTAGACACCAAGTCAAATTCAGGAGTGGCATTGGTTACTGCCCAAAATGTTATTGAATGGACTGTTATCAACAAGCATCTTAACCAGGACTTGCCACAATCATTTAATGCTACAAAAACCTGCATAGGCATGCACCAGCACCTGGTGGTTCATATTGCTCAAGTGCAGAATTTACCTTTTACTTTATTTCCTTTAAAAAGAGTAAGATTATACAAGTCAAAAAACTTTAAATGTTTACACTTTAACCCTTTCACTCCCAAGATCTCATTAGTGATTCTCCTTACTGTCTGCTATACAATTCTTATGATGTTAGTTCTGAGAATTTGGTATTGAATCAACTAATAATCCCCTAACTGATATTTTTCTCTATTCTCGTCACTTGTCTGTTTGATATTGTTTAATTGATTTGGTGAAGAGAAATTCCATCTTGGTCACTCATGGGAGTTAATGGGTTAACATCTGTTCAGTATCCATATTCTCCAAACTCTTCTCTGTATTTTTCCTCTGGTACTGACAAGGAGAATTTGTTTCACTATCAAAGCTTCTTAGTTTGGCTGGTGATCATTTTCTTTTTTCTAATGATCTTAATGAATGATTCAGCAGTATATTACTGTAAGCTGAGAAATTAGATAAGGCATTCTTGATTTAAAAGGGCTGATAAATCAATCAGTTTACAAAGTTTAACTACTGTCAGTAACAATTACCAACCAATCGTACCTTAATATAATATTGTTCTTTTACAAAAGATCTGTCGAATCCCACAGAATGACCCACAACAAGCCTCTCTTTCCACTTGGTTGAACTCCACTCCTGATCTTTGGGCAGTTCCAATGGAATATACAGTTTAGGAGATGGTCTCAGAAACATGTTGTAATTCTTGTCTTCCACAAGGCTTGGACTGACCCAGCAGTACCTAAGTAGCAGCAAACACAGTACTGTTACTTTAACAAGCAAGCATCAAGCACTAAAATTTTAAAGAAACCTATTGCTAAAGGGTTATTTATTGTCCAAAATGAATTTCAAGTACAATATAATTAAACAAATTTACATCTGATCAAGAAAAATACCATAAAAAGAGGAAATTCAATAATCATACAGTACACATTGTGAATTTGTGCATGATAAATTCTCTACAATGTAGTCACTGGTCAAGGCATTCATTTCAAATATAGGATAAGATAGGGCACTTACACCTGTAATTATGGGAGGGAGGGGGTTGCTGAATTAAGGACAAATGCTCCTAACAATAATATGGTCATATTAACTTGTGATATGGTATTTGTGTGTAAACAACAAAACAAGCTGTGTGTTATTTTACAAAGTGAGCAAATGAAACATTCTAACCCTTTGATCCCCTAAGATTGATTTACATCTAATTTCTCCTTAAATGTCACCCCTGGATCATACATTAAGATAATGGGAATAAAGGAAATGATCACCAACTGAAAAGAAGCTCTTGATTGTTCAACAAATTCTCCTTGTCCATACTCTAGGAAATGTATAAAGAACTGTATAGAGAATAAGCATACTGATGTTAGGGTGTAAAGTTGGTACAAATTTCATAAACTAAAACAAGTTCTGTGCAGTGCTGATGAACATTTGTCCTTAAAAACAGTAACAGGTAGAAGTTGGTCATTAGAGAAGGGGGTACATTTGAAAGTATAAATCCTGGGACATAAATTATCACTTATCATTACCACGCCTTGGGAGATACAGCCACTGCAATCACTGGAAATGGTCCTTCTTTCATGCACACCTCGACATCAAAGATCAAGGCATCATCTTCCGGCACATCCACTGGGGAGGTGACCAATCCCTCGTCACCATACACATACTTAGTCCATCCCGGAGAAAAGTTCCATTCATCTGGTATGGCTGACAGCGTCGTTTCCGCTAACATTTGAGCTTTCTCAAAATATGGTCTGCTCTGCTCTTCTGCGATCGTTCTAAAGTGCTCATCAATATTTGAACCTTGTAAAGGTGGAAGCTGGAAATCGACATCAGGCAGAACTGATCCGGTCTTGCTCCACAAATTGTGCACCCCTAGATGTTGTTGGCATGTTTTGACCGTTTCGGAATCGTAAGCCTCTGATTTACCGTAAAATACTTGACTGTGTAATTCTGTAGACAGCATCTGAATTTCTAGAGGGTTAAACCTCTTTGGTTCGTTTTCCGAACTTGCAGCTTTTGAGTCATCTTGGATTTTGGAAGAACAACGGTGCCTCACCAACCATCGATAGCAAAGTGGAACTCGATCCACAGCTCGTGAATTACGAACCAATGCTTCAAAAACACGATACATCTTTTATGACGTTGTCATCTCTGCAAATCACGTACATTCAGCGAGGGACTTCCGTGAAATACATAAAAATCCCACAGAACGATGCAGTAGTCAATCTCAGGGCGTCCTTGCCGCCATTAAAGCAATGTTGGCTAGTTAGGGAGGGCTAAGTGATGTGCATGTTTCTGATAAAAAGTACATAACAGCCCCTAAATATGAAGTGATATGTTGGCTTTTATTTTTATATTGCAAAAAATATTTTAAAAGATATCTGAAAGTCTTATCAGTCCCGTTAATTACCTCAAAGCTTGTCTAACACGAGTTGTTTCATCCCCTACCTCCCTTCCCTCACCCCTGCGTTTACACCTTACTCGGAAATCCGCTGACACATTTATTTCGGGACACGCTTTTGCCTGATGCAACACCCGTCGGAGTAGTTGTAAAAAGGAGTTCAAATTTGAGTAATTCAATAACTTTTCCCTCTTTTAACCGATTATTTTAGTTTAAAGAGCGTGGAAAGAGGAAAAAAGAATGGCTGCTGATTCTTTGAGCGCAGACATGGAAAATATGGACGTACAAGGTAAGGGAAGGTCCACGTGATTCCAGAAGAATAAGCTCTTGTAGAGTGCTATACAGATATTGAACCAGCTTTCGAGATTTCTCGAGTAATTCGTGAAACACGGCGTTTGATAAAATACTACAGCTGTTTTTTCGAGCACTCTATCCAACTGAGGTCAGGCATTGATTGATTGTCAAGCCATTCAATAATCGCGTGCAAAATTTGTACATTAATCGAAGCCACTTTTTTTCCCATGCCATGAAAAAAAAAATGGCTACAGTTTAACCACACCGTTTTCGTTAGGTGTCCGGGAAGTGTGGTTAAATACTTTTATTTAGAGCTGCACACTTCTTGTATTACGTGTAAGAAACCTAAATACTGTGTAAGAGGTTTTTTCAATTCCCCAGCAATCAATTATCGTCCATTGGACTGATTTCTCATTTCTTTCTTCCGCCTCTGAAATCGAAAGTAAAAGTATGTACATGCCAGGACAGGCATGACATGATCAAGTTCATAGCTTTGATGGTTTTTTAAGTTGTTTTGCATATTTTTCTTCATTTGAGAAAGTCCGTGAAATGTTACCATATTTTGAAAGGATAGTTTTGGCTAGCTATTTACATATTTTATGTTAATTATCATGATATCTGTCGTATCCTGATTGGTGAACACAGCATGCCTAAGTGTAATGATAATTATTGCTTAGCAATTTTAAAATTGCTGAAAGCAAAATGAATATACAATTATCAAGCAATTCTGTAGACAAAGTCTTGTAGGTCGTTTACCAATTTTATCTTAGTCTAATACAATTGTTATAATAGTTTATCTTTTTTCCCTAACATGTGTATGATATTCTCCATACTGTTCTCCACATATTTCCCGAGGTACTGACAAGGAGAATTTGTTTGACAATATATTCAAGAGCTTTTTTTAGTTGGTGATCATTTCCTTTATTCTCCTGACCTTGTTGATTGTTCCAGCGGTGAAATTTTTAAGGTGAAATTAGATGCTAGGTACTTTCAGAGGTCAAAGCCCTTTGACAGTCCAAGATCTAAATATTAACTCTCCCCACTGTTTACCATACAAATGAGAAATTGGAGTTAATTAGACAATATTTGTTGTTGATATTTTGTCTTTCTTCTCATCACTGATCTGCTTGAAAATGTATCGATTTTTAAAGGGGAAATTCCTTCACTTCTTGGAGCTAAAGAATTAATTACTTGTGGTATTATAAGAGCAATTACATTTATTTATCTTCTTCAGAAACAGTAAACAAAAGTAGTGCTTCTGTGTCAATGAAATTGCACTGAGATTATTTTAGCCAGATATTTTGGAGTCATATGAAAAGGGGCTATTCAATAATGGCACTCTAAATTGCTTAGTAATTTAAGTGGTTAAGTTAGGGAAGGTTTGATAAATTTGATAAAAAAATATACACCAGAATATCAAGGAAAGACTAGCAATCCTTAAGTAACATTAATTTTGAAACTTCTTGACAGACAGATTTTTAAAACTTTCCAGCCAACTAGTGTTATGCAGTATTTTTGAAATGCAGGAATCTGCTCTATTATGTTCAAAACTCAGTGACTTGTATTTTTTCGAAGCTAACCCTTGTTCTGCAATCTTACTCGCACCCTACTTAATTGTTAACATTCATATTGATAGATTTTAACAACACTTAGGAATACAGGTACCTTCATGGCAAATTTTGTGAGACAGTTGTTTATTAGTTTCCATACATCTGAAAATCTATATTTCTTGTTTTGGTTTGCTCTAACTAAAAATTTTTTCATCTGCCTTTTTTTTATTATTCTTGGACTTAAGTATGACTTTTCCAAAAAGGTTTTTTAATTTTTCACTCTGTTATCACCTTCAAAAATTCCACACAATTTTTCTTATAAAATTCCACAAGATGTAGTAGTCTCTCTGTTTGAAATTTTTTCCAGGTCCTAGCTAGTTAGCTAGAGATGCGTTACTTTTCCCTTCCCTATCTTCGAAGGGGGACCTGGCTATGCACCCTAAAGCTGTCTCGTTCGGCTCATTGCTGTAAGCCATATAGGCTCATAAAGGCCCATGCTCAAGACAGTGCAAACCAAGTTAGCTTAACAAGGGCCATTAGAATGTATTGCCCCCTTAAGAGCATAGGTTAGTGAAGTGTTGCATTCTTTTATGTGCTTGCGTACTCTTGTAATGGAATTGATACAGCTTATAGATCATTAGTTTCAAGGTGGCATTTTCTGTTAGTATTTATAAAGCCTGCATGAAGATATTAAAAAAAGCACGTGCACTCAATCAGAATTGGAGTTAATTTTTATGGTTATAATGTACCAAAAATTTAGTTAATGATCCTTTTCGTTCATTTCAATTTGATACATTAGAAATCTACCTTAGTTGGTCAGTATATATATGTGGCATGGATTACTTGTAAAGGAAAACTCCTTAGAGAGATTGTCTAACAGGGTATTCTTGCTGTGGTTGTTATGGAATATCACCATTTTTCCCCTTTTGAATTGTTCTTTATTAGCCAATGGCCCAGTGATCTACACTTCGGAAAAAGAAGGGAGTGATGAGTCTGGAGATGGATCTGCTCAAAAACCATTTAAAACTGTTATGCAGGTATATCTTCCACCATGACACAATTTAGTTTACATTAAGTCAATTATTCTGATGCTGTTTAGTTGTTGGTTTGGAAATACATTGAATATAACTGATGGGAACATGTGGCATTTTTTCCTTGTTCAAGGCTTTGCGCATCACTGATGGAGAGGAACCTCTTCCTCAAATTATGGTGGATGGGAAAGCTGATGGAGAGGTATTGACAGTGCTCGTTAATTTACTTTCTCTTCAAAACTTCCAGCTTATTATAAAATGAATTGGTTTTTTATTTCTGGGCAATTGAGAATTGTTTCTGACCTTCCCCTTCTTTGACAATCCTTGTTCCTCTCTGTTCCTGCAGCTCTTTACCAAACATTCCTTCTTTTTGTTAACTTCCAGAATTCTGAAGAACACCACATAATGCATTCTTAATTTGCTGTTATGAGTATTACTTATTTCATGTATGATAAATGATCCTGCATAAATTTTCAAACTAATGAGTGCATTTTTGGGTTGATCAATGTATTTTGCTACGATTCCAGAGGTATGAAAAACTTGCCAAGGCTCAGCTGAAGAAAGTGACCAAGATTTATGCACAGGAAAAAAAGAAGTCCGAAGACAGAGAGAAGAAGGAGGTGATGGAATCTATTTCTCATTCAGTATAATTGATATGCTAAAGTGCTAATCAAGAATTTTGAGGCACCTTGAAGTTTCAAGGGGAAAATAATAGCAGTACTAAAGCTGAGACAGGAGAAGAGGTGGGAGGCCATAAGATGAAGGAATCATACACCGGCATGACTACTTTTGATGCAATTTGACATCAAACATTCGACTGGAATGTCCTTGTTGTCATTGGCATTTTGAACCAAACAAAGCAGACAGAGAGTTGTTAGGAAATCGCACTTGGTTAGCTCAAGTTTTAGAATGCTGGACTGTCATGTTAGATATTCTAGTCTTCTTGGGTAAGGAAGATAAGTTATAGACCCCATCTCCTGCATCATTTCTCTACTGGTTAGCTGCCCTGGGATGTTAAGAAACCCACACACTTCTCACAAAGAGTAGGAAACGTAGCTCCCAGTGTTTTGGTCTGGCCTTACTATTGTTTATATGGGCCCAATGGGTTAAATCAGCTCTGAGCTGAAGTGAGCCACCCTGTCTAAATACTGATCACAAATACATACATGTTCATACATGAGAGAGATTTCACCAGTGCAGGCAGTACTTTTGTAGTAACCTCACTTTACATTCATAGTCCTTTGAATGTGCAGTTTTGGAGCATAACAGTATAAAATTAATGCAGTTACTAATTAGTGTTACATTATGTCACATGGTAGGCTGAAAAAGCACAGCAAAGAGAGAAGAATCTGGAAGAGGCCAAGAAAATTTCTATTAAGGAGGATGAGAGTTTGCCAAAAGCTACAAGGGTAAGCATTTAAACACATGCATTGTGGTGCTCATTACACTTTACATATCATTTGCTTTTAATCTGTACATGGAACTTTCTTATTTCTGGCTGCAAAAATCCACTTGTTATTGAACACTTAAAATTGATGCTGAAAAATAATGTGGAAGGAAATAAGGTGCATATAAATTTTGCCATTGTTGTTGTCAGGTTTATGTTAAACCTAATTTGAATTTCTTTCTAGGGTATTCTTACTATGAATTGTTCAAATTGTGTGTATTTTTATTTTTGAAATAATTTGAACAGATACAGATCAGTGAGTCAGTAGCTAACCGTGACAAGAGAGTGAAGGTATTTGGTTGGGTTCACAGACTCCGAAGACAAGGTGAGTTTCTATGTGTTTTTAGGTCACAATTGTGGCTCCACAGAAGCTGTGGTCCTGCCATGATTTCCTGTAAAGTAATTGAAAAGATTCAATAGCCTGAATTTTTTTATCTCTCTTGGTATAACTGAATGTTATGGTAAGATGATCAGTGGATATGTTTTACTATATTCTCCCTTGTATTTTTGCACCAGGTAAAAACCTGATGTTTATAGTTCTTCGAGATGGCAATGGGTTTCTTCAGTGTGTCTTATCAGATCTTTTGGTAAGCAACACAAATTATATCTTTGGATTATTCTTGTCAAATAATTCAGTCAACATGGGTACACTGTGGCTTTAAAGATCACCCTTTTCAAATGTGTGCAAAGTTTAATGTTATACATTTATTATTAGAGCCAATAGCCTCTAATAGTTTAATTAATTTCCCTTTTTTTTCCTTCCAAGCAAAATTGTAACACTTGAATCTATAAATTATTAATAAAATGTAAAATTTGGTGATCATGTTAAAGCTAGCTAGAGTGAATGAATAATATCTTAAATCTTGACTATATCTTAGAGTACTGAATTTTTTTTTTCACTTCTCAGTGTCAGACCTATGAGGCTGTAACATTGGCCACTGAAGCCTCTGTGTGTCTCTATGGTGTAATCAAGGCACTTCCAGAAGGAAAAACAGTAAGGCACTTTTTTATTTCTTCATCATCTCCTTCAATATTCTTTTAGGGATAAGGTGTTCATGATCCTTTCCTACTTCTCTACATCCTAGGCTTTAAGTTCTATTTTGTTCCATGATGACCATATCAGTTTCATTTCTTGATCCACACCTGCTAGTCTTTTAAAAATCCTAAGTTGCACTCTTTTTCCCTGGATTCTAAAGAAGGCTTATTTGGTAATCTACTCAATGTTTGTCTTGGAGGTGGAGGTGGAGGTGGAGCATTTGGTTGAAATGAATTTCATACGTATCTCAGCTTAACTTAATTTTTCCCTTCAGGCTCCAGGTGGACATGAAATGGCTGTAGATTTCTGGGAACTTGTTGGGGATTCCCCTGCTGGTGGAGTTGATAACCTGGTGAACGAGGTCAGCAGATCTGAGAATGCTCAAGTTATAAAAATAACTTTTTAAGTCCCATGAGTGACCAAGACAGAAATTCTCCTCACAATATCAATACAATATCGAGCAGACAAGAAATAGGAATAAAGACAAATATCAATTAGGGGATTATTAGTTGATTCAATACCAAATTCTCCAAACTAATATCACAAGAATTGTATAGCAGACAGTGAGAAGAATTACTCAATAAATGAAATCTTGAGAGTGAAAAGGTTAAAATAAATCGACTTCACATTCAGTTATTTGTATGTAGTACAGGGTTCAGGAAATCCTGGAAGCAGACTTTTATAGAAGTTTTACTATCTTTACTGTTCATATTCTCACCAAGAAACATTTTTTCTAACTTTATTACATATTTAAAGATAGTTATTCACTCACAAAGATTGGAGCAATTCATTGAAGATGTGAATTCTCACTTCTTATATTTACAAGTTAGGTTTTTATAATGTAAGACTACATGTATTACTTAATAACATGAGTTCAGATGAAAAAAGACTGAAACTAAAAGCTTAGCATTGCTAATTTAGTGTCAATTTATCAACAGGAATCTGCCATAGACACTCAGCTTGACAATCGACATATTATGCTCAGAGGTGAAACGGTGAGTTCAATATTGAAATTCTGCTTTAATTTCTCACTCCTGAATTGACGCATTTGCTTGTGAGGTAATACTGACAATACAGGTTTTGCATCCTGACCTACATGTAGTCATTTTGTACATCTTAGGTTTCCAAGATCCTGAGAATGCGCTCAACAGTTACACAATGGTTAGTGAGCTACATTTATTTTAGATTAAACATAGTGTCATGTAAACTCCACATGTTTTGAGTGTCTTTAATAACAGGACATTTTTGGAATGATTTAGGACAGTAATATCACTCTTGTCACTTAATATGCCATTAATAGTCATCAAAAAATGGTAAATATCCCACAATACTTCATAAATAGGCATGTACATGCAATCATTGGTTTTACAACCCTTGTATCCTCTCTCTGAATATGGTAACTGGCATGTGTTCTGTGAGAGTGGTTAAAGTAAACATACATACCCCCATGGATCACCTCTGCCATAATTCCTATTGCTGCCAGGGATCTTGGAAAAAATACACAACATCTAGACTCACCATTGACAATTTGATGAACATTACTATGCAATTATGAATAATTTCTCAAGATATATTCCATTTGAAACAAGGAGACATTTCTTTTCTGGACTATTATAATGTTAGTGTCATAAGGTTAATACCAGATTTTGATCAATTTACTGAGAGTTCAAGTTCCCAATAATAGAAAGCTAACTTGCAATGATGTATTCAAAGAACTTCATTGTTTTAGTTTCAGAGCTCATTACTTCAATCGCAGTTATGATGAGGTAACACATTTGAAAGTTAATCAGAAGTGACTAAAAGTCAATTAATTTTCTGTTACACATGATACATACAAATAAGTGTACATTTTACTGGAAAAATGATATTTTCTCAATTTTTTTCCATAATAGGAAATCCATCCAACACCATACCATTTTCATTTGAGATCATCTTAAACAATAATTAAGTAATATGTGATGAGAACAACGAGTTAGGTTAAGTTTGAAAGATGCAGGTAATTAACAGATACTCCTACTGACAATTACCAGTAGTTGTAGTTTGAGTCAGAAAACTATCAGTTAATATTAAATTGTATTTATTTGCCTTCTGACAGGTATTTCCACCTACCATGGTGCAAACACAAGTGGAAGGAGGATCCACTCTCTTTGATTTCAATTATTTTGGTGAACCAGTAAGTTTTGAACTTTATGTGTTGCTTAGGTACAAAAAATTAGGTAATTTATAGGCCTTTGTTGGTCAATGGGTAATTTTCCATCAGATATCAGTGTGATACATGTATGTAGGAATATTGGTTTACTCAAGGCTATTTAGGTGTTGTTGTTTTTTTTTTTGAGTACAATTTCTTTGCTTGTACTGTTGACCAATCATCAAACACTGCATTTTTTATTTTTCAGTTACTCTGTGTAGGAAATATCTTAGTCTTTTAGTTAACATTTTTTCAAGGCTGTGACCTTTAAATGTGTGGCAGCTTATTCAGAAGTACTAAGGTGTGGGATTTCAGAGAACTTGATCTTTTAAAAAAAGAACAAATCTTCTGTAATGCTGTATATAACTAGAGGCGTGATTTGGAAAAGTTGATTTTCATTGAGATAGTTGTGTCAGAGGCAGTTTGAATTTCATAATTACAAGCACTATTGTGAATGTGCCTTTTGATGAATTTACATATTAAATTGTATCATGTTATTATTTGATTATTAGGCATATTTGACACAGTCATCCCAGCTTTACCTGGAGACAGTAATCCCAGCACTTGGTGATGTGTTCTGTATTGCTCAGTCATACAGAGCTGAACAGTCACGTACAAGAAGGCACTTGTCAGAGTAAGTGCTGGTTGGTTACCTGTAGCAAACAGGTGGAAGTTAATTGTTATTGTAATCTAACACAAAATGATCCCAACTAATTTGCAAGGGAAATGTGTAGTAGCCAGAAGGGAGAATTAACAATCAGATCAAGTTTAGTTGCAAGGCTGTGTTCTTGCAGAGACTGATTGACACAGGCAACTGACAGTTGTGCAATTTAGGCAACCTAGATTTGTAACACGAGCCTTCAAGCATCCATTGACTCATCTAAAAGAGCAAAAACTAGAAAAATAAAACAAATTCAAACTGTGGCACCCAATATATGCCCATTGCTTTAAATGCAGTCTGCTTAAGCAGTCAATTGTGGTTAGCATGCCCATGTAGCACTTGGTTCCCACTCCTTGATTCTAGTCCAGAATTTCAGCATTCATTGTGCAAACATGATGCCAGGCTACATGATTTTAAATGATTAAAATTGCCTTGATATTAGCAGGCAAGTCAAGAATTTAAAGAAAGTGACAAAACTTTTGAGTCTGTAAAACACGTTTCAACAGAAACTTCTGTCATCTTCAGTTAATTACTGTACAAAGTGTTGGAAGTTGAATTATATAGTATGTAGAACAACTAACTAACAACTTTAGATTAAAAGTGCATTTTCACATCAAAAAGCAATTATAATTATTTCTTCACTTTGCAGATACACTCATGTGGAAGCTGAATGTCCTTTTATATCATTTGATGATCTCCTGGACAGAATTGAAGATTTGGTATGGAAGCACACTTGATCTGTTTATTGGTTTGGCTTTCTGATTGCTTATCATCCAAGTGTCATATTTTATAACAATGTTATGTAAACTGAGACCATCAATTAATTTTTGTACTTCTGTTTGTCCTTTCAGGTATGTGATGTTGTGGATAGAGTGCTGAAATCTCCACATGCAGACATACTCAAAGAATTTAATCCAGTAAGTACAGGCGAGAAATCTTTAGAAAACCGCAGAAACTGATCCTGCTTAAGTAACACAATAAAATTTGTTATTAGATAGAAAAGGTACAAAGTCATTACTAACTTATAAAAAAGCACTTATTGAAAAATTTGATCAGGATAATGTTTATACTTGGAAATCATTGTGTCCTAAGTGCTATTCCATTAGGAATTTAAGCACTTTTCGTCAGTGTTCTTTTTAGTAGATATTAATTATTATTAGTCTTTAAATAAGAATTGATATATATTTTTTACTTGTAAATTCTTATAGTTATATACATATATTTTGATATTTTTAGTGAATTATCTATTTTATTCATATTTTGCTTAAATTCTCCCCTACCGTTATTTTTATTGGGCTTTCACCTAGTTGGAGCTTGCTCTGTCGTGACTGTCCCTTACTGAGTTTTCCTCTTCACTATTGTTATTTTCAGTTTTCTTCTTCTTCTTACCAATTTACATTACCTGTCATCAAACTATTATTTATTATATTTATATGTTATGTACTTACGGTAAAAATGGTTATAATTAGTTATTAGTTCCTAAAATGAAACATGCATCATTCTGTAACTCTGAGTTTTGTATTATTGTATGACAAATACTTTTCACAAATCTGTCTAAGTTACGAAACTCAGAGTTACTGGGAAGTCAAATAAATAAAAAATAAATAACAATGATTATAATTCAGTTACTATTAATAATGATCATTTACTAATAATAATTTTTTTGGCAATAATTATCATTTATGTTAATAATTTAGCTCTAATGTGCAAGGCAGAAGAAAAACAGATGGAGGGTTTATCAAAATATTTGTATGTTAAGATAACAATTAGTGCCTAGAAGGTAGCCTGATTATCCCAAGGACTTTTAACTTACATGTGAAATCTTTTGTGTTCTTTCAGGATTTTAAGCCACCCAAGAGACCATTCAGGTAAGTCCATGAGCACTGCATGAATATATTTAGATTGTTTTAAAAAGAGTTATCATGTGTTTTGGATTGAATTCGCATTTTCAATTTACAAAACTCCAAATAATTTTTCTTCTTTATTGGGTAATTCTTATATATTACAACTTACATTTTTTTCCATTAGGAGAATGAACTACAGTGATGCCATCAAATACCTGAAAGAACATGACATTAAAAAGGAGGATGGCACCTATTATGAATTTGGAGAGGTGTGCAATTTCAGTAGATTGCTGAGTAAAAATATAGACATTTGATATCGATTTCAAGTTGATATGTCAACAGTTCTGAGGATCCACCTCATAGAGTTTCAAAATTTTTTTTCAATGTGGATACTGCTTTAAATTCTCAGAGGTGCCTGATAATAGAGTCCTTTACTATTCCAAAACTACTAAATAGCTGTAAAAACAACTTGAAATACTAGTGCTTATTATTTGAGGTAAGTTGCAACATGCTGTACAAGAATTACAAAATTGTGTAGGCTATTCGTTTTGATAACCCTGCACATGGGACAGAATGAGCCCAAGACATCAATTGACATTTTTTAGAAAACCAGGATTTTAATTCTCTTCTCTTTTTATTTCTTTTTTTTTTCCTTTATTGTTTGGTACCATGTAGTGTTCTTTTAAATAAACATGAGATAATGAACTAACTTTACATTTACAGCCAATGGTAAGAAGTCATTCTCATTAAAAGGGGTTCTCCTGATATACATGTAATTTGTGTTTTGAGAAAAGTATGAACTTTATTTAGAGGAAATTATTTAGAGTGGAATGTACTCTGTTAGTGATAATCTTCTTGGGTCTCTTTGCTAAGGACATTCCTGAGATGCCAGAAAGGAAGATGACAGACCAGATCAATGAGGTAAATCAGTCATTCAGTCATTTATAAACTCTGAATAGTTACCATCATGATAATTTTTTTTGTATAATCCTTTAATTTACTCTTAAGATTGATTGGTGTCTAATTTCTCCTCACAGTATCACCATTGAATCAAACACTTAGGGTTTTGAGAATAAGAAAACAATGGCTAACTTAAGTAGGTCTTGATTGTACAGTAATTTCCCCTGGTCAGTACTCCATGATTGAAGCACATAGAAAAGTGTGGAGAATATGTATACTGATGTTAGGATGTAAGGGGTTTTAATTTTGTTGTCGTTTTTGTTTTAGCCAATCCTGCTGTGTCGCTTTCCTACCAACATTAAGTCTTTCTACATGTACAGATGTCCAGAGGACAAGGGTCTGACTGAATCAGTAAGTACACAAGTTTTTTTTGAAAGCCTGTAAGCCAAGTTCTACAAATGCAGAGTTATCGTGGCTATAATCCATTATCTTAGTCAAAATGGTTCAAACATTTTTTTGTCTGCATTCTTGTCAATGTTAGTAACAAATTAATAGGAATGCATTGAAAAAACAACAACAACAACAACAACAACAACAACAACAAAACAAAAACCAAGATTGAGAGGTTGTGGAGTGCATCAGTCACTTTAGATTTCCTACAGCATCTACTACCTTTTTTGACAACATAAAGGTTGATAAAATATTCGTCATATCCACATGTACATGTAGCTTTGGAAAATGTGACCACAAAGGTTGCATACTGCTCATGGGCATCCGTGCCTTGCTCATCATTAAAAGTGTGCATGTTTAACTTAGGTTGATCTCCTGATGCCTGGAGTTGGTGAAATTGTTGGAGGATCCATGAGGATGTGGGAATATGTAAGTATTTGGAAAGGATGACATATGTTTGTTCCTTACAATTTTAGTGTAGTTTGGTGCAGCGTCCTGATACCATGATCCTTGCATCAGTGACTCCCTTAAAAAAGTAGGGCCTACAGATAAGAGATCTTCTATTTAGTTAAAATAAGTGAGAAATTGAGTGAGCATTTCTCCACCATTGAACACTTAACCTTTAAAGACATAAATTTAGCACAAACATTCCCAATAATTAATAATGTTTTAGTTTAACAACTTGAGGTAAATGTGCAATAACCTAAGTCTCCCCATGGTTTTCATACATTATCCAGCAAACAGTCAACAAGAATACTCAAACTTATAAGGGAATAATTGTTATCTTGATTTAACACCAAATTCTCATTTCTAATTACATAAGTGATAGGGGAGAATTAACTATAAGATCTTCAGAGTTAAAAGGGTTAATACTAAATTAATTGATCAATTCAAGCTTCAACATATCCCCCCCCTCAACCACCATCCCAGGGGCCAACATTGTGTGTGGATTTGGTGGCCAATTTTTTTGCGAAAGGCAAATAGTAACAATCTTCTGAGCCACTCCACTTGGGAAGGAGAAATCTTTACCTTTGGACACCTCCATATTTAGGTAAAATACTTGTATTCCACCAGAAAGACTTGACATTTCCAGTTCAAATCCCCCACCTCAGCCAGATAAGGTTCAAATCCCCCACCCACCAGGACAGACAACAGTAGAATGCCTGTCAGTTGTTAAGGAGGGGGGGGGGAGTGGGTGGGGTGTTAAAGCTTCAAATTGATTGGCACATCACCCCGTTCCTGAATTGATGGTTATACCTATGATTTGTTTAGGAGGAGCTGCTGGAGGGTTACAAGAGAGAGGGTATTGACCCCAGCCCTTACTACTGGTACACTGACCAGGTATGTCTTTCCTACTGTCTTACGTAAGGTTTAAGGGCAAATTTTTTTGCAGTGTGTTTTATTAATGATTATTGGTCACTTGTTTAGGACACTTTTATTTGGGATTGGGTAAAAATGGAATGGCCTTTGAGTAGAGCTGAGTTCAAGGACCAGTTTTAACCTTTTTACTTTTAGGGGTGAAAAAAGTGCAAAAATACCTTGTGCAATAATAATACACTGTCCAGGAAATGGAGGGTTAGAAAGTCCTTTATCTGAAAATATTGTTTTAATCTATACACACTCACAGTTATTCTCACAAATAACTAAAGAAGAAAAGACTACTTACATGTTGGTGAATATCTAAAGGAAGAATTAGCTTTCATTGGAATTTTTCTTCATTGTGGTATTTAAAGATAAAGTGCATCTTGTACAAGTGTTGTGAAAACAAAACTGAAGTAATATAAAAACAGCAAAAATCTGGCATGAGTTTTCTGGAGCAATCATGGAGGGGTAGTGAAGTAAAACAAATGTTACTTGTACAGTATCTGGAATTACTTTCAAAACTTAATTGGAAGTCTCTCTGTATAGTAAAGCAATGGGTTCCAACACAAGGCTCTGGAAATATTAATCAAGACTATTTAGGCAATAAACTGCACTTTCTCATGGTGTAATAACCCACTTAGGTTGGTGGAACATGAGAACGGTTTGTAACTCATGAGCTGGAGGCTCTGTGGGATTACTGATGAAAAAAAAAAAAGTTTTTAGAACAGTCAGGGTTCTCATAGTATCTGTCATGTTACAAATTGATATATGGACTTCATCAATAATATGTACTAAAATCATTCCTTTTGTTTTCACCCAATTTTGATGATCAAATTCACAAATAAATGTGTCCTCTTTTTTGTTCTTGTTACTCTCAGAGGAAATATGGTTCTTGCCCACATGGTGGATATGGTTTGGGACTGGAGCGATTCCTCACATGGCTGCTGAACAGACAGCATATCAGAGATGTCTGTCTGTACCCACGCTTTACTGGAAGGTGTCGACCATAAAACAGATGTTCCTCAAAAAATTTTAAATGACCATGAACTAGTCAATATGGGACTTAGACTGAAATGCGTACCTATGGCAGTTCCTTAACAGCTATAGTGTTATAATAGTTAGACTAAGTGTTAAAATACTTCTATAACAAGTCAAGTGCCTGCCTCACAAAATAAAGAATTGTGCTCCCAAAATGTGCTGAGAAATTTCTTTAAGACACCAACTTAAACTTCACCTTTATTTGCATTATTCAGATGAATCAATCTTACACGTACAGTATGAAATCACAGATTATATGCTAGTCACCTTCAAGGGTGACTAGCATCCTATTTTTCAACATTGGCATTGCTGAATTTAACATTAAGGTTATGAGAATGGTGGAGATGATCAACTAAAGGACTTCAATTGTTTGACAAATTTTCCTATCATACTGTAGCTAAAATTCATGTCAGTATAGAATGCAAAGTGGAGGATAACCATACTGATACTGCAGTCAAAAGAAAGAGCATCTCCTTGATTATTGGTATTGAAGGAGATGTTGAAAGATGAGCTGATATGAAATGCATTATCAGAAACATCTCAGAGAGAAAAGCACTAAAGACCTTTGCTGTCTATGGGATAACCACAGTCATCCCAGTTTCTCCTCATTATGGAGAAAAAGATAATGGGTAACTGCTGTTTCCAGTTCTTAAACAGACAAAGAAGTCTTGCATTTTCAATGTATTGCATGAATATATTTTCTTAGTTCCCAACCCATACCCTGGTTACCAGTTTTCCTTCAAAAAATTATACACATTAAAATGCAACAACACAGTATTGCCCATAATACTCTACTTCCAAATTTATCTATTAATTTCCTAATTTGCAAATGCAGAATATACATGTGTCTTGATAGTAAGTCAATGAAAAAAAAAAAAATTTTAAGGTGGCAAATCTTTGGTTTATACCCTCTGACAACATCATTTTGATGACAATTACAGGGAAATGAATTAGTTTTCAGTATATTCAAAATATATTAGTTCATTCTGAAGTTGTAAGTACCCTACCTACAAACTTTATTAACAGTGGATATTCTTAGATCTGAAACCTGAGAAAAAGTATGAAAAACAGCTGCTTTTGCAGCAGGTGAAATTAAACAAACTTTTGTTCAGTGCTATTAAGGTCTCTCTCCAATACCACCAGCTAAATCATAAACTATCTGAGAGACTTCTCGTGCCAAAGAATCCACTGCTTCTCTTGTGTCTGCCTCTGCATAAACACGGACAACATCCTCAGTACCAGAGGGTCGCACAAAGGACCTTGCACTTTTATACCCAGCAACAAGCTTATCAATTTCTTCTTGAAGCCCCTCTGGAGCTGTAGTCTTCCTCTCAGAATCTGTTGTTTTAATGACTGTGCGATCCTTGATGGTGACTTTGCGTTGCCTATTGGGGAGGTCTGTGTATGCAGCTCCCCAGTCCTCCAAGCTCCACCCCTTTTCATAAAGGATGGATTCAACCACTAACATGTCACTCATGGCATCACCCACAGTTTGGTTGATAAGATCTACCATGCTTAAAAACTTTTCAGCTGCTTTGTGCTTCTCGGTGCCAGCATCAGTGTCTTGAACAATAGCCTTCATCTTGGCCACAACATCCTTTGTAAACAGCACAGTTCCATGGCCATTTGCCTCAAAGTAGACTCCAATATCAAATTCTTCAGCTTTGTGGTGAACATGCTTCACTCCTGTCTTTGCACAAGCTACAGGAACACCAAGGGTGCTCTCGGCATAGGATGTTGAGCTACCATTGGCATAAGCTGTCTGGACTATTCCTAAACCTCTTTCGAGTGTCACTCCTGTTTTATCAAGTTTGTCTTTCAGGTAACCCACCATCAAGGTGGCAATTCTATCTCCATCTAACAAACAAAATTTATTTTCTTTGTTGAAATAAAAATACAGGACTCGATCGGCATCACCATCGAATGTGACGCAACGATCACCTGGGGTTATAACCATTCCTTCAGGAGCACGTTGATGAAGCTTGACAAAATCAGCACCACACTTTTCATTGAGCTTTCCAGTTGATCCGTCATTACACACCCAAATGGAGAGGGTATCATTCAGGTGCTGGGCCATTTCTTTGATTTTCAGAGCTCCTACTCCATTTGCACCATCCAGCTTAATAACTGGTACATCAGTTTTTCCCGATAGTGAACGCAGATGAAGGAAAGCCTTGGAGATCTTCTTGTAATATCCCTCTTCTGTGGCCTCGCCGTATTCACCGGCTGTATTGGCACATCTCACCATGTAATGCAACTGAGGGGTTGACAAAACACCTACAAAAAATTATATTTCACAGTTTAAATTTCAAGGTTCAAAACAACATTGTAACCTTGAAACCCCTTCAAGTAACTAACATGTAGTTTCTCCTTACAATATTACCCCTATATTAAACATTAAAGGACAAGAGAATCAAAGAAATGATCACTAACAAAAAAGTTCTTGATTGTTCAACAAATTCTCCTCGTCAGCACCTTAAGAAATGAGTAGAGAACAGTATGGGGAATACAGATACTGATGCTAGGATGTAAAGGGTTAACACAGATATAAATACAATAACACTGTAAGGCATTACAACTTTTATACATCAGTGAAACCTTAAACTCCTAAAAGTGACCAAAACAAAAAATACTTTTTACATTGTCAACATAAAATCAACCAGACAAGTGATAAGAGGAAAGATATTAATTAAAGGATTATTAGTTGATCCAATACCTAACTCACCCAACTAACATCATAGAAATTATATGGCAGACAGTGAGGAGAATTACTAATGAGGTCTTAAGAATGAAAGTGTTAAGCTGATAAGGGTGCCAAAAGGACTTTAATACAGGAAAACTGCATCAGTCGGTAAGAAATTTGAGTTTCATGTTCATCCCATTACAGTTTAAGATAAACAGGGTAATTAAGTATTATCAACTGAGTTGATAATGTAAATTGGCCACCATGAAGGGTTACAAAACTGATGTTTCAAGCATTAGCCCTTCAGTCTTTCACTATGACAAAGGGCTACTGATCGCTTGCACAAAATGTGCCCACAAATTCGCATTTTGTCAAGTATGAAACATAGAGACTTGGGCATGGGCAACTAGTGTTTTTACTGTATAATTTTATCAATAAAATACATGCTAACATTGACACAGAATTGTGCATGTGCCTGAATTTCTTTGACCTTTAAACTTGACAAAGACGCTTTCAAGTTTTCGAAAGTTAGATCAGACAACTTTTAATAGACTGAAATGTATCACCTTAATGTTGAAATAATAAAGTTGAATAACATAACATGCGGGTTATCCACCAGTGCAGGTAATCTGTTAACTTTTTTTTCGCCATATGCAATAATTGACCATGCGGGTACGGTAATGTTCAAAACGTCAGCTTTGAAACTCTTTACAGTGGCCAATTTAAGTCTTTAACCCAGTTGATAACACCAAATTACCCTGTTAGTCTCCCACCAATGCAGCAACACAGTTTCTTTACAAACTTACCCCCTTTACAGTTAAAGATCACATTGTTAACTTTTATTCAGGTGTATAAAACAAAGTGTTAGTTTATCTGCCAAAAGGAAAAACAGATATGCGGGCATATTCACAGCTTTTTCTTTTCTACTTGGGAGTTAAGAATAAACTACTGCTGCACAGTTTGCTAGAACTGTAAAGAGAAGACACATTGCATTAGGTCACACCAGCTAGAGTCTTAACCCTTTAACTCCCAGAAGTGATTAAAATGTAACTTCTCCCTTTCGTATTCATACATTATCCAACAAACAGGCAATGAGAATATTTAACTTATCATGTACAAGTTGTTTTATTGATCTAGTACCAAACTCTCGTAACTGATTTACATGAAAATGTGAAGCAGGTAGAGGGGAGAATTAACAATCAGATCTTGCAAGTTTAAAGGTTAAGGGTGTTTCTACTAGTTTCACTGCCACCATGTCACTTATACTAATTATTGTCCAAATACACCACTTTATCCTACAATCAAAGCTCTCGTAAAAGACACCCTTGTAAGTTATTCAGCAGCTTTGCATATATTTCTGGCCACCTTCACATGATAATATTAGTATTTCTACACAATATCACCACAGTTTAACATTCCTAGACTCCCCGGCGCTTAAAGGTCGTCCAATTTGGTTAGTATTGGAGACAGGAATTCCAATCTTTCTAGAGTTCTAACTTACAAACAAGAACTCTCACTAAACTTGGATAGAGAATACATCTTACCGGTTGAACTAAGGATATGGCCAAAAGATTGAGCTCGGCTCTTTACTTCCGTTCAGTATTCAACCCCTCCTCCCCCAAAGGAAAAATTATCTCCTTACCGTAATCCTGATACGATCCACCCAAAGCTTCAATTCCTTCCGCTAGAGCCTGCACGAACTTTTTACCACTTGGTCTGGTGTCTCGTGCAATGAAAACTTTAGCTGGGACATTCCAATCGATACCGTGTTCTGTGACTACCCCCCTCAGGACTTCAGCCACATCTTCAGCATTGGCAAGTTCCGATGCATGTCTCTCCCAAGATGGCTGTAGCATCTCGCCAAAAGGATCGACAAGTTTCACACCATTATCGTGCTCTGGGTTATGAGAAGCAGTGACGACCACACCGATTACTTGTCCATTTTTGGCCTTTGAACGCAGAACGGCTAGCAAGCCCATGCGAAACATCACAGAGTCCAGATTGTCAGCCAGCGTACGAAACCCTGCGGTTCCATAACTGAACTTCATGTCAGGTTTTGGATGTTGCTTACTAACTTCTGCAGCCTTCTGGAGAAAAGGATCCATAATCATAGGAAATTAGAACGGAGAAATAAAGGCTAATCACTAAAAGAAGCGTTGAATTTCCTCATGAAAGGAGACACGTTGGTATCTCGGTTCCAGATCTCTATCGCGCCCGAGTGCCAGCGCACGCATTTTTTCAAAACTTCACCGCTACCATATAGTCTTGATTACCGCTGGCTCTTCCTCTTCTACCCCTTCGTTTCGACCACTGTTGTGTTCTTCGGACGAGGTAATATATCGACTTTCATCTATGCCATCCTTGAGAAATATTATAGACTTTTACATGTAACAAATAAAAATGCTATTTCTATGTTTCTGAGACAGATTATTTTCCTTTTTTTATCCTAAAATTCAAGTCGAACTGACTTCTCAGAGCATCTTACGTCTGTGTCATGAAAAATTTGGGCGAAGTCGTTTAATCACAGGCTTCGAATTTATGTGGGACATAAGGTTGAAACAGCTTGAATGTTGCAATTGGTAAACTTTTATCGTTGATTATCGCATTTCAAACTAAAAATTTATCCAAATATCAATCGAACAGAGAAGAAACCATGGCTCGTAACCTAGAAATGGCGGTAGGACTCCACAAGGGTCACAAAACCACGAAAACAGTGCAGAAACCGAGACCATCCAGAAGAAAAGGAGTAAGTTTTTTTCCTATTATTCTTTTAACTGTGGTACTGCATCGTTGGAGGGTGTAACAAGACAATTTAGTTTTATCAACTGAGTTGATAATTTAAATTGGCCACCTTAAAAAGTTACTGAAGTTGACGTTTCGAGCGTTAGCCCTTTGTCACAGCTCTCACGAAGGGCTAACGTTCGAAACATCAGCTTAAGAGGATCTGTACTATGGCTTCTCTACATAGCCTGAATAGTTGTGAGGTGCACTGTATGATCTCAGTGAAAGAGTGAGATGTTGTTCCTCTCTAATTCTAAGTTCTGAGTAAAAGCAAACCTCTGCTCCAATGCTAGTATTGTTATTGAGTATGATATTGAAGAAATGTTACATGGTTTCCGTGTTTACATAGCCTGATGTAAACACGTGGGAGGTTGGGAGAACAGGAGATAAGTGTAGGAAACCACGACGCAAAGCGGAGTGGTTTCCAGCTTATCAAGTGTTCTCCCAACCTCCCACGTGTTTACATCAGGCTATGTAATACAGAAACCATTTTACATTTCTTTTATGAAATAACTGATGAAAGAGCCTCTTCTTGCAACGAAGGAAAGCGATGTGCTTGTTGTTGTTGTTCATTTGGCTTTTTGGCCGTTTCTTGAATACTGGGAAAATTAAACTCCAAAGAAAAATTAGGAAAATCTTCTTCTTCCATTACTGTACTCAAAACAAACTTAAAGAAACTGAGTTACTGCTAAATAAATACCAGGGAGAACTCCACAAGAAGATTCAGTATGAAAACCGTGTTTACATACGCTGACGTAAAATGGTTTTATGGCCAAACAGAGCGTGCATACTATTTGAATTATTTTATAAAATAATATTATGTACTAAGATATGGTTGTGTCCAGAAAGTGTAACAAACTTTTTCCTCACTCTCTTCCTGTTGTAAACAATTAGCAACTGTTTGCTTGTTTTTTTGCAATTCAAGGACAGAAAATGCCTGAACATTCAGTCCTACTAGACACATTTTTGAAACTAACTGGGCCATCTTGTTGCATATGTCACATACAGTGTCTGATCCAGGATTTCCAGCTAGGGGGGGCAATTTGCCCTAGTCATCAATTTTCTATCTCTTCTCTTTTTGTGGCATTTATTCAAACTATGGAAATTGAGCCTTTTATGTATGTTACTTTCCATGGGTTTTGGTTCTTGCTTTACTTTTGATCTGAAATTTGAACCAAAATATTGTTTTAAGAAGATTTTGTATGTGGAGAATTTACATTTCCTTGTTCTTTTTCTTTTTAAACACAATTTGAAGTGTGCCTGAATGACCCAGAACAGGTATTTGAAAGGGTCATATTTGCTCAAACTGTGGCAATCCTGCAATGGCATGCTCTAGATCAGACACTGAACATTTAATTACTTTGTCACCATTGTATACAAACAACTATTACTAATTAAGGGAGAAAGACTGGTTTAGTGAAACAATCACATCAGATAAATCCTAGTAGCAAGTCTTTTTTTGAAATCTGAGGAAGGTTTTCAATGGCAGTTCTGTTTTAAATCCTAACCAGAAGCACATCTAGTACTTTCCCCTAAAATCAGCTGTGGCTGTGATTTTCTATTGTGCCAGAATTAACGTGTTTTTGTATAGGTTTCCTAGGCATTTTGTTTGCCATACCCTACATATCTCTAAAGCACATTTGTGAAATTTCTCATTAGAATCTGTTGACTATTAATTGTTTAATGATAGAGTTATCATATGTCTTTAATTCCAATTTCACTCGCACTTGGGAATGGCTGTGCTACAGAATCTGGCAATGGAAATTGAATAGCTGCATGACTGTTTATCAGCAATGTTTGTGGAACATGTGTGAGTAGGCTGCTGAAGGTGGCATACTTGCTTTCAGTTTTGGCCGGTTACTGGTTCTTAGCTATAGCTGTGCACTTATTTAGGCTTGTTCTCGGGAGCTGTGAAGTGCTCTAAAATAGTCCAGAAGGAGAATTTTAAGGGACAATTTTTCTCAAACTTCCCCAATCTTATAACTGAGTGCTTTTGGGTAGAAACTGTGTTCTGTCTTGTGGATGTGTTTTCCTTTCTACTTCGTATAACAGTAAGGATAAAAAGATGAAGACTCTTGGTGATCTAGAAACTTTTCTTTCTTGTTTTTTTTCCAGGCTGGTAACAAAAGGGTCAAATTCATCCGCGATCTTGTGCGTGAAGTTGTTGGATTTACACCTTATGAGAAACGTTGCATGGAGTTGCTCAGGATAGGCAAAGATAAAAGGGCCTTGAAATTTGTCAAGAAGAGGGTAATTATTGGCTGTTTAACATTTTTGACATGAATTGATTTGTTCAACTCTCTAACCAAGTGTTATTTCAAATGTCATTGTAGCTGGGAACCCACACCCGAGGAAAGAGAAAGCGTGAAGAAATGCAAGGCGTCATTGCTGCAATGAGAAAACAACAACAACAACAGCATTAAATTGTCAATAAAAGTCTCTTTTCTCTGGATTTTGTTGTTTTGTCTGTGTATCCGCAGAGAATATTTTGCCAACTAACAAAAATCAGAAGTGGCTTTCCATGTGTCATAGTATTTATTTGATCAATGTGGCTGAGTAGCATTTTGTGTTCAGATACATTGATGAATATGTGACCCTTGAATGGTAAAATTGGAAAAGATATATACCCAGAGGGCAACCATGATATTTTAAGGATCATACAAAGAACAGCAAACAAACTGAATTGTAATTTTATTTCCTTAACCCACTTTTACATTAAATTCTTAAACTCCCAGGATCTGATTGTTAATCCTCTCATTGTGCTGCCACATAATTCTTTGTAAATTAGTTAAGTGAATTTGGTGTAATATCTAGATAACAATTTCCTCCTAATAAGTTTTAGTATTAATAACCATTAGCTAAAAAACATATGGATATTATAGGGAGAGGTTCACCACTTGTGGGAGTTGAAGGGTAAACTCCCAAGATCTGATTGTTAATTCTACTCTCTTTTTGCTACAGACTTCCTTTGAAATAACTTAGGAGAATTTGGTGTTAGATCTTGGTAACAACCTCTACCTGTTAGGCTTGAGTCTTCTCAATATCTGTTCGCTTGAAAATGTATGAATACAAGAGGGAGTTACTTGAATTTACTTTACCTGGTTTAGTACTTTATTTTTTGTTGATGACTATTCTAGTACTTTGGAAATGGCATAGTCAAAATCTGTGTGTGAGGTTAATTATTTTAGAAGAATGCATACAGCAGTAATAAAGGTAGGCTGCAAGCTTCTGCCATTCATTGCCTATAACAAGTTCTGAGAATTTAGTATTGGATCAAATAAGAATCTCCTAATTTATACGTTTCTATATCCTCATCAATTGTCTGCGTGATATTTTAAGAGGAAAGCAAGTCTTGGTCACTGCAGTAAGTGAAAAGCGGCTAAAGCTCGTGAACTTAGCCCAGTGTTTTTCATATTATCGTACAAATATCTTCCATGTATCACCCAAAGATGCCTCCATGTCACTGTCATCACAACAATAGGGAAAGCCCCCCGATACTCGGAAAAAAATGAAATTCATGTTATTGCTATTAGTCCCCTTGCGGAAAAGCGGTCTCTTAAAGAGGCGCTCATCCGTTCGGTAAGATCTATGTCCCCATCGATTGTTACTCGGGTGGCCCCATTCATCACAAATAGAGGCTAAGGTTGAGTTATCGTCTGAAAAGCGAGTAAAAGATCCACACGCCTCAGGCATAGTATCAGATACTGTGAAAAAGTCCACCACTGCAGTTCCCTTTATGTTCTTGCTTGTCGTGATATGGAATACTGACCCTGGCTTCTTTTTAAAGCAGTAAAACCGGATCTGAGTGAAACCCATGTCAGTTTTTAACTTGCTAAAGCCATGCCTCAACAGGAACTGATGATTGAGATTGTATTTGGGTAGAATCTCTTGATAGGAGTTGGATTCGTAAGTAGAATCATCTGAAGAACTGGGATCTCTCATGGTAAAGCGATGGACGAGAGTCCATCCACCTGTGAAGAGGGGGAATCATGGCGAACAGTCAGTAACTTGAAAAGGGTTAATTTAGAAGCTAGAGCTTCAACTACGCTTACAATGCTTGACAGAAGAAGTCTCTAGGGCTTCCACTAAAGCTTGCAATGCATGACAGAGGTGGTTGGGCATAACAGAACAGAACATTGCCATTTACTTCACAGAACAAGAAAAATCTTAAGGTAATCTTCGGAAAGTCAAGGGACTGAGGAGTTTTTCAAGACTTTAGAGCATTGTTTTTCTAGCTGCGTACGTTTTTATCGTCGAACCAAAAAAAGAGCGCCATTTTTTCTAGTCTTTCCTGGGAAGATACGAGTTGCATGCAGAGTGATGAAGATTTGAAGATGTAGAGAGGATCCCAATTAAGGGGAGATAATTTCATTTTGCAGCCCAAATTGTGCCCAATGAAAGATCTCAAGCATAAGTACATGGTATTTTTTTCATCTGGGACATCTGCACTCATCAAAACGAAGAGCTTTTCATATAAAGAAATTTTGTATATTTATGCTCTTAAGATATTTTTTCTGAATGTTAGATACAGGCCCTTCATTATGTATGAGTATAACTTAATAAAAGAGGCAGTTCTCAAGTATGTAAAGGTTAATGTTGGCAGCCCAGCAAACGAAAAGCCAAGTCTATCTAAAATGTAATTTGTTATTTATCAAATTATGTAAGTTTTTTTTTTTACCTTCGTCAGTCGTCATGTCACAGAACACTGTGAAGGGTCTCCCTGAAGCTGTTGGGTCGATCCAGTACTCACCATCCCCCTGGGAGTTATTGCTTAATACGATTTCTCGGCAAGAATGACCTGGGATCGAGGATTTCGAGCCTTTCTTTGCTGTAGAGAAAATAAGTAAGCAGTCTTCTGTCAGAGAGAATATAGCTTTATCTTAACTGAGCTCATGCAACAAGCGAAGGAGTCAACGAGCAAAGGTAAAACTTACAGTCCCCTCCCTTCCAAAATGGTTTACAGACATAACTGGAAAATGTTCCTGGTTAACAATACCTCGGAAGGTATTCTCCATGTAGGTAGCCGCTGGATTTTGCACATAATCCTCAGGTCTTGACTTCTTTGTCTCGTTGTTCATTTTACATTCCTTTTGATCCCAGAGATACGTCACACTTTGACATCTCTCCTCTGAAGTGCACTCAAAATAGCAGCGGCTGAAATGGTCAGCGTACACACTTTTGTAGTCATGCCCAACCAAGGCAAAACCAAACTCCTCTTGGTTGTCCCGGCACGCAGGCTGGCCGGTAAATGTTGTGGGTAGGCCCAATATGACGAACAGGGCATAAAGACAAATTTCCATGGCGACTGAAAATCTGTAAGCAAAGGACATGTACATGTTCAGTTATTCAGTTATAATGATACTGTAAAGTTATAACATGTCGCTAACATTCATATGTATCTTTTCTTCTCTGTTGTTTTTTAATAATTATAAGTAATAACGAGTTTTACATATAAAGGATATTTTATGGCCGCGCGTGGAAGGGATCTGATAATATGACTGAATACGTAATATTCATTCCTACGGACGAAATTGAGGAAAAGAAATGACCCTTGCAGTGAACTACAATTTCAGAAATTTCCATTGACATGTCTACACATAAATGGCACGTTCAAGATGTCATCATTCCGAAACTGTTGAAACGCCATTTTTCATCAGAATCGTTTTCCTTACGATACAATTATTACCTCTTTTAGATAAGGATTGTGATAGTGCCTTGGTCTTCCTGAAGGATGAATTGTGCTGAAAAGCTGCTTTAGTTTCAAACGGGTTCACAATCATCGATTTTTGTGCAAAAACTTTCAACTTGTTTGAGTTGGACGCAGTATAAGATATACCAAATGAAACAAAAGGAGCGCTACTTGTTCTCAAGCTACATATCTCTGTGCCTCTTTCTCCAAGGCGACTCGTCTTTTCCTGGCTGTTTGTCAAATATACTGAGAAGCAGAGTATTCGCCTATCGCTTATAAACCTTTCTTAAACTAGTAACCCATGGAAATTTGACATCATCGTCAAACAGGTTGTTTTAGCTTGTGTTTCAACCAATTGGCATACAGCGACTTAATCCTACTGTTTGATCCTAATGATAAATAAGAAATGCATCATATTGTTGCTTTTTAACAGATAGTGTTAATTTTATACAATATGTCAGTAAGCAAGAGTGCGGGTTCAAAATATTCTTTATCCTATCCAAAGAACTTTGTTAAATTAAAAACCCTTCAATTCTGAACATTCAAATAGATTCCGGCCTATATTTGAGGTGCCGACGCTAACGCAATAAAGCGTTTGTAGCTCCGGAGGTGTTCGGATCTTCTATTCCTTTTCGGCGTCGTCCTACTTCTCATTCTACTTCTTACAAAACACTTACCTACTTCATACTTTAAAAGTTGACTACGCCCTTTGAAATTTTCTTTGTCAAGGAAGAGAACTGTGAAATGGGAGTAAAAAGCCCATAACAACTTTTAAGTAGAGGATTGATACTCCACTTGAATACTTCTCAGTTCTCATCGAGGTGAGAAATGTCTTCTTGTTATCAATATTGCCAGCAAAGCTAAAGTTTTTCATCAATAATGCAGCAATATGGCATTGTCGATGGTATTATTGGGGCAATGCCAGCCTTGTAATTCTTTTCCTCATCAACTCTAGATCAATTCTAGCACTCTTCTTAAACTACGCTGGCAGCTTTTTTGTAACTGAGGCACCTTCGCTGAATTCGAAAAAGAAAATAATATGCTTTTCCCTAAAGATTTGCTTCCAGGTGGTTAAAAGATTGTCTTTCATTAATAATTAAGCCATCTTAGATTCATTGGTTATTAAACATATCGAGGATTAATATTTTCTGGAGTTATGCCTTCGCCTCATAAGATTCAGAACTTGTGCATGTACATCCTCTCGATTCACACCTCTGTGACAAGCTGAAGCGAAAAGAAGAGCCTTTTCTCTGAAACGTAGTAAAGAACGTCAATGATTGTTGGAAACTGAGGTGGCACCCATTTTTGTTAATCGACTGGGTAGATTGAATTTTGAATACAGATTGTTAAGATCATTAACCGTCCCAAAAACTTTTCGAGCTCGAGGACATGCAAAGCAATTTGAACTGTTTAACCTACAAAGTCATGCTAACTCGTACCAAATAGTGCCTTAGAGGCAAAGGATCGAAAGTCGAATGAGTTTCATTGGGAAACTGATAACGATACTTCAATTTAAGTCTGATCATGTTTCAGGAAAGCATATATCTGCGAGGCGACAGCAAACAAACGACTTAACCACGCTGACTAATTCTAATGATAAATAAGAAATGCATCATATTCTTGCTTTTCCACTGAGGGTGTTAATTTTATACAATATGCCAGTACGCTAGAGTGCGGGTTAAAATTCAGTGTTCAAAATATTCTTTATCTACCCAACGAACTTTCTTAAATTAAACGCCCTTCAATCCTGAACATTCAAATAGATTCCGGCTTACATTTGAGGTGTCGACGCTAACACAGTAAGGCGTTTGCGGCTCCGGAGGTGTTCAGATCTTTTATTTCTTTTCGGCATCGTCCTACATCTCGTTCCTCTTCTTACAAAACACTTACTAGTACCTACTTCATACTTTAAAAGTTGACTACGCCCTTTGAAATCCTCTTTGTTAGGGAACAGGACTGTGAAATGGGAGTAAAAAGCCCATAATAACTTTTAAGTAGAGGATCGATACTCCACTTGAATATACTTCTCAGTTCTCATCGAGGAGAGAAATGTCTTCTTGTTATCAATATTGCCAGCAAAGTTAAAGTTTTTCATCAATAATGCAGCAATATGGCATTGTCGATGGTATTATTGGGGCAATGCCAGCCTTGTAATTCTTTTCCTCATCAACTCTAGATCAGCTCTAGCAATCTTCTTAAACTACGCTGGCAGCTTTTGCGACACTGAGGTACGCTCGCAGAATCCGAAAAAGAAATAAAAATGTGCTTTTCCCTACAGATTTGCTTCCAGGTAGTTAAAACATTGTGTTTTATCAATAATTAAGCAATCTTAGATTCATTGGTTATTAAACATATCGAGGATTAATACTTTTTGGAGTTATGCCGTCGCCTCATAAGATTCAGAACTTGTACATGTACATCCTCTCCATTCACACCTCTGTGAGAGGCTGGAGCGAAAAGAAAAGCCTTTTCCCATAGAACCTAGTAAAGAACGTCAATAACTATTAGAAACTGAGGTGGTAACTATTTTTGCTAATCAACTGGGCAGACTGAATTTCAAATACAGATCGTTTAGATCATTAGCCATCCTAAAAACTTTTCTAGCTCGAGGAGATGCAAAACAATTTGAACTGTTTAACCCACAAAATCATGCGAACTCGTACCAAAGAGTTCCTTACAGGCAAAGGATCGAAAGTAGAATGAGTTTAATTGGGAAACTGAATAACGGTACTTCAATTTAAGTCTGATCATGTTTTAGGAAAGCATGTATCTGCGAGGCGACAGCAAACAAGCGTTGGCAGTATTTGTAAAGTTAGATCTCTACGTAAGTTGACTCTACGAGTAGGAATTGTAAGAAGGCGACAGATGAAATAATCCGAGTTAGGTGGGAAATATTGCATGCTTCTGAACTGATCTTATCATTATCAGCTACCATCCATCTGTTGTCTGATTGGGGTTTCTTTAGGGAATTCAAAGTGTATGCTAAATTTCTGATCACTAATGATCTGGATATGCGTTTTTATTGTTTTTTTAGAGGGCACGGTAACGAATCTTGCAATCTGATTGGTTCTTTACCCGGTCAGTATTTTCCTATCTCTGCCCACGGGCTACGGTAACGCTTTCGTGAGTCGCCGAATACATCCCAACTTTCGTTGTCATTTTTCATAAACATACCTCGTTTTCCGGCTGGGCAGTATTTTTAAGCAAACACGTCGGTCACTACCTCAAGCCGATAAATAACTTATGAATCCTCTCTTTTCTCTCTATCAAATCACTTTGGTTGACAGAAAAATATTGGTTTCAGAATGAATTTGTATAAACAATAGTGTCATTACGTTGGTTGACAAGCGGCCTAAAAACCGTCTGCAATTAATTTTAATCGTTCACAAAAAGTACCCAGAAAGTTGAAACGTGAGGTATTTGGTTACAGTTAAACTGAACGATGGAACTTTCGTTCATTTAATATCTGAAGTTTCTCAAGCAATTTGTTCATAGTGAAAGAGCGAGCGAAGTTTTAATTTAAGTTCTACAACAAATATACGCTCCTGGTGAGTCTTTCCAATTCCGTTCAATTTGGACATTTGTACCTTAAATTGCATTACAACAGAAATTGAAGGAATTTTTTGAGAAAAGGCCGCATTACATTCCCTTGTGTCTCGTTGGAGTGTGCCGTTCGAATTTAGTTTTTGTGAAGGAAAGATCAGAGTTAAACACGCCATTACAGCAAACAAACGAGCAAACTCTCACAACTTCAAAATAAAAAAATTGAATTTACTCACAATTACTTTCCTCGCCGTTTACTTAATGAACAGAGGTAAATCTTCGTACATGAATGAATGGTCGATGAGAGTGAATAATACTTTCCGTTAGATCATTAACTGATTTTGAAGAAAACATTGTCGTGACAGTCCTTGCCAAACTAATTGGTTTTCAAATGTTCCTAGGCTTTTTTTTTTCTTGGGCGCTCTCTAATTGACAGGTGTCAGATTGTGACAGATACTTGTAAAAATAATGTTTCAAAGTTTGTTTGGAAGCCTTTTAAATCACCTTTATCGTTACGGAAATGAAAATGTTTCGCTGAGGCATCTCTCTTAAATTTGCATCACCTCTATTTTAACTACCATTTACTCACTCAAAAATTGTTCAGTTTATGGAAGATCTTGCCGTATTTACGGCCATAAATCATTCGGGTTCTTTCGGAAAGAATTTCGTCAAGTTTAAAAGCAATAAATATGTTATTTACCGGCTAAGGGTCGGTCCGTATGGTGAAAAACTGTGACCTCGGTCTTGAAAATGCTGCCCTCGGCCTACGGCCTCGGGCAGTATTTTCAAGACCTCAGTCACAGTTTTTCACCATACGGACCTCCCAGCCGGCAAATAACATATATTTATTGGATATCTTGATTCATGCATATGACGAAATACGGATATGCGTTTTTATCGAATATCTAGATTCATGCATGTGACGAAATAACCTCATGAATAATTAATGAGTTTGAAAAATACACATACAATACCACATAACAATAATATCCTTTTCAATAAGGATCGTCCTACTATTGCTTGTCGGCACATAACAACTGCTTGTTGATTACATTGAATATCCTGCAATGAATCGCTTTATTACGGTGAATGTCTGTAAATTGCTTGAGTTTGGGTTCGAGTCATCGAATTTCCAGTAAATGCAGTATGGACGAAACTGGCACATCGGCGAATAGCAATGGCTTGATCACACCAAATGTGCTTTATTACGACGAATGTCCTATAAATTACCTTATTTCACCAATAAACTGACAATACTAACAAGAAGGATCTTTAATCACTATTGTTGTCAGTAATGGCCCTCACGTAGCCAGGTCAGATCTTACAACTGATCCCCCCCACTCTGTTCCCCCTTAATTCCAGGTGATCCCCCCCAAAAATCCTCATTACCCCTCGCCCCCAACCCCAGGCGATAAATGGTGAGTGGTTCCCTGTTTTAATTAAAATTACGGTTCTTTCCAAGTGCAGTTAACTCAGTTATTTTAAGAGGTCTTTTAACCATCGTTGAACTTAACCAAGAGTAAATTATTTCCCCTTATTTTTCCTTACTGCACTCAAGTCCTTTCCCTTCTATCGCACAAATATTTGCCACGTGTCCCCTAAGGACATCGGTGAATCATCGTCGTCACATTTATGGGGGAGTCGACCATAGCATTTATAAAACCTTTCCGCAGAAAGCCACAAAATGGATCTTTGATAAAGGCGTTGGTTATTTAAATAACCTACACGACCCCAATTGTCTTTATTCTCATAACCCCATTTCTGACAGTTTACGGCCAGTATTGAGTTGTCATCTGGGAGGGGTATGAAAGAGCCACAAGCTTTGGGTCTATCGCTTGAGGTGGAGTTGGTGAAAAACTTCACTACCTTCTCCCCCTCGGCATTCTTAGTAGTCATGATGTGAAACACTCGGTCCAAAATCTTTTTAAAGCAGTAGAACCGAATTTGTGTGAAACCCATGTCGTTTCTCAGCTGATAAAAGCCACTTCGCAACAGGAATTTGTTGTTGGAGTTATAGTTTGGAAGGATCTCTCTGTAAGAGTTTGAGGTTTCATCGTCGCCTTCAGACTGGTTTCTCATGATGAATTGTTTGATGAGAGTCCATCCACCTGAAAATAAAATTTATGCTGGTTAAAACTGGATTTTTACTCAGTGATACTTACCAGCTCGTTTGACCTGTTTTGTTGAACAAACAATCGATGAAACGGAAAGGAAAGGTGCTGTAAAATGATAAGGAATCTGACAAGTCATCTGAATTAAGCAGATTTTTGCATCAGGAGATCTTGAAATAACTGATGTAATTCAACAAACCTTCATCAGTTGTCATGTCACAGAATACTCTCAAAGGGTCCTCTGAGGCTGTTGGGTCGATCCAGTACTCAGTATCCCCCTGGGCGTCACCGCTCATCAGAATATCCTTGCAGGAATGGCCTGGGATCGAAGATTGCGATCCTTTCTTTGCTGTAAGGAAAATGAGTAAGCAAAGATAAAACTGTCAGTTCCATGCCACTCAGAATATGGATCACTTAATCGAGAGCAACGAGTGATTTATGATACCTCGAAAGATGTTTTCCACATACGTAGCAGCTGGATTTTCCACATAATCCTCAGGCCTTGACCTCTTTGTCTCCTTGTTCATTTTACATTCCTTTTTATCACAAAGATACGTCACACTTTGACATTTTTCCGTTAAACTGCATTCAAAGAGGCAGCGACCAACATGGTCAGCGTGCACACTTCTATAGTAATGCCCAACTAAAGCAAAACCAAACTCCTCTCTATTTTCCCGGCATGCACCACTTAAAATCTGGTTTGTAACGACTTTTTTTGGGTGGATCAAGGCAAATAGCAGGGTAAACAGCAAAATTTCCATCATATCCTGTAGGCCGTAATGCCAAAATCCTGAAAATAAACATAATTTGATTGTATCAATAAACTGAAAAAATCACATTCATTGTTTTTGGTTTGTGTAATGTCAGGAGCCCATTACTTATAAGTAATGGATTCCTGATACTGTTTATCACGATATCTTTCAGTCAGTACGTGTACTATGATTGGTCCATTTGGCGGACCGTATTTCATTGTGTGGCCCGCTGAATTCAAAAGTTTGTTTTAATCGCCAAAATTTCTTTTGGAGAAAAATTTTTAAACACATCTAAAGGAAAAGTACGCAAACGAAGAAAAAGTGCACAACTCAGAAACAATTATCCCAGACTTTCGAGCTGGGTCTTAGACGAATGGAGAAAGACGAGCACGACGAAGGCAGCTCGAGTTGAGCACTCGGTGATTTCATCGCCGCCGTAAGATTGTGAAATACGTGAAAAACACGAAATACGAGTTGAAAAAGTTTGAAGGGTTTTGCAAACAGCAGGTCGATTGAAATTTTAACCCTATGAATATAACTGCTGCTGATCTCGACAAGCTCCTTGGCAAGTTCTTTAAAGCTTTCCGCAAGAAAAATGGCGGCGAGTACGAAACAGACAGTATTTCAAACTTTTAAAATAGCATACTCGAGATACCTTCGACTGGCTCGTCTTTGCCTTTTTGGCCGTTTGTCTTCCTCCAAAAACTCTACAAAGAAGGTTCTACAAAGAAGGTTCAGCCCTCAGGTGATGCCACATCCTTCTTTCTTCGCGTCAACAAGCATCGGCTTACTTTCTAATCTTGTTAAGTCTGGACCAAGTGATCTACCGAGCAGCTTCCATGAAAACGCCGCCAAACACCAAAAATTGGATACCAATCGTTAAAATGATCCTTGTGCTGTTTTCGATCACTTTGATAAAATTCATTCATTCATTCATTTGACGTTGACATTGAAGAAAGTTAGCCATTGGTACTTTCTGCCATATTCGGGCATTTGAAAAAACTCTCGACAAAAGAGTTACTTGCAGAAAGTTATATAACAGTTCTTTGCAGAAACTTTTGTATACTTAAACTGTTCTTTTCACGAGCGTTTTTCAGTTCTACATCTTTTTAATATTTTTTTTCAGGATTTAATTCCACGACTTTGAAGGTGTAAAAGTACGATTTTCTAGCTCAATGAACGATCACACTCGGACAACTTGATTTTCTTCAGATACAATTAATATTTTATCCTAAGCAGTAATTATTTTGAGTAATTCCATAATTGCCGGTAGAAGCATGGTGGTATACTGCCTTTTGTAAGAGGGCCGTTTGTGTGTCTCGTCTTTAAATTTAAACCGTTCATAAATTTGTTTTTATTTGGCGGCAACATTGAGGGAAATTTTCTCTAGGAATTTCGCAAATGGTGATAGGCGTTGCCCGTTTCTAACGGTGCGACACCACAACTTCAGCGTAACTTGACTACCTGATGAGCGCAGTGTTGAGTTCCAAATGGAACGGGACTAAATAATTTGCCATTATCGTTCCCGTTTTAAAATTACACACAAATCTTGTGATCTCATGATCATCTTTCGCGACGGTGAAATGTACAAAATCTTAAAACGCACGTGCTGAGCTGTTGTTTTGTTCATCGAATATTTTGCCGGTTTATGCTTCGTTATCGTTGCCGTCGCCGTGGCCATCGTGGTGCGTGGCCAACGTGAGTGCGCTTCAAATTTCCATTCACAAGTTAAGCTTAGCATCGAGCAACTCTCACAAACCTTTGGCGCTCTCCAAACGTCCCGCATGTTTCATGTCTCGATAAACGCACACTGGCGTATAAACCGACTGATTGTAAATTATAAGTGACATGAAATAGAACAACGTCAACAAGAATTGAGGTTATTGTGCCAATAATATAATGCATCTCCTCGTTAGCTGCGATTGAGCTCAAACTGGAATTATTTATGGTTGATTTCTGTGTTGGGGAATTGAAGAGGCGTTCGTTGTTTTGTATTAAGAATTTGTAACACCCTAGGCAAATTTCTTAATCAGAATGTCCTGAAAGCCTCCAAACATTTGTTAATTATGGCTATGAATTAATCATTTTCTCCCTTTCAGAAGCGAAATCTGCAAAGGTGAACACCTTTGAGTGTACAATGGTTTTATTGATTATATTTTTGGTTTTAATTATGAGTACTTATTTCGAATTATTTCTTATGTCAAATTAAGGACAAATTAATTTCAGTGTAATTTGAGAACTCAAATAGTTCCTTAGCTTTTTTTTTCAAAGAAAAAAAGTAACGGTAAACTGAAATGATTTCATAAATTTTGTTATTCAGCCCCTACGATATAGATTGCATTTTGTAAAGAGAGAAATCGCAGAAAAATTTCTCATTTATCGCTCAAAAGGAGAAACACCTATCGCCTGTTCTTGTTTCTAGGATATTCACGCTTATTTGTACGAAAGATTACAGAGGGAAAAAAAATCGGCATATAAAGAAATAACGGAAGATTTCAAATCTACTACCGTTCTACCCTACATGAAAGGTGTCTCAGAGGTTCATCCTACCACAACAAGGCGTGCGTACCGTCTTTACATCACACACGACGCTCAGGTTACACTTGGTGCAATCTAAAGATCGAATTAGCAATGAGACGGCGTTGTTTGCAAAATCCCGTGTTAATATAGCAAAGTATAAATTAGAAGAAACAAGGAAAGCGAAGATCGAGAGAATTAAAGAATATGAACCTTTTTATTTAAATAGATTCTACTTTCCGTTTTCACAATTGAAGTTAAGAAATAAGGTACGTTCATGTAACTACCTGTTTTCCTTTAGAAAGTCGTCTCAGAGGGCTTGTCTTAAGAAGGATTTACAGAGGTGTTTTTCAAGGCCATAGCGGGGCGTTGCAAAGAGCGCTCTTCAATTAAAGGCTGCGAAACTGAACTGGTAAAAAACGCCAGTCAGCGCAGAGTTTTACACTATCAAACACCAATCAGAAGGTAAAGAAAACATGAAAAGACAAGGTTACAACTGATTGGGTGAGAGGGCTTGAAGAGTCTATAAATGACTTATTCAGGAAAATTGAACCCACCTAACGAAAATTACCCCTGATGGCCTGCAGGGCGCGAAAACGCACAATAATTTACTTTTTCCAAATTTTAAAATTCACACCATCAAGATCATCGTCGTTACCCACTCTATGACTTCGATCATCACTTGATGTATTCATTCTGATTTTAAGTACCTACTCTGGTGTCAGAGGGAATAGAAACTTTTTCTTGTTTTCATGTTGCAAACACTCGGTCCAATTAATTAAAACATTGCGTATAAAAGCTTGTCTAGTTTTAAAAGCGGACTTTTCCTAAGATTCTCATTTAAGATTGACGTATAATGATAAAGGAAATGAGAATATTAAATATTACTCCAGGATTAAGACGCTGATTGTTAAGCTATACTTACTTTTGTTCAAATTAACTTTTTCTAACTGTTTGTTTAGTGTAATGCAAGCAGTCTTTTTTCCTGTCGCCTTCAAGGCTTAATTACGACCCTTGTGTTTCATAAAACACTTTCTAACCAACACATTCGGTTCAATTCCAACAGTTGAAGCGCCGGAAACTGTCACAGGCAGATTCAAAGTTGGATTCACTTATTGTGCTTTGGCTGAGGTCTGATAAAGACGATACATTCATTTGTGCATGTTTTCCAAGGCGGCTCCGTCGAGATATCTCAAACGCACCCCATTCCCTGTGATAACAAAATAATTCGAGTATCAATTCTTGCTTCCAGCGACAAACTATTCATGAGAATATTCCCTACGAAACAGGTGGTCAGTTTCAAAGCTGGAAGCAAAAAACCGGTGCTCTTTTTCCAAATCACCCTTGAGAGATGTTAAAGAAAAAACGTAGCAGATTCAAGTTCTTTTACAAGAGCTACCGTACTTGGTTAGCTCACGTTGTAGAGCCCCAGACTGCATTGCGGGAGGTCGAGGGTTCAAGCCCTAAACCGGACCAATACTCAGGGTCTTAAAATAACTGCAGAAAATGTGCTGCATTCGCTATGACATCTGCAAATGGTTAGACATTCAAGTCTTCTCGGATGAGGACTAAACCGTAAGCCCCGTCTCCTGCATCTTCTCTGTACTAGTTAGCAGGGGATGTTAAAGAGCCCACACACTTCTGACAAAGAGTAGGAAACGTAGCTCCCGGTGTTGTGGTCTGGCCTTGTTGTTGTTTATAGAGACCCCCACTTTGTTAAACCAGCCCTGAGCTGAACTAGGCCAGCCTCACTAAATATCACAAATATCGCATATACATACATACATACATAAATACGAGGGGCAACACCGAAAGCATCAAATGCATTGGATTTTCGAAATTAGGAAGGCACAAACATAAACTAATAAACTTCATGCATCTGTCCTTGATGATTTGCTCGGGGAAGGGGGATGGGTAAGGGGCGACTATTTTCCCTAAAATTTTAAAAAAGATGAGGAAATAATCTGTGGGTTACCCTAGCCTTATTAGTAAACATTTAACCAAGACAAAAGTTATTTATAATTCTTTGAGATTGTTGTATTTTGTTCAATAGTTATATTGCTACATGTTTTGCCGCTATTCATACCTGAGGTTCTCACTCCTTTTGATGATTTTATAATCCGGTTTATAATCCGCCATGCCTATTTTGACCCGAACCCGCGTTCTCCCAAAAGTCCCATAAGCGCTTGCGCGGTGATTTTCGTTCCCGGGCTATCACTCGGAAAGCGCGAGTGATAGTTGCGTTTTTCCATCGGTTGTGATGTAGTGCGAGTCTTCCAAATTAGCAGCTGAGCATGGAGAGAAGAAGCAAATGTTATCTGATATCATTTAAGAATTGAGTTAAAATTGCTTCTTAAGTCCTTATCACGGGAAAACATGTTTAATATGGAACAGGTCATTATTTATTATTTATCGCCGGAGGAAGGCCCTTCCTCTGGGGAGTCGGAGGATTTGGCTGTGTCAAGATAAAATTTAACTGTTCCCCCCCCCCCCTGTAATATTCATATGATCCCTTTTCATTGGCTGTTGATTGGCAGTCGATTTTCTATGCTTCCTCCTATGTACTCATTTGACGACCATTGATCCCCCCTCCCACCCCCCAAAAAATTTTGTGACCCCCCAGAAAAATCCCTGACCTCACCCCCCATAGCGATTAACAAAATTCCACTGTGAGCTAGGATCATACGTGCGCTGAATTATTCAAAGTAACTCTGAACTCAGAGAAATTTTTCTTAGTCCCTGAGTTGTGTTCTCTGTCTAAAGAGCCAAACTTTGTTTATAGAGACAATATTCACGAAGAGCATTAGATTGAAATTAAAGAATTGAACGCGAAATACTTTTCGCCTTACGAATGCCTGACATTTGTTTAGTTACAGTGAATTTCACTCACCCAAGAAACCAAGTCTTGTTTTGTATATCACCTAGTAGCCTCGCTTAAGTTGACATTAAAACGAAGCTGCTAGCAAACAAACATCAACAATTTAAGTTGCTAACGTATTTTCTAACCAATGGACTTGAGAATGCCAAATTACTGATTCAACGAAAATAATATTCAGAGTAGTTGAAAGCAAAATGTGGGGCAACTTTCATTTCGTTTTTCTTTGTTTTGTCGTTTGTTTGTTTATTTCGTTTTTTTTTTTTTTCGTTTTGACAGAGTCACTACCCGCACTTCAGTTCATTGACGTGAATTTTCTTTGCATTCTGATTGGCATCTGCTGATATCTACCTTTATTCTAATGGGATGTGGGATGGCTTTATGACACTCAATCGATACAGATTAACACCCGCACGTCTCTCACGGCTTGAAACAAACTTAAGTTGGGCTGTACCAAGACGCGCCATCTGGAACCACTTTCCAAAGGGCATTTATAATATTTGTCATCAGTTATATTTTCAGGTGGGTGGACTATCATCAAACGCTTCATTATGAAAGACCAGCCTGAGGGCGACGATAAAATCTCAGATTCTTACAGAGAGATCCTTCCAAGCTATAATTCCAAAAACAAATTCCTATCGCGAAATGGCTTTAATCAGCTTAGAAATGACATGGGTTTCACACAAATCAGGTTTTACTACTTTAAAAAGATTGTGGGCCGAGTGCTTCTGATCATGACCAACAGGAATGCCGAGGGCGAAAACGCGGTGAGATTTTTCACTGATTCTGACTCTGACGTAAGGCCTCGAGCTTGTAACTCTTTCACCCGCCTCCCAGATGATAACTCAACCTTGGCCCAGAAGTGTGAGAAATGGGGTTATTTCGCACTAAACAGCTGGGGACATAGTCGATATTCGAATGAGAAACGTCTCTATCAGAGACCACTGTTTTGGAAAAGAACGAACAACGAAAGTTATTTTTATCGATGCATTGGAAGTGATGGGCCTTACCAGTGTGATGATGAAACAGCAGCGATGTCCTTGGGGGACACGTGGCAAATATATGTGCGATAGAAAAGAACTGACTAAAGTAAAGTTGAATGAATTAAAAGTGATTTTGACTTGAGTCCACCTGAAATGAAGTCACCTTATTATCTTGGAGAAAAACAATTTTTCGTCTACTTTCGACACGCTAAACTACACCTATCTATAAAACTTGTTTCGTCTGAGACGACCTCGTTGGCTGGTTGTATCAACTAACGAGGTCGTCTTAGACGAAAGTTGCTTCATAGATGGCGTACTGCTTAAGTGTGTCGAGAAGTAACCAGAAAACAAGGATTTTCGTGATTAAGGTAAAATTCAGTGATGCTTTCTTGGCTTCCGTCGAGTGAAATCTCCCAGAAACTTGAGATCAACCTACATTGTTCATATGGTAATACCCCAGTGCATTAAGAATATTTTGCAGTATTTAAATTGCATAGATCACCACAATTACATCGCAAAGATGCATGGGCTCCAACATACTTCTATGTAGTGTAATTTTAGCGTAAATTTGTAGCTCTACTTTTCATGGCTGTTGCACCATCCTAGTTGAGCTCGACCAAGGAAGAAGCGTTGCTTGTAACAAATGTCACCACGCTACAAATAGTGGTGCGTAGTGTTTGATAACTAAATAGAATTTAGAGAAAGATGTTGTTTTCGTCTTGTCACGAGCGTGGGACAAAGAAAAAAATTCTGAGTCCCCATGAGGAATCGAACCTCAGACCTTCACTAAACCACAGAGACTCCACGGTTAGCGAGGTTTATTACGAAGTTCACTTGACACACGTCCTGCATACTGCTAGGATCAGCAATGTCGATAGCGTAATGTAGTAAATAGTATTTACTCGAGTAAAACATTAAGCGATGAAATGAACTTTCTACTTTTTCCTTGCATAAAAACATAGATGCAAGAATGCACGCGGTAAGACTGAGCAAACACAGATTACAGCGTATAAAACGTTGAAAAGAAGTACAAAGAATAGTGTGAACTGGAGTACATTTTGAGAACTGTGGTCATTAGTGATATTTTGAAAGTTTTTGTAAATGCACATTATCAGTATATTTGTAAGCTGTATAAGAAGGTGATGGTCTTTCATCCAGCTCTCCATCCAGGAACCATCCGCCTTGACTGGAAAGCAATAATACAAGTTTTAAGTCACAAAAAGATCACACGATATTTTTGCATTTTTTGAGCCAAGTCCCTCTTACTATCATTGGCCGAAAAAGTGAAATTTTGAGATAATTTCGTTGCAAATTCATTCACAATGAAAGACTGAACATGATCGGTCAGATATCAAATCCCTATTGGAATCAGTTTGGCACCAGACTTAAGTTCTGTTTACCGCCGAACCCATGGATTTACAAGGAGGGGGAAAGGGTAAAGAGGCCAGCCCTCTAGAGGTTTCGTGCAGTTTTTTGTTTAAAAAGGAACCTAATTTTATATCAAAATCATTTCTACAATTAGCATATTTTTCGTAATCAGGTTTTGAATTTTGACTGAAATAAACCTTACACGGAGCAGTGTTCTTTCAGACATTTTTGATCGTTAATTTACCTGTGCGTTCGGAATCATTATCGTCCACTTTTCTTTCACTCGCTCCATCTCCTCCTTCAGCCTCCACATCTAAACATTAAATCAATATTACTAAATAAATATATATATATAAATATATATAGCTGCTACCATAGTTTTTCCATAGTTTTTATTCCAGCAATTTCTTTTTGATTCAAAATAGCTCTTTTATGATCCTCTTGCGCGTATGCATCTCATTTCCCCTCCCATTCCTCAGAAAAAGGTACCAATGCAATACAATACATTTCGTTTCATTTATTCCTTACCTGTACAACTGAGATCATCCGCAATATATTTTTCACCGTGAAGAGGGAAGAATCCTCCTCCATAACTGAAAACGAAATCGTAGCTCAAATCTAACTTTATGTCGCATTACTGAGGATTTCACGCCTTTTCGGCGTCGTTAATTTTCTTCCCGTCAAAATGAAATTCTTAAGTATTTCATCCGATGCAATTTGTTTATAATAAAACAACCTAATCCTGGTCCAAGTAAGTCACAACCTGAAATCGAGGAACATTTTCTTCGCATAGATATGCCTCTTCACGTTAAGTTCTCCTGATATTATACACATCGTTCCTGCATTCAGCTCAAAATTCTTGCACATATGATTTCGCCCTATTACAACCACGCGTGACCAAAACGGAATTTCCCCTTTCAGCGTCAGTATATTCTCATGCAAGGAGACAGTGAGAAGAAGGAAATGAATCAACTTAAAGATATCCTTTGATTTAACACTGAATTCTCAGAGCTAACATCACAAGAAATGTTTTAAAAATACTATAGAAAGTTTCTTAACGTGAAACAGCATTCCAGTGTCATCATTCTTGTTCCAGAAACCATCTATTGATTCTGGGACGATGCGAATAAGAATTGTAAAATATTATTTTTTAAATGCACCCAGTGAAATTTCTACATCATAATTTATTGAGAAAACCAATTAAGCAGTCTAACACAATACCTTCAACTAAACCAAATCCATACAACTACGAAAATATAATCAACTTCATTTTATAGCGCGCAGTTGGGGTGTTAAGCCAGAACCTTCTATGTCTGATCTTCTATCATGAGCTACAGTTGTTTGAAAAGACTAAGAGACTCTTAATTCTTGATTCTTACCTAGAATATTGTTCAACAGATTTGTCATGTCATCCTGACCATTGACGATAGCCAAGAGGTAACAAACCTGAGTGCAATGTTTATCAATGAAATAAACGTTCCACCCTGTATTAAGCGGTCAGTTTTCAAAGTACCGCATTTTTTACCACTCAATCGTTGTAATTTTCTCCTCTAATAAGCGGTCACCTCTATCAAGCGATCACGGTCACCTTTTACTAAGTTCCAACGGCCTGTTTTTCTGTTTTTCTCTTTTGTTTTTGTTTTTTTTTTTGTCCGCCACCTTTATTGAATGGTCACTGAAAGTGGAACCATCCAGAGAATAATCTTTGAGATAATTCTTAATCCATGTTTGTCTCCCAAAATCAAAGTATTAGTAGTAGTACCAGTATTTCGAGCGAGGTTCTGTACATCAAATGGTCAGTTATGGCATAAAGTGGCGTTGTTTATCGTTTTTTATAATACCCCTAATCTGTGGAACCTGTATATAGCGGCAAACCTGTCTTAAGCGGCCATTCTCCGTGAGTGACCGCCAAGAAAAGGCTTGACTGGATAAAACGAATTATCTTTTCAGCAGATAACAAAGAGGTTAAATGTGTAACAAGCCCCCCTCAGAGCTGACTGCTGAGTTTTCTAGTGGACTAATGACGGCCGGAAACATTGAAAACCAAATTATGTTTTACACAACTAGCTCTGCGAAGATATCAAGAGGTAAGATTGTGTGATGATCTCCTTAAAACATTAAACAATCAATAAAATCACTTATTAAATTAAATTTTGCAGCTGTCCTATTTTACTTGGTGAACTTTCTTTGCAGTTTTAGTCATAAATTTATTCATCAAAGTGGGTGGGTGATTATTAGTTTTAATTAGCCTTTTCTAACGTATTGAGATGTTATTTCTATATTTTGTATAGCGGCCTCCTGGAGAACGAGGTTCAGTGCATTTTCCCTGAAAAGGTGAGAAAAGAAACTGTTTTTAGTAACTACAATGTTCAAGTTTAAACTGAATCATTCACAAGAAATGCGGCAGTTGTGAGTTAATGATACGATGGCACCATAAGAAAGGGCAAATTCAATTGTAAGCTTGTGTTTTCGCACTCGATCATCGTTGGAAACCCTATGACTGTCGCATTCGACACGGTAACTGAGTACTTTTAAGACCTCGTCAATCAAGTTGTGTTTGCTCTGACGAGAAGAATCTCAGTCCCAGAAAAAAATTTACATTTGGCTAAGAGAAAAAAACTGATGATTTATTTTTTAATTACAAATCTTCTTAATCAAAACGTGACTTGACGGATTTTGGAGAAAACTTAAGCTTAAGAGAGTTTAGTCCAGCAAGATTTTCTTGACAAGACTTTCGCTGAAATAAGTAGCAAGGAACTTTTCTTTGGCGATGAAGATTGATGTTAAGGGTTCTACGCCCCGAAATGAAAGCATACATATGCATTTTACAAAATTAATGAAGTTGTGCTTGAACTAAAAACAAATAAACACAAATATCTGACCGAAAAAAGAAACTATATGAAATAAAAAACGAACCGACAATTTAGGTCAAAGATATTCTTAGATACTAAACAACACGGCAACGTTAGCAAAAACTAACGTAGATGATAACGAAACGACGAACCAAGAACTACGTAGTGTAAATCAACTAATTGAAAAAAGACTGCCCATGGCGAGTGAAGCATACACGTACTAATGAGAAACAAGTGCCCACAGCGATCATGTAATTATTGCAGAACCTCACGCAGAAACGCGAATATGATTCAATAGAAGTTGAATTCCTTCGCTGTTACATCTAATAGTCGAACTGCGTTGTAAATTCTAGCTGCTACGGGCGAGTATAGTACACTTGCAAACGTAAACGAGAGAGCGAACTTGAGGTCTTAACCTGTCTTTGTGTATTTCAGAATGTTTGCCAAAGCAATAACGGCCCTATTTTACATAGTGGTCCAACCCACAGCGGTTTTTGGTGACCATGCAAAAAGTCTTGTATGCCGGGACAACAGAGAAGAGCATGGTTTTGCTTTAGTTGGACATGACTACAGAAGTGAATCCGCACACCATTTTGGTCACTGTTTCTTTGAGTGCAGTTCAGAGGAAAAGTGTCAAAGTGTGACGTATCTTTGGGATCAAAAGGAATGTAGATTGAACAAGGAGACAAAGAAGTCAAGACCAGAGGATTTCATAGATAACGCAGCTGCTACCTATATGGAGAATAACTTTCGAGGTAGCCTAGATAACTCTCTGATCCCAGGTAAGATAGAAGCGCATGAACTGACAGAAGACCTCTTACTTCTATTTTCTTACAGCAAAGAAAGGCTCAAAATCTTTGGTCCCAGGCTATTCCTGCCAAGATATCTTGACAAGCGGTGACGCTGAGGGGGATGGTGAGTACTAGATTGACCCAACAGCTTCAGGGGACCCCTTCATAGCGTTCTGTGACATGACAACTGCACAAGGTTAGTTTAGACCTTAACCAGGTTAAAAGCCGCCGTTAAGTGCTTGATTTTCGTGTCCCTTAGTGGTTGAACAGCGAACTTATTGGGCGTTTTAAACGGTAACAGTTCCATATGATTGACAGCTACTTAGGTCTTGCCCAAACCAGATTTCTAGAGTATTGTTTTGAATCAATTTCTGTACAAGATACAACTAAAATCATGTCAGTCTTAAAGAAAATAAATACTTTGTTTGCGAAGAGTAACGTAAGCACAACTATTACAGGAGGTGGACGTCATTAGCTGATATTAGATTAAAAAATAATGTCACTGAAGATTAATATCACACCTTAGGCTTTCCTGACAACTTAGCTCTTATATTTAACACTGGGTGGTGAGAAGCAATGCGAGATTAACGTATTCTCCCTATGAACACAACACAATGTAACTTCGTACCCAGGGTCCTCTCTTTTGCACCTAGGTGAGAATAGCCTGGTACAAAATCGAGGCTAAGGGGAGTGGAACAATCAGATTGATTGGGCGAGAGCTAACCTTTGCTTACCTTTTCACCCATTTACCTTGATATGTTTACAAATACCTTCTTTTTTTTTTTGTCAGGTGGATGGACTCTTATCGGTCGCTTTCTTATGAAAGATAATAATCCTAATAACCTTCCTTCTGTTACCTCAAATTCTTACAGGGAGATTCTCCCTAAATATAAATCTAACAACTACTATTTGTTACGGAAGGGCTTCAATCAGCTAAAAAACGACATGGGCTTCACACAGATCCGGTTCTACTGCTTCAAAAAGAAAGTTGGCCGCGTGCTTCACATTATGACCACCAAGGATTCCAAGGGAGCAAATGTGTTGGCGTATTTAACGGACAGTAACAGTTTTCCCCGCGCTTGCGGTTCTTTTACGCGTCTCGGAGACGACCACTCAATACTTGCAAAAAACTGTGAAAAATGGGGCCACCCAACAAAAAACAGATGGGGACATAGCGGGTATTTAAAAGACAACCGTCTGTTTTCAAGAGCACTGTTAATTCCGTGGGCCCGCTATTACTCGCTCATAGGCGCTTTGCCTCATGCATGTGATGATGATGTCGCCAAAGACATCGCAATGTCTTTGGGTGACTTATGGCAGATATTTGTGCGTTAAAAGTCTTAGAATTGACAACACCCGAGGGAGAGTCATTATGCATTTCCTGAGGGGGGTGGTGGGGCATTTTTTGGGGAGGTCACATAGTTTTCAAGGGGAACGGAGTGGGGGATTAGTCGTCACCAACAGCGTATCACGGAGGGTACTATAGAAAATTGACTGCCAATTAACTGCCAATGAAAGGGGGGGGGGAGGGAAAGGGATCCATGAGAATATTACAGAGCCATAGGGGGGATCAGATAAATTTTTTTGTGACTCAACCAAAATCCTCCAAAGTTTGGTAGAACACGCATGTTTTAGGCGTAAGGGTAAACTTCCCGAAATACTTTGTTGACTGCAACGAAAAAGAAAAGGAAAAGCCCAACAAAATAACTAAACCAGAATGGAAACTTTTGATTTTCTTTTTCATAAGGAAGTAATCTTTTAGCCTCTGCTTAATGTTCTCACCGACAGTAATGTGCAAGTAGTTTTTTTTCAGTATATACCACACAGAAACCAAAAATATAGTTTATTTCTGTCGACATACCGAAAATGGTCTGAAATCAAACTCTTGACTTGCGATTGTCTCATCGGTTGCTCGGAGGTAAAAAATACTTGCTATTCATTTCCGGACTTAACCAATCAGAACGCGCGAAAAGCACTATTTTATTCACCTGTAAAGTATAAACTAATTTTCATTCTATATCTAAATGGACAGACCGTAGACAGTCTCGGAGGAAAGACAACGTCGTGGAAACAGAGAAAGTACGACTGAAAGTCCGTTTACGTTTGACCCATTGTTATCTGTCATGAATCTGTCATAACCTAAGGAGCCAATACGCCTACTGGTTCCTTCGTTCCCTTTCAGTTATATTGCTTTGGGTTTCTTATTTCCTCAAAGCCAACATTTAGGATTCTACTTTTTGCGGGGTTGAAATTTATTTGAGCAGACGATCATGGAAAATTAGGACTTTCTGTCAGATCGTTTTCAAAAGTTTGAGTTTTTTCAGAAATTTTAATTAACTAATTAGCGTTCCTTTCCATTGGTAAATCTGGTGATAAAATTTTATGTACTGAGCTTATTAATACTGTGAGCATAAATTAGGCGCCTTTGTCAATAGATGGGCGTTCATAAACGAGTTTCCCAGTAAGAACTGTTGAATATTGGCCAAATTCCTTGTTTGTGGACTTTTATGGGCAGATACGAAGTCGAGGTTCATATCAAGGGAGAAAAAAAAGAACAAGAACAATATTTAGCCACCTTGACAATACGATACACCTTGTCAATAAAGAACAATTATTTGACACATGTTTCCTAGTCGCATCTGTCTCACTGTCGTGATGAACCAATCAGAACACAGGATCAGCCTCATCTTGCCTGCTTGCGGAGCATTTCAACCCATATGGTGGTTTTTAGATAGTAAATTAAGCTAGCAACTAAATCGAGTTTGACTCTTTATTTATTGCTCGTATTCTGCACTTAGTCAAGAAACAAATAAATTTCTGTGAGTTATAGAGGTATCAAATGAAAAATGATAGGAAATGCTTTGTCGTCATACGACTTTATTTTGCCCAAAATTGGCGACTTTTTGTTCCCCGACCGGAAACGCTTAATATCTCGTATTAGCTGAGGACAATGAAAAGGATGCTACAAAGATTACAGGAATTAGTTGTAATAACACGCCCAGGCGCACAGAATTGATTGAAGAACTGAAACAAAAGTAATGAAATGATGATATTTATCAAGTTACGTTTTCTATTATTACATCAATATTTTACATTCCGACACAATTTCATAAACGGCGGTAGCGCGGAGACTGCAAACAAAAATGAAAGATCAAACAAAATTCCGTATCCGTGTTCTGATTCCTGTGGTTTAAATTATTCTGGGCACGTTGTAAACCAAGCCACAACGAAGGTTCCTGAATCTAGAAATGTTGGGGCACCTGTGTAACTGTAGACATTCGTCAGCGGTGTTTCTTATCACAACAGATGTTAATTAAAGATGGCGGATGTAGGAGCGATCGTGCGATCTGACCAGGAACAGGAGGTATAAAACTGTAAACAGTCCAATACGCTTAAATCTTCATTTTTTAATTCAACCCTTTCAAAATATGACTTGCTTTCCTTGCTGTCTAACGCAGGCGATAGCCGTTTTCTTGAGAGAGGTCAACAAGGATTGCGCCGAAAATGGCTTGAGTCCTGTCGGAACATCTACTGCTCTTATGTTCTTAATGGCTAGAAAATTTAATGCCGAACGAGCTGTGATCCTATACAGACGATATCAGGTAAGGAAAATATAACAGCAGCTAAGGATTTTCCAATTTGTCTGCCTTAGATAAAGTGTGATTTCCAAAAACGTGAACTTTTTCATTAATCCCATACACTTTAACACACTTCCATATTCTGTTCTTAATCGCCGCCGAATTTTTCCAGCTGTCTCGGACAACCGAAAAACAGCTGTTTGTGAAATACCGCACCTAGCTTTTAGTGCTAACTAATTATAATAACAGGTTCAGGTTCAATAAATGCTGCGTGTTAACTTCTTTTTGTACATGTTTTAATTATACCTAATATCTGTGTGCTCAATTGCGAACGATTTTACTGGTATATTTTTCAGATGACAATTATGAAAGAACCACAGTTGAAAAATAATCCCCCAAGGAATGTAATTAATTCTTTGTGCTTGACTCTTTTAGGAGGATTACTTATGTACATGAATTAATCTGTTTAAAAAAAATATTGGCTTGCCCATAATAATCATGGTCAGTAACTTAAATTTGACCGTTGATAAAATTTGCCATAGTTAAAGTCATTATGAACGACTCAGGTATTTAAGCTGCAAGAGTTTTTCAGTTTCAATCGTTTTTACTCGGATCCAAACAAGTCAAAGTTTGACCTTTAACAGGCAGATATTTGTAGGTAATGATGTTCTTTTGTGTTTTTGTAGTAATTCCATTTTCAGCAATTTGTCAATCATAATATATTGCCAGTGATGTAAAAATAATCATGTGGTTCCTTGATATTATGTATCTTGAAGCTGATTACTTTCCATGCCCAGGTAGATTTATTTCAGGGTTTCTTGCTTTTGCACACTTCTGCTTGAACTTAAAAAAAATATATATCTTTTGCCTCTATTCAACACTAAATTGAAAGAAGAACCCCCCTGAATTCCAACTGTACTCCTAACGAATATAAATTATATTTAAAGTTGCTTTCACTTCTGCTTTACCTTAAAAAAATTAACCTTAAATTACTCCTATTCAGTACTAAATGGAAAGAAAGATCCCTCTGAAACTGTACCCCTAATGAATATAAAATATATCTGAAGTTGCTTTGACAAAGCAGCTTGCAAAAAAATTTCTTCCTTAATTTTCAAGTTTATATGCCAGCAGCTACAAGATTTTTGTATGTTAGGAACTAAAAGTTAAACGGGTCCAGTTCAGAGTTACCTTATATAGTACATTTTTACTTCCCTCTTGAGAAAAAAAGAGAAAACTTAACATTAATCTGTTTAATCTGTTGATTTGGAACACCTCCATCTTTTGACAAACATTCTGCAAATGTGATCACTATTCTTCTGTTCATGTGCCCAAAATTTTGAATTGTTACCTCATATATAATACCAAGGAGATGAACACATCTATACTCTTAAACAATATGTTCAGGTCATTATTTAAAATGTCCTGGATTTTTTGCCTTTTCTTTCTTTTGTTTGATTTAACCCTTCAACTCCCATGAGTGACCTAGTCAGAATTTCTCCTTACAATACCAATACAATATCAACCAGATAAGTGATGAGAATAAAGAAAATTATCAATTTGGGGATAACTAGTTGATCCAATACTAAATTCTCTGAACTAACATTATAAGAATTGTATGGTTGATTAAGGAGAATGACAAATTTGATCTGGGAGTTGAAGGGTTAATGAAAATAAAGGCATGATGATGTAAGAAAAATGTGACAATTATGGCAATGATAGCAGTAACAAAGTGTGAAATTAGGATGTCAGTGTAGAGCATTATTTTTAATTTTCATTTTGTTGGGTAATTAGTGCTGTGCTTTTTTAAGTGGTGAAACTAATTTTTCAGAGTCAGTTATGAGTTACCTTTCAATAATTTGAGATTGACACGGCACACACAGGATCAGCAATTCTCATCAGCCATGACTTAAACTGTGTACTTTGGATTTTACTTTCATAGTATGAACGTCAATTATATCGTTTACAAGAATTGGCTCCATATGATCAACCTCTGAGCTCTGAACTTCTTGGTGGGAAGTTTACAGTTTTGGTGAGTGACTTGATATGTTTGTAGTCATCTATTTGTTCTGGTGTTAAGTGTAATGCAGTAGGTAAGAGTCTGTTACTTGCAATGGGTATTGTGGGTAAGGAATTGCTCCCGAATTTGGGTACATAAATTTTCATTTTTTTAATTAAAAAGGAAATTTACAAAGTTGCCATGGGAACATTTTATATCACCCTAAGGTGTTCTTCAGATTGCGAAGTCTTTTAATTGAGCTGTTTAAGAAGCTGTGAGTGCATTAAAGGGGGCAAGTTTCTAAAGAAACTGTGATGCTGCATTGGTGGGAGAGTATAACAGGGTAATTTGTTATTATCAACTGAATTGAAAATGTAAATTGGTCACGGTAAATAGTTTCAAAGCTGACGTTTAGAGTGTTAGCTTTCATCAGAGTAAATGAAAGGCCCCTGTTAGCCCCTCTGACAAAGGGCTAATGCTCAAAATGTCAGCTTAGAAGCTCTCTATGGTGACTAATTTATGTTATCAACTAATTAATTACCCTTTTATGAGTGCAGTAGCCCATGAAGCCGATACGAGGGTATCCTGGTGACAAGGATCATTGCTCTCGTCACAGAGGGGAAGCTTAAGTCTATTGCAGGTGACCCCAAGCTTTTCATCAGCTTTCCCTGGTAATCTGCAGATATCCAATTCCATTTATGCTCATGGCTGGAGAGAGCCACTGTGACAATCAAAGTATTTTGCTAAATGACTAAACCTTTTCACTCTCAGAAGTGATTAACAAGTAACTTCTCCCTACAATATCCATTCATTATCCCACAAACAGGTAATGGTATCACTCAAATGCATCAGGTAGAAGTTGTTATCTTGATCTAACACCAAATTCTTGTAACTTATTTACAAGGAAATGTGTAACAGCTTGAGGGGTGAATTAACAATAAGATCTTGGGAGTTAAAGGGTTCACACAAATTGACTAGAGTGAGTTTTAAACTAAAAAAAAAAGCCCTTTCCAGCATAATGACTGGAAAATATGAAAATCATATATGTGCACTGCGAGAAGAAATGAGATATGAGCAATCCTCACAGTTATGAACAGTACTGAACTAGTAGTTGAAATGAATCCTGAAAAAAAAAATTCAGGCCTATACGAGATTTGAAGCTGTGACCTTTGTGATACCAACTGAGCTAACAAGCCACTGGGAGCTGGTCTCTACTAACTGGATCTAAAGCTAAGTGGTAAACAAGCCAACTGGGAGCTGGTGAGAAGAAATGAGATTGGATCCCAAATAAACTAGTAGTTGAAATGAATCCTGAAAAAAAAAATTCAGGCCAAGATTTGGTGAACAATAACTGAGCAACAAGCCAACTGGGAGCTGGTCATAATGTTGGATCCAAATAAACCTTCCAAGTGGTGAATAATGACTGGAAATATATGAAAATCACATATGTGCACTGTGTAGTTAGCTAACATTCCATTCATAGAGGTCACTTGCATGTGAGACCTTTACTAAAAAATAAAATAATTCTTACTCTTGCCTATTTAGGAAAGTCGTGATGCAGGAGGAGCAGCAATAGCAGTGTTTTCTGCCAGCAAGCACTTTCCAGCAGCAACAACTCACAGGACAGTTATACAGGGAATTGCATTTCAGCTGGATGAGTGTTTGAAAAGGTACAAAATATGTCAACATACACTGCAGTTCTGTTTATTCTGTGAGTATGATTACTTGAATGTAATAAGACATGAATATTTGGGTTTGCGGGTACATCTGGCCCTTTTTCAATTTTATTTAGTGCTTTGGTTTAAAATGTAATGAGATACCAGCTTGCCTTCTAGTAAACTTGGCTGTCCCTCCATGCAGTATATTACCTCATCTGGTGATGTATCTGAATGTCTGACCACTAGACATTAAAGTTGTGTGGGTTATCTATTCACTAAGCCTTTTACATTTTTGTTGTATTTTCCAGTTACGAAACTCGAAAGAATGGGTTGGTTCTGCTGTACGACATGACAGGATCAGGCTATCATAATTTTGATTATGGTCTCGCTCGAAAAGTCATGGATCTACTGAAGGTAACCTTGTACTTGATTAAATGTTACAGTCGGCATTTTGAAATACTTACACACATGTGCACCATCTTGTACATGACTGTTTGTTTTATGCCAACAGAATCTTTGATTCTTTCAAGCTTTAGTGGCCTTGTTTCAAGAAGTATGAGATTGTTCATTTTTCATGTCTCCACTCCTCAGGGCAGTCAGTAATTTTTCAAGTAGTAGAAAGTACTGGGAAATGAAAAAAGGTAGCTGGGGTACAAATATTTTCTAGTTGAAAATTGCCTGGGCCAAGGAAAGGGGATGAGCTGGGATGGAGGCTTTGGGAAGAAAAAAAACACTGATCAATCTAGGTACATGTGTGTTACGTGTTAATTTTTTGGAAATTTTTATGCCAATGCTGTTTATTTTTCTTTTACTGCATCAACAAGACTTTGAAAAGATTTTGACAATCAATCATGATTTTATTATAATCGTTATGGCAAAACACTTTGGGTAGACCAACAAAATACAAATGATTTTGGCCAGAAAAATGTTTTGACTTTATTAAATCATGTAACCTCTGTCAATAAAGCATATTCTGGAATTTCAATTTTTTTTATTTACAGTTTTCTTAGTAGATGTATTTTCACTTTCCATAATTATATAGTTTAGCCTTCATTCAAATAACCATGGCTCAGGCTCTTAGGGGGGCCAGTTATTTACAAAAGGTCTAACCCAAACCACAGTTTTACGCATGCCAAGCAGTGTGCCTCATGCTTTCCCTTAAAAAGGGTTGATTTAATTAAATAATTTTCCTTTTACTGTTAGCTTTTGGCTGTCTCAACACTGTTCTAAAAGTAACTGTTTGGATAAAAGGTCCAATTAAATCAAGGATTGTTTAGGACACAGTTTTGTTAGACAGTGCGAAACTTTGTTTAATTAACTGATAATTAGTGATTAGGGGAAATCCCTGTTACTTGGCCTTCTGTGACAGCCCTGCTCTTCCAGCTGCATGAATGATAGATTACATTTTAGATATAACAACTAATTGTGTGCAGTGAACATGGTTTGTTTTCTGCAGTGAGTCTATAATTTAATACTCATTGCAGGCAACCTCCACGTTTGTCTCCTTTTCTTTTAAGATGGTGATTTTGCAGATTAAAGCCAATAATTTCAAAGGCAAACATTTCCTTATTTTACTACACCACCCAAAGTGTTGATCAGAAACTACATGAAGCTTTTGTCCTTTTCAGGGTAGTTATCCAGCTAGACTCAAGAATGTCTTCATTATCTCCCCTCCACTTTGGTTTAAGGCTGTATTATCCTTTTTCATGAACTTTCTCCAAGAAAGACTGAAGGAAAGGATTGAGGTAGTTCCAAGGGAAGTATTACTACAGAGACTTCCAGAATCTTCGATCCCTGAAAGCTTGGGTGGATCCCTGAAAGTGGATCATTTAGCTTGGTTGAACAAGTGCTTGGAAACATACTCCCAGGCATGTCAAGAAAAGGGTGGTTTGAATGGGGCAGCAAAAAACTTTGAAAGACTTGATGGAACTGTGTCAAACAAATTTGGTGCTCTAACATTTGATCAAGAAGCAGGGCTGGGAAATGAAGGTGCTCTCACTGTAATGGAATTTATTGAACACATGATGAAGCAACAAAGGAGAGGAATCAATTTGCAGTTTTTTAATTTAAAGAGCAACACAGCATCTGGAAGTTTTCAGTCTACAAGGTAAGGATTCATGTAGGTCTAGTTAATGTTGTTATTTGTTGGAATCTCTTAACAAACAAGGACTACAAGAACCATCATTGAAAGCATTTAAGTTAGAGGAATTGTGTCCATCATGGAAAATGTAGCTTTGATTTTTCAAGGGCATCATTTGTAATCAGAGAGGCTCATCTGTACAGAGCAAATTCCATTTTCCACTGCCTGAATTGACCAGGAGGATTACCCTGCGATCCAGAGTCCATCACACTAACTTTAAGCCAGGGTGTTTGCCACAAACAATCGCCATTGATATAGTTGATCCTAGTTGCCATCTTCAACTTTCTTATTGCCTCTTTGATTATTTGTCTGCTGTAACCAACTATTATTTGAGGGGGTAAGTGATCTAAATTATAAGCGATCCTCGCAGCTATGAACACTACTAAACAAGCAGTTGAAATAAGACCTGAAAAAAAAAAAAAAATTCAGGCCCGTATGGGATTTGAACCCATGACCTCTGCGATACCAGTGCAGTGCTCTACCAATTAAGCTAACAAGCCAACTGAGAGCTGGTCACTATATTGGATCCGAATAAACCTTCCAAAAAAAATTGTAGTTGTTTCAGAAAAAAAAATAGAGGGGTTATTTGATTTAATATGACATGACTTACTGTACTTTTGACTATGTTGCATCTCTTTAGAATGAGCATTATATGTCTAATAATTTATTTTGGAGTTTTAGCATGCAACATTTTAAGTCTCCGACAACTAAGGAGAAAGCAGCAAACCTTTATCTTGATTAACTTGAGACTATGTATTTTGCAGAAATAAAGGTGTTACAGCTTGCAACAGACTGTGGAACACGAGTTGCCAAACTGGTTACTGTGGCACCAAATTTGCAATGTTGGCGAAGTTAATAACTATATTTTTGAATGCATTATTTGCAGATTGCCAGAGAATGTGAAGAAAAACAGATACACAGATGTCTTGTGTCTGGAGGAAACAAGGGTAAAGCTGTCCAATTTGGATGGACAAATGGCAAGTTTATCGTAATATACAGCCTTTGAAATGAATAAATTGTTTTCATTAAAAAGTAAATTATACGTATGCCACAAGATTTTCTCTACAGACAAAATTCTCTTTCAAAAGTGGCAGATATATCACTCATTCACCCCTGCAGCTGACTTGTGACATATAAGACCTTGTTCCAGGCTCTCAGTCAGTTGTGACAAGCAAAAAAGAGGCCATGTGAAAAATTATGTTGCTTCACAAAATAAGCAGAAGAGAAAAGAATGATACAAAGTGTGGTTTTCTGAAAAGTGTTACCACAATTAGATCAGCCTGCTTGCCATTCTTCTGGCACATCTTCATCTACTAAGAGTCTAATACAGGCTAGATGTAACAGAGTGCAGCTTTTCTTTTTTCCATATCCTGAAAATCTAGGTTTGTAAGGTTAACCCTTTAACTCCTAAGATATCATCAGTAATTCTCCTTACTTTCTGCCAAATGATTCTCATTATGTTAGTTTGGAGAATTTGGTATCAGATCAATTAGTAATCCCATAATTGATATTTTTCTTTATTCTCATCACTGGTCTGCATGAGATTGTTTAGATATAGTAAGGAGAAATTCTGTCTTGGTCACTCATGGGAGTTAACGGGTTTAAGTTATTTCTGCAATTATTTTCTAGACATCAAATTACATTCATGCAAACTTTATGGATGGATACAAGCAAGCACGGGCATATATTGCCACTCAAGGTTAGAGTGAGTTTGCAATAGAGACACAGGAGTCCTTCTAATGTGCAATGTTATAGTAAGAGTGGGTTGAATCACAGAATGATGTTTTGTACATACAATTATAAAGTAAACAAATTTACATGTAAACTTTTATCCAGGGATTTTTTATGGTAAAAAAATGAGAATAGTGAAGCTTAAGTTTCTCATGATTTTTCTTCTGCCCTACAGTAGTCCCTATTCAGTCTGCATGCATGCATCTTCATATTTGCCTTCATTAGAAATTATTAACTGTCATGAATAATTACTACTCTTTAGGGCCCCTGCCCCACACCAAAGGTGATTTCTGGCAAATGGCTTGGGAACAACAGGTTTATGTCATTGTCATGATAACAAGGTAAGCATTTTTTTTTCTGATAGCTCTTTTAGTTAAAAGAAAAGCTAAAGTTTGTTTCGTTTTATCCATGGCATATGTGAAGGATTAGGATGATGAAGTTTTTGACAAGTGTACAACAGAGATAACTTTACGGTTTTTGGACGTATCACTCGCTTGTTGCTGCCACTAAGTTAGTGAAGTAAACGTTTTGAGGTTGAGTGGCAAAATTGGGAATGATTTTATTCCTTCAGAAGAAAAGCTAGACCTTGAATAACAAATGCAAATGTATTGTGTTAAATGAGAAGTCAAACCAGTTAATCCAGATGTCACAACAGTTTATCCAGATTTCAAACCAGTTGACATAGATGCCACACTAATTAACAAGATATCAAACCAGTTAATCCAGATGCCACACCAATTTATCCAGATGTCACGCCAGTTAATCCAGATGTCACACCAGTTTACCAGATATTAAACCACTTAATCCAGATTTCAAATCAGTTATACCAGATATTAATTAAGTTCATCTAGCATCAAGCACACGTCATTGGCATGGCTTCCCATCTCCTTTAGTTTCATCCCTTTTTTTATCTACCCTGAATGAAGGCAAAGCATTTTCAATCTCATTTTAAGTCTCCACTGCTATGAGTCATTTTACCAGCAATTACCATTTAATTAATGAGTGACTCATTTAAAAATGAAAACTGTTATCCCAGGTGCATTGAAAGGAGTCGTAGGAAGTGTATTCAGTATTGGCCCGAAAATAATGAAACACAGGAGTTTGCAACTGTAGATGTGTCCCATGAAGAAACTTTGGAATTTGAGGATCATGTAGAAAGAGTTTTCTGGATGAAGCACAAAAGGGTGAGAGATTTATATCATATATAATAGCTGGGGGAAGACGGAGAAGGTGTCTTAAATCTTCAAGGCTTTTGTGGAAGAGTTTGACTCCAGATTATCAAGTTATCAACTGCATGATTCAGGGAGCGATGTGGTTTGTGTAGAAGACTCGCGGTGCCCTCTTAATCGATCACAAACGGAAATTAAACAAATTGATATTTGTTTACTTGCTTTTTCCTCTCTTAAGAGAATTTAGGTAAATTAACTTGGAGATTTCGTTGTTTCCATGTCTTGTTGATCGTGTTCTGAATCACAATGGTGAATAGTCTTCTTTCCATTTCGTGTTTCCGACTCGCTCAAGGCGCGCAGTGCATGTTCCTTTATTCGAATCTTCTCTATTTTTCCATCCAAACAAGTAGTCTAAGACATATTCGCTGATCGTTTGAGTGGAAAACTTGTTTTTACCATACAGTAACTCTCTTGCTCCCAAAGATTTGCGGTATAATTCTCTTTTCTAGCAGTTATAGTGATACAATTTCTTGTGAAGTTATACGGAGAGTTTAAGGATTTGGGTTAATGTAGCACAAATTCGCAGATCGTTTTAATAAATGGAAAACTTATTTTTACAACATATTAACCATGCAGTCACTCTCTAGTTCCCAAAGATCCGCTGCGCAACTCTCCTTCCTAGCTGTCAAACAGTGTCTTGTGAAGTTGTACGGAGAGTTTGGGAATTTGGTCTGAATATTGTTACCCTATCACATGTTTGCTCCTGAATGTATCGATATTTTTTGGAGAGGTTAATTTTTGATCGCGGTAGGTAGGATTAATACATCTTTGCTCACATCGTAGTCAGGAGAGAAACGAAGACTAGTCCACTTCCAAATGACCTCTTGGCCAGATTTTGGAGTGCCGTCGTCTGCCGAGTCATGCTTACATATTGTTGGTCTGGTCCGGGAGGCACAAAATGATGCAGTGCAAGCATTAGGGTCGCAGTGGAAGGGACACCCAAGAGGCCCTCCAATTATAGTGCACTGCAGTGCAGGTATTGGTCGCACTGGGACCTTCTGCACTATTGAAGTGAATGTGGCTCGTTTGGCAGATGTGGGAAAATGTGAGGTATTTAACACAGTGAAAACTTTAAGAACTCAGAGGGCGCTCACTATTCAGACACCTGAACAGTACGAGTTTTGTCATTTGGCCATATTGGAGCATGCGTTGAACATGGCAAGCACAACGCAAGATGAGAAGGAAGCAATCACAGACTTCTTGGGAGGGTGGAAAATGCAACGAAAAAACTCCAGTGACACGGATTGAGCCCAGTGTACTACACAAAAGATAGTGAATGGTATAAGGTTAGGCCTAAGTGATCCTTGAGTTTTAACGACGTATTCTCTCTTTCTCTCTCTCTCTCTCTGTTAGGGATGAGTGATAATCTGTAAAAATTAAAAAGCCTGGAAAGCCTCCAAATGTTAGTGAAGCTAGCGTCCTTTATTACTTCGCAAAAAGATTTGAAAATCGAGGGGAAAAATACTAACAGCATACTCTTGCACTAAAAGATGGCGATTTACCAATCTGGCAATATTTAGCCATTGGAGTCCTCGTGTATTCACGTGCACGCTAATCACTCGGGAAATGGTGAGAATTACGGCTGCGCAGTGCAATTCTTTATCCTTTAGCGCTACCGTCTGGTTTACCAGAACCGTATTATCTCTAAAACCCGTTTTTTTTTTTTTTTTTTTTGTTAACAGAGAATGTTCTAAACTCTGAAGTATCTGTATTGCTCATAATGTGGAGAGGAATCTGAAAACATTGTATATAGATTTCATTTACCGTAAATCACCAACATCCTCATGGAGGCAACATCCCTTGAATAAAGGGCCATCCTAATTTATGCTAAATTTGTATTAAAAAACAGGGCTGTTTAAAGCACCAACTTGAATTTGTAGAATACGAATGATATTTATTGCTTTTTTGGAGAAATGGAATTTCACATGCGACATTTTACTGTTTTAAAAATAACTAATATTGTCTACAATTTCCAACTGTATTGGGATGAAATGCAGAGCTCAAATTAAACCCCGTTCACACTGGCAAAACATGTGTAGTCAAACCGGGTTTGACAGAATTAAAACCAGAAACAGAAAAAGTTTTCCACAGGTTTCATCTTTTCACTAACATGTATTTTAAATATGTTAAATTGGAAGTCAACAAACATCAGTTGAAGCAGCTATGAAGAAAACTTTTTAACCGTGTTAACCTAAACGGCTTAAATACATGTTTTAAAGCTTTACTGCGAATGGGGTTTAAGTACCTTTAGCAACTGTTGTTTGGGATGTTACGCACTGCTCGTCCCTCTGGGAGAGGCTGTGTTGCGTGACATCCTACAGAACAGCTTTTAAGAAAACTTTTATAAGTTTATGATGAAACAATTTATTTGTTACGATATGTGTAACAATTACCTTTCTTTGTAAATTTTTTTAATTCAAGAACATTACTCAGTTAACGTTTGCAATTAAATCACATGATTCCGTTATGGAATACTAAAAAATGTTTCAAAGTCATTATCCTTAAGGAAATTATGGTATCTGAGTAATTAATTTTTAACGTTTTTGTGAATAATATTTAGTTGACATCGCTGTTACAAAAAGAGTCAATTGTAAAAATTTTAAAGACATTTTAGTTTTGTAGAAGTTGTATCCTATAGTTATCGAGGTATATAACTTTAGAATCAGTTGTATTTTTTAAATGACTGTGTTAAAAAAGGACAAATTCGTCTTGTCAATAAAGATTTCCTTAATAGTTAAAATGTTTTGTTTGTGGTTGAGTAGAGTTGGCTGCCGCAGAGAACTGGTTCTTAAGGGTGACTCGCCTGCAGTGGGTGGTAGTGCATAATGACATGGCGTTCGTACGTTTGCGCATGTGCGATGGTGTACTTTCAGGTTGTCGAGTTAAAAAGAAAGTAATCAGAATACTCGCAAAAGTCGTAATTTAAATAAGCCTCGCGTTCAAATATTCTCGAATTTCCCTTTTCTCTACTTTTTTTACTTTAATAGAATTCTGTGCGCTATGGCACAGCAGTTGCTTTTTAAATTTTCCCTTTGAAAGTTCCCGCTGATATCAGGCGCGAGGCCGGCGCAAATTGATCCACTTGCACATGCCTGACTTTTGGCAACTGTAGAGAGGGTACGTTTCTAAAGAAACTGTGGTACTGCGTAGGTGGGAGAGTATAACAGGGTAATTTGGTGTTATCAACTGGGTTGAAAACGTAAATTGGCCACCGTTAAGAGTCTAAAGGCTGACGTTTCGAGCGTTAGCCCTTCGTCAGAGGAATTGGCAACTGTGTCGGGGATAAGCAAAGTAGCATACGCGCGTAAAACAACGCGTTTGTAGCTCTCCCCCTTTTTCGCTAATTTCTACTCTCCGGGAGTCTGGACCAGCTTGGTCTGAGATCGTGAGGTTCCGCTGACAACCCTAGCCGCCATTTAATGCTTACCTTTCCTTCGTTCGTCTTAACTGACAGAGAATTAGGAAAAACTAACGTAAATGAAAATTTAGTTTACGTCTAAGATGCATTGGAATGCGGAGACTTTTTACGTCATAATGACTGGACATTTTTATTTTGAAGATGATGTGCTTTATTTTTAATTTAGCTCGGATCAGCAAGTTCCAGTCGTTCAAAAGGTTCGTTTCTCAATCCACAGGATAAGACGTTATTTACTAAGTGTAAGAAGTATTGAAAAATGAGCGGTTTTCGTTTTGTAATCAGGAGTTTGCGTGGAATTTGGTGCAGTCGTGAGCTGAAAGTGCGAACACATTATTACCATACCGTCACCTAGATCAACTCTGGAAATGACGCTTTTAACGGGCTTTGTGGCAATGTAAATGTATTAATGTACGTGGAACACTGAAGGTTGTAGCAAAAGGGTGGTTAAGGGTTATTTAGCCCAAATAGTTACGCGATAAGTGAATTTTACGCGAATTTGTGACATGTAAATACTTTTTAAGTACACATGACGCATTAATTTTTCTAAAGTTCGTGCGTGAAACGGGATCAGGACCCCAAACTCCCCCGTCTTTTCTACCTTTTGGTAAATTATCTTGTTCCATTTTTTACAATGTCACTTTAATCACAAGGGTAATAATTTCGGCCTGTTTTACCTTGACCGACATCACAGCTTGGGGACAAGCTTTCGAAATTAAAAAACACAGCAGGAGCCCATTACTAATGGGCCCCTGACACAGCCATTAAACGCCGTACATTTACGTTACTTACATAGAGACATTGTGAAGAATCAAATCACTGATAGAATGAAAATAATCCCGATACTTGTCACTCTTAAAGGTCAGAGGGTTTAGCTCTCTAAGGAAGAAAATGTGGTTATGAGAGTATGTCTTTAACCTTGCAAATCCTTGGTCGCGTTAGTGTTTAACAAACATTTTAGGGTTCAGTAATATACCTAAGCTACATCTCATCTCATTGATAATGGAACAAAAATTTAGTTTTAATCAGCTCTGTCGACAGTCAACATTCGTTCGGTAATTTGGCAGCCGTTGGTTTACCATGTTAGGTTTACACGCAACAGTTTCTCTCGTAGAATGCGTTGCGTGGCCGGACCAGACAAGGCAGCGAAAGAAACCGCAGGAGATAGACATTCTCGAATTCGTAACGATCTCTTCACGGTATGTCGAAGTCACAGCATGGAATTTTTAGTGCCTCTATCCTTTTAAAGGACAGCCAGCTCTATGTTGCTATGTGAGGATTATGTATCAACTTAAATTATCGATTAAAATTATATGGCCTTTTTAAAGCTGAGACAATTTAGTAGCAATTTGAGTTACGCAGAAACTGCAACAGACAGCGGGGGATTGTTCACGCCTTTCAAAATAATCGACCTGAAATCACGTTACATTGTACCCTTGCATACACCCTTACACGCTTCGGTATCGCGCGAGTGGCCGGCTGCGTTGAAAGTGTACCACGCATCACTTCTCCGCCTTGTTAGCGGTGACCGGTCCGAGGGTCCCCAATCAATTATGAGAAGTTCAGGTCCGTACGATGTACTTTTAATTTTAACTTATCGAAGTCCTCTTTGACGTTTTACACGGTTCATTTTAGAATGATGCAGAAGCAATATCTACGCAAACAGCAAAATATGGTAAAATGTAGTGTGCTGCCCACGTGAATGCAAACCAATGCTAGTTAAATCCAAACATGTACTTTGGATTTTCAAAATTACTACCCCAAAAGTTTGTTTATCTCAGGAAAGCACTTCGGGTTAAATTTTTAGCCTTGAAAAAGAATATTGTTAGATCATTCGCTCTTACGAAGGGCTAATGCTCGAAACGTCAGCTTTGTAACTCTTAACAATGGCCAATTCACGTTGTCAACTCAGTTGATAATACTGAATCACCCTGTACAGTCTGATATGCTTGCCTTAAAAAATTTTATGGATGATGTGTTCTTATCGACGACGAGAGAAATCAATCGATTGGCAATATTCTTTGACAAACGACTTATTTTTAGTCGCAAAGGATAACCTTTCAGCGCGCATTGTGGACCAGAAGACAAAAGTCAATGAACCGCGGCCGAGTACGTGTTAAACCTGCACGTGCGTAATCGCGTGCACGCCATTGATATGTAAATCATGTTTTAAAAGGCGTAAAAGATGCCACTGACGGACAGATTATGTTACTTCCGACAAACTTACATCATTGAAATTTCGGTTGCTAACATCTGCAACCAATAATTTTTCCCTGTAAATTTTTAAAATCAATTTAATAAAATCAAACGGGCACTTTGCACCTTGATGATGTAATGTGCGTGCAGGCTTTAACGCTTGCACAACAGTACTACTAAAATAATGGGACAGAAATGTTATGAAACAACTGGTTCAGACATCAATTACGTGTTCATCAAGATACTTAAGAGAAATTAACGGTATCAAAGTGGCGAGAAAGTTTCTCGAGGAGCAGCCGATAGCAATTGTATCATGTTCCAGCTGCTTCATATCTCGATGAACCAGCGTTAATGTATCGACCATTCTATCACCTGAAGATATTTCTAGAAACAATACGTACATATCGACCAGAGCGAGTAAACAATACTGTCTCTTCACGTGCAGAGTATCACGTGAATACTTGGTCGCATGAGAGAAAACGTGAGCATGACGAAGATTGTCATACATTCTGGTGTACTTCGCCAGTAACTGACTCTACTTTACAGCTCCTTACAACTACTAAGACGGAGTAGACAGAGTTTAAAGTGAACATAGTTATTTATTTAGCAAATAATTTCTTCAATTCTACAGCAAACATAGCAAAATTTATTTTGGCACAGCACCATAAATAACCGGCCATAGCGTAAATGCAACGGTTTATATAATTTAAACTACTATAAACACTTCTTTCTACACTGAATTGACAAATTTAAGCTTCTCATCAATCTAAGCGTAGCGTCGACATTTTAATTCACAATGTAACGTTCACATAGGATGTGACCTTATATGTTTGACAAAAAATAACATTTTCCCAAAGAAAATTCCCTGAACAGCTCAGGCATAATATACAAGAGCTCTTTGGCAAATTTTTCATTTTCGTTCATACCCCCCACATCCCGAATAAATTAAATTATGATAAATTAAATTATGATACATCTGTCTTTTCTTGTTAATAGCCATAATTGTTAGCATAATTTCATCAAGGGCCAAGCTTGAGTAAGGATGATTTCCTTTTGTTTTGCCAGGCAAATTGCAATTTAATCAATATTAATTTTTTTTTCTTTCTTTCTCTTTTTTCTTACAAATGACAATTGTCAAAAAAAATTAAATAATATGAAATTATGTTTATGAAACTTTAAAACCATTGAAGAATTTAAAAAATGAGAGAGAGTAAAAACAGAAAGTTACCATTGACACACACAAAAAAATTGAACTGTCCTTCACTAACTATTTTATGAACTTGCTTAAAATGAACACCAATAAATAAAATTACAGTTTCAAGAGCATACATAAAAGAAATCGTTGGGCACAACCTAACTGTTTAAAACTATTACTTTAAATAGGGCAAAATGCGATAACGGATACTTTTTAAAATACAATTAGTAGTAAATTAAGCCATGAATGGCAAAGTACTTGAAGGAAACACTAACAAAGAAATAAAGAATAAATCAAATTACATACAGGAAAATCCAATTAGTTTCCCAATTTGTTTTCCTTTCTTAAGATTTTAGCTTCTAATAAAAATCAGACAACACAACACTTTCCAATGAACAAACACTCACTTTTCAACACAATGACCCCTTTCACTAAACCAAGGTAAAGCACCATAGCAAGTTTCAAGGTGCTGAACCAGCCCTAACATTGATTAGACATGTGAATCATGTGAATCCTCAAGTACAAAAACTCAATAGTGACCATTTAAAAATAACACAATCCAAATGGTCCATTAAAAACGTTTTTCTTACATGTAAAGTTCACATTTTCCTTCAAAGCACCCTTGCCAAACATACCATCTAAAATGGATGACGGCATGTTGGCATGATGAAACTCAAAGAGTTTTGCCTGATCTTTAGGATCAACAGTGTCATTTAAGGACATTTGGATTTTGTAAGCAGCAGCCAAAGTTTCAAGTCCTTCTTTGCAAGTTTCCAATCCCAAACGCTCCGACACATCAATGTGGGTTTTGCACTGGTCCAGCAAAGGGGCTTCTGGCTCCTGCATAATGTCCTTTAAAGATAATATGTCATTTCCAGTATCTTGATTCTCCAAAACAACTTCTTTAACAACAACATCTGGAACAGAGCTTTCAAAAGAGCCACTACTTTCAAATGAAGAACACTCTTCTAAAATCCAGCTTTTCAATGTGCCCTCTTCAAAGTCTCCAACTTCATCCTCAATGTGCAATGGCTCGAAACAGATTGGTTCATCTGAAGGGAATGAGTACTGATGAAGGTAAGGATGTGCAAGGGCTTCTTCTGCAGTCATTCTTTTATCTGGGTTGAACTTCAGCATTTTCACCAGCAGATCAAGAGCTGCAAATAATAACAAGAGGCAAAGGTTGAGTGCTGACATTACTTCAAGAAAATGTGGTGGTCATTTGTTAATTATGTTATGATGTTACTACATACTCACCATTACATTTATACCAACAATGTTATATAAGGCAAAGAGATGTTAGAGTCTCTCAGAGACAAATCAGTGATTTCCCCCTAAGCAAACTTATGAAATACATAAATTCATGCATGTGTGAATTTTGTTTGCTAAGAACTAGAGGAAGCTTAGAACAAAATTAGCATAAAAGGTTCTAGGTGTCAATATTTACAGCTTGGTTTCCAGGGATATGAAGAATTTCACTTCTTCGTGGGTGTTTTTTGTTTGTATACTGAAACTTTACTAGTTCCCTTTCAGCGCCTGATTCTGGGCATGTAAATCGTTGGGTATTGCTAGAATGCTTAACATTTATGTTATTTCCATTTCTTTATTATTAGCCAACCAATCACACAAAACATTCCATCGGGTTCAGTATGTGGTTTAAGAATATTAATAACTGCATGGTTTTCTGTTTCGCCAATAAGTCGCTGGAAAACTAACATGGCATCGATTCACCATCCCACTACTTTTGAATACTTCACATGTAGAATTCACTCGAACAGATGAAAATAGAAATCATCAGGAGAACAGGAAAAGATAAATTGCTTTGCCACCCGCGACTGCACTGAAACGTAAACAATATTTTGTCTAATGGTGTGATTTTTGCCGATCTGTTGCGCCACTAGAAAGTCACAAAAAAGGGGGAAAAAATCTCGAATGTTTCTTGTAAATGGACCCGATAGTCGAATTTTACTCCGAAACATAACAGGCGAGAGGGGATATCACGGCCGTTCATTAACAATTATTATCATGGTTAAATTTAGCAATTTCCTGACTCACGAAATTTTTTCAAGAGTACCACCCAATTCGAGCATTTTCATTTCGTAGATTCTGACCCACATCCATTCCGAAAGACTAAATTGAACTCGTAAAAATTTAGGCAGTATAAAAAGACAACTTCACCCTGCAGATACACCCTAGATACCTGTAAAAAATTTTTCTTTGTTTGTATTTTATTTTCGAATTCATGAAATATTCATAGGGTGTCAAAGTACAATTCTGAAGCGAGCATTACAAGCGAAATATCAGAGAGAATTCTTGAATAGAAAGAGGAAGGCTCAGAAAAAACGGGTTTGCTCCATTATAAATACACGAAAAAAATTACGGCGACAGCGCATAAGAAGGCGAAAATCATAGAAAAACAAATTTAAGTTACGTAAGTATAATTGACCATCGCGCAAGTATGCAAATTAATTTCAATGTTTACATGGTTCGAACCGACAACAAAACCGGCCTTACCTTGGATGTCAATGTGAGGAAACTTGCTTCCCAAAGCAGATCCTTGCTCCTGAGTCCTTTTCATAGCCGTTCTATCTGGCAAATGTGGTTTAAGGGCTATCCATTCTTCCTCCGTAAGGCAAACAGAGTCCAAAATTTGCTCCATTTGATCGATTTCGTGCCTCCCTTCGAACAGGGGTTTGCCCAGTAACATCTCAGCAAAAACGCAACCCGCGGCCCACATATCTACCGAACTGTCATAAGTCGATGCGTTCAACAGCAGTTCAGGCGATTTATACCACAAGGTCGAGACGCTGTGAGTTAGATGGCCGTAGTGTGAGTAAGCCGGATCGAGAATTCGTGATCGTCCGAAGTCGCCTATTCTCATGAGTAACGTTTCAGAGTCAACTAGCAAATTACTTGGTTTCACGTCACGATGAACTACGTTCGCGGAGTGGATGTATTTCAGTCCTCGTAACAGTTGATATAAAAATAATTTCACATAGTCTTCTCGTAGTTTTCCCTTACTTTGTAAGATTTGATGTAGGTCAGAATCAATCAAGTCTTCTACAAGATAAAGTTCGGTCGCCCCTCTAAAATGTTCGTCCATGCCGTCCAGGAACGGCATGCCTTCTGAGTCCACCACTTTTAATAACTTCACCACATTCTCGTGTTCTAAAGTCTTCAAAGCCTTCACTTCTCTGAGAGCTGCTCTACAATTCATTCGATCTCGAAGAATAAGTCTTTTAAGAGCAACCCGTTGGTCGGTTTCCACATCGATGGCGGAATAAACTGCGCCGCTTCCACCGGTTCCCACAAGCTTCATGTTCGTGAAAGCAGAGCCAAGAAAATCCGAGTTTGTTTCTTTAGGCATTGTGAGTGTCTTTGTGAAGTCGATGTGTTCCCTAGGACTCCTAGGAAAAAGTGAGCCACAGCTATAAAGGTAGAAACATTTCAAAGGCCCTTCACGACCTACTCCCGTGGTAGCGCTAAAAATTTTTCTGAGACAATCGTTCGAACAAGTTATTAACCGGCGTACGCTCTCACGAGAACATCTGATTGGTTCTTATGTTGAATAATATAGGACGTGGACTGTGATTGGTCAAGAGTCTGTTAGTTTTCCAGCTGACGTTCACATGCATCGCATGAGGCGCATGAGTAGGTCGCTCTTACATCAGCCGTGTGTTTCACATTTCGTAAAACATTCCCTTGTTACATAACTTAGAGAACACATGCACTCTCATCTCTGTCGATACTGGTCAGTCTTCGATTCTGTGAATATCTTTTTTATTTTCAGTAAAACAGTTAGCAAATATTTCACGAATTACGATAAAGTGATTTGGATCCACACGCAACAGGAAACACGCAAACGCTTTTTAAGCCAAGGTCATTGCATCGTCAGAGTAGATTGTCCTTCCGGTTCTCACAACTTAACTGAAATATGAGAGTTAACTACCAAACGTGACTTTTTCCTTCTCTCATTTTCAGTTTTGACGAGGGTCACGATCTATGTGGGGAAACTTTCAAGATAAAACGAAAGAAGGAAGACTTTCGAAAACTGCGCATGATTGGGGCTTGAAAAATTTGAAGGAAGTGGGAGTAAGAGGGAAATTAAATTTAACAGATGACGTTCGTAGTTTAAGTACTTCTGGTTTTGCTTAAAGTCTCTGATGTCAAAGGGTAGGATGGTGACAGTCAAACGAATACGATTACAACATTGAAACAATCACCTGCCTGCCACAGCGCCTACGATGTTAGTACAAATAAATATAATTTTGCGTATTGATTCTAAAAAAAGAAAATTAATAATGGAGAGAAAAATTCATGAGTAGAGCTGTCAAATTTACACGGAATAACTTCTTATCGTTGAAACTAGGCAGCTGGCTTCACAAGAAATGAGAAAATATCGCAAAAATTGATGAGATGTTCAGATAATTAAGATTTTATGCCGAGAGCTTAGTTGCCTTTGGGAAAGGTGAAGAATATTTTAATTTCGCAAAACCCCAGGAATAGCTTTTGAAAACCACAAACTTAATTTGACAGAAGTGGGTCTCTACGAAACTTCCGTAAATCAAGAGTGAAATTGCGTACTGTGAGGTCTGTGAACAATTTTAAAAACAAAATATTCAACTTAAAGAATATTGTATATTTCGCTTGGACCATATTTCGAAATGAATATACATCACAAATAAAATGGTAGATCTGCCAAGGTTTTCCTTTTATTTTATTTTTTTGTCCATTATTTATCTCATTTTGAATTTTTGACGGATAGGAACTCTCATATTTTTCCGGCAAAACAACTTCATAAGACATGTAGGAGGACTGAGGTAACAACTAAAAATGACTCATAAATATGGCGACCTCTTAAGGCATTCGCTATTGCTTCTAACCGGGCTTCGTGCCAGCTTTAAATATTTTTAGCGTCTACTAATGCAAAAACAGCAGAAAATATATGTTAACTGGGTGAAAGTTCAACACACTGCTTGCCAGCTTTAAATATTTTTAGCGTCTACTAATGCAAAAACAGCAGAAAATATATGTTAACCGGGTGAAAGTTCAACACAAATATCAGCCTGAGGAAAAATTTTGCTTTTTCTGCCTCTATATGCCGAGCAGAGGTAAATTTTGCTAATCAGTCCGTCAAGCAAAATCTACAACCAAAAATATTTTAAGTTTTTTTTCTTCAGGAAAGCGGCTGTACTCATGATGAAGTCAGTTGGGGGAAAATTCCACCATAGTTTGATAGTGCCGCAAAAAAAATTGTCCTCATCGATAACGACGCAAAATTTGCCCAAAACATGGTATAGGAGGTAGAAGTGCACTCAGTAAGAACGTCTCTTGTTAAATGCACACAGCAATTTTTATTATTCTTGCCAGAATTTCATGAAATTGTCAGAATAATAATCTTTTTACAGTCTCCGTGTTCAAAAAAGTGTCTCAATTTTTAGAAGTGCAGGTTAAAGATCACATGATAACAATTTTTCGAACTTTGCATTAAAGCTGTACTTATACTGGCGACAGCTTGGATCAAATTGCGCCACAGATTTACAATATAGCACATTAATATCAAGGGTCGACGTCTTTAAGAGCTTTGGAGTGTCTGTCGATATTTCTGTATTTGATGTTGAGGGCTACCTGACTACAATACGTCATAAATGGACGGATATAGAACTTGGCACCTCGCTAAAATATATTGCCAAATATTATGGATAGTTGTACAATTTTTTCTCACACATACCCAGATATTAAAGTAGTGGAAAATTAATTATTTTTATTGTCTACTCAAAAAAAAAAACCACGGTCGTCTTAAGCTTTGAAGTATTCAGTGTACTTGCATCCGGCCCTCGGCAGGATTTGTTTTCGTTTCGGCTTCTGAAACTATATCTTCATCGTTAAAATATTTATTTTTAAACTGATTCGCTGGCCTGGCACACAATTCTACATGCCTTTTTTTAGAGGTTATGAAGTCGTTCATCTTTGAAATATTGGAAGTGTTGTGTGTTAAGAAACGGTCATTTGAATCAAAGAGTCAACAGGAGACAGAAAAAACACTTTAAAAGTCATTTGTCTGAGTGGAATGTTGTTCAGAGGGCAAACCAATTAAAACAATATAACTGAAGCAGTGGCCAAAGTCATGGAGAGGTTAGGCTTGGGAAACAAGGTCCGTTAGAATTTTACGAGGGTTATCAATGAAACTGTAAGATCAATAAATAAAATAATGTGTTGTCCAGCTTAGAAATCTTCACAGAACAAATAAAACGACCACGGAGTGCTTTTCTCGACTATTGACTGAATAGCACTTTTAAAAATTCGTGATGTGGATAATGGTAAATATCTTTAACGGAGAAGATATAGTTCCAATATAACGTTAATTGTAAAGCACTCATTAAGTATACCACTCGTTTGGAACATTTAAAAAAAAATTACAACATCAGCGATATTGAGTGAACTTTTCAGAAATTTGTATTGAATTACGCGCTCTGATGCTCAACCGCTGACCACAGAGGCTGTGCGCGGCGAAAAATCATAATTCTCCATTTCTTTACCGAGCTTTAAGTTAACCATCTTTTTTACTTTGCTTTAAGAGGTAGTTGGATATAACGGTGGCGAATGGTAAAATCCGAGACTGGAGAGCATAGTGGCCGCTAGGCTGTTGTTTGAAAATCCGAGACTTAAGAGTAAACAACTTTAGCCATGAATTACAGATTATATTTAACCCCAGCTGGATTTCCGATGTGGTTTCCCCCGGACATGGTCGAATTGAGCCCTGATTCGACAGGAAAACCAGGGGTGGATATTAAACGAGTCTCGCAAAATATTTTCACGATCTCGAAACCTCTTTATAAAAATTTCATGAGTCTCGAAGTTCGTATTTTCTATCATAGTTCGCAAGATCCAGGGTTTCTGAGAAACAACTGTTCTAGTGTAGCTAGGATCGACTTTGTTGGTGGCAAAATTCTGTTTAGGATCGATGTTGAAAGACAAAATTGAAAGGGCGAAATTGATAATTCGAATAGGCGAGCGGATGCCGTTTTCCAGACTGCACCGCTAAAGCAACAGAGGTAAAAGGAGATTTATGGATAATCCTATCTACAGGGGTCTCACCAAATCAAACGACCAGGAGAGTCACAGCTAAGATGATTCTTCATGTTGTAGACCACGACACGCTAAATCAAGACCTCTGAAGTCTCGTGTTTACCGTGTCATGCGAACAGAGTGAAGGCCTGTTGTTTACTAGTTTCCTGAGCGGAACTAATACAATATTGTTAAGTTGCAGTTGTAAGAGTGAGAGAAAAGGTCAAAAACCAAGTCCTACACATAGAAACGACCGTAATTGCTAACAACTTCCAAGACAGATAATCTTTTGAGTCCGTGATGCCGTGAAGAGGCCAGGTCACGAAATTTGCTATGCTCTATTCTCTGTTCAAACTTTCGCCGAAACCACCATCTGTACCATGAATATTTAACATATGCAACCGAGCTTGTCTTAGAGTTTGCACGTTGACCTTCTTGAGACTTCGTGTCTTGTTTTGCTCTAATCTTGTATAACACTTGGCGCACGATATCATTGCATGACAATATTGACTAATCTAATACCTGGTAAAAGTAGTTGTTGCATAACAAATAGTCACGAGTGTTCGCACAAGCGACCTGGATAATTTCCATAGTGACCAGAAACGTGCTGGTAAGTTACGTAAGCAACTTATGGCACCCTTAGACATTTACCTTTGAACTCGCTCACGTGCCGTTTAAGGGTCAGCGTTGCGATATTATACGAGTAAGTAGTAGATAGTGTTGAGCTTTGATTTTGTAAATCTTATGACTTGAATGATGCGAACTGTTCCTTGGTCGAGCTTAGCGTGCATTTTGGTAAACTATCAGCCGGGAGCCAGTCGCTGATATAGAGTGTTAGCAAACCGGGACGCGAACCGACCCAACTAAAACGTTTTCATTGGGGGAATACAAATCCTTTTCACCAAAGTCTACCGTCCGCTACAGTTTCATAGAGAAAAAATTTTTTGAGAAACTTCGAGAATTTTGTCAATTTTCAAAAGGATCGAGGAAACATTTACACGAAAGCCAGTAACATCAGACTAGTTTACGAAGAGTTTTTATGCATATGCGATCCACTTCTCCTTCAGACGAGAAAATATGACACCACATTGCTAATGTTTGACAAAGAAAGACGTTTTTTAAAAATTTTGGCCATACACAAGTGCTTCAGCCCTGTAGACTGTTAATCATTCTGTAACGTTATTCCCGCAGCCTCATATAAGATGGCACGGTGAGAGACGGGCATAAGTCCCAAAGAAAGAGTGGGCAAGTTTGTAAAGAAACTGTGGAGCTGCGTCGGTGGGGGTTTTGCAAGATAATGTGGATTTATGAACCGAATGTGTATAACTGTAATTTGGCCACCGTGTCGAGTTTCTAAAGCTGTTTCGAGTGTTACCCTTCGTCAGAGCGAATTTTAGACACTAAACACTGATTTACGTCAAAATCTCTAATTATCAGTGTTTAAAGGCAGTGCAAGAGCAAATTGAAGCGTTATAATTTATGCTATTTCCAAGCTGCATTCAATGTTGTCGGGGGGAGATCGCCATTGGCATCGACACACTTTCGGAGGGAGACTGGGGACTAAGCAACACAGCTGAAACGTTCATTATGTGGAAATCGTTAAAAGGAAACAATTAAAAAGAAGGAAAAGGAAAGCTCGTTACTTTTCGAACACCAAGCTTAGTTAAATTATACGTGTGTACGGAATTACGAATATACCATTTTGCTGTGAGCTTTATCAACAAAGTTATACGTCTTTTCAGGAAGCCATCACTCCTGGTCTTTTTTAACCCTGGTGACTTGTTAGCTTCCATGACTTTTTTAACTGTTTGAGACAACTTGGCTCTGACAGCCTAAATTCACGCCACCCAGCCCCCCATCGCCCGCCACTACAACGTTCGCACATGCGCAGACGTTAACGTGAACCTGCAGGCACAGGCCAAGAGATTCAGTCTCACCTAAACTGACGACAAAAATGCTGACCATCTGTCTTTGACCTGTTGAATTAATCAGTGTAAAAATAATTATGTTTTTATCTTCCGGCTGAATAAGAGAGTGGGCAAAGTTGAAATGGAAATTGGCCCATGAACCCAAAATCTATCTACTTCATTTCCTGAATCAAGAAAAAAAATTCTGACCAAGTTACGTGTTTTTCGCACCAGTCACTCTAAATAGCTTGTTTAAGAAGGCCAAAATAATACTCATGCGCACAAGACTAGCGAAAGTCGGCGGTGCTCACGCCCCCCTCAGTTCAAGGACCTCTTCAAGAGATTCTTATGTCGTTGTATGGATCTTGCAACCACTGATGTATCTTGACTGGATAAGTTTCCTATTCCGTTTCACTTTCCTTCTTGCAGCACCACAGTTCTCGTTTGACTTCTGGACGTGTTAGACGGTTTCCATTTATATTTCCGGTCGAGTCAACGATATCATAAATTGTCGTGGACAGGCAAGGAAAGCAAAAGTTTGGCCATGAATCCGAACGAAAAAAGACGAGATTGCGTACCATACAGTGCGAACCGAGAAAACGAGGTTAGTAGGAGATTTATCATATCTTTGGGTTCAGAAAGGGGGAGAATAATTCGATTCTTACGGACCATTTTGAATTAAGCTGGCCGTATAGGGAAATACCACAAAATAGGGCCCGCTAAATTAACAAAACATAACGCTTGTACCAACAGAAAGATGCGATAAAAGGCTTTATACTGTTTTCTGATATGTTCCAATCCACTTTTAAGATTTCCATCACTTTTCCTCGACCTTACTTGTCGTCACAGGGAAATTAGGTATTATCAACTGAGTTGATAACGTAAATTGGCCACCGTAAAGAGGTTCAAAGCTGAAGTTTCGAGCGTTAGCCCTTCGTTAGAACGTATTTCGTCATATCTCGCTCTAACGAAGTGCTAACGCTCGAAACATCAGCTTTGAAACTCTTTACGGTGGCCAATTTACGTTATCAACTCAGTTGATAATACCTAATTACCCTGTTATACTCTTTCACCGATGCAACACCACAGTTTCTTTAGAAACTAACCTCCTCTTCACTTCTTTATTGTAGCATGATTGAAGTATTGTTTGGGGACCAGATAGTCATTTGTAACCTTACACAAAGCTTGCAGCGGAAGTTCTTCACGACATGTATAACCATCATGTTGAGTTCTCACAGCGGGCAGCGGGGGTAGGATGTGGGGAGAGTTGAATTTTGACAAGCGAAGAGGAGAAAGGGGAAAGCGGACCCGACCACCCCCGCCTGCTCACTTTTGACCAAAATCAAACATGGAGGATTTGGGCTAGTTATCACTAGTTTTTCAAAAGTTTTTCCGAGGTTCCTGATTAATTTCCTTTATGCGGCTACCCTCTAAAAAGGAGTCTCCAGCGCAGTAGAACAACCTTCAATCGAAAGGAAATCGAGGCACATAAATTCATAAATCGCTAAAGTTCCTTTACCCCAGCACCCACGCAAAGGTGGCATAATTTGTTCTTATTTTTATTACTGTACACGCACACGCATTAACATGTTCGGATGTGTTGTGCAGTCCGACTCAAAACCTCCGCGTGTTTTTTCCGTTTCCAATCGCTCTTCGTTTTACGTACTAAACGCCAAGCTTAGAGCGTCGAAAAGAAAGAAAGATTCACTTCAAAAAAAGAGTGATTTGCTGAAAGGACTGGGAAGGAAAAACACGGGTTCCCGCCATAGGCTTGGTTACCAAGGAAGAGAAGAGGAAGTTGAAAACAGAAATAGAAACCGAAACTGGGGGTGCCTTTTGATCAAAAAACAGCTGAACCAAACGTTTTATATGAGAAGGGAACTCTTGGTCTTATTAACTGCATGTCAGGTAAGGTGTGGAAAAATGTTTTTCATGGTTTCTATCATCAGAAGGTTTTTACAAGTGCTTGTTGACATGGATTCCATTTTCGATCGAATACAGTTTTGTCTTCGAAAATAGCGACTTGCATCAGAACGCGAATTTTATGCAGATGAATTTTAACATGAATGCTAGGGGGATATTTGGATAATTCCAGTGCGCTTTCGGTTTTTGCACATTCTGAATAAAAAGTGAAAGAAGGTGAAAGTTTCGTACAAATTTACTTAAATTGTGTTCGAAAGACTTCTGCATGGTCTTACTGTAGCTCCCACTTGTCAAATTTTTAGCAATGTTATAGCCAGGAAAGAAATATAGAGTCTACCACAACCCAAAGGTATTTCAGTGAATTTATTTCAGTAGACTTAACTTCGATCCAAAGCCTGCTGTCTTCTGAGTTAGCCAGAAGGGCTGGTGTTTACCTTTTAAAATGTTCCTCTCAGTCAGATATGATTAATTTACCTCCTTTAAAAATTGTACCTCCATACTCCTTTGGCTTATAGTAAAGGCTTTTAACTTGCATGATTTAAATTCCAGCCCTTGCAATAAGCTAACCTGTCACCATTATTCTATACTTAAGGTTCATTTTTTACTCTCCTTATGTATGGCATTAACTCATAATTCTATCCCCTTCTGTCACAATTTTCAATCCAGTTCCCTGATTTTTGATTAGTTTGTTTGGCCCAGCATTGTAGTGAAAGGGTAAACTAAATTATCCTATTTCAGAGATTCCAACCCCATGTGATGGAAAATAGGGAGTAATTATTAGTGCCAAAGGGGCGAGCTTCTAGGGGGGTCAGGGGGCCGGGAAATTTTGCAAATTTAGGTTCTCTCAAGTGCCATTTCCTGAATTTTGACATCATTCCGGCCTGAGTTATAACATACCATAATGCTCTTCACGAAGAAAGTAAGTATAATATGGGTGTTTCACAGTGACAGATCGCCAAAAATTCTAAAGATTAGCAATTTTCCCCTAGTTTTCAGAATTTTATGATAAATCGGGAGAATTTGGTAAAAATCGGGAGAGCGGGAGGCAAGACATCAAATCGGGAGACTCCCTATCAAATCGGGAGGGTTGGAATCTCTGCTATTTCATCTATAAGAACTTACAGAGGGACAGCCATCCCCAGAGCCAAATTGTCCTTTAAATTTTATTATTCTTTACTTTTTCCCTTCAGGAATGGAAGTATAACTATGCCTTAGTGAAAGTTACCTGATCTTTAGACTGCTTATAAACTCAATTTTACCTTAGATCTCCATAATCAGACCCTTAAAAGATTCTTGTGATGCAATAAGTGACCAAAGCTGTGTTCAGATGTCAGAGTTTTCAGACGACAAGGAGAAGGACAATATGGGACAAAGTGAGTTGAGTCATTTAAAAAAAGAGTGAAGGTTTAAAAAATAGCTAATAGTCTGTGGTGAGAGGGAGGGAGGTGGGGGTCCAAAGGTGTACAAAGCTATTCCCTGTGAAAATTACTATTAACCCTTTAATTCCTAGGGGGTGACTGGCCTCTAATTCCTCTTTACATAGGGTCTCAATGGTGTGATGACTTTTACAGTTAACAGTTAAAATTTTGTCAATTTTATGGCAAACTGTTTATTTCTTTCTGTAAAGATTTAAAGGAAACTTTTTATGATTAACTTTTTGTATGATCATGGCTAAACTTTGTCAATTTTTACACTAAGAGGGCTAAATTTTTTTGCAGTTTTAAGGCTAAAATTTAACCTTATTGGAACCCTCCTTACAGTGTCACCTTGAATCAAATATAAAGGTCATGAGAATAACAGAAGTGTTCACTGATTTAAGAAACTCTTGATTGTCAACTAATTCTCCTTGTCAGCACCTTAGGAAATGTACAGAGAACAGTATGGAGAATATACATATGCATGAATATGCATGTTAGGTTGTAAAGGGTTAAGAGGATAATGTCTACAAAAAAACTCCACAGCTGGACAGTGGTTTACTCACTAGATTTTTGAACCTTATCAGGCTCCTTGTTGAAATCTGCAGCAATGGTCTTCTTGCTGTGTTCCATTTGTTACTATCTTGTTACTCGGGTGGAACTTTAACTTCATTTTCAAATCAAGCAAAGCAGCTATAATTCATATTCAGCATTCTATCTGCTGATAACAGTTCCCCGTCACTTTCTCCAAACTTTTCTTGGTTTACAGAACCATTCTTTGAAATTTGCTTCAGCAGATCTGGGTTCAAAAGGCAATAAAAAGGAAGATACTTTCCCAGATACTCTAGAAGGATTTGGATACAAGTTTAATGAAGGTTTGTGACAGAAAAAAAGAATCTTGCATAGAACACTGCCCTCTCAGTCAATCGTAACATAGCAAGTATTGAGTTATCGAACACAGCTGCTATTAACTGCTGTCAAAGGTGATCAGTTTGACTTGGGTTCTACAGGTTAGACTCAACCAATTCTGGACTTAACATAAGTAGCTCAAAGTACAGGTTGTCCTTAAAACTTTAACCACCAGAAGTGACGAACATGTAACTCTTCCCCAAAATATCCACATGTTATCTAGCAAACAGGTAATGAGAATACTCAAACTTGTCAGGTTTTAAGTGATCTAATACTAAATTCTGAAACTAATTTACAAGGAAATGTGTAGCAGCTAGCGAGGATAATGAACAATCAGATCTTGGGAGTTACAGAGGGTTATAAGAAATGTTGTCGCTGACTGTAACTGACATTTTGGCAACCTGAATCATTGGTTGCCTAAATGTCTGCTTGATCGCTGTCACTGATAACAGTCCCTTTCAAGACTGCACTCATTCACTCACTCTCCTCAGCTGTCATAAGAAAATATTATACCAAGTTTGAAACCTTCGAAAGTACTGTTTTATTGAGTTGTTCAGTATATAAAACAATTTTAATTTTGGTGTTGAAAATAATTGGGGATTGCTTTAGTTTTGTTTTACTTGGCTCCATGTTTAATTCATAAAATTTGTACCACTTTCTCAACAAATCAGATTAAAAGGTAAATTAACGCAATTTTGACTTGGTCACCTGCGCTTTCCTGCACTAATATTGCGCAGTTTACTTGTTTTGAACTTTCCTTTGTTTTGAGTGACTGTTTTCCTTGTTAGCTAGGCTTTTTCTTTACACCACTCAATTGAAAAATGCTCTATAATTATTTCATTATAATTATGTCTCTGCAGAAGGAAAGCTGAGAAACATAGAGACGGATGAACCCTTTAAGTTTGAAGTGAAAGAGGGTGATAGGGCATATAACCAAAAACATTATGAGGCACTAGGAGAGGTATGATTTGTAGTCACTGTAACATTTAACGTATTGATTAGAATGTACTCACGACAAACCTTTAGTTTTAGATGATATATCAAGTAAGCTTTTTGTAGGTATGTATACAGTTTTTATTGAGATGTTTGCTAACGGCAATGCTCCGATCACACCTTTATTTCCATGTTGTCATTTGGCAGAAAAGTAATTTTCAAATTGGTTGCCAGTAAAGACATATTGTGCAATATATACACAACAGCGTTGTGTGAAAGCATGTACTGGTAGTTGTCTGCAGACACCCTCTATTCCAAGATGCACACAGTTTTCCAAGAACGAAGTACGAGGAAAACTTTGAGCTACAAGGAACAGATAATGTGGAAGGACAATGTACAAGTGCAATTGAATGCTCTGTGAATCATCTTTGATGTGCTGCTATATTTCTCTACTTGGAATAACTGTCAGCTACCATCAGGACCATTTGTATATTTTTTTTTACAAAAAAGTATGAATACTGCAAGCCTTTTTACTCACTGATACCTTTTTTTAGGCCCATGTATACATACAGTATATATCTTGCTTCATATTTCTAGCTATTAATTTACCCATGTGTGTGACCATTGTTCTGAAAAAAAAGCTGTGAAGCTATTTATCTTGGTTAGACTTTTTCAATCAAGTAAAATCTATGTTCAGTTTATTGGCTAAAAAACTATAGAGGTGTTAGTAATTTTAAGTAAATTTTTTTCAATACTGATTTATTCAATAGATATAAATTTTTGTGTCTTTTTAGGTCATCACTGAGTATATCTATCATTTACTGGAGGAAGTAGAACTAGAGAGAGTTACTGTTCCTGTAAGTGAGACTAAACCACAACAACAACAATTTTGATATGTGTTTTTGGTAAGCTATAAAATTCACACTTTAGCAGGGGGTTTATTAGAAAGGTAAAAAAAAGACAGAGTAAATAGAATTAAATTATCTTCTAATCCATTATTTTTGTTTTAGGTTGATGCCAAAGATGATGAAGTTAAAAGTTTCTTTTTCATGAGTAAGAATGCAATGGAAAGTGACAAGCTGATGATCCTAATTCACGGCAGTGGTGTGGTCAGAGCGGGACAGTGGGCAAGAAGGTACAACTTTTTTTTGTTTTTTATTTGTACAGCAACTAATTAGTATTTTATTTTTCTTTCCTCTTTTTCAGTTTGTTAGCTTGTTTGTTTTCTTTGGTTAGTTTCTTTGCTGTTTTGCTTTTAATATACATGTACCAGGGTACCTCATCTGTTTTTGTCCTCACCCATTGTTATGATAGTTAAACAAACGTTTGGCCTCGTTTCTAAAGGCTTTTCTTTACTTCACAAAATGTTTTGACTTTTAATTGACGGGCATATACATGTACCAGGGTACCTCATCTGTTTTTGTCTTCACCCATGTTTAGCTTTCTACACACTGTTTGAATCTTCCCCTGAAGGATTTCTTCCTCCAGGCATACTTTCTTGCCGGTAATTTTTATGATCTTCCTTGGTCTGTGGTAGGATAGGGATTTATCATAGAATCACTTCATCTTGAGCAATAACAGTAATTCATTGAACTACTAATTGTCATGGTCTCTGTTTCTCTTAGATTAATCATTAATGATGATTTGGAGAGTGGAACGATGTTGCCATACATCAAACGGGCCATGCAGGTAAAACATTTAATGTTTAAAATATTTTTAGGGAGTGAATGCAAGTACCTTTCAAAATATTGTATGTTCTCTTGAAGGAAAACTCTAATGGTGGAATGAGTTGCTGTCAAATTGGCTAGAATTTCTTGTTTTAATGAGATTGTTTAGAAAAATTGAGAAACAAGAACCAACTGCAATGGAAATTAGAAACAAATGCAGGCAAAATGGTTGCATTTTCTTAATGGGTGCCAAAAAAATCATACTTATCATCCTACAGTACCTGTTTGTTTGTGGGAGTCCTGGGGAGATCATGAGGATAATAGCGATAACTGTAATGCATCATGCAATCCAACCTGGCAGCTTGAAACGTATTTCATTTTCAAAACAGCTGATATCTGTTTGGATCAATTCTCACTTGTCACATGTCACACCAGTCTGAACAAAGCTTTTTGTTGGTGCCCAAGCAAAAATCTGAGCACCATTCTGAGACAGTCAGGCACTAGCTCCAAGGGTAGTCCAAGGGCACCACTTGGAACTTGTCTGAACACGTTTTTGTTGGTTCCTGTGCTTTCTTTCCATGCTTCCCTGCCATGCAGTCACTAAAATGGCATAAACATATTGCAAACTACAAAAAGAATGTTGGGCACAAAGCTTTTTACGCAAGTGCTAAGAAGAAATACTTGTTCCAGACCACCAGTGTGTCTAAACAATGTCCTGTTTGGTCCCCAGACACAGTACCACTAAATGGGTACCAAGTCTGAATGGTGTCTTGGCCCTAATATGAAGTCAAACCTCTCAATCCATATTGCAGGGAACAGGTGCTAACTTTTAGAGTACAACCCTGCCTACCCCCATTTAAAGTACGTCTTTAGGTTGATGATGAAATTAATTCTCCTCTTTATTGTTTTGTTTGTTTGTTTTGAATAGGAAGGTTATGGAGTTCTTATCACAAATGGAAATGAAAACTATGTGTGGTTAAACAGACATAGAACAATCATCAGGGTAGGGTACCTACAAATTACCTTAATTTGACAGTCAAGGAATTGTTTCACTGGATAGTGAACCTGTTGATTGTTAATTTTATTACCTGAGAAATTCAATAATGCAACTTAGAGACTGTTAACTTTTACAGAGTTTAATATATACTCCATCTTTTTCCTATTAAGGGCAGTGAATCCCCAGAGAAGCACTTTTCCTATGTATGGGACAACTTCATATCAAAGGCTGCAGCTCAGACGATAGTTGTTGTGGCCCACAGTTATGGAGGAATCGTCATTGTGGAAGGGGTAATTGAACACACTGAATATGTTGTTTGAATTTTGTTCGAATTTTTGTTTGAATTGCTTGCATATGGTGAAACTTTGAGTGTTAAATGATAACACTATGCAATACAGGATGTCCCATTGATACTTCCAAACCAAGATGGAGTCATTTTTTATTCCTAAACTGTGATTGGCTAATTTGATTTGTTTGAGTGATAGTGGTATCAGTAGTTGCATTGTAAACTGGTTCAGGTCAAATATTTAATAAACCTCTATGCACTGTTCTTTTTTTCAGCTTCAAAAGTGTGAAGGTATCATGGAAAGGGTAAAAGCCATTGCCTTTACAGACTCGGTGCACAGTCTGTCACACCATAGGGCAGACAAGAAACTTAGAGCATGGATGAAAAAGGTACTGGGAACAGATATTGGTATCGCAGAGGTCATGGGTTCAAATTGCATACGGGCATGAATTTTTTTTTTCAGGCGTTATTTTCACTACTACTTATTAAGTAGTGTTCATAACTGCAAGGATCACTTCTGTATTTGTTTCTTCAACTGCAGTTCACATATCATATGATTTTCATATATTTTCACTGAGATACTGGGACGTTGTTGCTAGAGGATTGTTATGCACAGATTGGTAGATGCTGATCATAAGAAATCATGAGCCTGCAAAGGTTAAAATTTATGTACAATCTAGACAGATTTTTAACTCTTTTGAATAATTATAGTGGCTGGTGCTTTAGAATTGAGTAGTCATTGAAACCACAAGCACTTGTTGCTTTTGGAGAAGTTTGCTAGTATCTTTTTTTGTTTTTGTGCCAAAAAAGCTCTGACAGCCAGCAAACTTGGATCAATATTTGTATCTGGGCAACTGCCCACCTACCCCTCCCCTAACTCAACAACAGTCAATTGACAACAAATTAAGATTAATGTTGGGTTAGGGGAGGGGTAGGTGGGCAGCTGCTCAGATACTGATATTGATCCACAAACTTTGCTGTTTTCTTTGCAGTGTTTCTCTGGTTACTCATCCACTTACTCGAGATGCCTGGAAGAAAACTTATTAAGAGCATTAAACATTAAACCCTAGATATAAAAAAACTCTTAATTTGTGCATGGTCTGCACCTTTTATGCCCTAACACATCCCAACATATCCACACATTTCCCAAGATGCTGAAAAGGAGAATTTGTGTAACCCTTTAAATCCTAACAGTGACTAGTATCAAATTTCTCCCTACAATATAACCCCTGAATTACATGTTAAGGTCATGAGAATAAAGGAAATGATCACAAATGAAAGAAGCTTTTGATTGGTAAACAAATTCTCCTTGTCAGCATCTTAGAAAATGTGTTAAAAGCAGTATGGAGAATATGCATACTGATTTTAGGGTGTAAAGGGTTAAAAAGCAAGAGCTTCTTCAAGTTGTGGTAGTTTTCGTTATTCTCTTGACCTTAATGTTTGATGTGTTGGGGTGATATTCTTAGGAAAAATTAGATTCTAGTGACTCTTAGGGTTAACCCTCTAAGAGTGACAAGCATCTAATTTCCCTCCAAAGTATCACCCCTGAATCAAAACTTAAAGTCATAAAAATAAAGGAAACTATTGCAAGGTCAAGAACTTCTTGATTAACATATAGATTTAGCCAAGCCTAAAAGCGGAGCTCGAATTTTTTTTTCCTGCACGTCTCAAGGGCACAATGCCTTGCCCCGGCTAGGACTAGAACCTGGGTTGTCCGACTCGGAGCCCAGTTTACTGACCACTGGACTACTGAACAAAGCCATGGTGTTGGCGTGCCCGCGGTACAGTTGACCACACATGTTAAAAGTAGCACCTTGTACGGTCGTACGATCGTATGGTCATATGGTTGTACAGTTGTACATCCAAATTTTTTCGGCTTGATGGGTTACAACTATTTTGTATAATTATGGGGCTACACTCTGCAAGCTCTGCTATTAGTCAGACAAATTCTTGGTGTTAGTTGCCCTAATTTCAATTGTAATCATGATAATCACAACATTTAATTATGATTGCATCATAATCACCCAGCAACCTTTATGTAACCAGAATAGTGGGATACAACAAATAGGATCTTGAAAGTATTAGTTTTGACATTCAATTTAAAAAGGTCTGATGAGTCATACATTAATGAAAGTTTGTTGTTGTTATTGTTGTTGTAGCATGCACGCAACTGGGTCTCTTCAGACCTCCCTCTGGATACCATCATAGATTACAAAGGTGCTGATTGTGAGCTGGTCTCAGCTGGTGAGAAGATAGATAACTCTTTTTTCTCCCTCTACACCCTCTTCAGTAAATTCCTCTTTCAAGGATTATAGGACAGGGTTTTTTACTTTTTCTCCTCTTGCACCATGAGTCAATTGTAAGCATCTTCCAATGGAGGCCGTCTACTACTGACACCTACACCACTCCCTGTAGGGACACCTGTTGCCTCTTCTGTTCCATGCAGTGTTAACCTGCTAGATGCCCAGGACACTGTGGCAGTGAATAACACAGAGCAAGGCAGAGGGGAAGGGGTCACTGTAATAGGAAGCATTTAAAGTAGTTAATTGTCTCAAATAAATATCAAACATAATGGCAGAGTTTGTTATTGATCTCAATTCATGAACACACTTCATTCATAGAAAATGAACATCTGCACCATTAACCTTTTAACCCCCCAAAATAACTGGATTCTAATTTCTCTTTACAGTATTGCACTTGAATCAAATTTAAGGACCAGGAGATTAAAGGAAATTATCACCAATTTAGGAAGCTTGTGATTGTGAAACAAATTCTCCTTGAAAGTATTACAGAAAATGTGAATAGAACAGAGTGGAGAATAGTTAGGGTGTAATAGTTAAAAAAAACACAGTGAGGTTAAAAAATTTCTTGTTCTGTGATACACCTTTTGTAAAACTATTTTGATCTTCTTTCTGAGGATGATACTGAGTTATTTTTGTTTACAACTTAGTAAAAATAACTTTATGAAGTGCCATAATATTTCTTAGTTATAGACTGGTATGCAATAACTTCTTTTCCATTTATTTTAGGTACAATGAAACATGAGGTCACTTCACATGCAGCTTTTGATTCAATCTTTAAGTTCTTTGATGAGAAGCTTAAAGCTTCAAATCAGACTGATAGCTCTGAAAAGCAGGGTGACACATCAGTTGGTCAGACTCCAATGGACAGTTGTGGAAGTCTGTCTGATGAAGCTAAAAGCAAAATGGAAATCCCTGAAAATGAAAATGATGGAGTAAGCTCAAGCAAATTGAATGAAAACTCCCAGACTCAAGCTGATGCCTCAGAAGAGCAGGAAGAAGCCCCCAGCAAAATGGATGATTCCTCCCCAGTTTTGGCAGATGCTACACAAACTGAAGAAGAAACCTCCCAGACTCAGGTAGATGTGTCACAAACCCAAAAGGTACCCTCAACCAATGAGGAGAATTCCTCTCACACTTTGGCAGATGCCACACAAACTAAGGGAGAAACCTCCCAGACTCAGGCAGATGTGTCTCAAACCCAAGAGGTACCCTCAACTAAGGAGGAGAATTCCTCCCAGACTTTGGCAGATGCCGCACAAACTGAAGAAGAAGCCTCCCAGACTCAGGCAGATGTGTCACTAACTCAAGAGGAACCCTCAGGCAATAAGGAGGATTCCTCCCAAACCCAGACAGGGGATACAAAGTCCCAGGCAGATGAAACTCGCATGGAAGTTGATGCAGATCAAAATGAAACAGAAGTTTGATGAATAACATTATTTCTTCTGTGCAACATTTGGTAATAGTGACATGCAAAACAAATGTTATAGGCAGGTGAATCATCCAGCTGGCAATTCAAAACATCGCAATGTCTTGTTTTTCTCATGTCTGCTTTGTTTTCTTATGCACACTTGAGTTGTACAATATTAAAGCAATATTTTACCATGACATACTTTTAAATCATGGAAAAATTTGAATTTGGAAAAGTAAGGTTGACTGTAGCTTTGGATGCTTTGCCCATAGTGATAGCCCACTAGATTATTTAAGAAATCTCTTTAAAAGCTATCACCAGGTGTTTTTTAAACTAAAGTACATTTTTTTAACCTAAATTATTCATTGATGACCTTAGATCAAGAGAATTGCATTACTATTAACCCTTTGATTCCCAAGATTTCATGAGTATTTCTCCTTACTGTCTGCCAAACAATTTATGTGATGTTAGTTTTGAGAATTTGGAATTGGATCAACCAATAATCCCCTAATTGATATTTTCTTTATTCTCATTACTAGTCTGCTTGATATCACATTGATAGTGTAAGGAGAAATTCTGTCTAGGTCACTAGTGGGACTTAATGGCTTTAAAAAAATTTTAAGAGTATTATCAACAATTAATGGTATAAACTTCAAAGTTCTTTGTGTCTGAAACAGGTGACTTTAGTTGACATCTGAGTATAGTCAAATAAATTGTGTAGAGCATTTTGATTTAAGTTGAATGAGTGGTATTAGTAAGCAATAGATAGCTTCACACATATATTGGAAACTTTGACAAAGAGCTCCCATAGTTAATTACCCATCAATTAACTCACAAAAACTATTATGTTGTATGTGCTATGACACAAACTCTGATAAGTGATAAGTGCCACCCTATTTGATTATCAGCGATAATGCTCTTCTTTTCCTTCTTCAAGCATGACATTAAAGAACATGTAACAGTTTACAAAATGTTTGTTGCTGTTTTGCAGAATTTTAAGTCATTCAAATGTATTACCACTTATGAAATGACACATAGGATATACTTTTTTGTGTCTGCAAAATAGCATTGTAGCTAACCAGGGTAGGAGGAAAAAAACCTTAAAATGTCAAAGCTTTAAAAGAGTACACACAGGGACACCAAAAAGTACAATAAATTTGAAATAAGTAAATTAGAAATTGCAACCTGCAACATACAATAGAGGAGAAATAAAGGAAATGAATTTTAAAAGTTATGATTTACTAAATATGTTGATTTAACCCTTGAACTCCCAAGATCTGATTGTTAATTCTCCCCTGTAGCTGCTACACATTTCTTTGTAAATTAGTTACAAGAACTTGGTGTTCAAGATAGCAGCTTCTACCTGATAAGTTTGAATATTCTCATTACCTATTTGCCAAAGAATGTATGGACATTGTAGGGAGAAGTTTTATGTTAATCACTTCTGGGAGTTAAAGAGTTAAGTACGTGTGTCCACATCTTCTTGAATTAAAGTGTCCAGTAGCTGATGTATTTCCTCTTTTAACTGATGTTTTGGTAAAGAAGATTTAATATTTTCCCCAGCATTTCAAAAGCTTGAACAAGCTGTCATAGATTTTGCTGAGTGAAGCAGTCACTTTTCCTGTAGTTTTCACATGTTCATCATTCCCATGTAACTACGACACTACTGAAAAGTTGCTTTAATTTGTAACCAGTGCCTTCTCAAGTGGTTATTGTTACTGCAGAGGGTATAAAACTAAGCAAATTCATAAACCATTCATAGGGACACAGTAGCCATTGTAATGAGGTCTCTGATAGCAAAGGGTTAACCACAGTTGGCAGCAAACCAGTGAAGGTGAAGAATCGTCCTTTGGTTTGGGGGGAGGGGGTGGTAAGGGGCCATCAAACTTTACTCCATCCCTTGGGTAAATTTTTCAACTCAACTCAGTGGCTGACAAATGAGTGATTATGAAGAGAATACTTGTGCACAAAAAAGAGACTTCATTTTATAATACATCGACATTTGTTAATCATCAAGTGACAGTGTAGTGGAGGCGCATTGGTCTCATGGTTAGCGTGCTTGGTTGCGGATTGAATGGTCCAGGCTCAAGCCCTGGCCAGGGTCAGTGTGTTGTGTTCTTAGGCAAGACGCTTTACTCTCGCAGTGCTTCTCTTCACCCAGGTGTACAAATGGGTACCAGCAAAAATGCTGGGGGTAACCCTGTGATGGACTAGCATCCCATCCAGGGGGGAGTAGCAATACTCCTAGCTGCTTCATGCTAAGGAAACCAGAGTTAAGCGCCAGCCCCATGGGCCACTTGGGCCTGTATAAAGGCTTTACTTTTACCAAGTGACAGTATGGCAGTTTAGCACTCTACATTGAGTTCACCCTTTCATTCATGAGATCTAAATATTAATTTTCAGTACTAACTTCTTTACCAACAACTTAAAGAATTTAGTGTTTACTCAAGTGACTTTCCGTAATTGAAGTTCTCTTTCTCAGTAACTTTTGCTTGAAAATGGTTGGAGTTTTGCCTTTTTCAACTAAGGAGACATTTTCAGAAAGAGGTAACGACAACCCCAAAAATGAACATATGAAAATAGACTCATGTATGTGAGAAAGCAAGTGTCCAAGTCACAAATGGTTTCAGATTTCCATCTCACTGAACAAGAAAACAGGTCGAAATTTTTACATCAATTACAAGCCATAGTAAATTAAAATTGACTTACAAGAAATTTCCCTCAAATTGGTACAAAGACAAAATAAAAAATCTTCATTTTTTCCCAGTCTGCAGTGCTACCTCAACAGTTTACTATCAAGACAAATTCCAAGAACATCAACCCCCAAGGATCAAGGCTTGTTCTTTTTTTTTTTTATTGAACCATCGTCACCATTGCTTTTCACAAATAATAAATTTAGATACTCTTAATTACATATTATCATCAGATTCCTCAGTTAAAAATAAGTTTTGTGTGTATAATCTTTGAAACCATTATCATAAGAAATGATTGTATCTAAACACAGAGACAAACTAGTGTTGTTTAGTCTTGTCTGTGCAGTTTTCTGATACAATGACATCAGCATGCAGCTCTAGTAATATATTATCAATCTTCAACTAAGAACTAAGAAAGCAAAATTGTGATTACATGTAAACCAAAGCAACATGAAAGAATTCATAAGCTTTGTGTTAACAACTTAAAAACAAGGTTTATCTATAATAACTGGAAGGGAAAACTAAAGATTTCTCTTAAAAAATATTTGGCAAGTGTGATGAATTTATCATGGACACCTCACATTTTGTTGCCTGGAATGCTGCATAACAATCATTATCAAACATTCAAAAATACATCCTTCACAAGACAGCTTCAGCCATCATTGTCCATAATCAAAGAGGAGTTTAGATAATTACATAACGTTAAGATACAATGTTTGAAGTCTTGTTTTCAGAGTTACTGAAAATGGTCATTAACTCTTTCACTGACATGTGCTTGTAACAATTAGACCAAGCTGGATTAAATAACCAAGATTTTGATAAAATGCAATTTTATTGCACAGATACAATCAAGTCTTTCATCATTAAGTCTCTGTTCTATGGTCTTTGTACCATACAATAATTATTAAACATGGAGAGGGTAGATGAGGGTATTGTTTCCAATGTCCTCTGATCTCTCCTGGTGTATTCATGAAAGTTCACTTCTCTATTTCTAAAATTTATGGAAGGCTAATAATTCTGAAATCAAATAGTTACGACATTATACCATTCCTTATGGGAAAAGATAGAGTATTTCTGTAGTAGTGTTTTGCGGCTCTAAACACAACTTAAGATCCAACATTTGGTAGAACAGTCGCATTTGTTGTTGTTCATTTTTGATTCACCTCTACGTCCGTTTCGCTGTGTTCCAGAATATTTGAATAATACAGCAAGCCCGTCACCACAGAATAACCAACGATTATAGCTAGTACCTTGAGAAGACGACTGCCAGGCTCTGACAGCTCTCGCTGGAAGATTTCAAAGAATGTCACGAATAAAAAAGTTCCATTTGCAATTCCTTGTAAAATGCCTGAGTAGAGACTGCTTGTAAATTCAGTAGAGTTGTGTAGCACCGCAATTCCAATTGCAATGCCAATCGGGCCCATGACTGCAAACAGTATAGATGATTTGACGACGGTTTTTGTTGGCATTTCGTGATACACTAAGTTCACACCTAACGAAAACGCAATGATCGATTTGTGTATCACGATGGCTCCGGCGATTTGTACCAGGCGCTCGACATCTGTGATCAAACCCAGTGCTAGTCCTTCGAATACTGAGTGCAACGATAAGGCGACGATTAATATGTAAGTTCTCAAACTCGACTCTCCGTATTTGTTTTTCTTTCGTGTTTTCCTTTCGCTACCCGAATAGAAACCATCATCTGGAGTATTATTCAAAAGGGGCTGTTTCGTTGTGTGGTCGCCATGCAATACGTGTAGCAAGGAAGAACCATGGCAAGAGTGAACGATCTGTTCTACAGTCAAGATGAGAAAGAAACCCATACATGTCGTGAACTCTGCAACGGGAAATACCGGATGGATACCAGCCAGATTAAACGCTTCTTCATACTTTTCTCGGATCATCGGCAGCAAATCTAACAAACATGTCGCAAAAAATACTCCCCCAGCGAAGCAGTTACAGTAACTGAGGATTCGCTGCCGTACGCTGGCGGTCCCTGACCCCGGACGAATTTTCAATGGCACCAAACCGGCAAAGACGGTAAACACGAACAAAATGGCAATCGCAATCCCCTTGATGATATCCTGCTGCATCACGATCTGCAGGTCCTGATGACTTTCCAAAACTCTACGCCACGAGAGAACGTACTTCCAGGGTTCTTGAAACAAATGAAGAGGTGGTAAACCTCACTAAAGATCTCGTGATTGTTACGTGTTATTATATTCCAAAGCCCAGATTGGAGTGAATGGAACGTAACGCGCGTGACCGCGAGTTGCACATACCAGCCAATCAGTGTCTGTAAAAAGTCACGTGGAAATGACGCACTCTTTTATTCAGTTAGCGATTACGAAGAAGAGTTACTTTTTTCAATCAAAGAATACATACATACTTATATATATACATATATATATATATGTATATACATAGAGAGATATATACACCCGTTTCCAAAAACGTTGCTAATTTGAAAATGTAAATTAAATTTATAGACCTTTTACTTTCTCATCGAAAGAGTCACTTTTTGATAAGAAAACGAAAGATATATGTATTTAACATATATTTTCAAGGTTGTAACACTTTTGAAAACGGGAATATATTTATATATATATATTTAAAGTTCAAAATGACTAAAATGAAACACGCATGATTCCCTGTAACTCTGAGTTTCGTGCTTACGCACTCGTCAGACAGATTTACAATTACATTAAATCTGTCTGACGAGTGCATAAGCACGAAACTCAGAGTTACAGGGAATCATGCGTGTTTCATTTTAGTCATTTTGAACTGTATTTCGCTCTACACTCATGTGTATTGAGCACTTTCCAACAGCATTTGCTACAATTTCAATCAATTATATATATATGTGTGTGTATGTATGTATGTATGTATGTATGTATGTATGTATGTATGTATGTATGTATGTATGTATGTATATATGTATGTTGCGATAGAGGAAAAAAACAGAGAGACTGTACTTTCATCCCTACAAGCCTGTTTCGTGATTGATGAGTGAGCAATCACGAAACAGGCTTGTAGTAATGAAAGTATAGTCTGTTTTTTCCCCCTGTCGCAACATATATCACGCTCTACTTCTACGTATCGAGCACTGTAAAACGGAAAAATCAATACACAGACTTCCTGTATATATATCCACCTCCCCCCCTCCCCTCAAACCCGGTTGATGAATCGTTGCCGTTTCAGAGGAAACAAAAACCTGCAAGGGGTCAGCTGCCTGTGGCGAGGTATCTTGCGCAATTTTCACGTGATGTCTGCACGTACAAAGCGATTACATTTATATTCAGCGTCTTTTCTTTGTGATGCAATTGAAATTCTGTATGCAAGCGGCTGGAAATAGAAATGACAACAATACATGACCACTGGATGCAAAGTACCAGTTTTCTCTCGTATGTGTTCCAGGAGAACGAGCATTTGATTTGTAAATAACTTTGTGTACTTTTCATCTGCCTAGGAATCTAGGAACGGATTCGTTCACTAAAACTGTCAAAGGAAAGTGACATTTTTAATACCCAACAATTTCTTGAATGTTCCTACAGGGTAATCTTGAACTCGTTCGTAGTTCTGACTTAAAATTCGCATGCTGTGATAGACGGATAAGTTTTCGATGAAGAGATAATAGATACCAACAAAACACCAGCTTTAAACACTTTCGTAACCTTTGCCCAAACTTTGGCCCATAGGATGCGTTTTCATTTTTTCGCTCGAATTTCTCCTTCCGTGGGTAGGCGAAGCTAATCTCTTTTAGTAACAGAGGAAAATCTATATTGAACACTACTGTGACGATATTTCGTTTGTTTTACATGATGTATTCACCGTTGACACAAAGAGTGTAACCCGGATGAAAGCGTGATTAGTTGATAAAAAGTTGTGTTCACGTATCGAGTTTTTTCCGCCGTTTTCGTTTATCTGAAATCCGTCGCCCGGCCTTCCAACAACGTTACGACTACGGTGCAACCCTGACCCCTTTAACTCCCAGAGGTGATTAACGTGTAACTTCTCCCATACATCATCCAGTTAACAGGTGTGCAATGAAATTACTCAAATCTATCAGACTCTCATCAGATAAAGGTTGTCATCTTGATCTAACACCACCTTCTCGTAACTAATTCATAAGGAAACGTTTAACAGGTAAAGGGGAGAATGAACAATCAGTGGTCATTTCCGGCGGGAAAAAAAGGCATTTTCCTGGTGCACCCATGTTATGACGTGTTTTGAAAAAGAATCAGGAATTTTAGAATCATTTATCAGGTTTTATCAAGATCGTTGGGCATGCTCGATCATCATTCTAAGGGTGATCGAACCATAAAAATATTCGTTCGGTAATCTTCGGAAAATGTTCGAGGACGTCTGGGAAGTCAAAGGGTAACCATGTTCCCAAATCGAAAATGTACTGTTGACAGTGTTAGGGTCTTTTATTTCTAAAAAACAAGAGAATCACGAGCAAAAGCATCGTTTACAAATAATTTATATATCACGAGTAAAAAGAGATTTAGATTGAATGAACCACATAGTTGAACATTGGAGGTGACGTGTTTTGAACAAGTTCCGCTGAATCGCGTTGAAAGTAAGTCATGTGATAAGTTAGCGCATCACGTTCTATTTGTGCAAGACATTTCCCTGTTCCTAGCATGCTGAAACCTTTTAGTTCTGACCCTGGTGTCAAAGTCTAGCTGCTAACTGTTTTCTACCAAACCTTCAGTAAATATTTTAACCGTTAATTCCCATGAGTGACCAAGACAGAATTTCCTCTCACAATGTCAATACAATATCATGAATTCAAGTGATCAGAGGAAAGAAAAATATCTATGAAGGAATTATTGGTTGATCCAATACCAAATTTTCCAAACTAACATCACAAAAATTGGTATGGCGAGAGTGAGGTGAATTACTTAAAAGATCTGGGAGTTAAAAGGTTTAATAGCAGATAACATCTTGACTCATCCATTTGCTTGACCCATATGAGTGCCCCTGTGTATAAATGCCGCATGAGGGAGAAATATTTCGGTCAGGGGGTCGTTTTGTAATCCCCGCAGGACCAAATAATTTATTACTTTGAGTGATACAGCTCAATCAGCGTCCCTTGTCGAGAATATTGTGCTTGCAAAGATCACGATCGACTCGGCTGGAAAATAAAATTTGAGAGGAAGTTAGTGGAGTGAGGCGAACTAAAAACAATCAAAATGGTTTCATTTGAGTGTTGCAAGAAGTTCCCTGTAATAAGATACAAAAACAATTACGTGCAGGATTTAACTACGACAGTAGAGAAGGTCACGGAGGGTGCAGGCTGGTAGGCGGTTTTTGCGTGTTAAATCATCGTTCCTAACTTAGATGAGAAATCAGCCGTATGCACAGGATTTCCACCGTTGCAATGTTTCAATTATGTAAACAACCAAAGTTCAGTTGGACGGCAAGCTCGCAAGCTCAACGAACAAAGTTTCAAGTGTCCGTATCGAGTTTAATACGCACGTGATCTCCGTGATACCACGCAGGTTAAAATTAAACGTGACAGTGAAATTTCACGAGCTCTCCACGTGTAAACACAGTTTTCGTTGCTAAAACAGCTTATTTTGGTGGAAGAGAGAGTTATTTTTCACCTTCCCTCCGCATGAGACGCCTTAGTAGGCTATCCAAACATCCCTAACGTTGTAAACAATTTTCACGACCATAGAAAACCCGTGGTTCGAGGTGACACTTCCGGTTGTAGCCCTCGCGCATCGTGACAACTGCTTGTAGACCAAACATGAATGTAGGCGTTTTTCAGGAGACCAAGAAGATCATTCTCTTGTGCTTTCCTCGTCTCCGATCGTTAAAAAAAATGCAAAAAGGTCACGCCTGTTCTACGGGATTTGTTTACAAGGCCTCCAATTGCGCCGCACACTTTTACAGTTCTTAAATTCCTTTACGAGGACGCCGTAAAATTAAAGCTAATTACAATTCCTCTATCCACTCTCAATCTGCCATATACATCCCCTCCAGCAACAGATAGTTTCCGGAAAAACTGTATAAGGCAGTGATATAGGGCTATTGTTCTTATGCAAATGAAGTAATGCATTGGAAATAAAAAATGACCTTAAATGGATGAAAATCTGAGAAATTTGGCAAGGGGAGGTACTGACAAAATGCCCGCATGTTACATAACATGAAATCATCCGTTTATCGGTTCAAACAATGGCCTTGAGAGATCATTCATCTCCTCTCATTCTACAATGATTTCAGGTCTATTCTTGTTTAACCCTTTCTTGGACTCCTTGAAACAAATTTGTAACCTTGTCATGCTTTCTTATCATTTTCTAAAGACACTTTCATCCCTTCAAAATAAGTTTTCCCCCTGGTTCTCATTAAAATGCCAGTGGAACACATTCGGAGAATATATTTTAACGCAAAAAGCCACCTTAAACAAACTTTATCCCAGTTGGAAAACAATTCCACAGACAAAAAGCCAAAATTTTGTATGAGCAAACACTAAGGCTGTTTCTTAAACAAAGATCAACATATTTAATTCAATAAAATTCTCCATTAACATGGATACTTTAATTTTATCTGTAAGATAAAAGTTAAAATCATTAACTTCAAATTGGAAAAAATGAAATTAGGGTCATATCATAAATATTGTTTATCAACTCATCTAACTAGATCAAGATATTGTTAAGTATTGTTAAGTGTTCATAATCACCCAAATTGATATAACTAGAATTATTAAAAAAAAAACTAACCATAACTGGAGCTAGGTAAAATATAGAAATTGTTTCTGAAAAAATCTTTGACCTAAAATACACGTCCACACAAAATTTTTCTTGCAGGCTGATTAGATCAAGCCCTTTGTCGATGGTTTTGGTTTAATTCAATGTTCTCTGTTTCTTTCTGACTCCCACAGTTCCACTGCAGAGGAACAAGTTCAAACATAAATTACTAACATGGTTGTAATCTTGTCTAGCATGTTTCTGTCTGTTGTGATATTTGACAATCCTAAGTTGACCAACTATGGTTCTTGCAGCCTCTAATTCACCTCTGCTTTTCAGGGAGCAAATCGCAAGCCCATGCATATTGGTACCATAGATATCCTGACCTGGAATGAGGCACAACTTTTGTTCTGATCATTAAGTCACAGCTGAGTCTAGCTCTTCACATACAACATTGCAGCCAGGGTTCCAAGACCCAGCGTTGTGTAAAGAATACTGTTCCACCAAAATTTCTCACTCTCTGCTTTGACATCTTTAAACTGCTCACAAAATGCATCCTATTGATATGAAAAAAATGTTAAAAGCTTGTTAGCAAACAATGATGGACTTTGTGGCTAAAAATAAATAAAAAAAGCTATAGAATTTGCTAAAGACAGGATTAGACAGGTTTCAAAAGGAAAAATTTGCCCTATAATGTGCTTTGACTGTAAGTAAATAAGAACAGAGTCCCCTCAAAGCAGTGGATTTTTTGCCACTTTTTCATGAGTTTGGAACTATAAGGAAGCAGAAAAAGAAATATAATTATCAACCACAGAAGATCAAGGTTATGAAAAGCTGCATCTAATCCAAAACTGTTTAGGAATTTCAGTTTTTTCCTCTTGGGAATAATTCAAAGAGAGCGTCCGCTAATTCTCGGAAAACATTTACATTGTTCACAAGCTCAATACAAAAGCCCCTTGAAAAAAGTATGTGAAGAATGGTTACACCCCGCTGAAAAAAATAAACGGTTTTAATACTTCAAAGTCTAGTGAAAAAATACTGAATCGCTGTTTTTCTGTCTATTTTGGCTTTCAGTACTTAATCTAGGTACTTCGTAAGAGATCTGAACTACAGAACAAAGGCCATCAACGTGACTGGGCAAAGTCAACGTGACGAACAACGGAAGCAGCGACTATCGCGTGATATAAGACCAAAAAAGTGGTTCCATCGTTTCTGGCAAGAAAGGGAACTTTTATATTTCGATCGGGCCGCTATCAATAATTTTCTTTTGCCATTCAGTTCGGCTTATCAGCGACAAAATCTTACAACGAAGTTGCGGTAAAAAGGCGTAGGGAATATAAATATTCAAAACTTTCACTAACTCGAAATAATTGCACGTAACTTAGTTTCGTGTTGAATGAGGATTTACAAAAGAGAGCATGATAGTCTCAAAACCCTGAAATAATCGCCTTTTTCTGAAAATATTTCCTGCAAACATTCCTCGAATGATTTTAAACCTAAGATGACTCTATCACTAAGGGTTTCCAGAACCAGCTGCCCTTTATAAATAATTCAAACATTTCCAGTCACTTTGGGCTTCCATTGAAACTTCCCGTGGGAAAAAACCGAAATTTACCAAAATTTTCTTCCCGTTTCACTATAGCAAAACTTCCCGTTAACCATTTTGAGTTTATACAGGGTGGGAAAAAGGAGGAAACCGAAAAATTACTCGTTACTTTTTTCTCATCGTGTCGAGAATCGATTGATGTGGCAACGAACAAGGTTTAGCATAAACGTAAATTTACGCGAATAAGACTCTCATATATTAAAAGCTTTTCACTAACCCATCCTCCAGATTTCCTGATCCATTCATTGAGTTTTCTCTCGCTGACATATTCAGCAAGCCATCTTACAATATCGTCGACGATATTAATGTCGTTTTGGCTGCAAAATACAGCAACTTCAGCGGCAAAGCAGTACAAAACTACGATACGTCCCCAATTGATTTCTGTGCTGAAAATTTCCTCTGCGACGCCTCTAAAAGTGTCTTCAACATTAGCTGTTCTAAGATGTAGCCTTTCGCACATATTTTTCAATAAAACTTCATGCCTTCTCTCCACTTCTCCACCAACTCTCCGCAAAATTGCAGCAACTCTTGTGTTAGCTTTGTGCGACTCCATTCCCAATTTGTGGAAGTAAATATAGTCGCAGGCAAGATCGTGAGCGTATTTTTCGTCTTGACTATTCATTCTTCTGGTTGTGGAGAGGTTTGGTGTATGACTGACTTCAGCGGGTGCCATCTTAAAAGGGTTTGCGAGATAAATAACGTCGATTCTGTAGGAGCAGTCCGAACTAAGACTCTGTCGCTTCAGCCCTGTTTTAGATAGTTGGCGCATAGTCTGGTTCCTTTATTGGTTAGAAAGGAATACAAAATACTTCCATCTGATTGGCTGATAAATTTAGACCAAATGCTTTCTTTGAAATTTTATCTCCCTGTTGCTATGGTCAAATGTCGATGACGTAACCCACTTGTGCAGTACCTCACGTACACACAGCCGCGAAAAATCGATCCATAAATAACTTCTCAGAAGCGAAATTAATTCTCGTTGAAAAACCAGTTCTTTTCCCCTTTTTTTCTTTGTTTATACAGTACAAGTTCAAATGAAAAACAAGTTTCTTACGAATTAAACCGCGAAAATTTGGAATTCGTCAGGGATTCGAGGGTAAACAAGGAAATATTTCAATAACCGTAACGATCGCCCACTGCAGCACGAATTGATACCGATTGTTGACAATCCGGTGTAACCAAGCAGATCGGAAACCAGAAATTAAACCTTTAACCTTTCTTTCAGTGCAGTTTTGCATACTAACAGGGAAAGTGGGTGCTTTGATGTGCCGCTTTCCGTGTGGAACGTGTCAGTATTTCATTTGGGCGAAGTTACTGGTATTCTTCAAAATTCTCTAAGACAATAGGACTTTTTCTTAATGGTAGTTTCAGAGTTAAGAAAAAAAGTCTACTCCACTAACACAAATGTTTGAAGGTTTCTTACAAAGCGTTTGATATGTCTCGCAGCATTGTGCTGTAAATATTATAGATGCATAAATTTTAAGTTCTGCCAAATTTCACTAAAAATCCTTCGCAGCTGCAAATTTCGTTTTAGAAACAAAACCCCTTACCCTAAGGCTATAATAAACCCGTATCTTTCTGAAACTCTGAAACTGTAAATATTTCCTGACGGAACTGATAGAAATTCTTTTGTCGAATGATTCAGACCGGATGTAGCGCTATCAGGTCTGTAAGGGAAGTGCTAGAGAACGACTTTCAGTTTCTGAAGCGTTGAAGAATGAAAGGCGATAAAATTTTCGCACAGCCCCATACTATTGAAAAACAAATCTGTTTTCCCTGTTGAATAAAGGAGTAAGTTTCTAAAGAAACTGTGGTGCTGCGTCGGTGGGAGAGTATAGCAGGTAATTTCAGGTGTTAACAACTGAGTTGAAAACGTAAATTAGCCACCGTAAAGGGTAAAAAAGCTGACGTTTCGAGTGTTAGCCCTTCGTCAGAGCAATTGGATCCAATCTCTCAGACGAAGGGCCAACGCTCGAAACGTCAGCTTTTTCACCCTTTACGGTGGCTAATTTACGTTTTCAACTCAGTTGTTAACACTATATTACCTCTTTTCCCAATGGCAATGTATTGTTGTTGTCATTGTTTTCTCTATCCAAGAACTGAATGTATAATGATGTATAATGTAGTACGGGGTTGTGCGGAAATTGTACCTGAAAGGCTACAATGTGGTTGTCTAGTCGGCCAGCAAGGAAGGCTTGAGATCTCGGACACACTTCCGCCTACAACAGCCAATCAATGTAAAGATAATTTCCCCATGCCCTCAATTTCCGCCTTGCTCCCCCTTTTTTTTTTTTTTTTTTTTTTTTTTTCTTTGCGAATTCAATGCGACTGTCGTCGTGGACGAAGAAACTTTCGTTTCGAACGCCAGCTATTTATATTCGGACCCAAAATTTATTGCGCCATGCATACATTTTTAATGATTTTACTGACCCACAAAATCTACTAAGAGGCAGGTGAGTGTTCCAAAAATATCCTGCAATTCATCAATATTTCAGTTTCCTGGGATACTGTACAGAGCAATTTTCTGTATTATCTCATGAATTAAGAAGCAAAGCAAACGACTTCGTGTTTCAGAGGTCAGTCCGGATCATTTTGAAATGTACCACACAATTTTCAACTTTCGATTCGCTAAGCTAATTTATTTCATAGCTCACCGCTCTGCTACCCCGGGAATGCCGTTTCCGTTAGTTGATTGAGTCAGTTTATATTCTGTAAAGCTTCAAGAGGACTAATACCGCAAATTGCATTTTTATCTCGTATGGAACTATAATAAATGGAATGTCTGGCGCCAGAATTTGAGAACTGACGCAAAAACGAAAAGGTTAAATATTTTTAGGGTCATTTAAAAAGGAAAAAAAATCTGATGGATACACAACAAATAAAACATAAAATTACAACTTCGCGGTGTGGGATATCCTGCCCGGCTACCATTGATTTCGTTTACATAATGTTCTTAACCTTTAGACTCATCAGCACTGAAGGTATTGATGTATTGTAATATGGGACTGCCCCATAAATCACTCTTTCATTATCTGCTCTTTTCGATTCTTTCGTCAGCATTTCTTTCCGTGAGGAAAGCGCCGAAAGATATCAACCCGGTTAAGGCTGAAAGAGTCGCTTAATTAACACGTACCCAGACTTCGCTTGTATGAACAATAGAGCGGTCAAACGTCTACGCATATGCAAACGTTGAAAAACAGAGGCCGAGCCTAAGGCTGTAGTGACTAAGTTGTTCCAGCCTAGGGGAGTTACAGAGAACCTTACAAACTAGTAAGTCAAGGGGTAGCCTATTAGATAAAAAAACTGGTAAATCAACTGGTTGCCCGGGTCAATAATTAGCAGCTTAAACCGAAAATAAAAGTCATACTAATTCATTTGGAAAGATTACCGTCAAACTTCGAGTTTTGATTTAAGAGAGTACATAAGCACCTTCCAATTGAAGCACCCTGTAGATGAGAAATTATTCGAAAGAACTATACCACTAAACACACAAAACTAAACAGTACGGTAATATACAATAACCTCCATTTGGCGCGAAAATATGCACGGATATTTGTCTGTGGACATTGAATGTTCCGAGATGCGAACAGTTTTCCGATAACGAAGTTAGAGGAAAACTGTGGGCTTCGATAAATTTACGAGCATATCTCTGTGCTAAATTGAGGCTATTGTGTTTATTACTCTTCAAGTATTTTTTCAACACACGGTTGAAACGTTACGAACAGCCTCTTGAGAGAGATGTTTAGTTTTCATTGTTCTCTAGTACCACTGAAAGAAGATAAAAATCTTGTCCCTTCTCCTGTGACTATAGCTAAACTCTTATTCGTCTTGAATTGAATTTCAAACAAACTCTTTTTATCAGTGAAGACGTAATGTTTGAATATTGGGTCGAATATAACTTGGGGTATATCCACGGATATCCCCCCAGTTTTAGGTGGAGCAAATTTGATCACATGATGTAATCAGCTGCGTCCGAGAAAAAAATATGCAATGGATTATTATAAAAACTATCTCCTGTTGCGAAGCAATATTATCCGGTGATAGGTAAATTAATAACAAGCTCGAAGAACATACTAATAGTGAACTGGAACTGGACAAAAAACAAATCTCAGAGAAATGTTTTAAACCCTCCTCATCTCATCAAATCGAAATAGGTAAACCCGACATTTGCCGTATGCCTTTGTCAAGAAGTTAAAACAAACCGAAGGAGTCACACTGACCGCTTCGTTAGCACCATTTTAGAACTTTCTATGAAGCTCTTTGCCTAAAAAAGAGTTAGGAAGCTATTACAAAGAAGTCAGTTTATCAATTTTCCATTGTCATCACTGTTTTCAGGAGCCCATAATGGGCTCCTGATGTTATTCAATATTACGAAGTTTTCAAACCTAGAAATCAAATATTCATTTTTCATCCACACCTAGCATTCATTACTCAGGGGAAGTAAACTTCGGATCCAAAGACTGTTTTTGTATTAAATTAAACGACTTACATTCCTGTCAAGGTACTTCACGTTTCCAAGGCAACCTAGCCCTTTTATGCCGTTTTATTTATTCTCATGTGTGGACAACGATTACAATCTCCACGCGTGTTCATGTCAAAAACATTGCAGTCTGTACGATGTTGGCTTCGGAAGACATGGCCACACGTTGGAAAACGTTTACCAAATAATTTTATGCTAAATGTTACCAGCGACCTTCTCACGAAAGACTCAGAGCCTCTTGCAGAAAACTGTTTCACTTGGAAGAAAAGTTTTCTACGTTGCGTCGAGGAACAAAGAGATGCGATTCAGAGGGAGTAGATCGCTTGCGATTTCCGTAGCATCTTTTACCCTTGGATGTGTTGTTACCCATTTTTTATGTTCGTATGACGATTTACCCATAAGGCTGGAAACGAATGAAGCATTGGAAGCTGTGTTAAACGATCCTTCTCCGTCGATTTTCAACCTGGAAACTACTAAGCCGGAACTTTTCCACCCGCCTGAGACTGTGAATACTCACGAGGAAAATGATCAGCCAGTTACGACAGCTCCGAAACCAACCTTACCCCCCTACCCACCGTTGTTAAACAGAACAGCAGTAGTTCTTACTCCTTCCACCTGCAATAAAGAAACCTTTCTTATTATAATTATTGTCTGCTCCAGCAAGGATTTCGAAGCGCGAAAGGCTGTGAGATCTTCTTGGGGTAAAACCATATCAGAAGTGAAACGTTTTAATTCTAATTCCACCTATGAACAGTTTCAAGTTTTCTTCGTGATCGGAAGCGACGAAATAAACGACGAAAGAGTCGAAGAGGAATCGCAACGTTACGATGATATTATACGTGGTAATTTCATGGACACCTATGCGCAAATAAATGAGCTCCACACGGTGAAGACCCTTTTGGGGCTTAAATGGGCCACCACGATATGTGACCCACAGTACGTATTGAGAGTCAACGCCGAGTCTTTCGTTAACGTTCAAGAGACCATTGGATGGCTGCATTCATTAGGCAGTGACAGTGAGTTAAAGCATAGGGAAGGTTTGTATACAGGGCATCGCCACACCTTGTCCTCTGGTGGAGTGAAAGTGATTAGAAACCCTCTCAGTCCTTACTTCATCCCAGAAGACCAATGGTCCGATGATCTCCTTCCAAGTTACGTGTCAGGAGTTGGTGTCGTCCTCTCGCGGGATGTTGCTGAAAAAATGGTGCACACTGCCTCGGAGGTAATCTATCATTCTCCCTCGAATTTTTATGATTTCTTTGTGTTACTGTTGACACATCGTTTCTAAGGACAGAAGAATTTGTAAGTATGACAAAAGTGGCACAAAAGCGTTGTCACGCTCATCCTTTCCTTCGTCACAACACAGTTTTATTCTAAATAATTTGTCTACCATGTATTACTTTTTTTTTCGACGAATTCATTAAATTAATAAAATGAATAAGTATGCTAGAGGATTTGTTGCGGAGAGAACTGTGCGCTCATTGACCAAAGCAAAGGGCTGGACGGGAAACTGTTGTGAAACTTGTGGTCAATGACGTACACAGGCGGCCCAGGCTCCAACTGTGGGATGATCATCTTGCGAAATGTAAGAGTCATGGCAAAATTTTGAGAGTTTGCACGGGAATATTTACGACCGCTCTTAGGAATAATAAAAAAAATACAGTCAAATTCTCAATAAAAACACCTCACCTTACTTCCACAGTGCATCACTTGTTATCTCAGGCTGACCGCCCACTATGATGAAAAGAACCCATTTTAGCGAGTTATCGATTTCTAGGTTTACTCCGTACATAAGAGAAGCATGTGTACGTAGTAAACCTAGAAATGGGTAACTCGCTAAAATTGGTTCTTTTCATCATAGTTAGCGGTCAGATAACAAGCGATGCACTGTAGAAGTAAGGTGGGGTATTTTTATTGAGAATTTAACGGTGCGGTTCTGTACGGATCAAATGACAAAAACTCTCATAGCATTGACCAGATCCATTACGACACAGGGCGCAGGATTGCTTTGAACCAGCGCACTTGCTAGCCTTCCGTGTCTACACCTTCCCTAATAGCATATCTATTTCCACAACTCAGAGGCGAATCCAGGGGAAGAGGGGTTTTTTGTTTTCTAAATGTAAGTCTAGATCCCCCCCTTCCCCCCGTATTCGCTCATGCCACCTTATTTCGTTACCACGCATGCCACATAATTTCAAATCTAATTTTTTTGTTTTTTATACGTTTTTTTTTAGCTGAAATTGATTCATATTGATGACGTTTTTCTTGGTGTAATGGCAAAGAATCTTGACATTGCAGTGTCGGACCACAGTCCTCGTTTCGACATCGCATACACCACTATGCTGACGGAGTGCAAAGATCTTCAATTTTGCGTCATCGGCGGCGTTCCTACCAAGGATATGTTCTATCTGCATCAAAACGTGCACCATCTTAGATCTATTTGTGCTACGGACGGGCCAAAATTGCAAGTGTGACTTCTTTGAACCTTACACCTTAACATCAGTAGGCATATTCTCCATACTGCTCTCCAAGAATTTCCTATAAGGTGCTGACAAGGAGAATTTGTTTAACAATCAAGAGCTTCTTTATTTTAGTGACCTTTTCCTTTATTCTCGTGATTTTATCGTTAAATACACAACAAAGCATCTCAGGCGAACCTTATTTGTCGATGGCGAATGCTTTTTTAGGTAGGAGTTTATTGAGTATTGCGCTCGCTCAAAATTCCTGCATCTTTCAAAATATTTCATGGAAAATTAGAGACTTAAATTTCAAAGTACTACAATAAATAATCAATTCGGTTTTTATGTTACAACTATTGTTAAAAGTAAGCAGTTCAACAGAAATATAAGGCTCCTCCTAAACAAAAGCATTTGGGATAATGCGCTGCGGGGACGTAAACATTAGGATTAGAACTGAATGATTTGTCCTTGGCTCGTACGGTTGCGAAAAAGCATGTGCCAACGCGAGAAATGATTTAAGTTTCTAGAATAGAGAGATCTGGGGATAATTTTGTTGAACTCTTCGGAATTCTTCCATGCTCTGGCAGCCAATCTGAGCCCTGGAGTCGCTTCATGCTTCCCGCTCATGGAGCCAGCAATACTATGTCTTAGGTGTATTTTGTTTTCGTCCTGTTCAAGAAAGTCTACAGGAGAATCTTCCTTTATTTTCAGTCACAATGTGTTACTATCAAAAAATTGAAGAAGGACTGGCTATGAAAATCTAAGTGCCTGGGGATCCGGTTATTATTTATTTTCCGGGGGGAGGGTCAGGGGACTTTGGTTGTGTTACAATATACCTGATCCCCCCCTGAAGCTCTGTAGTATTCTGATGCCCCCCATTGGCAGTCAATCTCCTATAGCTTCCACTCTATACTCTGTTAGCGACTGATCCCCTCTCCATTCCCTCTAAAAACCATGCATCCCCCCAGAATCCTACACCCCCCCGGCAATTGATAATGACTTATCCCTTATTTGGACTGATGAAAATATGAGAAGCCCTTCATTTCATTCCATGACAGATATAATTGCTTTTTCAATTAACACTGTAGATATGAAAATTTAATTGATTACAGCAAAAGACATGGTGTGGGAGACAACTTCAGACACAAACTATTTACAGTACCTGAAATCTTATAAAGTTCGGTTGAAACTTTTAAACTAGAATTTTACTGTAATTAACTTTTTGATTCCTATAATGCCATGTTTTTTTTTTTACAAAAATTATATATGCGTGGCTTGTCCGTTTAAAACCGATATAAGGAAGTTACTGTTTTGAGCTCAGACGTTCTCCTACAGACTTGACTCTGAGGCCATCAACGAAAATCAATCTGCTAAGAAATCTGCCTGACTAACTAACTGCCCCTCTGAATGGCAACTCAAATCTTCATTGCTCTAAACGAAAAACGAATAATTCAGTCAGATAAAAAATTTTTAGCGTTACAGGAGGACTGATATATATATGGGGCATGGAAACTGTAAACCTGAACATGCTGAAGTTTCGTAAATCCTAAGTTTCTGAGATGTTACGACTTATTCCTTGGCAAAAAAAAATTTATCGAAACCTTTTGTCATCATACCCCAATTGATAAAATGTTTTTTTTTTCATCATACTTGAAATAACATGTTTTTACAGTTTGAGTAATTTCAACCTTAAAAAAATCTTTGGAACTCTTCACATTGGATGTGTAGCATAAACAAATAGTGAGTATAATTTTTCCATCCGTCTCATCGCTTTTAAAAAGTATTTTCTTACAATTTACTTAGTTTTAGCAACAAATTGCTTTCAGATAACAGTTTAGTAAAAATTTACTTACTTTGATTAAAAAAATGTGTTCACTTTCGAAAAAAGAAAGCTCCGAGTAAAACGTTGATAAACACTACTTTATGAACTGTCTTGGTCCAGATTGTTAAAAGTTTAGTAGTGTAGCCAGCCTATAAACCCGTTAGCCTGGGCCTACAATTTTTTTCTGCCTGTTTGACTTTTATAATATGGCTCTTGCAAATGTTGAAACTAAAATTAAACTTCCTTGGAGAACAGGCCTGCAACAAGTCGAAAAGGTGGCTACGCTCCTGATTCCTTACAAACACGATGTGCAGTGACAACAACTGATTACCGCAAGTTCAGGCTCGCAGATGTCTTTCGCAGATGGCTTCTTCTTATTACACGGTGGCAATTGACAGTTATGAGCCTTACTTCAGTCCAATACACTTATTTACCAGGGTCTCACTTGACTCATGGTTATTTGGTTCAGTGGACGACACAGGCCAATTTCCAAAATCAAATGTCACGTTGTCGCCAATCAGCATAAAAGGAGCCCACTTAGAGACTTCTTCAAAGCCATTGTTTCTCATCCATTTCCTGGCTTCGTGAAGAGATTCACTGGCGCTTTCACCGCGGAACAAGTGCTCGTAGAAACAAGTCATGAACTTCTCTGTGGCTGTGTCATCTAAGGCCCACCGTGCCGCCAACACTGAGCGAGCACCGGATCCTAAGAACGCTCGAGCGATTCCAATAACTCCCTCGGCTTTAATCTGTCCATGTGCACTGTGAGAACAGCTTAGTACCACCAGTTTAGCTCGCAGCTTAATTCGTGAAATGTCCGCCATCGTCAAGAGGTAGGCTTCTTCTTGTGGAAAACAGTGAGCGGGACGCTCTGGGGAAAGGACAATCTCTCCTGTTTCAGCATTACTATGGGCAGCTAAATGGATCAAACTCACTGAATGTATTGCTTGAAGTACAGCCTTCTTTGTCGCACGATTTCCAATCAAAGGTGTCACACCAAGAAGTCCTCCAATCATCTCTGCTTCCTTTCTTGTACTTGGCAATCGTGTTAGATTCAGGCGTCTTCCCTTGTAAATCACCTCTCCCACCTCAGGGTCACCCACTATCAGTGCGCCTGTCTGACTGTGACATTGTGGGGGGCTGTCTTGAATGAGCTTGAGCGTCGTTAAAGAGGGAACGATGCGCAATCTGAATGTATCCGACAAAAACTTTCCTCCTTCGTCAGTTAAGGCCGCAAATGGTACCTGGTACATACAGGAATCAGGGACAATGATAATTTCGGGCTCTTTCAGTAAATCAGCCACAGGAGCGATGATTATCTTGTGTAACAAGTGAAGATTATCCGGGAGCCCGCGGAAGCTTTTTTAAGAAACTCTTCCAAACCAGGAACTAGTCCGGTGACAACGTTTTGGTCAAGTCTCACTTCCTTTTTCAAAAACAGGATGCCGCTCGTTGTTTGGAGAATCCAAAACCGCACTTGGTCTTCATCAACCGAAAGGTAAAGGCATGCGCATTCTGTTTCTTTTGTGATAATTTTCTGGATGCCACTCCATGATTTTGGATTGGCAGAGATCTGCTCTTTTACTGAGTACCGAGCCGCCATCAAGTCGGCTAAGCCCCTCGCCCGTCTCAGCTCCTCGACATAGAGGGCGTCTTGTGGCTTTGCCGTGGAAGAAAGCAAGCTACTGAGCAACTTGTAGGGAATGGTGCCGTGCTCCTCCAAAAGTGATGTTTTAAACTGATCCTCGTCTTCAAGGGAATCTCGCAAAGTGTCGAATACTTCAATGCTTTGGTAAATATACGTAAAGGCTTCTTCAAGATCATCTTGTGATACTTTCAACACTGTTAGAGCATTAAGGCATTGAAATTCATGGAAGTTGTGTCCAATATCCCTGCTCAAGAAGAGACCCTTCGTGAGGTATTCCTCGGCCATGTCATGTTTACCGAGCGATCGGAAACACAATCCTAAATTTAAGAAGGTGATCACAACTCCTTCTTTCCTACCATTTTCCATGTGAATTTCAAGGGCTTTCTTGTGATATTCTAAAGCAACGTCGTACTCATCACGCTTATGACAAATTTTCCCTTGGTATCTGAAATGTACTGCTTGTCCTTCTCTGTCGCCGATTTCCCTCCAAATTGCAATCGCTCTCTCTAGAAAATCGTCAGCCCTTGCATATTTACCGAGGGACAGAAACAAAGATACAAGGTTTCCAAAAGTGTCTGCCACTCCTTTTCTGTCACCAATTCTCTTGTAAATAGATAGAGCTTTCTCCAGGTATTCTCGAGCCCAATCATAATCGCCAAGTGTTTGGAGCAATATTCCAAGGTTTGCATAGCTTCTTGCCTCTCCGTCTCTGTCATCAACTTCAACACTGATAGCGAGTGCTTTCTCTTGAAATTCTCGGGCCTTGCCATATTTACCGAGCGATGTGAATACTGTTCCGAGGTTTCTGTAGCTTCTTGCCTCTCCATTTCTGTCGCCAATTTCTAAACTGATAGCTAGTGCTTTCTCTTGAAATTCTTGGGCCTTGTCATATTTACCGAGCGATGTGAATACTGTTCCCAGGTTTCCGTAGCAGTTTGCCTCTCCATCTCTGTCGCCAAGTTGTATTTTGATTGCAAGTGCTTTCTCCAGGTATTCTTGAGCCCCACCATAATCGCTAAGTGTTTGGGACAATATTCCAAGGTTTGCATAGCTTCTTGCCTCTCCGTTTCTGTCGCCAATTTCTACACTGATAGCGAGTGCTTTCTCTTGAAATTCTCGGGCCTTGTCATATTTACCGAGGGATGTGAGTACAGTTCCGAGGTTTTCGTAGCTTCTTGCCTCTCCATTTCTGTCGCCAATTTCTAAATTGATAGCGAGTGCTTTCTCTTGAAATTCTCGGGCCTTGTCATATTTACCGAGGGATGTGAATACTGTTCCGAGGTTTTCGTAGCATTTTGCCTCTTCATTTCTGTCGCCGACTTCTATTTCGATAGTGAGAGTTTTTCCCACGTAATCTCGAGCCATGTTATATTCGCCAAGCGATCTAAAAAATTTGAAAAAACAGGTGTTATTTTTGTTCTTGTTATAAATTAACATCGTTAGCATAATCAGCGTATTTTTAAGTTTTCTTTTTGCGGAGGAAACATCCCCAGAGTCATGATTTGATTAGTCTCTAAGATTGACTATTTGCAAGTTTGGTCATTCGTTTAGTCAATTTTTAATTTCGCAATGTCTTGAAGGAAGAAGGATTACCCCAATACTGAGTCGTTTGTCGTCTAGAGCTAGAGGACTACGCGCATTGGAAAAAGGTGATATGTCAACTAGGACCTAAAGCAGCGACCAGCGGTTTCTTCAGCAAATAGCTCCCCTTTTGTAGGTCGGTACAGAAGGTACATTATCTTAACCTGTTAAGTTTCCGCTTCGTATTGGTCAAATTTTGTTCGTTAAGATTCTTGAATCCTCAAAAGAATTTTGCGTTTCTTTATAAGCGAGAATGAAGCAAAAGGTCCAGTGCAGATCCACAGTTCGAGTAGATTTATCTTTAGGTCTGAATCCTTATTTTTCGCCGAATTTATGAGTGGTACAATGCTTTGGGAAATTGAAATCCAACAAATCTTTACGAAGAAGTGATCTTCCCGGTGAAATCGAAATCTACACCGGAAAGACATTTGGGTGCTGCGGTACATCGGAGTTAAGAGCACCATACGATGTCACACGTTTCTGGCGCAATTCATGTTTCACGCTTCACGAATGTCACATATACCGTATTCGCTAGCACAAAATTCATTGGTAGTGAAGGGAGCTCTGAGAATGACAAGAAATAAACCCTGATTGTATCAGATCACTCGACATAAATTGGATATGAAACTGTTTTTGAAGTAATAACGCAAATCATTGAAGTGTTCATAACATTGTCTAGAAAATCATTGAGATGTTTATTGCAATGTCATACAAATCGTAGAGGTGTTAATTACAATGTCACGCAAATCGTAGAGGTGTTTATTACAATGTCACGCAAATTGTTGAGGTGTTTATTACAATGTCATGCAAAATGAAACTGATTACGTCAGCATCAACTTACAGTTTTAAGCTAGAAATGTTCCGTGTTCATTTTGCTGCGGGCATTGAATCTTTCCTTGGAAAAAGGAAAACAAAAAATGGTAAATTACAGATGACAATAAGGTGAACCCTTCAAGTGGAACAAAAGCAAAGAATTCATCAGAGGTATTGGTGAGGTCGATCTCACGCCAACCAAATACTTAAGGAAAAAATACATTTTAAGTTTGGAGTCAGGAGTTTCAGTTGTCAGTAATGCATTGATAATTTGACAACCTGCGAAAGTCGTATTTTTAGGTCAACGGCTCCATCTCCGTCAGAAAGTTGCTCGCCAAAATTGCGGGCTCGATTCGGTGACGCCCATTTTGTTTTCTTTCAAGGAGCACGGGAAATAGCAACATTTTATCTTTTGCCACTTCAAAAATGATTAGTTATCCACCGTGTACTAGCAGTTAGTTTTCTGATGGCTCAGGGGACAAAATGTCACCAAATAATTTCATTCTTGTCAAACGATACCATCCTTTATTTTTTATATTCATGAAAAGATCCCCGTCCGCCATTGAAACAGATATTAGAATTTGCTGGTGACCTATTTGTTACAATTACGAAAAATTATCCGTTCACCATGCGAATGATAAGGAACTGAAACTCGCTGATGACTCGAAAAATTTCATTTTCAAGAAGTGTTTTCTGGCGGAGGGTAAAGGTGAAAATACTTGTAGCTCATGTTGTTTTCATGAAGTCACGTTAAAACCAAGGAGTTCAACCCTTGGCTAACTTCTATCAGATTATAGAGATGTATGGTTCAATTCATTTCGCAATTTTTTAAAATATGTATTATTGGTAAACCATTTGAACATAATGCATTACTTAAGGTACAAAACATGAGTTCCTGATCTTGTTCTTTGTCGTATCTGATGATTTATCAGTTCCTATTTTCAGTGTTTCGTTATTCACTTTTGATCATAGTCTTCATTTTCCATTAAATCATCGATACTCGGTGGGAGGGGGGGAAGAGGAGGCAAGGGAGTTACTAGGTTGCATGTCATCCTCCTCCTCAGAAGTCATAATTGTCATACACTTTCATGTGCTCCTAAATTCCAATGACGTGTAGCCCCAAGATTTTGGAAAAGGGCTCATAAGTTTTGAAATATCTGTGTTATGTGTTATCAAGATAATATACCATAGCAGTGAAAATATCATTTATGTCATTTGCTGCTAACAGAAGAGGTTAAACCCATGAGTTTCCAAATGCGGCCTGTTTGTGTATAGATATATATAGATATAGATATATTGTGTATCATTTAATGTCTTTTTTTCTGGCCATGCAAATCTCACCCATTAGAAAATGAAAAGAGTCAGTCATCACGCACAAATAACCTACCGTTGAAAGACAGAAGCTTCAAATACACTGTGATCGATCTTGTGATGAAAATCCAACCATTCAAAAGCGATGAACTCTAAGTGCTGACGTTCCCTGTAAAACAAAGTAACTCGTTCCATTTTACCATGCTCAAATCCATCATAGGTAATTAAATTAGACAAAAAAAAAACAAAAATACATGAATTAAAATGGAACTTCTTCTGTGATCTTCCTCCTCGAGATCGAAGGAAATGTATGAATATGATTTATCCTTCCTTAACATTCTGTGTTCACTTTTCCCGCAAGAAAATTATAGGCAAGTTTAGCTCGACAGTACGACTGTGGCAGGTAACTTTGAAGAGGTCGTATCAGCAGATAGCCATACAGAAATCAGTTTAATTAACCAGCACTTGTCAGACACGATTCAAATGATGGCAGAAATTTCAATTTTGAACTGAAATGGCTTTTAAATATTTTACTTCGATCTCGCTATTTGTGATTTTCCTTCCGTTGATAGACAATACTTTTCAGTCTTTATCGACGATATCATAATTGTCTTTCGTAAGGTCATTACATTTAACAGAACGTGATCGAGATATGAACTCCTTTCGTAAAACACACCGACTCGCTAAAAAAAAAAAATGATGTATGTATCTTATCTATAAAGGCAACAGCAGCAAATAAGTTGAATTGTGTCAGTTTTTTTGAAGCAGGAAGTACTTACCAAGATCTGCAGACCTCTGTGCCTTGCCTTAAATAAATCTACCCAGTATACCTCTGGTCGTCTTTAGAGTTTTCCCATCATTCGTAAGGCACATGAAACAGCCAATAGAATTCTGTCACTTTCGCAGTCACTCTCGTACCCAGGCCCACCATTTCCCCTGGCCGGCGGCTCAATTGCGCTTAACAAGTGGAAACCCGAGACATCAATTTTTTTTGTTGGAATTTTTTGGTTCCTACATACAGTGTATTTGTTTACAGAGCCTGCAGTGTGGCTCAAGGGCTTGGTGGTCCTGTATAACATGGACACCTGTGTAGTAATGAATCACGGGAATAAATGCGTGGCTACTAAGTTCCAGACAACAAGGAATCGTTTGCACTTATTTAATTCAGGAAATTGTTGCCGTTTTTCCTCAAGATTTATTTTCTTCTGCGCGAATTTTTAACACAATGACTCGTGAGTACTTTTTCCATGCTTTTCCGTATTGAAAACTTGGGGTTTGAAGTAAATCATTTGACGATTTTTGGATAAATATGTAACATGTCGACTTGAAGCTTACCAAGCTTTAAAAAAGGCTCTTTGTCGAGAAGCTGTAGTTAATTTTTTTCCTAATTATCTAGCTGATATTATTTAAGATTTACTGATCACATGCTTACTGATTAAGTTAAGTTTTCAAGCTAATAGGTAGTCAGTTTTCCCTCGTAATCTTTACATGGTTGTAATTTGTGCAAAATCGACATCAACAATGTCTTGCGATAACCTCGCTGACTCAGTCGAACTATTTCATAATAACTAATCCAAGGAATCCGATCTTACAGTTTGTAGCTAAAATTCGGAAACCTTTTTGTCAGTTCTAGGATATCTGAAAGAGCATGTAAAAGTGAATAGTTTAAATAATTAATCGATCAATGACTATATTTGCGAAGTGATGGCAGCCAAAAATACTCGATCTACAGTTTCTGATTTTTTTTTTTCCAATGATGGAAAGTTTATTGAATAAATAGAGCCATTTTTCTTTCATATTTTCTTGTAAAAGCAGATTATAAAACTCCTTTATGAATTCCAGTAATGATGATATTTCTCATTTATGGTAAGGGTAGGAACACCAGTGCCTGTGTTTGGTTTTGAAACATGTTGTATGTTCAGATCCAAGATCATGGCTAAACCCAGGGTAGTCGATCAATAACTGTGATGATCAATCTAGAATTTAGTTGACTGTGTTAAAATTGATAATAAGTGATAAAGCTGTTGATATTTCAGTTTTAAGCTACTTTCAATTCTATTTCATCTAATTTACTGATAACAAACTTAAAGGAAAATTTTTCTAAGGAAAACAAAATGTGCTTAAAACTGAGAGACATTTGCAGGTACAGGAAAGGCAGTGGTCTAATTGTAAGTGTGAGACTTTCAAGTCAAGAGGTCTGGGTTCCACACCTAGCTGGGTCATTGTGTTCTTGAGCAAAACACTTTCTCTCACAGTGTCCATCTCCACCCAGGAGTATAAATGGGTACCAGTAAAGGGATGAGGGGGGGGGGGGGAAGTAGTTAAACACCTAATTGCTTCATGCTGTGAAAACTGGGATAAACTCTGGTTAGATGGGCCTCATGGCTTGAGTACAGACATTACCTACCAGTAATGTGAAGCTGTAGGTTGGGTTCCATTAAACATTGAAGGAGAAGTTGTGAGAAGACCTTTTCTGGAATGTTCCAACATCTCTCCAAGCATGCATGGGTTGTCCAGTGGGTTGATAACTGGTTAACCCTTTGGCTATCAGGAGTGATTAGTGTGTTGATTCTCCTTAAAATTTTTAACAAGTGACAAGAATTAAGAAAATTATTAAGTAAGGGATATTGTTTGGATAGCATAGCAAATTCTCATGACTAGCCAAAAAGAAATGCATGGTCAGCTGTTGGGAGAATCATCTTTTAGATCAAGGCTGTGAAACGGGTAGTCTCTGAAGATGTGTGTGATTGTGGAAACATTTCTCTTGGATCTTCTTGGTCAGGTGGAAACCAGCGTGAATTGGCCCGTGCAAAAAACCTAAAGAAACAGCAGGAAATGGCAAAAAAGAAAGGAGGTGAAAGTGGTGAGGCTCTCAAAGCAAGGAAAGAAAGGTATGGAAATAGGAGTGATGCTTAACTTTTTCAGTCTTTGCTAAAACTAACATCTATTTCTTTTTTTTGGCTAGCTCTACAGTAAAGCAGGCAATTAGTTATGATGCCAAGATGCAAATCAATGAGCAAAATGTCCTTGTGCATTATATCTTAAGCCATTGAATTAGATATTTTGTATTCCACTATTATTTAATTTCCTAGTAGTTCTAGCTTTTAGTTTTCAAAATACTTCCTACAGCCTTATCTGAGCATTGTATTGATGGCAAAAGGAGTTAGTGAAAAGGCAAAAAACAACACAAACTAAACCACTAATTAAAAGTGTTTTTTTGTGACCCAAAAAAATCTGATGATCTTAAAGTTTGTTTCTTTTAAAGTAAAGCCCCAAAAAACAAGAAAAGAAATCAAAGTGTGAAGAGTTCAGTGCAGCCATTTTATTGCACCTTTCTCTGTCTGTATTTCTGCCTTTTTCTATGGTGTATATGTGGTAAAACTAGTGTATTAAAATGGTAGTAAGTTCATAACTTGAACAATTACGCCTCTTGTTGCATGAGAGGGAGGTATGCTGTATTTCACTGCCTTCATGAGCTTATTTTCTGTTTGCTTTTGCTTTTAGGGATGCAGCTATGATGAGAGAAAAACAGAAAAAAGCAGAGGAAAAACAAGCTTCTGGTGCATCTGGAGGTGCAAAGAAATAAATTTCATGTTTAAGAAATTTCTAGAGAATGAGAACTTTTCTACACTGCTTAAAAAGTCTATGTTAGTACTCTCTTGAAACATAACTGGAACCCCTAAAATATGGATACTTGCGTCAAAGACAATAGCACAGAACTCATTAATTTTTGTGGCATTACTTATCACAGAAAAGTAACTTGTCAGTCAGGTGCTGTTAATATTTCTACTTTGATATTTCTGTAAACTTGTATGTTCTCTCTCCTTGTTATTGGTTAACTCCTGGTTTTCACTTGTAAGAATGCAAGGTAAAATCAACCTGAGTTTGTACCAATAATTTTGATGGCTATTGGTTCCAGGCACTAGTTGACCCTTTAACTCCCAAGATCTGATTATTAATTCTCCCTTCTAGTTGCTACACATTCCCTTGTAAATAAGTTACAGGAATTTGATGTTAGATCAAGATAACAACTTCTACTTGATGGGTTTGAATATTCTCATGAGCTGTTTGCTGGATAATGTTTAGATATTACGGGGAGAAGTTACATGTTAATCACTTTTGGGAGTTAAAGGGTCAGTCAAACAATTAGTACACTTGTTTATGTATGTCAGCCTGAATTTAGATGTGCACTGAATGATCATTCTCTAGTGAAAGCCACCTGCTAACCATCAAGGCCCAGTTGTTTAAAGGGTGGATAACACTATCCAACAGATAAATCACCATCCAGCAGATCACTGTCAAAAAAATGTAACATGCTATCCACTGGATAGCAATTTTTCCAGTGGATAGTGTTATTTATCCTCTGAACAACCAGGGCCAGAAGTGTTACAAGCTCAGAGTTAGAGGCCATAATAGATTACCTCCACATTGCAACTCTAATTAATTAATAATATATATTGTTACCATATTGTCTGGGATGCAGATCACCAATTAACCCTTTTAACCCTAAGGGTGATCAGTATTTAATTTCTCCCAACAGTTTCACCCTAAATCAAACATTAAGTTTTAAGAAAATAGGAAATGATCCCAAATGCAAGAAGCTCTTGATTGTACGACAAATTCTCCTTACAAGTACCCTAGAAATTGTATAGATAACAGTCTAGACAACTTACATATTGATGTTAGGATGTAAAGGGTTAAGAGATCAATTCACGTCATAGACAATGCTACTTATTTTCCCTGGTCAGTAAGATTTTGATGCCCACATTCAGGATTTTAGAGAGGGTAGGGCAGTAATGTTCCAAATCACGTCCAAGTGTTTACTTTACCATTGTATGGAAAGTAAATGACATGTGATATGCAAGGAATATGTTTTATTCCTGAGTAACTTTTAGGAAGAGTCTCTTATTCCTTGAGAATGTTTACAAATGTAGCTACAAGAAATAACTATTTTTTTTTTGTAAAGAATAAGAAAAATGGTAAATGTTTTAGTTTAATCATCAACAGAAAAGGTTTATGGCCTGGGGGTATTGGAAAAAATCAGATCTTTCTGTGTTACATTCCTGTGACAAATATGGAACAACATTTTCCCTCAGTGGCTACTAACTTACATGTGGTTGAAATATTTCAAGTTCTTTATTATTTCAGCCTGATAAAGAAGCTCTATTTTAGGATATACTTCTTTAGGTGTCCCTGCCTTAAAGCATATCTTGAAAAGTATAACTTTTATTCATCATCATGATAATTATAGTTGTGTTTGGAACAACTTAATTTAGTATCACCAACTATCCCATGTTTAGTTCAAATATAACAAATATGGCTTATCATGAAAATTTTGATTCATGGAAATTAAAACTTTGCGTACTTGTCAATGAGAAGTCATTACTTTATTGTACTTTTATCATTTAAAGAAGGTGTATGGGACCACCCTCCGACATACTTTACTTAAATTTCTGAGAAATATTCTGATGTCCACTTCTTGAACAGAGGTCAGAGAGGTTCAAATGATAAATGTCCTACCACATATAATTTCACCTAACCTAATCCGGATGAAAAAAATTTGAAAAGACTTGAACACGGAATATTTTGAAAAACTAATTTATTTCTATGCAGCGCTTGCAATATTTTCAGCAAATGAAACATGGGGGGCTAAACCTTCCCAAAACCACCCCCCCCCCTTCCAGAATAAGAAGAGACTCGCATCTTGGTTCTCAGGACGACGTCTAAAAATGTGGGGGCGATGGGGACCCATGGGGACCATTAAAACCGTTTGCTGTAAACGTTATGGTTATGCCCGTGACATTGGTGACGCTTTCGTGACGGTAACGACTTACACTCTTAAAATGTAAGTCAGGAAATGTTTGAGAGCTCCAAATGAAGAAGACATCTTTGAAAAATGAATACAAAGTCGATCAAGACTTCATCTTTGGTTCAATGACCAAAGTAGGTCGGAGGTCTATAAATGCCACGGAAAAAATTAGTCAGTGTCGCAAAAAGTCGTCTCGCCATAACCATAGTTCCAGTCCTCCTCGGTTGACTAGCAAAGGCCGGTGCCATATTGGAATACAGTGTGTGATGCCCTCAGTTCCTTGGAACCCGTTTGGGTTTTCAGCAAAGCCCCTTCGTTTTCCAAGACTTCGTGTCGGAAACAAGAGACAACCTATTGTGCCTTTAAAAGAATGGAAATTAGTGAGAGGGGATACGGTATGATACTTGATCATTTTAATATGCGTTCAAAAATCTCACAGCTAGTTGACGACTGAATACACATGGTATGATGAAAGATAATGTAGTCTTGTTCGCCGATAAGCTTCATTTAAGTTCAGTATTTCAACTAGATTAACTCCATCTCTAACGATGTAAATGATGGTCGAAGGAAATTTCACTATCTTGGATATGTAGCGCTTTTCACTTACTCTTCTGAAGGAACGAAAACAAGCGAATTTAATGTTAACCGTTTTAGTGTAGAGAAGACAATTTTATGAGGAGGGTAACACTTAAAATGGGGGGAGATCAGAAATGGTGCTAATTTTTAATTTTTAGTGGGTAAGAGCGAAGAGCTTCCCACCTCTTGGAATGAGGTGGGGATGTCTAAGGAGTTAACAGCCCTTCCCCCCCAGCGCTGCTTCCAAACTGTCCTAAGGTAAACTTATCATAGCATTTTTAATCTCAAAATCTGAGGTAATAAATTACATTAAGGTGGTGTATTGAATCAGTCCATAAATTTTATCCACTCAAGGTGATGATTCTTGGTGGGAAAGATAGAGGAAAGATTGGAAAGATCAATGAAGTGGTTAGAAGCAAGAACTGGGTATTTGTTGAAGGATTAAACACGGTAATTCATTCTTTTTATTGACATTTAGTGGATGTGCAACCTACACATGGGAGTCTGTGATATAAACCATGTCCAAAATACTTTTTTTCCTTAGCTAGTAAAATGTATGAGGGACCAGTGCTGGGAATGGCCCATTGTTTTTTCACCTTGTGGTATTTGTTACATCAATGAATAACACAATCAGGGAATAGAGTATATTAAAATCATTGATGGAATCTCTTTTAGTACATGTATTTGGTACATAGTCGTTAGCCTAAGGGAGGGAGCCCATAGTCTGTTATCAAGGGTTTTCCTGGAGTCTCTGCCCCAGGCCTTTTTCTTTACCTGTCTATGGGTCAGTCCTTGTCTCCTGATGTGTGCTTCCTGATCCAGTGTAACATTTTTCTCAACTTTCCCCTCTTCCCTTTGCCTTAAAAAATTCTAGGTCAATGATTTTGCTCTGATTTAACTTAAATTTTCACTCTTGAGATCTCATTAATAGTAAATCCCTCTTACTGTCTATCTACAGTTCTTATGATGTTAGTTAGGAGAATTTGGGTTTGGATCAACCAATAATCCCCTAACTGATATTTATTCTCATCACTAATGTCTGCTGTCTGCTTTATGTAGTACTGATATTGTAAAGAGAAATTATGTCTTCATGGGAGTTGAGGGATTTAATGTCAAAATGACCATCACCTACCATTCTCCAAGGTCTCCTCTTGATCAAAACAAAAATCATACATACAGTATGATTTAAATTGTAGCTTGGATTCTATTGTTGTTTACCATAGAGATTCTATTGTTGTTTACCATAGATTGTTATTAACCATTTCTTTCTATTTCTTGACAGCACAAACGTTACATCCCTCCACAAAAAGGTTACGATGGAGGACTTACTAACAGTGAAGCCCCACTTCAGGTGTCAGAAGTGTCTCTCATAGATCCTTCAGATGGGTGAGCAGTGACATTCACTATTTTTTTTTATACGTACATTTTGATAGGTTCTTATCTATGATTTATTAAAGGATATATGCACAGGTGACATTACCATTAACAGCATTTTGCTTTTTTTATCATAGGACACTTACATATTCCATGTTGCTGTAGGTCTGCACTGTAATAGATTGCAGAAAATGTCAAAATGTGGTATGAGAATCAGTGACATACTCAGTCATGCCTGGTGTGGCACTTTTTTTGTTCTTACCACATTTTGATGTCATCTGTGATCTATTGCTGAACCAACACACAGCAACATGGAATATATTATTTAAGTAGAGAGTATGTTTGTAGATATAGATCAACATTTTCTCGTAGAAAATACTGATCTAGCAACAAGGAGTAAGAAACGAGATCAATTTTCCCATCTTTTGTCCTCTATTTAGACACAACACAACAGACATGGGTCAACATGAACCTTGTGATGACCAAGTTCATCATAGACGGAATTCTCTGTTGCTCAATGAACTACAACATTTGGCTAAAATAAAAACTCCAAAACTCCTTGAAATTTCAAACAAAGGGGTAACAAACAAAAGCTAAAAAAACTGAGTAAAACTCTGTGAAACAAACAACAAATCCAATCTTAGGCTTCTTTGATTTCTCATGGACTCCAAGAAGTTTTTTTTTGATCCCATTGTCAAGACAAGATGAAAAAATATTTTTCTTTATAACAAAGATATCTTCGTCCTAGCATAAAAATTGTTATCACCAGCATACAAGTGTATCTAACTAAGAAATACTCTTTTTTCTAGGAAACCCACAGATATAACCTACAGATTCACAGAAAAGGGTGAAAAAGTTAGAGTATCAGACCGCACAGGTCGTATCATTCCTAAGCCACCATGGGAACGAAGAGATGTTAAGAACAGATCAGCTATAAAAGGTCAGTTACTATTCAATATTCAGGAATAAAGAGATTGCCAACAGCTATCTGGTAATAATTGTTTTTATTTTTTCCCCTGAATTTTTCATTACCAAAATTAGACTATTTATTGGCATTTGCCATTTCATTGTTTATCATTGTTTTTGACCAGGGTTACCTCTTGTATTGTGCTCTTGGGCTGACAAATTTTCTCTCAAACTTCCGCTCTCCACCAAGGAGTATAAATGGGCAATGGCAAAGTGTCAGGGAGAGCCCTTGAAACACTGTAGGGGGAGGAGGTAATCCTGTGATGAACTTAAGTCCCATCTAGGGTTTAGAAGCTCACTCCTTGTTGTTCAGGCCAGATGTGCTCATTGACCTCTGTATACGTGAACAGGCATTATAGTATGCATTACAAGCTGTTATTAGGGTAATGAATTACTACTAACTTTTTTATCTGTTTTGTTTAGATGGTGATTTTGACACACCTCCATCAGCAGTTACCAAAAAAACCTATATCCCATCGCTGCTGTATTTTCATGAGGAGATCATGCATGCACTGAAGGTACCTCCCACCATTCCAAAAACAGAACCAGATCGAAGAGATCTGATGATGAAGGAAGTCGAAAAAGCTGCAAATTGGCATTTGGACACAACTGCAAATGCTAAACTTAGTCTTATAGACAAAATTTACTTCTCAGTCAGTAATTATGCTGATAGACTTATACGGTTTTTAAGGATTGATAAATTATAACGACTTTTTAATCTTCAATCTTCTCAAGTGAAAGATATGGACAGATTGCCATCCTCCTATGATAACCTATCTTTCTTGCAGCCATTGTTTGGACCATCTCGCGAAACAACACTCTCTCTGGCAGGGAGAAAGAGTGTTGTGCAAAACAACCAAAGGCTGCAGAGCATAAATAGAAGAAGAATCTCTACTTGTAGTAAAAGAAAAGTACCCAACACCATTTGTTCTTGTATTCATTAAAAATGTTTAAATCAAGTGAATTCCAAATGATGGTTTGGTTTAAACATCTAATGTGCCCCCTTATTAGACAGTAGTGAAAGAACTGTCAGTAGCCAAACCCCTCCTATGTTCCATACCTTTCCACTTTACCCATTGTGTTCTTCCACAGGCATCCCAAGCTCACATCTTGAGAAAAAGCTAATGATTAAGTCATGAAAGCATCATACGTTGAGAGGTAACATTGAGAATTTGAACATGTTGTAAGGAATAGTATGGGGAATGGAATATGGTCAATTTACAATAACTATTTCTAAATATGAACATACTAGTCCCTATAACATGTTCAAATTCTCAACAGTTCCTCTCGTAACTGAACACCACGTCACACAACATATCCTGCTTTCATGAATTAATCATTTCCTTTTTCTTGAGACATGAGCTTGGGATGCCTTTGGTTCTTTGTGCTTAACCTTTGATACACCCTTGTTTATTCTCATGTTTGTTCACTTTTCCATTCTGTCATGCATGAGTGCTTAATAGAGTACACTGAGTTAAAGATCATCAGCTTTAGAGTCGGAATAGAGTACACTGAGTTAAAGATCATCAGCTTTGGAGTCGGCAGGAACTGCAAAAGTACACCTCATTAAAATGCATATTTTGTTGTTTCTACCAAATGCCTCCCTATCATGCCAAGAATTTGGAGATTTTTGAAGAAAAAAGTATTTATGTACACTGTATGGTATGATGAATTTTTTAGGCTGTTGTCTACTTGCTTTTGTGGGCTCTTGACTAATAAATGCAAAGGAATGAAAGCTTAAATGATCTATCAAAATATTGAACATCTCTGAGCTGATAAAAGATGCTGTAAATTGATATACAGAGAGAGAAATTTCTAGAAATCTTATCTGCTGGGAGGCAACCCAGTTTGCTTTTTGCCAGCTGCATGGGAGGAGTTCAGCTTGAAAATTCCAAGATACAAATCTTACTGGGTTACAGAATGCAGAACCTCCAGTTTTCAAATCCACCCCCCTGTTTCCTTTGATCTCCAATATTGTAAAAATGTGTCAAGGACAGGTATCCTTCCTAAAGAAGTGTCTGTCTTAAGGGGAGTCAAATTACAAGAGAATGACTGACCAATCCATTTGGCAAGATCACATATTGGACAGCCTTATGTCAAAATGGTTTGGAAGAAATACAAATTACAATTTGTACATAAGGGTGGAATTGAAATGTGGATTATAAGGGGCATTTCAAAGTAGGCCAACGGAGAATTGAAATTGTTCACCTTTTGGAAAATCTTCTCACCCTTTCAAGCCATATTCATGCAGGGATTTAATTAAAAGAGTTGGCTATATTGTGATCCTACACAAAACAGCTAATTTAAAACCAGGATTAAAGGTTTGACATTTACTCTGCCGCAAAAACGCTTCCATCTAAGTTTCAGAGGGAAAAATGACAAGAAAGGTTGTCTCAAGAAAGGTTGTTTCAAATAGTCGATCCATTGTTTTTTACCGACGTACACCTATCTACAAAACTTACCTTACAACTGTACTGCAAGCTGATACTTGATTCTGAAAAAGAACAGTTCACAGGTAAAAATTGAATCAATAAGGACCCTGATATTCTGTTTCACTATCAGGAATGACTAAAAAACGTCAGAGAAGGAAGAAAAATATTTACATGTATTGATTTAGGAATATTCTTTGTTCTAACTGACAAAAAACTCTAGGAGTTCAAATTAAAGAAACGTTTAACAGTCAATACAGATAAGTAGCTAAACTTATACAACTTAAGCTGTGCATTTAACTTTAACCAAGCGTTAGATCAGTGTGGGATATAAAGCCTGTTCAGGCTCATTTGGCACTTCGTGATCAACATCAGATAGTTTGGGAGGGCTAAGTTCATTTGATTCGTCAAATTTATCGAATACGTAGGGTGCCGGTCATTTAGCGGTAAAATTTCCGCACAGCTCCATACCACATCATGCATTCAGTTCTTGGATAGAGAAAACAATGACAACAACAATACATTGCCATTTGGAAAACAGATTTGTTTTACAATAGTATGGCGCTGTGCGGAAATTTAGCCACAGCATGACTGACTCAAAGACTGTTTGAAGAGAGTACTGGGCTTTTCATCCACTTTCACACTCGCAACACCAAGTGATACATGAAATTATAGTCAGGCGACCTTAAAAATTTGATTGGCGGAATGATGCGATGGCGTAAAATTACCCCAAATCCTAAAACACGGAACTGCGGAAATTCACACCAAATCCTAGAGCACTGGGCTTGGTTGGTTTGAAGCACGTTTTTGTTATGCAGAGGACCGCGAAGAAATGTTCCAAGTTTAAAAACACGTGCCTTACTATCTTTCCTTCCCGTTCAATCTTTTGTTTTGCCACGTCCTGACGTTGCCCGGTCGTGGTGTCCTGAAATCCTAATGGGCTTAAATGCCCGACAGTCAGAAATTTTCAAAGAATTCAAGTGCCTTTCTTTATCGCGGATGAAGCCATTCTGCATTTGCATGAAATTCACTGGAGGAAGAACGCGGGGTCGAATGATGAAGGAATGTCAGACGGTAAGAAGTGGGTTTCCCCTGCCGCCTTTATATAACCCTTAGGCTGTTTGCGCTCTTCTGATTGACTTAAACCTTAATCTGTGGGTGGTGTTTCATCTGTAAAGAAAGACGGTGGAATTCACCAGCTTCACAACAGAGATGATGAAGATGACAACAATAACACATGGAATGGAAACTCTCCTCAACAGACGTAACCAAATGATCCAAGATTGTTTAAAATATATGGAGAGTTTAAAATTTGGTCTCTGATTTGGAATAATTCTTGTTAAATAGATTAGTGTGGAGATGAGCTTAGTTGTAAGAGTGACAAGAGTCTGTGACAAATAATACATTCTTACAGAAACAATGCTCCTTTAGAAAGGAATCAAACATTTGTGTTTCCTTATCTTGTATACAGTTCTATGTTGTGACTAGCCTGTATTGTCCATTATTCACAGATTATCAAATCAATTGAAAACAGAAAACAGTTTAAAAGTTTTCTTCAGTGTATTTGATGGTTAATGGCTAAAAAATTTTCAATGTCTTTCCCAAAGTTGTGACTAACTTCCAGTTTTTATGACAGTTAAAATGTCAAAGGATATTACTCCCCAGTCCCTCAAGAATGCAGAGAGAAACATGGGACCAAGGCCAAAATGAGACATACCATGTAAATGATATTGGATCATAGTTAATCGAGGGAGTCCCCTCGATTAACTATGATTGGATTGAGTGGTATGGAATAAAAGAAAAGGAAGGTTTAAATAATCTATGGTGTACATCAATATTTTTTTTTTCAAAAGCTTATCTTGTTGACACTTAAGCTGGCAGGCTCTCAGCTTATGGGAAGATGTAATGTGCACAATGCGAGGGTGAAAAAAAGTCAGATACAGTTATGGTAGGAGAACATGTAACCCTTAACCCTTTAACTCCCAGAAGTGACAAACATGTAACTTCTCCCTACAATTACCATTAATTATTCAACAAACAGGTGATGAGACTAAAAATTTTATCAGTTACCTATATCTAATACCAAATTCTCCTAACTGATTCACAATGAAAAGTGTAGCAGCTGTAGGGGAGAATTAGAAGTCAGATCTTGGGAATTAAAGGGTTAAGCTATCCAGCTTTTATATCAATTTAAACAGCAAGGAGGTACGACGTTTTTTACGGTAACTTCTAAAGTGAAAAACTATTTTGAAAAGCTACGATTTTATTTTAAAAAATGTGAGGGTATCATGGGTCCATGTCAACAAACATTACACAGGTTAGAGACAAAATCAGTTGATAAGTTAATTTATGGTTTATAGTACCAAAAAGGACATGTTATAAAACTGACATGAAGGGAAAAGTGGGAAAAATAAAGTGCTTTGAGTATTTCCTTTCAAAAAGGATGTGATATCAACTTAAAGCATGAAATTTATTGCCATGTTCTATACATACTGCTTTTTCTTTTTTAACATCACAACCCTTTGTATACTTCAACTTATCCATAACAAGTTACTCATGAATATTTGCCCACTACAAACCAAGTCACTCCCTAAATAAAGTACTCCTCTGGTAAAAAGTGGGCAGGTTAACCTGTAGACCTTAGAGTGTCTGGTCTCTAATTTCTCCTTATAGTATCACCCCTGTGTCAAATGTTAAGGTTATGAGAAAAAGGAAATGATCATCAATTGAAGAAGCTCCTCATTCTTAAACAAATTTAAATTTATTTAAAAAGGATAAAAAAAGAAAAATTAAATGAAAAGCATATCTACACCATCCTCATTAAAACTGAGTTGATTATGGGTCTACTGTATAACCAATATTATTAACATTATCAACTTTGTTCATAAAACTGATCATTTTGTGATACCTGGCACTGACACTTAAAACTAACCCCTTTACACATTCTGTGTCACCTAGTTTTCAACTAAAAGAATGACAAAAGTACAGGAAATCTTTTTACATTTAATTATTGCCTCTAAGATAACTAAATGTAGTGTTTTCTCTTAAAAAAACAAATTAGCCTCACTTGGGTTTCTCAGACTTTACAACATTCTTATAATAACTGAGTTGATAATGGAACTACTTGGAACAAGAGAGCATAAAACCCAAGGCCCAACAAGAGCCACAAAGAATGATAAGAGAAAACTGATGTATAAGAATTAAGATAAACAGTATGAAAGATATCAAGGTCAGGAAGGGTTGGCCAGATAGGGTAGTCTTTTAGTAAAGAGCAACAAGTAAATCACCAGGAAAACTATTTGCCACACAATGTAAATAAGCTACCATACCCAAACATTCAGACTCTCAGATGACTGTGTGAAAAACAAGTCACTGCAAGTCACAAAACATACACTGCACAAAAGCCAGTTTTCCTTCTCTTATCAGCCTGGCTAAACTTTAACATTCCATCAGAAATAGAACTACTGCATAATGATAATAGTAAATTTGTAAAACAAATTTTAATGTTTTCCTTTAGCCAAGGGACTTGGCAAGGTAAAAAGTGGGCAGGTTAACCTGTAGACCTTCAAGTGTCTGGCATCTAATTTCTCCTTACAGTGTCACCCTTGAGTCAAATATAAAGTTTATGAGAATAAAGGAAATGATCACCAATTTAAGAAGCTCCTTATTCTCAAAAACAGTTCTTGTCACTATCATAGGAAATGTAAGGAGACCAGGGTGGAAAATATGAATGCCCCGGGTGGGGAAGGAAAGGGTTAAGTGCAGTCAAATCTTTGGCTTTTTTATTCTCTTGCATAAGAGGATTCAAATAGATTCACACAAATATACAACAGCAGTGTTTAAATTTATTCAGCATAAAAAGGATAAAAAAAGAAAAAAGCATATCTATAACATCCTCATTATAACTGAGTTGATAATGGGTCTACTGTGGCTAATTTACATCGTCAACTTTGTTGATAAAACTGATCATTTTGTGATACCTAGCATTAACACTAAAAACTTATCCCTTCACACATTCTATGTTGCCTAGTTTTCCACTAGAAGAATGACAAAAGTATGGGCAATCTTTTTGCATTTAACTATAATTGCTTATAAGATAACTAAATTTAGTGTTTTCTTTTAAAAAACAAATAAGCCTTGCTTGGGTTTCTTGGGATTTTCCAATATCCTTATAATAACTGAGTAGATAATGGGTCTACTAAGGCCAATTTACATCATCAACTTTGTTGATAAAACTGATCATTTTGTGATACCTGGCACTGACACTTAAAACTAACCCCTTTACACATTCTATGTTGCCTAGTTTTCAACTAAAAGAACGACATAAAAGTATGGGAAATCTTTTCGCATTTAATTATGCTTATAAGATGACTAAATTTAATGTTTTCTTTCAAAAACAAACAAGTCTTGTTTGGGTTTCTTGGGACTTTAGCCTTGCTGCCCTGCCAGTAACAGAAATGAATAAGAAATAATGAGTGTTAGTAGTCAGCTTGGGTAAAAGTAATTTCAAAGATTCCATTCTTCCCTGAAATGAAACTCGCTATATAATCAGGAGATTTTATTGGTCTATTATGACTCCATTTGATGGATAAACTTTATTTACATTTGGCTATAAGGATGGTATCCAGAGGGGCCCTAATGTTGAAAACTAACAAATACTGTTGAAGAAGAAAAGGTTGTATATAAAAATAAACTACAAAAATATTCATAAAATCATGTGGTGGAAGAAAAGATTAAAATACTTGCAAGTGGCCTTATAGGTAGAAAATTTAAAAGGGAAGTTATAAAAACAAGCAATTTTTTATTCAATTTTTAAAACACTACAAGGACTCAGCTTGCTCCACCTGCTGTGAAATAGCACATTTTCTGCTTAGATATTTCTTAAGTCTGGGAATAAGTAGGCATTGCATTCTGACACTGCATAGACAGCAAAAACAACACTAGTTCACATTTTATAACTGCCATTAAAGACAAACTCTCTTAAGTCCTCTCCCCTTGTCCATTGCTTGTTTTCCATATTTACACATAACTTTTTCATCAGTCTAGTTGCCTCTAAACTAGTTAAGAATCTTCCCTTACCAAACTGTTCTATAGCCAATTCTGACAGCAGCCACAGGACACTTGTCAGCCAAAACCTCTGCTGATGAACAGCAACAAAATTGTTGATTTGTTTACGTTCAAAAGGAAAGATTATGTCACTTGCAGGGTCACTTCTGTAGCTGAAGGTTGATGTCCCTTCATATTCATCCACTTTTGTTATAAAAAGTTGTTCATTTTCAGGAACCAAATGAATACCTGCCAAACAAAAGAGACACAGATCTCCATAAGATAATTCATCTGCAAGTTATGTAAAAACAAAAAAACCCAACAACTGGAAAATGTGATAGTTGAAAGAACCATTTCATTGTCAAGAGAGTAACCTTTTTGGAGGATGTAATGCACAGTACTGCTCAACCTCACTAATTTTCCACTTCATTGTGTCAAACAGAAGATCACCATAATTTTCCTCACCATGGGTATCCTTTTCCAAAAGGTAACAAATGATACACCTGACAGTTTTCATGATAACCTGAGGTGAGTTCATAAACATTCGTAGGACACCACGCATCTGTCTAACATCATCTTGGATCCCTGGATAAACATAGGACAATTCCCATCCCTGTGTCCCCCTCACTTTCAGATGTAATTTATGTGGAAGTTGGTCAGCTATTGAAGAAAACAAAGTGCAGTCAAGTCTACAAACTCCAAAATGTGCTGAAAATGTGATCTATTGGCTACAAAACCTAGCCTGCAAGGGGCTAAAAAAAAGTCTTGCCTTGCAACAAATGGAATGCAATACTCACTACACTACAGCAATTTCAAATACTAATTCTGTTCCACTTAAGTCTAACTGTAGGTTGACAAAGAAATTAAGTAACCACCAATTCACACTAAAGCTTAAGCGTATCTTAAAGCTGCATGTTTTGTTAAAAACAGTTTAAAATTAGATAATTTGGTTTCATCAAATTAAAAATCAATGAGTTGATGATGTAAATTGGCCATGGTAGAGTTTCTAAGCTGATGTTTCAAGGGTTAGCCCCTCTTTGGAGTGAATGATGAGCTGCTCAAGCCAATGTTTGTCAACTTCAAATTCTACACAGTGAAAATACAAGTTAGTGACTCAGTACTTCAATGTACCATATAGGAAATTCAGTTGTTCAGTTCTCTGTTTCTGATGTTCATTCAGTTTAACACAGTTGAACTGAACATGTTTTGCTGGTGTGAAAAGGGTATTAGACTTGAAATAATTCTGTACTTTGCATGAAAAGGGTGAATTAGACTTGAAATAATTCTGTACTTTGAACTCGATTCAATGTACCATATAAAATTCAGTTGTTCAGTTCTCTGTTTCTGATGCCAGTTTGTTGGCAAATGAGGGTAGACTTAAAAGAATCTGCATGATTCCTGAAAAAGCCTGACAAATGAAGAATCCACTAAGAATCCACTAGCCCCTGGCTTACTGTACCCAACTGATAAGGTTTGTAACAATGTTCACTAAATATGAAAACCAGTACATTCCAATAAAAAGAGGTTATAATCATCTGAAATGCAATTACCAGGTTCATTATCAACCTCCATTCTTTCTTCCCCATCAATACCATATCTGGCCTCAAGTGTTAGTTCCCACTCCTGTTGGTGGAATACAGATAAAATTGTGATTACCTGTAATAGGCCTTCTTCAATCTACACCAAAGCTGGTTTAAACTCAGCAAAAGCGACTCATATTCTGTGATTCACTTTGTCACAAAATGCTTGAATTGTATATAACATTATCATCATCGATTTTACTGGCTCTGCATAATGTTTCCGAAGCTTCTTGACAATGAATTATACAAGTTTGAAAGTCCTGGATGATGGGCCAAAATACAATTTTGTACCATGATGAACACTTTTGACAATTCTACTTTCTCATCAAGACAATTGGAAGATAGACAAATGCAGTTATGTCTTAACAAAGAATTGTATAACTTTGCTGAGTGATGTGTTTGCAAGTGGAGGAATAATGAGAAACAGTTTATTCCTTCAAATTCCCAGACATACATACATACATACATACATATACTATTTGTTAAGGCAGGTCGGTTTGCGGCAACCTAAAGGCTGGTGTGGACCTGCCGACAACTTAATTAATTAAAAAAAAAAATCATATCATAAAATCTTAAATAAAATAAATTAATTAATTAATTAAAATTTAAAAACTAAAAGTATAAGAAATCTGATCGTTTTGATGTTATCAGACAGGCCTCTTTTTCGAATTGGAGTTGGTCCAGATAACCAAGTTATGTTTACCATTTTTTTATTTATTCCAACATCTATCTACAAAAGTTACCTTACAACTGTACTGCAAGCTGATATTTGATTCTGAAAAAGAACAGTTTACAGGTAAAAATTGAATCAACAAGGAACCTGAATTTCTACTTCACTATCAAGAGTGACTAAAAAAGATCAGAGAAGGAAGAAGAATATTTACATGTATTGATTTAGGAATATTCTTTGTTCTGACAAAAAAACTCTCGGAGTTCAAATTAAAGAAACGTTCGACAGTCAATGCAGCCTAGTAGCTAAAGTTATACAATTTAAGCTGTGCATTTAAAGTTAACCAAGCTTTAGATGTGGGATATAAAGCATGTTGAGGGTCATTTGGCACTTCGTGATCAACATCAGATAGTTTGGGAGGGCTAAGTTCATTTGATTCGTAAAATTTATCGAATGCGTAGGGCTGCCGGTCGTTTAGCCATTGCATGACTGACTCGAAGACTGTTTGGAGAGAGTACTGGGCTTTTCAGGTATTTTCGCACTCGCAACACCAAGTGATACATGAAATTGCAGTCAGGCGACCCTAAAAACTGGATTGGCGGAATGATGCGATGGTAAAATTACCTTAAATCCTAAAAGACGGAACTACGGAAATTCAACCCAAATCCTAAAGTGCTTGGCTTGTTTTGAAGCACGTTTTTGTTTAGCAAAGGACCGCGAAGAAATGTTTCAAGTTTTCCGATGTTCCTTCACGTTCGATCCTTTGTTTTGCCACGTCCTTGTTACCCAGCCGTGGTTTCCTTAGGGGCCCTAATGGGCTTAAATGCCCGACAGTCAGAAATTTTCAAAGAATTCAAATACCTCTCTTTAACACGGATGAAGCCATTCTGCACTTGCGTGAAACTCTTGCATGGAGGAAGAACGGGGAATCGAGAACTGAGCAAATGTCCCATCGTTCTCGCTATTTAAGCTCCCGCACAACCAAAACCAGGGGTTAGAATAAAATGGCACCGGATTCAGAACTTGACTAGCTTTATATAACACTTCGCTCTTCCGATTGGCTTTCACCTGTTTTCACCTCTTCTGATTGGCTTTTACTGTTATACGATGGAGAGGCAATTTGTTCAATGGCAACAAATAGAAAAATTGCGCAATAATAATAGGTCATTGGGCCCTCAACACCATGACAACTAACTGTGATCCAATGAGGTGTTCACATGCTGATCACGCTTGTTATGTTGATGATGATTGACGTTGTCGTACACAGACAGGGCCGGGTCACATAACGAATCACGAGATTTTACTTATAAAACTCTTTGGTCAGTTATTTTGGGAAAGCACTATATAACATCGTCCTAAACCAGATGAGCCCACGACATATCAGCGGCATCTTGTATGAGTATCCGCAGGTTACAACGTGACTTCCGCTTATTCTTGTTAAAGCGTATTTTACAGTGTACTCATGGAATAGGAAGTGCGTTTGAGCCAGTTTCTGGCAGATTTGAACAGAAAAGCGGGTCTTTTGTTGGAGTGTAATGACATTTTGATCGATGGCGCTGTTAACGAAATGTTTGGCTGGTTCGTAAGTTGTCGACCTGGTTTCGGTCGATCTGATTAATTGACAACACCCCTAAGGCAATACATATCATCGTCCCAAACCAGATGAGCCCATGACACGTCAGCGGAATCGTAGCGAGAGTCTTCTATTTTTCTGCTCGTTTCCGGCGAATCAAGAGACCGTGACCTGTGTGACTGACGATAAAGCGTCGTATTCTTCAATATTTTATTGCGAAAGTATTCTTCCCATAACTTGTACAAACTAATTTCTGTCTAGATCACATATTTAAGAAAAAATCTAGCCTGTTATAAAGGCGTTAAAAGGAGGATCGACACTTAAATATGACCGGCCCAATAGTTTCGGTCGATGTTATCCTCTGACCTCGCTATCATCGACCAAAAGCAGATTCAGGTCAAAGATCATTTGCATAACTTTGCACTGTAAAATCTTTCGATTGGAACAAACATACAGTTCTTTTCTGTTTGTAATAAATTATCTTTAAGTTTTATTTGACCATGATCTCTTGGTTTTTGTTCAACATCTTATTTGCTACTAATAAATATATTTGCCAAGGGATGGTCCAGTTAATATTTAACACTCATGCATTTATGTTTTGCGGCTCGCGGGTAAATATTGGCGGGAAATCTAAATGTTTGGTAGAAGAACAAACATGGCTGATAACAGTACACCTTGGGCTTCAAGATGGACCGTACAGTTTGACCCTTATTCCGGGTATGCTAACGATGAAAGCAGCGCTGACGAACTCATAAAACAGTACGAGATACCTACGACGACACGCTTCACTGTATTAAAACAAACAGGAGGATTTTCAAATTGCAGTAGGCTGGGTAAGTAAGCTCACATGTAAAGATTTACAAAATAAACCATACTGACAGTAAAGTGAAGTATAACTTTATTTAGACACTATAGGTATTTAAAGCCAGGGGCGTGTGAGATCGTGTTATTAACATGAAATATAGATAAATCAAAATAAAAAAAGGGATTTAACTTTTTTCCAATAATTATTGATATCTTAAGAATACATGTACACATCATTATTCTTCGGTTTACACTGGTCAGTTAGACTTTCAAAATTAACATGTAATTAAAATTAAACTTAGCTTCAAGTGTCAATTTACTGTGAGCCTGCAGCAAGAGTTGGCAAGAAATGCTTAATTAATTAAGATCAAGCTTAAAGTGTCAAAACCCTACTCAGTGCTATTGACACACAGCTGCCAGCATCCCCATCCATTACACCAGTCCTTGGGCTACATCTGGGTGGGGCAGGCTTGATTTTGAGGCCCTCCATTTTAAGCACCCATGTGTACATATGTACGTATGTGTTTGTGTACATGTATCGTATTGCTAACTTAGCTTGGTTCCTCTTCTCACATAAAAGAAAATGCAGATAAAAATGCTAAGAACCACCGTATACAATGGGCTGACTCACAGGAGATGACAGGATGCAGACTAAGTTTTGATGGCATCCCATTCCAAATTGTGGGGGTCAAAGTTTTACAATGCCAAAATGGGCCAGACAGAAATAAGGCACTCAAAAGGAAGGAGGTTCAAAAGAGACTACAAAAAGATGTAAGCATGCATAATAATTAACTAAATAAGAATGTAAACAAGATGATATTATTACTTAAGGACTCCCAAAGAGGATATCATATATAGGGCATTACATAGTTATTGATTTACCTTCACCTATTTGCTCTTAAGCTAACAAGGTGGTAAGTCCCAACTGATTTTTCTAAGCAAGTTGGTGAGCACTCAACTCTCCCTCAGGACTAATAGCAGGCAATAATGTTTTCTTTTTTACCACTTGCAAGTAAAAGGACATATCACATTTTATTTGTTAAAATAAGCAAAGTCGCAAAAAAGGACCACTGTGACTGCAGTTTACAAGGTAGGAATCAAGTACTATTTTAAAGGATACTTTTCATTACTTCTAAGTTTATTGATAACTTGACTATTCCCATATGACTGCTCTATCTAACAATCCAATAAATCTATTTGGTTTCAGAAGGAGAATGCTGATCACTGCTATAACAACACCAAACAGCGCTTTATAGTACAGGATACGAAGAAATGTGACTGTCCAGCAAAGATCCACCTAAGGAAAATAATCAAGTATCCTGAAAATAAGGTCAGTTTATTAAAATTATTGAATAAGGGTTCAGGGGGCACTACCATTAACATGAATGATCACTAGCCTAATAAAGGGCGCTTAATCCTAATGGGCCTTGTGTTACATGTAGGTGAAGTGGACATATGATAAGACAACCTGGACATTTCGTTGTGCAGAATTGAAACAAATTTACCTGAAATGGAAACAGAGTGAATATTTTAGAAACCAATTTTTCAAATATTATTTTAATTAAAACATTGTATCGTTAGATTTCAGAGAACACAAAGAGTAGAAGGGAGACAATGTCAAAATTTCTGAGAACATCCCTAGAGTCAGAAAAGAAGCAAACAATAGCTACAGAGGAGCGTATTTACATATTACTTCCTAAACCTACGGATCACTTATTTCACCCCATGGGGAGGGTAAGTACTTGGCCATCAATTAAATTTTTTTCGGAATCAGGAAACTGAAGTTTGGTGGGGAATTTAAGGTGACTTAACTTCACACAGATCATCAGTCTACTGTAGACTGTGCTGCTTCCACTGTCATGCCGAATATATATAAAGAATGAATAAAGATTATACATCACAACAAAAGACCACTAAAATGTACTACATGTAGAGCTTCTTTTAGCTACACTGGCACTCATTCCTCAAACTCAATGTCAAGACTATAATATCCCAATTTTATCAGAGAGGGATTTGCACTGGCACTGTTTTAAAGGAATGCTGTCATGGACTTTTTAAATGGATTTTCTTAAAAAATACAGTGTTCAGTACTCTGTAATTATAACATTCTGTAACTATTACTGATGCCGATAGTAATGTTGGTATAATTTGCATTATTATTCATTCAAAATATTTCCCTGTTTCTGAAAGGTTAAAACCACTCACATATTTCATCATAACCAGCTGCTGTTGACCAAATTTGGAAAAAATTTTCTCATATTGAACCAATTATTTTTCCTTGTTCTTGAGTTTGTGGTGCTTTAATATCATGATGAAAATTGCCTGTAAGAATTTCATGGATGATACTTATAGACCCACATTTAATCCATAGGTTATATTCTACAAGTTCAATTGAAATACTTAACATTTAGGAGGAAGCTCAAGCTGAATATTCGAATGTTGACCGTCGGTGTATTGTCATCACACAATCATCTTAAAATTGTGAAATATGTACATCAATTTATTTAATACAAGTTTGAAGGCTTATCATGTGATAAACTTCTGATTAAGTACCTCTTCAGAAATTTCTGTACATATAAGTTTAACACAAATGCAATTAAAATTAATACTTATCTTTCTCGAGTATTTTGATGTCATTGTTCTTCTGCTCACTTGGCAGCTATGAGGCTTAGGTCGATGGTGTGTAGGATTTCCAAGAGGTGTTGCCAATTAATCAGATCGACCGAAACCAGGTCGACAACTTACGAACCAGCCAAACATTTCGTTAACAGCGCCATCGATCAAAATGTCATTACACTCCAACAAAAGACCCGCTTTTCTGTTCAAATCTGCCAGAAACTGGCTCAAACGCACTTCCTATTCCATGAGTACACTGTAAAATACGCTTTAACAAGAATAAGCGGAAGTCACGTTGTAACCTGCGGATACTCATACAAGATGCCGCTGATATGTCGTGGGCTCATCTGGTTTAGGACGATGTTATATAGTGCTTTCCGTTATTTTGTATTTCAACGTATTTGGATTGCGATCTCCTGGAGCATCATGGCGCAAACGCGCAAAATACTTACAGACGCATATACAAGTCGTATTAATCGCGGCTAATCCACATTGAAAGATGTTATTGAGCGGTAATTTTGGAACGGATTGAGTCGCGAACGCTTGAAAGCCATGAAAGCCTTGAATGCCTTGTATGCTAAGTATGCCAATGTCTTAGTTGAAAAACGTTCACTTGTTGTAAAAAGCAAAATCTGAAATCTGAAACCAAACTGCATATACTCTATGCAATCCATTGAACAACACTACTACCGTGAGACTGAAGAACATAACTATAATGGATGCAAACTGCTTGTGAAGAAAGACGACACGTTGGATTCACTTGATGGCAAGGAACGTAGCTACGATAACAGTACGAATTTCACGATCAGAAAGGTGAATCTTATGTTTGTTTTCATTGTAGTTGTATGGATATTCTTTTTTAATAAATATGTGATCCAAAACCCTGTGTTTTTTTTGTGTATAATGTTATTATGTTAAATATTGTTTACGCAATTGTCTTGTCACAAGCGGCCCAAGCTCACGTCTCGAGAAAAAACCAACGATTAATTCATGAACGCGTCACGCGTTGTGTGACTCGGTGTTAAGTTACGAGAGGAACTGCACGTTATAAGGAATAGTATAGGGAACGAAGTAGGGTCGATTTACAACGATACACATTTCGAAATATGAACAT